ATAGCCGGAAACTTCATGAGCAGCGTGCCTCCGATTGAAGTCGGCGGGCAGATGGACGGCTCCTTGGTCGGGCTGACGGTGGCCCTGACGACAGAGTTCGTCACGTCTTCTGATGGATCAATGGCGGCCATCGTCGGCAACTGCTCGACGATCATCGTCCGCAGTCACTTCAACCTCCATCCCGTCGGCCCCATGGGCTTGTTCGTTAAGAATTTGGAGGTCGGAGAGTCTAATCAACGAAAAAAGTATTGCCCATTGACATTCCAGGCGCTGATCAATGATGGAATCGCCAGGAGAATTCCGGACTTGCTCTGCAATCGTCTGAAGAGATTGATCGAAGGACAGACGCCACGGCTTCTGAGGAGATTGACGCGTCTGGATGTGGGGAAGAACGTCGCCGAGAGAATCGTCACTGAGAATCCGGCTGTCAATGAGTTGGTGGCTCTAAGGGCTCAAGATATAGAGATAATTTATTTAGATTCGAATAAAGTTTGGTAAACAAAAATTAATTAATTCAAACTTTTTTTGGCCTTAATTTGAGCTTTCTCAGGCCGTTGAGGTATCACAGATCGCTTTTAAACTTCTGAATGTAAAAAGACCACCAGATGCAAATTATTAGGTCTGTGAACAAAAAAGTTGAAGTTCATCCTTTTAGAAAAATATTCAAAACTCTGGTCAAGGGATTTGGAAATTATTTAATTAAAGTTTTTTTGAATAGCAAATTTGTATTAGCCTCCGATACTTTTTTTTGAGAAAATCAAAAATGAAACCTTCGCAATAATTAACACGGTGAGAATTTTCAAGAATAATCTGTATATAATTCACTGGATCTTTCCTTTTTTTAGCTTCATATCAAATCTCGTGGACGGTCTGTACATTGACAATGCAAACGTCGCTCAGCCAATCATCACTGACGACTTTTTAGAGACCCAAAACAGAGGTATTCTGATTGATTTACAGCGCTTTATTCACCTTTACCAGGTGAATTTCGCTACAATCGACAAACTGAACTGTCTCCATTCTTCCCGAAGTCAGTTGGTTTCCCAATCATTCATAAACTCCCTCTAGACCCATGAGAATCACGACAAAATCCGACCGAATGCTCCATTTCTACGCCTCAGACTACCTGTTCAATTCGATGCTCTACCACGCTTATCAAATGAATAACCTTCACATGCAGGTTCCCCTTATTGCTTCGCGTTGCTCATGTTACCTGCTCAATTCAGTTCAGTGCCGATAACCTGCCGAAAGAGTTTGGAAGTTTCTTGTCGACGACCTGCGCTCCCAGAGAGCTTTGCATTGGGCGGATGATCCCGCCGCTAGGAAAGGTTGGCAAAAACGGGCGAGGGGATCGAACCTGTGACCTGTAGATCTCTGTTCCAGCGCTTCCCCAACACGACCGCCTCATTCGTTCTCATTTCTCATGGACTGCCGGACTTCAAGTTCAGCAACGACTCGGCCATTGTGCAGCTTTCAAGTTTGCCATTTCTTGATTTTTAAAAATGATGAAACGTTTGAAAATGACGTCAATCTGAAAATAAAAGGATAAGGAAACATGACGTCATTCTTGATCGAAGAAAAGAATTGAATCGATGTTTGAAAGGTAACTTTCTGCTCGACAAATGAAATTTTGAATGACGTCATGATCGAATTCGATATATTACATCACTGAAGACCGCATACAAAAACTTGGACCTACCGTAAGATCTCCGAAGAAAAATAGTTCGGAAAAATGTGACGTCAAAATTGCGACGCATGCAGTCGTGTTGACGTCAGGATTTTTGTTGAAGATTAGGATAAGTTTGGCTTTTCATCACTTTTCAACTAATTTGAAGTACTCCCCAATATTGCCGACTTGAGCCGTTTTTCATAAAAATTATAAAATTTTTACAAATTTGTTTGACACGATTCGTGATACGGATGCGCAGAAAGAGATTCATAAAGTTTCCGGAAGTTTGATGAAGTATGCAAGAGATAAGAACAAATTGAATAAGTGAAGTGTTTTCAGTGAGGGTTCTGACCTACGTGAAGGAGAACGGTCGACAGCGTCAAGTGATCGTTTCTTCGGCCGACGGCGACGCCGAAGTCCTGCTCTCCGTTGAAGGCGACAACCTCAGCGGCGAGCTCAAGCTCCGGACGTGAGTTGACTCAAAGGCTCCGTTGTAGTCAAGAGAAACTTGAAGAGGTGTTGAAAGAAGCAGAATGGAGTTTATAATCGTCATTTCTGTCTGATAATTCCCAGTTCAAAGAATTTTAATGACTCTGTTCTACTCCTTTCAAAGATCTGAACAAGTTTCTCGAAAAACATGGGAATTATCCAATATGGAGCTTCAGACTGGACGTTCGACTGCATCGGACGGCCATAGAAGGGATCCACTCGCAATCTTTTGCTCAGTTGGCCCCGCTGGCCAAGACTTTCATCGGACCTCATCTGAGTGACGCTTTGAAGCGCGGCATTCCGTTCCCGTTGAAGGTTAATTTTGTCATTTTCTTTAATTTCTCACCTACGATAGCTTCCTTCTAGTCATATACTTACTATATTAAAGAAGTATGTTACTTTGAAATTTTGATTCTTTGACAAATTATAGGGAAAATTCGAGAATCGAAAAGGTTTTCTCTAATCCCTATAGGGATCATTTTACCATATCACGTCATCTTTCTCATTAAACTCGAATTTCATCCTCTGAAAACCACAACTTTGATTTCTGATTGAAATTTTTTCCAATACAAATGATGTCGAATCTCTTTGAGGACATGATGAAGCTGGTGGATCCGAAAGTCCGTCGCCACGAGGGCTTCATCGAACTTTCCACTGACTTCCAGCTCAACGAGTCGGCGTTCCGAAAAACCGTACGGGAAACTTTTGCCGATGTGAATGTATGATAAAACAATATTTATTTTATTACCAAACCGAAAAATCGAAAAAAATTACAGAAATTCCACAAAAAAAGATTGAGTACAATTGGACAAGTATAGACACAAAAAACAACACGCTGTTTGGATTTATTTTCCTGATGTAATCCCGTTGATGCCTTTCTTTTCTCTTTACTTAGAACTTAGGTTTTGATGAAACAGAAATGATTAAACTTTCAATTTTAAAGGATGCTTAAAGCTAAAAGGGACGAAAATATTTCTACATGCACAAGTTGAATGGAAAAAAAAAGAAATGATAAGATACAGTATGTATAAGAGTGACAAAGAACAAACACCAAATTTTCCAGGAATTAAATTATCAAAAGGTAGAAATTAGCATAGCTGACCCAAGAAGCCGTTCAATTTGACGGCAACTTCTTTTTTGAAGGATTTTTGTTTCTTCAAAACTCGTATGAAGTCGTCGAAGATGTGACGACCCACTGGTCCTGGGATCCATTTAAAGACCTCATGAGCGGATTGAATCAGGTTGCACATCTGGAAATGAAGTTGGAATCCCGGGAGACTGGGAAGAAACGAACCTCCTCCATGTCGCCGTTGCTGAACCGAGGATGGCTCATCTTATGGACGACCGCGTAGAAATATTCTTCAGATGCCCTTTCGAACAGATCCCCCGTTATTTGATGGAAACCGTTTTGAATGAACAGGTTGCGGAGCTGAAATCGGTTTGATAAGGTTATGAGAGAAATTATATGCTAAGAAACGAGATTTCATGCTATTCTGGACAAAACTATGCTAGCGAGTATGTTTAAGAGAATTTGCACTTTAGAGAGATCTTATATAAAGAAGCTCACAATTTTTTGAGCTTTGAAAAACCTTCATTCCTTCAAACTTTTTTCAACAGCTACCCGAAAAAGAAGGAATTTTCAAATTTTAATTTCTATCCGGGTCATGAACTTTCTAAAGTTACACGCGAAATTTCAGGAACATTTTATTTTGAAAAACCGGTTGCTACAGAAAACCTCTCGAATACTCTCACAGAATGCTCACCACGCCACAGACGCTTTGCACTTGTTTGGTAGCGCCATTGCTGGCAGCCGAAGGCCTCGGATGATGTTGGTGGTTGATCTGCTGCTGGACATGGTGCAAGAAGGTCTGCGCAACAGCCGGCTGCTGCATGTGCATGTTCGGTGGCGCGCAGATGGGTCGTTGGGGGAACATTCTGGAAACGATCTGTACAATCCGGAAAGCTCATGAAAGTCATACTGGAGAGTTTCAATGGCGAATCGGTGAAGAATGAACGGCGAAAGGATCGTCCGAGCAACGGTGTTGAAGAAGTTGAGCGTGTGAGAGAGGCCAAGTTGACGCGAGATTTGATAAAGCCACGAAATTTCTTCATTGAACGGTGGCGTCTGGAATCTCTCGTTTGTCTCAAAGTCCCGAATCTCGAAACTCACACTTCCAAACTTGACGTTCTGAAGCCGATCATCTGGAGTGTTCTGCATACTTTCCAAAGCACGAATACCACACCGATGAGCGCTCAGAAGCTTCGGATTCAGAGGTGTTTCCGCCGTCTGCGGCAGGTTCGACATTGGGGTGCCTAGCTGGGGCGCGGAATGGCTCTGGTGGAGCCGGTTAGGCATATCCTGCGGTACTGGAAGGTACATCAGAGGTCCGTTCGCCGGTGGTTGCAGAGATTGTTGAGGCGGCTGTGCGGCGGAGTTCTGCGAAGAATAGTAGACGGGCACGGCTTGCTGGTTTTCGTATTGACCCTGAAGTTGGAAAATCAGTGATGAAAAGTCAAACTTTCATTTTCGCAAAAAAAAAGCCAAAAGTGAAAACATTTGCGCTCTACGGACGGAGCACGAAAAGTAAGAATTCTGATTTTTGAGAGAAATTCCTTGCCTATTATCATATACTATCATATGACGTCATAGTTCATTCCACCTGTAAAAATCGGAATATTTCTTACATAATAATGACACTGGTGGTAGGGCTGGTACGGCATGGGCTGCTGGACGATCTTGGGCGGTTCCGGCTCGTTGCTCATCTCGGCCCAACTGCGACCGACGCGGAACAGGACCTCGGCGCAGACGCCGTTTCTGTTGTTGTCGGCAGCCGTTTCGACCGCTGCCAGAGCCTGTTCTGTGGGTGTCGAGCCGTGATCTCGACACTGCTCCAGAGCTCTCAGGGTCTCTTGCGGAGCCAGTGAATGAGCGAACGGAAGGACGCTCAAGGCAAGTCGAGCCCCTTGTTCCACCATCGCTTGGTCACGAGAAAGGCTCGCCTGAAATATTGGAGTGAGTGCATCTAAATTATACTGTTCCCATCAAAAAAGGTTATATCTGAAAAAAATAGGAACTCGAAAATCTAAGAACTTTAAGTGGTTGTATGAAAGAAATAGGTCGCTTCCAAGAGCTTGACCACGAACCGAAAATCTACCTTATCAGCCATGACGGACACTTCCGTAGGCGTGAAATGAGAGGTCCACGTCTCGCGGATCATCTCCAGAGCCATTGGACCTGGAAAAAAAGATTCGTAACTTCAACTTCTGCCTTCTATCAAACCGATTTCATGAGCTTGGCCAACAATCCAGCTCACACTGGTGCTGTAAGTTCTTGTGTTCCAACTGGGAGATATCCGATTGTGAAGCCCCAGCGCGTAAATTCCAATGATCATGGCGCAGAGTTGAAGCTTTTTGTGAGCCGTTTCGCCCAAAGAAGGCCAATAGAGCAGCATTCTCTCTGCCTCGCCTCCTTAACATAGTTTGCAACTCATGTTTCACAGTGTATATTTAACTCTGATTTCCGCCAGCTTCACTGAGAACCCGTTTGGCGAGCTCCGTCATATGGTGAACGTTAGCTTCAGTTGAGGACAGATTCGCGTTCAGCGCGTGGTAATGACGTCTTCTGGAAACATTTCTTTTCGAAATCAACCTCTTCAGTTAATGAAAAGCATGTCTAAAAGCATAGTCAGGGCTTTACATCTTTGATAAGTATATTCCTCTAGAGTTTCGGTGAGTTTATGAGGAATTTTTGAGAAAATTCGGAACTTCACACTGAAGTGAACTTTTTTGAAAGTGAAAAAGACAACAGAAACCGAAAGATTAAACGAAGTTTTTTAGCGACTCGTATTCTAAAAATGATACTTCTATTGAGCTCAAACTAACGTAACTTTTCCAGGTTGGAAGTTTTTTTCACTCTTGATAGGACCGACGATTGTAAACTCACTTTTGTCGTTTCCCGCCATACGCTCTCCGTTCAGGCATTTCATTGGACAAGTTGGTGGCCTGGTTCTGAGCGGTTCTCGAGTTGGTCTGAGTGAGTCCGGTGAACGGCAAGGAGTTGAACGAGAAGACGGGCATGATCTCGGGTAACGGCATTTTGACGACGCGTCGGCCTTCTTGAGAGGTGCTGGGCATCGGCAGACGGTAGGCCTCCGCAGAAGATTCGCTTGAAGACGTGCTCCGAAGGCTTTCTCGGCCCTCGTCCGACATTCGTTCAGCTCTTCGGAATCTGGAGAAACCAAAGGATTGACAAAGCACTCGGAATAAGAGTGGAAGTTGAAAGGGAAACGATTCGGAAGACATCTTTTTGATTTCAGAACATTCGACTAAAATACAATTTTCGAAAGCTTGTTTCTTTTGAATTCACTTTTAAGATTGGCCTAAAAGCTAAAATTTTATTCTAGAAAAATAGAAAATTCTACGAGCTTGAGAATTTTCGGAGCCTAAACCTTCGTCTAAAAGATCAAGTCAGAGTAAATTTAATAATATAAACGATAAGTTTGTTAAAAAAATTGAGATTCCATCGTAACCACTCTGAAGATGCAAAAATGATGATTTCGTCAGATTTGATTTGATTCAAAAAGTCGTGTGAGCAGAAGTGAGCATTATATGAGCTCAAATGAAAAAACAAAAAAGCACTCAGTTTCTTTCAATGTTAAAAATTACGGCGAAATTCGCACATTCCTCATTCAAACACGGATCAAAAGTATACTCAAACTGCATTATTTTTGCTGTTAGACTCCCTAAACTAACACTAACATCGGTCTTGGAGCCACCGGAGCCGGTCTTTCGAAGCTCAAAGATTCCATTTGTTGCTCCATGGCAACTTGATCTTTGCTTTCGTCACATCTATAATGTTTCGTTGATTTTCTTTCTTATTTTGCAAGTTACCTCGACTGCTGATAAGGGTACTTTGGCCGTTGTCCCCTCTGTCCAAATTTACAATAATTTGTGTCGCGTTCTAGAAAGTAGGCGGCGTTGGATTGGTGCCAACTAAATGATTATTACTATTTTTTCTTCCAGATATTGTGAAAAAACTCACGAGTACATCCGATGGAGACTAGGATCCAGTAATTTGTCGAGGATCAGGCCAAGTTTCTCGTGCGAGTCTTTGAACCTTTGAATAAATGTCAATCAATATCCATGATTCCAAATTTGTTCAAGTTTGGTGGTTACGAACTTTGAGAAGAGCATGACGGCGAGGTCGCCTTTCCGTCGTCGGACAGCCTCAAAATGCATCGGATAGCAGATTTCGGTGAAGGTGGGCGTGGCTCCCAGGACGGTCAAGGAGACTTGAAGCGCCAAGTCTTCATCGACCTCTTTTTTCGTCTTTGTTCTGCAAAAAGAGGTCTGTCTTTTATGTTTTGTTTGTCAAAAAATAGTGAGATTTTCATAGAAAGCGGTAAGTTTTGAAAAAAATTTAAATTTGAGCATTAAAACTCCGTCAGAAATTTGAAGCAAATCAGAAATGCCAAATTTTTTGTTGAATCTTTCTGTTGCAATGTAATTTATCGTGTCTTTTCTAAAATGTTGATCAAAGTGAACTAGTTGGGGTTCACATTAATCTGTGATAAAACAATTATTATTGATTGAAAGATTATTTTCCACAAGACCTTTTCGAATTTTTCTCTGATACTTACGAATTGGCCTCCTCGTCGTCTTCCTGTATGTAGTTGAGGTGGAGGGCGTCGGAGACGTACTGGGCCAAGGCGACCGAGGGAACGTCTCCGAGACGGCCGTCGCCGTTCGCGATGAGATGGTTGGCCAGGGGTCGGAGTTGACACAGTTCCTTTGGTCCGACTGCGAACTGTTGGTGCTGGAGCAGCGTCACGAGCTCGTCTTCCTCAAGAAAAGGGGTTGAAATGCAGTTTCAAAAACTCGCGATATTCTCAAAAATGGGCCAAGAAGGAACATTAAGATGACAATATTTAAAATTTTGGGTTCGTTTCCTTAAGTAACTTTTTCTTGAGTGAAAGTTCTTCTCTTTCTGCTACGAACAAAATAAACTGACATTGTTGAACACATTCAATTTTACAAAACCAAAACTAACATAGTAGTACAACTTGATCTGCTGGAACTTGTTGATCAACGGGAAACTTCGGAACTTTCAAAGTGTCTATGATGAACTTGAACAGCTCGTTATGACATCCGCCCGCGCGGAGGACCTTGAAAATTTTCGATAATAAAAGAAATTCATCGTTGAATAATTACATGAGTCATGTACAGGATCTTTTCGAGAACCGACAAGAAATTGTGGCATTTAGCGTGCATTTCTGAGGCGTAAGACGCGATCGAATCTGCTGGAGTGGCGCAGGATGCCGGGAACGGTATCCAGTCTCTCTGGGAAAAAAGCACACGGTTAAATGGATTGAGTGTATAAATTTCGAAAAAAAACTATGGAACTAGTGACGATTGAATGATTGCTAGGTGTATATGGTTCTCTAGTTTGTTTTAAAGCGAAACCCTAAAGTCGACACTTCGATTGCTCATAAATCCCTAACATGGATATATAATAAAAATAAAACACTTTAAAAGGTTAGACTAAGTTCAAAATTGCCTGCTTTCTGTAAAAAACTAAAACTCTTGCCCAAAAAAGTCCATCAAAAACCTGTATCTGTTTGGAAATTTCCTGCGATTTTTCGTTCAAGCTGTCGATCAAGCACTGGTTGAGCTTCAGAGAGATTGCTACTGCCTGGAGAATAGTTAGATTTGACTGGAAGGGGAGTCTAGACTGACATGGCTCATGTATCCGTAGGTGGCGAAGGCCTCGCACTTGACGAACTTGGCCTCGAGGCCGTCGAGAGGGACGAAAGCAGAGGCCAAGGCGTCGTCGACGTCATCTCCGGCGTGGTGAAGCTCGTTCGGAGGCCGGCAGTTCTGGGGCGTCTGCAGGTCGCTCTCCTGGCCCGACTCGGTGCTCTCGCTTTCGAACTGAACATTTCTACTTGAGTGAAATAATGACTTTCGAAAGTTCCTTACAAAAAGAGGCTATGTTAGTTTAAAAGAATTTTGTACTTTTTGAAAGACCTTCATCCAAAAAAACTATTTGAAATATTCTTATAGAAAGATTAATTCAAATAGAAAAAAATTGAATACTAAAACTGAAAGGCTGCTTTTTTTATTCAAAAAAATATTTTTAGAAGGAAGTCTGGTTTTTTTCCTTCTACTTTTGAACGAATCATGCCAAAAATATATAAATCGAAAAATGTTCTGCTTAAAAACTACAAATATAAAGATTTTTTTTCTCTGCGCTAACCTTTTAGACTTGAAAAGAACACATAAGTTTTTCAAATTCCACTTTTTTTCAGAAAACTCTCTCTCAGTGTCTTATAAAACAGTTCCCCTAGATTTCTGAATATTTCCATCTGGTCCGGCCCTAAAATCGAACAAAAGACTCCGCGAACATCTGTTCAAACAACGATTACCACTAAAGTCAAGGTCAAGTCTGCACACTTTCAAAAGGAATATGTAATTGCAGATTTTCAAAATGACATGTTCGAATGATGGCGAAGAATTTTGAGGTCCTTTACATTTAACAGAAAAATAATCAATAAGTTTAATATTGTGTTGAGAAATAAAAAGTTAAAAGGTCAATTTTTTTAAAAAAAGAACGATTTTAATCGTTCTCCGAGATTTTCGATTAACCGATGGTACAAAAAGTTCATCTTTGTTCCTGAGAGCTCTTCTTGCTATCATAGATAGTGAACAACCTCTTGAAAAATTTAGAACCAGGTTTTTATTAGGCTCCGCCCACTTTCAGGCTTACTGTAGAAAAAAACACCGTAAAAAAATCTTTTCTGGGAGAATGCGTGTTGAAAGGACTTATTAAATATAGTGCTTTTTTTGCTAACTAAGTGAATGATTAAGTAAATGAAGATTTTCTGGATTCTGATGTCCATTCTCACCTGAGCTCCTTGTCTGGCACCCATAGGTGGCGGGAAAGTGTTCACAGCCACAGTTTCCCATCTCGTCCGGCTCACGACCATTCTTCTCGACTGAAGAAATTCTTATCATTCCTTCGTGCGACTTGAAAAACCGTGGTCGCATTTAGAATGATCCGGCGCGTTGCGGTTAATAAGACTTGGCATATCTTAGTTTTTTTCTTTCAAATGCCGTGTACGAAGTCATTTCCAGGAAATACAAAATTATCTCTGACTCTACAAAATTTAGTTACCTTTATCTTTCTGAGAAGGCTTATTTGAATTTATCACTTTGAACGCGAAAGAGCTTTGTAACACTTTAATGAAAAAAAAAACATAGCCGTTATTGTGTAAAACCATTCCAAATGCGACCTCAAGCAAAAATGACAATAATTCCTTCCGAACCTTTCTCTTTCTTCTTTTTATTCTTCTTCAACTTCTTTCTGGGCGATACCAGTTGCAACGTCGTCAGATCGGATAGCTGAAGATTTCCCAGATTATTTCTTCACTTTCAGTTTCTTCAGAACCTCCTCCGTCGTCAAATTCAGAATGGCGACAGGTTGAAGCGGAACGATGCCGTGGTCCTCATTGAAGGCGTGGCAAATCTGGATGGCCGGACAGAATCCCGGGAAGGAGTCGGTGCAGAATCGGGCCGTCGCAGCCGTCAAAGGCCGGGACTCCTCGTCGACGATCCCTTGCATGGCCAAGACCGCCTCAAATTCCAGAATGAAACTGAGAAATCGTAGAAATTGGAAACTTGATGATTGCTCAGAGCAGTCACTTCCATGGGGCCGTCCGGCGGGAGTCCTGTCGTCGAGCCGCCGATAATCGACCAAATCCGGGAAACTGTCGATCGGTGGTAGTGCTCAAGGCACGAGGCCAACTGGAACACGACTTTCGTAATTTTTAAGCATTAATTGATGAAAAAGGTCGAATCCGTTCCAAAAGAAATTTGGACAAAATTCTAGTTTCTTTAAGTTAGCATCAAAAATTTAAAAAAAGGAAAAACTAGAAACTTTTTTGGTGGTCTTTTTATTCCAGTAAAAAATCCTGACCTTTTCCTCAGAAAAATCGCTATTTTATTGAAAAAACAACAACTAAGCAACTTGGTCCACTTCAAATATTTCAAAAAGCATCGTAGAATAAGGAAAAAAAAACAATTTTCCAATTAAAACCAACTATTTTGTTTTCAGATTTCTTCTTAGACTTTCACACCTAAAATTAATTCTCTTACCTGATTTCTGTATTCAGAATCGGCATGCGGATTGATCGCCACGCATTTCCACAGCGCGACGACTTCGTCACAAAGTTGAGCACAGTTGATTTGAGCCGTATTTTGGGCAATTCCCAGACTTTTTCCTGAAAAAATCTATCTAGAACATTTTGATACGATAAATTTTACCTGGAGCCGATTGCCATTTTCCGCTCTGTGCCAATTTCGTCAAATACCACCATAAAAGGACCTAAAGTTGCTTTTCATGCTTTTCATGCTTTTTTTTATTTTTGAAGCCGACCTGACTGTTGGACAAGCACTCTTCCGTGATGACTCTCAACAGGGAAACGGCATTTTCATCTCGTTTCGCCATCATTTCCCTCACGATCGCCATCAGATTCCACATACCTATAGAGAAAATGATGATTATTTTTTGAGTTATTGTACAAACACAATACCTTCGGGTTCTCGGTTCCTCAGAGGTTTCGTGAACGTGTGCCATTCCACAGATGTCGGGTGTTGGGTCGTGTTCAAATAATGAACGTCGCTGAAAAATTTGGGATTTTCCAAAATGAAAAAAAAAAACATAAATTTTAAGCCTTTTTGATATGCAAATAGAATCACTAAATGTTCGAATTTCCGCGAGATTATACGTAATTTCTTCCAATACATTCAACTTTTTTTAAAAAAAGTTGATGAAAAATTTTTTTATCCATGAATCTCTGAAGACACTTGGAAAAACGCCCTCCATTTTTATTAGAAAATGAAATATTTAAATAATACTAAAATAACTAAAAAAACTTTGTGAAAAAAACCTTATATGGCTTTGATTTGGAAAAAAATTGAAAAAAACCCTTCAAATAGGTTTTTCAATTATTAATATGACTCGAAAAACCCTTTCATGGCGTCAAGAAACCTCCTTTTTATTATACTATTCTTATATCCAGACCAAAAAAAACGTTAAGAGACGAAAATAACTATATTCTCAAAGAGAGGGGATGAAAATATTCAATAAAAATGTACAAAACATGAAATTCTATAAAACTTCAACTGGAAAATCATACAAAGGAACTAACAGTGAGAATTGAAAAGTTGATATTGGACCACATTCGTATAAAAGATAAAAAGAGAGAAATGAAAATCGTACCAATGGACGGAAGGCGAAGGAACGCAGAACCTGCAGAGCATTTTTCTCACATTCACATGGATACTGCTCTCATCCAGCGACCAATAGGCCACCTGAAAGTACGTTTTTATCTCTGAAAATGATGGAGATGTCATTTTCGAAAGCAAACTTTTTTTCTGAAAAGTTTCTAAAAACCAACCGGTTCATGGCCACCATCTGTTGGATCCGGTGCACCATCCATTAAATTAATAGAAGAATTGGCGTCTTTTAATTCATCAAGAAATTTCTGAGCCACTGGCAGGTACTGAAAGCAGGAATAAATCGTTATATTAGATAAAAAAATAGTTATAAAGTTTTCCGTTTAAACTCTATAAAAAAATTGGCACCCTTTCACATCAAAAAATCGGAAAAACCGAGTTTTATGAGAAATTAACCTCTCCAGGAAGTTCATTGATGAGATATTGGGCGAATTTTCGAAGAGAATCGTGCGATAACTCGTTAACACTGTCCCAAATCGTTACTCTGGAAAAAAAAAACTATCAATAAAATTATTTTATGAGCAAACTTGGGGCAGAAAAAGTGAGACCAACAGTATTATTCAAAAAAAAGAGGAAATATTTCAAATTCAAGGTGCTAGTTTCCCATGTCCCTACGTTTTCTTGAGAGCGTAAATGACTTAAAAATCCTACCTGTATTGTACCGAAGAGTGCTGGAAAATTCGGAATAAGCACAAGGCGACGACATGTTGACACCAAGTGTATGGAGAGTCACAGGAACAATCTGTGGCCACGATTCGACATCTGGAAATGGGAAGAAACTACAGGGGAAAGCACAAAAAGTTTCTGGAAAATAATATTTGAAAAAAATCTACACAAGGCTTAGTTCATGAGACATTCGAAAAAAGCAATCAAATTTGGAAAAACCTTCTGAATTAAAAAAACAGCAGTTTTTTTTAAAAATAAGCATAAGAATTTAGAAAAAAAACACTTGAAAGGATTTCAAGACTCAAAAAAAAAATACTTTGATTGAGAAGTTTTTCAAAGATAACCTGTCAACTTTCACAGACACATTGTGCGACTTCTGTGGTTTCGACGGAACGACCGAATATTTATCGATTTTGGGCATATCGCGGATCGCGTCTCCGACACGGGCCGTCAGAAGAAAACCTGCATATTTTGATTTTGTTGGGATTTCAATAAACAAGTATATTTACCGATTTGAACGACGTTCTTGACGTTTCCGACGTGGTAAAGGGCTTCGCCATGAGTGAAAGGCTCAGCGCTGCCATTGGCGAGGCAACTAGAAATCAGGAATTATTTGAGAAATTTCGGAATAATAAAAAAATTTGAGGTAAAATAGAAGTAATACCTAATTGGTGGAAAAAAACGTTACTAATTTGAAAAAACTAAAAATATTTAAAGATTGAAATGTCAAAATTTTTAAAAATAATGTCAATTAATGTCAATCTCTTCATGGAATTTTTTTAAATCTACATCAGATTTCTAAACTTTTAAAAGAGAAAAAAAGACCCAGAGATGTATGTGTTGAATTTATAATACCCCTGTTAAAATATGTCAAGAAAAATGAGTTTCGTAAAAAAAAGATTAATATAAAAAAACTCAACATGAAACAGTATTAGCATAAATTATTGGTTCTTTCTTTAAAATCAAATAGTTCAGAAAAACTCTTTGGAATTAGAGAAAACACACCTGTACATCCGGATCTCCTCAGACTTTTTGGGAAAGCAGTGGACAATAATGCTCAAGAAAATCTTCTCCGGCAACGTGCTGCTGGGTAAATCCTGGAAAGAGCCTAACTATTGATTCCAAAGAAAAAAACGAACATTATTGCGGCTGCTGAGTATGCAACTGTAGGTCAATTCCAGTTCTTCAAAAGAAAGTCTTTCGGCGGAGACGCGAGCCGCCAACTCGGACAGGGTTTTGATGGAATTTGGAGCTGAAAAATTATTTCCTTTTTCCGAGAAAAAGAGAAAAAAAAATTTTCGTCGCTGAGAGGGCGAACTTTGAGAAAAAAAAATAATAATAAAACACTTTTTTCGATGAGTCTATTTTTTCTCGGAAAAACTCACGTTTGGCCGTATCGTTTCTTCTTTGAACTGTATTCGTTGAAGATGCCGAAAATCGTCCAGATGTCGGGTAATGGTATTGATACAACATGCAGGAAATCGCTGAAGGTTTTCATCTTTTTCCCAATAAATTCGATTTTTCTTTCCTGATCTCAGTGAATTTTAACATTACTGAAAGTCACCAGATTCCTTGTTCAACGTAATTTACCTACTTGCAAAATAGCTGTCAGAGAAGGGAAAAAAAGATAACTAAAAATTTGGAGAGTGTAAAAAGTTTCCATTTTAGCTAAATTAATTATAAATAATAAAAATACAACTTTTTGAGAGAATCTTCAGCTTATTGTGCTATGAAATAAAAAAAAAGTTTTGTAAAATGTTCATTCTTTTTAACTATCCCGGACTTCAGAAAAGAAATTGATACCTCATTCCAGAGAAACCAATCAATAGAAGTTGTAATAGACTTTTCATTCAGTTATTCTCGAATTATGTTTTTCTCAAACCCAACTTATTAAATGCTGAATTCATAACAAAAATAATGAAACTATTGCCACCAATAAGTCAAATTACAAGTTTCAACTTCGAATCATGAACAAAAAAAAACCTGGCTGAATCGTTTTTCCGCCGGCTGAACAAAATGACCAGCCACGCCAGTTTTGCGTCCCGAGTCCTTCGTTCGACTCCCAAGACACCTGAGAATCATCCTCGAAACGGTCAGAATCCTGAAAATAACCAAGCTTTTTATTCTGTATTATATTTTATCTCTATTTTCGTTTCCCAAGTGTTTTATCGAAAGCCCGAACCTCAAATGAATAGTTGTCGAGAGGATTCTCCGCCATGTGGAGACCGCAAAAAAGTTTTTTCACTTATTCCCGAAACTCTTCGGGTTTCTTCTTGTGAAGCGTCTAAAATAAACATTTTAATATTCAATAGTTTTTTTTCAAGAAAAATTTGAATAGCAGGAGAGAGCAAACGCAAAAGAATTAACCAAAAAGATCAATAGCACGTTTGTTGAGTCATATCATACTCTCAGAAGCATTGAAAAACGTCAAACGATAAACACGTCAAACAGCAGCAAAAACTTAATTTGAAACAAAAAAATCTGGGTGAATAATAGAAAATTGAATAAACTAATCCTTTCCTACACGATACGTCAGGAAATCCAACAATACTTCTCATTTTTCAGGAATCATTATAAACAAAAGACTGCGTAAACATGAAAACGTCCACACCTGAACCGCGCTCATGAGAAAAAAGTCTCATGAAAAATCGAAAAAAAAAGAAAATCGGCTAAAAGTCAAAATTTAAATCATTTCTATAAAAATAAGCTTTGAATGATGTGAGCCTAGAAGAGCATAGATAAGGGAAAGTCAGAATAGAGAGCAGAAAAACCAAATGTGACAAAAAGACAAACCTGAAAAACAAAAAGACAAACCTGAATTTCTAGCTTTTCCGATCAATCAGAGAAATCTTCTTTTTTTGTTAATAACTTATTCAAAAATTTCTGGCAGCACTCACAGACCTTTTTAATCGAAAAATCGAAATGAAACCAATAATTTATGAAGTTAGAAAAAAACGAAAGCCACTTATTTGAAAGATATTAGGCTTCTCAGCCTTTCAGATCCATATAGTACGTTAGTTTTCCAAGTTCAAAAATCAAACTTAAGCACAAAAAGATGTTAAAATAGCGATAAAACTCGAGGAAATAGTGGAGGTGGAAAGGAATTATTTGGCAAGAAGAGCGGGGCAGTAGGTCTTGTCCCCGTTCCTCTCGGTGCCTCTCGGTTCCGAAGCCGGCCATCGTCTGCTTCTCGGCGGTCTCCACCACCGCTGGCGTTGGTCAACTCTCCTTCGAAAGTGGTCACTTCAGTGCCTCGACTAGACATTCGGCCGCCTCCCACTGACCAATGGCCAAACGCGCGCTGCGGCTAATTAAAAATATCGGGATTGCGCGCGAAATTTGAATTTTTATAACCAGCTCTGACGTCATGGTTGTTTTGAAATTTTTCACGTTTTTCCTGATTTATAGATGTTTTCCAGATTAATTCTGCACTTTTCTTCTCATTGAAAAATATGAAGTTCTCCTCATTGTTCATTTTCGGATTTTGATGGGTTTAAGTAGTGCACACTTATTGAAAAAATGTTTTAAATGTGTTTTTAAATGAGCTTTTTTCTGAATATTGCTTAATTTACTGCTGATTCGAGTGTTTCTGAATTTATCTGAAGTATTTATGAAAGTTTGATAAGTTTTTACTATAATAAAGTTTTTTTCCAGTCGTTTCATATTTTATCTTATATTTATACAAAACCGTTTGATGGGTAACCTCACAATACTTAAAAACACAAAAAAATTCTCAATATAATGGACCGATTTGCTCAAGAATTTATAGATCTTTTGGGTGATCATATTTTTCATTAAACGTTCAACTTTTTTTTAGTTTTTTGTTTTAATGGTTAACTGTTGAAATGTGAACTTCTAGCAATAAATTTGCTTCTAGATGCTCTTTCTAACTTTTTTTTTTCTCTTTTTCTTCCATAGATCTCATTTTTCAACTTTCCGTCTTTTCCACTCTCTCTCTTGCGTAAACACGCGAAAATTCAGAGAGAAAAAAATGGCACAAGCTCAAAAACAACGCGGCAGGCAGCAAGAGCAAACGAGAGAAGCTGACCAGGCACTTCTTCAGGTTTGCATTGAAATAAGTGTATCCAGAAAGAGTTATGAGATGTATTATAGTCTGCGATAGAATCAAACCAACAAGAACAAGATGAGAACAGCTACACAGTCATCGACCGGCTCGAGGTAATTTTTGCCAAAGTATTTCGAAATCGTAATTTTTGTTTTGACTTGCAAGTGTTATTCAAAACAGGAAAAAATTGAAAATTTTCTCACGATCCCACTATTCCGGAGGTTCTAGACATTTCAAATGATTTCAGAGCAACGGAATTGCCTCGAATGATATTGCCAAGCTCAAAGAAGCTGGATTTTTCACCGTCGAGGCTTTGGCTTACACTCATCGCAAAGAATTATTGGCGGTGAAAGGAATCAGCGAACAAAAAGCCGAAAAACTCGTGGTAAATGGTGGTTTGAACTGGAAGAAAGATCATTTTTTCGGTTTTAAGGTGTAACAATTTAACAGATTTTCCAGTGATTTTTCTTTGAAATGAACATATCTCACATCTTTCAAAGAAAAAACCTTTGACTTCTTCCAGAAAGAAGCGATGAAATACGTGCAGATGGGCTTCACAACAGCGTCGGAAGTTCATTTGAAACGCAGTCAACTTGTTCAGATCCGGACGGGATCTGCCGCTTTGGACCGTCTTCTGGGCGGTGGAATTGAGACCGGCGCTATCACTGAAGTCAGTTCTTGCTAGATTTTGAACAAGGTGTACAGCAAACTGGTGGAAGGTTAAAGAATTTCTTCAATAATCTACAAAAAGTTTTAGAAAGCTGGACTATAATTTGTTCAAATTTGTATTGAATTACCATGTCCAAAACAGATCAGTTCCTAATTCTAATAGGATAAAGCGAATACAAGAGAAAGAGAGGTCATTTGATTGAGAGTTTCAATATTTTATGGAACTTGACCAAAGAATTTCTTTTTATCCATCTGAATGTCTTGAAATTCTCAAAATGTAAAACTCGTTAAATAGCGAAAAAAAATTCTCCATTTTTTAATTCCTCTGTGCTGATGGTTCAGAATTTGCAACGCCTTTTCTCGAAATTTAAGAGTTTTTCAGTTTGAGACTTTTAGGATTATGGTGACATTTGTCAGAGAATTTTTTGGTCATTTTCAAGAACTTTAAAGTTCCAAGTGAAGCTGCCTTTTTTCAGAGTATCATTGAACTGTTCGAGAAAAAAGGAAAAATTTCGAATTTATCAGGTCTACGGCGAATTCCGGACGGGAAAGACCCAAGTATGTCACAATCTGGCGGTGATGTGTCAGCTGCCGATTGACATGGGCGGCGCAGAAGGCAAATGTATGTGGATCGACACGGAAGGCACGTTCCGACCTGAAAGATTGCTGGCCATCGCTCAGAGGTTCCGAATTTTCCTTCCGTGAAAAAAATGGATGTAGGAAAAAAGTCGCGAAGAAAGAAAAGAAGCGCTTTTCATACATGGACACTCTTTTGAGTGAAGAGGTTGACTTTAAAAAAATTTGAAACAAAAAAGATGAATGATAATTTTAAACTTCAGGACAACACAAAAATAGACAAAAAAAAACAATTTCAACCAAAGAGGTGCTCTATTTATTTTGAAGAGAAGGGGTGTTTTGAAAATGGTCTGAAGTAGCCGAAACAGTTTGAAAAAAATCAACATTCGAAATATTTTCTAAAAATAAAAAAAGCATGTTTTCTTTTTGAAGTCAAGAGTTCTAGGTTCAACTTGTCCGGAGAACACGTCTTGGAAAATGTCGCCGTCGCTCGTGCTTTCAATTCTGAACACATGCAAGCGCTTATCACGAGAGCTGGTCTGTTTTAATTTTTTATGTACTGCTAATCAAAAACTTGGAAAAGAAGTACGAAAAGTATCATTTTCCAGGAGCAATGATGTCCGAGAGTAGATACGCGGTGTTGATTGTCGACTGTGCCACTTCACATTTTAGGTCTCAAAATTTTTTTGCATTCATTATCTTTAAGTTTCATCATATTCCTAGTTCTATAATCACTTCTAAAGCTTTTATCGATTCTTTTGAATTTTCAGAACGGAATACGCTGGTCGAGGTGAGCTCGCGGCTCGACAATGTGCTCTGGCAAAGTTTGTTCGAATAAGATTTTTATGATTGAATGAGAATCTCAGGTTCCTGAGGACTCTGGCGAAGCTCGCAGATGAGTTTGGTATCGCTGTGGTCATCACTAATCAGGTTAGGTTGAATTTCTAGTACTTGTTTTGCTAATGTTTTGGTCTTTTTTTTATTTATCGATTCGGCTACGATTTTAGTGTTCAACTAATTTTTTTAAATATTTTTGTGTGAGGAAATTTCTGTCAAAACCTTTTTCAACACAGAAAACGAAATATCTTCTCCTAAGAAGTTCAAACCAAGTTTATTCCAACTGAGAAACTCCAGGTGGTCGCTTCAGTGGACGGCGGCGCTGGAATGTTCCAGGCGGACCCGAAAAAGCCGATTGGCGGCAATATTATGGCCCACATGACCACTACGAGGTGATCTTTCTCACCAACTACTGATATGAATGTGCACTTTTTAAGACTTTACCTGAAAAAGGGCAAGGGCGAGACCCGAATATGCAAGGTCCATCATTCGCCGAATCTTCCCGAGTCTGAAGCCACTTTTGCGATCACCAATCAAGGCATTGATGATGCGGCGGAATGATAAATTCGTCTTGAATCTTCCTTTTTCTTGATTTTTTTCTTTTCTTAACCCTCTGTGAATCGAATCTTCTTTTGCTTTTCTCTAAATATTGGTTCATTCTCTTTCCAAAACCCATAACCTTGAGAGCTATGAATTAATTTCAATTTTTTTTTAATTAGAAGTTTCTCTTCTAAACTAGTTGAAGTCCTAGTGTTTTCTTTTTCAATTTACCTATCCCGGTTTCACAGTCGGGTTTTTCAAAGAAATCCATTGATTTTTAGGTATCGAAATAGAAATAGAATTCTTTGAATACACTTCAAAATTTTTCTGAACCTGATTTCATTCAAGGAGATTTTCGGCCTGAATCAACAGAACATTTTGACCGAATCAATCAATCCGTCATCTCCTTTTGTCGCGCCAAATCCAGCTGTTATCACCTGTGACGGTTATTTCTGTTGTTTTATCGTTATCACCTGTCTTGTCCTGCCTTATCCACGCTTCCTTTTCGAGGTCATTTCGATAACTGAGGAAATTTCTTAGCTTTCCGTCCCATCCTTCTGTATATATGAAATTTTTATTTATTTTTTGTTGCCAAAAAGTTTTTTTCGAAAGTTCAACGCTGGTCTGTTAGCTGAAAAGTTGGTGCAAGTTTTTTTTTTGAAGAATTTCTGATTTAATGAGAATTTCAACAAGCCAGCGGTGAATTGAGTACATCGATCGTTACTGTTCCATAAATTTTTGTTATATATGTGATGGAGGTAAAGGATTCCCTTGAGATGAACAATTTTTTATTATAAGAAGAGACGTTTTTAACGCTTTTTATATATATTTTTTTTTCTTGTTAAATAGGTCATTTTCTTTCGAATTTTTGATACTATTCTTGTCCCTGCACTCTTCTGATATCCTTCTTTCATGTTTTCATGTCAGTTCTACCGACGATCGGACACACAATTAGCAAATGGTTCTAATATTTAAAGGTGAGTTTTCAAAGAAAAAAAAAATTAAAGAGGTTTTAATTAAAGTTGAGCCGACATTCGACTTTCTAACTTCTCTCTCTCGATCCAAGATTTTCAAGAATTTATCCAAAGAGCACAGCTCGATAGTTCGGGATAGACTTGTTATTCCTCTCATTTTGAAAGATTAGCCATGTCGGCAAGAAACTGAAAAGAATTTTGTTTTTTATTGGAATAAAACCTCTCGGATCTGCCTTATTATCAATGAAGGACACATCTTCAAGGAAAAAAAAAACACTTCAGCCTGTCTTCCACTTTTGTTCTTGATCTTTTGAGCTTTTTGCGTACACTCGAAAAACGTTGTTTTCACATTACTTATCACTCTATAGTTACCAGTTCTTCGGTATGAGAGTCGGTTGAAGAAGGCGACGAGTGAGATTGAGGCGAGAGATCCGGTTTGTTGGAAACGCAAAAATCTTTGTATAAAGATGGATAAGTTGTGTGGATGTCGTCGGCCTTCGTTTGTGTGTTGTGAGTGAATCTCAGATCTTGGACATGTGTGAAACCCGTTGTTCGAGGGAAGATGAAGATGTCCCCCGCATGACTTTGTCTGTTGGTCACTTTTCGAATCACTGTTTTTTTTTTCACCTTCATTGACTTTTATAAGTTTTTTTTGGTTATTAAGTTGAAGTGAACCTGCCTGAAGTTTTTTCTTTGGAATTTCTAGCCAAGTTTTTTTTTTTGATGATGAGCTGATATTCAACATTTTTGTATTCGAAAAATGCGAAGGTGTGAAATATCTGAATTACTTATATTTAATTGTATTTCATCAGTTTTTTGAAATTCGTGAAAAGCTCAATCGATGAAAGTATCTTGTTTTAAAATTTCAAATAATGAGAAAAAATGGTCCTTTATTAGACAGTTTTTGGCACCTTGACGATTTCATTTTTCGAATCTTATCTCCTCTATTCCAGACATTCTTGCCCCAAAAGAGATATTATCAGAGTTTCCACTCCTCCAAATTTCGATGTGTAAAACTCAAAGAATTCTTCATTGCTTCCCACTCCTTTTCCTTCCCTATTTATCGATGTTCAAGAATCTCGCAGCCTTCATCACAACGTTTTGAATTTTAGTATCGCAGAACTCGACTTTTTCAGAATCTCCCGAAGCTCTTAATGGCACCAACTTGCTGCGTCAACAACAAGTCGATGCCGGCGTCGACGTCGAGGTGTCCGAATCGCTGCGGACACGTCACCGTCATTCTTGGACCCATGTTCAGCGGCAAAACGTCGGTTATCAGTTGTAGTGAAAGGAAAATGATATTTTTACATTGTAAGGGTAGAAGTCAGTTTCTAATTCTAATTTCTGTTTCAGTTTCACTTTTATTAGAACTCATCAACTTTTTTCTTATTGTTAATCTCAATATCCTTGTTATTTCTCTGGTCAGATGTTGCAATTTTGCTTTTGATGTAGTATTGGTCGTCAGAGTTTCATTTTGAACCGGAAGACAGAGAAAGGAAAATCTTCTTTTTTATTAGAAAGCAAAAATTACCATCTTGACTTTTTGAAAGTTAAAGCTGGTGTCGAGAGTTTTTTGTCAAGGAAGGTCATTTCGTCTTGACCTGCACAACTTTCTAATTTTCGAGAACTAAAAATTAAAATCCCAAAAAGCCCTTTTCAACCGATTTTTAGATATTATTTTTCAAAAAGTAGGGGGTTCGCAGGTTGAAACTTCCAGGATCTCAATATGATACATCAAGGAATATTTTGCCAAATTTTCAAAAATTTTTTTATTTAGAGAAATTCTTCGCTCATCTTGTCAGAGCCATCTCTTTTCAGAACAGAATTGCTCCGCCTTCATGACCGTCAGGTTTTGGCTCGTCGCGGATGCATTTTGGTGAAGTACGCGGGAGACACTCGGTACGACGAACACATGATCGCGACTCATTCCTCGTAAACTCCGAAAACTCCAAAAGAATTTTGAAATAAAAAGTTCAGCCTTCTGGGAAAAGGCGAGACAGTCAAAGCGCATCGACTGTCGGAAATTCGGGACATTCTGTTCAGAGACGCCGTGCAAGTCGTTTCCATCGATGAAGGACAGTTTGTGGGTTGAAAAAAGCTTCAATCGAGAGGAACTTATCTTTTTCAGTTCGATGACCTGGCTGAAACGGTCGAAGAACTCGCCCAACGCAACAAAGTCGTTTGTGTTGCGGCTTTGAGTGGGACTTTTGAACGAAAGGTCTAGAAGAAATATTAATGGGCAGATCATTTTCGAAAGCCACCCCTCCCAAACTCTTCCAAAATGAATTTAGCACTACATCCTGAACCTAAAAACTTTTGTCCGCACCTTCTCTCTGAGGTTTAAAATCATTTTATGCCTGATTTTGAAAAACTTTTTGTTAGTTATCCTTATCTCCTGGACTAAATGAGTTTTCCCAGTTATAATTAAAAACAGGAGTGAAGAATTATTTTCAAATTTTCAGCCGTTCCCACAAGTCTCTCTTCTATTGTCGTACGCCAACGAGATCAAGCAGGTCACAGCCGTCTGTGACGACTGTGGAGCGTCGGCTCCTTTTACCTTCCGATCAACGATGGACAAGAAGGTTTGCTCATCATTCCAAGGATATTTCAGAGATCCTAGTTTGACGTTTTATATCAAATAAGTACCCAAAACACTGGTCAACAGCTTTTTGAAACATGGTCCAAGCTCTTCTCATAAAAGCTTTCTTTTTCATTGAAATCTCTACCTTATGACTACCTATGCACTTGAGAGACTTTTGAGGTTACAGTAAAACAAATGTCTAGTCCGACCCGAGAAAAAGGCGGGAGTTGGTGGCGGTACATCGACGGCTACTTAAATGTACCGCTTTGTCCGCGGTGGACTCGCCTTCCTCACTCGAAAAAAAAATTTAAGAGTTTCCAAGAAAAATGCGAGTCCGACGCGGCGGCAAAGCAGCGAGGGCTTCATGTACGCACTTGACCTCGCCTTTTCTCTCGGAAGTTATACTCAGCGTAGTTCGAAAGCCGCTATCATGCAGGTGGAAGTGATCGGAGGATCGGACACCTACAAGCCGTTGTGCCGCGAGTGCTACAACTCGGAAAGCAACCGACGCGACGCGGTCGAACTGCGACACGAGGCATCGGCCTCCAGGGAGAATCTCGCGATTGGCGACGTCGAGAAACGCGTCGCCGCCGTCGACGACAAGGAAGACGAGGTTCCTCGAAAAATCATCGTCCTCAACTCCCCCGCCACTTATTGATTCATTGTGCTTCTTAATCAGTTCTCTAAATTCATTAATCAATTAACTTATTGACTCTTTTTTCCGACTTTCGTTCTTTGTTTCTTTAGTTTTATACTCAAATAAGAATAATTAATTTATCATGGATTTATTCATTCATTGTTTTTTTTTTTGAATCTGTAATCGTTAAACCGTTAATTTTCTCTTTTTGAGAGACAGTCCTTCCCTTATATAATATCATCTCGACTCCATTTTCTGAGATTGGTCAAGAAAGTCGAACTTTTCATCATAAGACGAGACTTTCTTTTGAAACCATGTATTTATGTTTTCATTGTTTCTTCTATCTATACTCATTTTGAACGATTTTTTTGCTCAATTTTTGTCTTTTTTTGACCTTCATTCCTCGATTCTAACGAGTGCCATTCATTTCACTTTTTCAGTTCAAGAGCCATTTCACCGCAGGCTTGAGACAATGTGGGACATTCATACAATTATTAACTTGTTTTTGTTATAAAATAGTTTGTGAGAGAGTTCAGAATTTTCTGTAATTTTTTTGTCTCAAACTAGCGGCGGCATTTTTTTCATATATAAAGCTATGATTCTGATTGCCATTCATTTCTTAAAAACTCAACTCAAAGGAATTTCTTTTTTTTTTGTCAAATGGTCTTTTCTGTGCGATTTCTTTTGTTTCTCGATTGTCAAACAGTTTCATTGAATTGTTTATAATTTCATCATTTTTCAAATGGAGTCAATAAAAGCTATTGCAGAAGATATGTACAAATTTGGGAGTTTTTTTGTCTTTTTCGAAGTTTACTTCTTTCCGTAAGGTCCGTACATGCCGCCCATCATCATCTGTTGCATCATCATGCGTCGGCGCCAGCCCATACCGTATCCACCGTATCCCATGCCACCGTAGCCCATTCCACCGTAGCCACCGTAGCCGTAAGGTGAGTAGCCCCCTGTAAAGGAATCGAGTTTAATTTAGAGTTTTCATTCTTCTATTCAGTATTTTGATGAGCTTTATTCGTAAAGGGTTCTAAGGTTTTCTACATAGTTAGGAGTTCTTATGAAGTTGTTTGGTGTTCTTTGAAGTTGAAAAAGATATATTCTACTTTTTTTCATTGATAAATTTTAAGTTTTGAGCGTTTGTTGAAAAAGCATAAAAATATTGCTAAAAAAAGGCCTTTAGTTTTGAAGGAGATATTTGAAGCTTCTCTATGATTCTCCAACTACCACAGAGGATTCATAGCAAGAAAGTAGGATTAAACACTTTCAGACTAAAAAAACGAAAGAGTTTCCTAAACATCTTAAGATTCTCCGATTAGGAGGAAACACTTTGGAAGAGTTCGGTGTTGATTTTTTTTAATTGTTTAAAAAAACTTCATTCAAGGTTTTCTATTCAAATGAGCCTATCCATTAAATCTTCATTTTCAAAATCTTGAAGGTTCAAAGTTAAGAGATTAGTAAAGGCTCACTCCTAGGAACTTCTGATTTGATCGAGTAAAGAAAAAAAAAACTAAGGAACTGACACTGCGCGGAGACGTGCTCGACGATGCAGAGGACGAGGACGACGGCGAGGAGAAGGCAGGCGAGTCGGTTCATTTTTGTTTGTGAGAAAAGTTGGTTGATCTGCTGTCGACCACCGACCTTTTATACACTGCCTAACACCTCCTCCTCCTTCTTTCTTTTTTACAGCCGGCGATTTGGTCAGAAAACTGATAAGAATCCAATTTTCGAATTCTCCTTTCTCTCACTTTTTCTCTGGCCAACAATGACGTAAATTCGTCTATTGTCGGCTGCCTCGAGGAAGACAACGTGCCAGTTTTTATTACACATTGTTGCCTTCCGAGTTTGACCAATTCGCGGGAAAACTGTTGCGGATTGCCAGGTTTTTCGGCGAATGTCGTCTGATTGAAGGGTTTAGGTCAACAGGAAAAAAGTTGAGAGGAAGTTTTCCTACAGTATTCAATCTATTCTTTCTATCTCATTCAGCTTGAAATTTGGGAGGCGGGATTCGTTTTTTTAGTGCTTGGATTTCAAAATTAAGCTCAATCTTAGAAATAGCTAATCTTCACTTCAAGTGAGTTTCAAATTGTTTCCAGGTGAAAACTCAATTTCTTACCAATTTCTCATAAAGTTTCGTTTGAAAATATAAATTTTCATCTTTGACCTACATGTTGAAGATCTTGATTAACTTTTTTCCTCGGTTTTTGTTTGTTTTCTTTTAAGACGACGGGATTTAGTCCGGGAAAGGATCATCTCTGAAGACTTTGCATGTATGAATAAGGGATTGGATCCGAAATAAAGATTGACATCGTGAGATTTTAAAATTATACGTATTTCAATCTCTTAGTTATCAGGCTCCAGGTTCATTTACTCATTTAAGTTTTTCGATTTTTTATGCTGACTTGAATTATGACTTCTTCATCAGTATCAATTCGAGAATATTTTTTTCATCCAAATTTTGTTTTTCAAATTTTTTTGGTTTGAAACTCTGTTCAAGGTTTCAGTTCAAAGTATATCTATGATATTTTCATTAAAATTATCTCTTTTTTTCATAATTTTTTTCGAAGAAGAGAAAAAAATCCCACCTCTTAGTCAAAAGGTTACATGATTTCGGTAGTTTTTTTCTTGTTTTCATTAGAAACAATTCAAGCTTAAAAAAATTTTGTTTTTAAATCTGTATTTGATGAATCTTGTACTGTTACACAGTTTCGACTTCCTACCGAAGGTCATTTCCTTGTTTAGATCGTTACACCAACGTAAAACTGAAGAGAAACCCGTCATGAAATATTGGAAGGAACTCAAAATCTACTATCGCTTTTAAAACTTTTGAAGGAAAAGTTAAATTTAGTGTTTTGTTTACGACTCTGCAGAATTTCAAGGAAATGTTGACTTCCTAAGGACCTTTGGGTTTTATTACACAGTTTTTTTCCGCATGACTATTGACCAACTTGAACGAAAATTAGCTATAAAAAGACTTTTTGTGTCACTTATTTAATGAAAAAAAGTATAGATAGTAAAATCATAAAGCTTTACTCGCCGCCAATTTGACACTGAATTTTTTTCTGAGAAAAATATATACCTCTTACTTTTTGCTGTTTTTTTGATTTTCATTACAGTCCAAGGATTAAATTTCGGGCATTTTTCGAAAATAAAAATCTTTTACTAACTCCATCTGAAAAATAAATTGTAGAATAAGGTACTTTTAAATTTTATCTTAAAGTGATTTTGTAGAAATAACCAAGTAAAATAAAATTCTAGAAAAAAAATTTTTACGCCTCTTAAACTTTAGACCTTAGACTCTACTTCATTCTATTCAGAGAACACTTTCATTACCTTTCTTTTCAAGTAGTTACATTTTTTCAAGTGATAAATGTCTGGGCCCATAGAGGTCAAGGTCCTCTGGCAGAAGTTCGATAAACAACGTGATGTACCGACAAGAAGGAATTTCATACTGAAAACCGGTTTTTTTGCCATTCAATTAATCAAATCTTCAATATTAACGATGAACATCGAAAACAAGAGAACTTGGTGTACTAATTATGACTTTTGATTTAAAAAAACCGAAAATAGAAGAGAGTTGAAGAAAACAAGAAATAAAGAGGAAAACAATGAAATTGATGAAAATTTGACCGGATCACGTAAAATTAGATTTATTTTTTTAATTTTTAATCATTCGGCAACGCCTTTTTCACTTTCTTGAGTCAGAAAAGTTCAAAGAGATCAAATCGGTTATAAAGAGATTATAAGGATTTCCATTTTTTTGATTCAAACACTTGAATACTTTTGGTTTTTTTTCATTTTGGAAAAGAGAAATGCGCAAAATTTGCATTGTGATTTACTGTTTTTGAATAAATTCTTCTAAGATTTTCATCAAGATTTTCACATTTACTTATTTGGATCCACCTGCGTTATGAAGAAATAGAAGAGGCTATAACAATTTGAGAAAAAAATAAATCATAAAAATAAAGGGAAATTCAAAGGAGTAACGAGCGACAACTATTACTCCAAAGCGAAAAAACGAGTCCCAGAGTTTTTTTCCTAGTCTTAAGGCTCTGAAAATGATAAAATCACTCTTTCAATTCGATGAAGGCAGGATAATTTAAAAAAGAAAACCAAATTTAAAAAGGAATTTTTGACGGTCTTCAACTCTGAGTTACCTCTCATGCCATCATTTGATTCAAATCGCTTCTGTCGTCCTCTTAGTACCACTTCCGGTCCTAAAATAGTAGAAGAAGCTTGTCGGCGAGGCATTTGGCCAAGCTGGCTGCAAACAAAGTTTGTGTCGAACCGGGGAGGCTTACAGTCTCGGGTCCGCCTAATTGTTTTAGCATTGGTATGTCCGAAGATAAACAAGCCGCCGAATTACGGCGGTCAATCGCTGGTCAAACCTCGGTATTACCCGACAAGTGAAGCGTTGAACGCCATCGACAGCCGTGAAAACATTTCTCGGAGTTATGACGATGACCAAAAATCTGCGATTTGAAACTTTCTCATCAAAGTAATTCAACTCGATTTGGTATAAATGAATCTTTTGGCTTTTTTCCTTTTTTTGGTCAGATGAACCTTGACCAAAAACATCAACAAACACTGATTCATGATAAAAAAAAAGGAGAGAGAAAGAAAAAGGCCTCCGAGAAGCAAACAGAACAACTCGAGCGTGGTCCAAGAAGCTCAAGAATCACGAGCTTTCCTTCTTGAGTTCTCAGAAGGTTTCTTCAGGATGGTTTCGACGTCTTCTTAACCTTCAAGCTCTGTTGGGGCGCTGAAAAACTTCTGAAAAGAAATTTTAGGGTATATTGCGCACAAATGGATATTTACATTATTTTTCGAACGCATTTTCAAGATTTTGAAAGAAGGTTTCACAGAGCGTCCGAAAGCTCAGTGTCTGTCCTTTATAAATGAAAGTTTTTACACGACTTACGGTAATTTCCAATTTTCACTAGAAACATTTGAAAGTTATACTGAGTCTTGATCTGCCAAATCATGCAATCAATCGGCCCTTTGAACTTGGGTCGTTTTGAATCAGGAGCTCAAACAAAATAGAGAGATCTCTTACATCCAGATTCAGAAGCAAATCCCTGAAGACGAGTGTCGCTGTGAATATTACCTTCAAGTTAGGCTAAACAATTGGAAAAAAAGAACTTCTTTCAAAACCAGTTGCCCAAATTTTCTCAAAATTTGTGAGAAAAAAACAAATTTTGAAGGTTGATTTTCAAATAGATTTCTCGAACAACTCCTTATATTGTTTTGGCTTCCTATTTCCAGCGGGTCGCTCAAAAAAGGTCAGTTTCCAGAAAACACGGGTCGGTCTTTCACAATTGCCGATGAGGATTCTCTAATCTTCTGCCAAAATTTCTACCAAGTTTTGTCTTTTTGTCAAAATGCGTCCAGGAACCGTACCGTAAGCAACTGCTTTCTCAGAGTTCGCAAAAAGTTTTGAAAGTCGACAAAAAGTCGAGAAGGTCGAAAACGTCCTTTTTCGGTGAGATTGCTGCGGTCACAGCTCCTGAGCGCGTGGTGTGTGTTTGAGTAATCATCTTGTGGTGGACGGGAGTCCCGCCGGTGTCCGTCCGTCGCGTGTTTGTGCAACTCACCGCCGACCGCCCTCCCTGCTTTTGCCGTTCCGCAGCTCCGCCGCCTCCAAGTCCGACTCCATCGCCCCTTTTTGTATAGTTCGTTCTCTACTGAAGCTTTCTGTACTTTGTTACTGTTTTTTGTACTTCTGGGTTGTTCCCATTTTGAGATACTTCGTTTGGATCCTCCTTGTGTTATTAGGTCTGAAGTTGCGCTTCGAGTCAAATCCTAAGAGCATGAAGCTTTTTTTGTTTCCCATTTTCCAAGTTTTATTGCTCGAAAATTTGCAGTAATATTGTTTTTTTTCTGATGCTTCTTATCATCTCTTCATCGGCTTACTATGGTATAAATTTTCAACTTGAACTCGATGTTGAATATTATTCACTCGAAGGCCCAGTTCTCTTACAGAATAGAAGGAAATCCAATAATATTTTTAAGGCTCTATCTTGGAAGTTCTTATTGTAGGTTTTGAAGATCAACGAATAGGTTCAAGACATTTTCGCTAGTAGTGCCTAGAGAAATTCAAAAAGTTTGAGTATTAAGAGTAATTTTTTCATAACTTTTTTCTTAATCGTATTTATGAGATTTGATTTTGATCAAATCAGTAATTCAATTCTGAAAGCGAGTCTCTCGTCTTTTAGAAAATAACTTTTACGCCTCGATAAGTGATTATGATGCTGATGTTTTTAAATCTTTGAGACGGAAAGAGTAGAATTTTGACTTTTAATGTATTTATTATGTTTTTGAGATTTTTTTGCGGATTATTTTCATTTTTTTCTGGCCTGAGATGATTTTGAAACCGAAGTAAACTTGAAATGAAAAAAATAATTTTTTTATAATTCGAGGATCCCGAAATTTTTATTTTTGATTCAAAAAAATATTCTTATGTTTTTTTTCTCGAATTTGGATAGTAGTGCAAATTTACAGAGAGTGAGTTCTGAAGAGGCTTAGAAATCTTTCAAATTAATTTGTCATTTTAGTTTGGTTTTTTTCTTTCAACATTTGAAAACGAATATTTATTCTATGTTTATTTAAAGAGGTTTTAAAATGTTTATTGAAAGCCAAAACCAACTTCTCTTCAGTGTACGCTTTACAATCCTCATTTCAAAAAACTTGTAAGCTTGATAACTCGCTCAAATTTTTTTATTAGGCTTTTTTTAAAAAAATCAAATCAACTTTAAAAATTTTTTTCCTTTTTATCTAACGAGTTTTTCAGAAAAATGATGCTTCTGCCATTGAAAAAAACAATTTCCATTTGGCTTTTTCATTAGAAGCAAGAATATCTTATTTTATTGAGTTTTTCTGCCATTTTCAGATCCAAGATTTTCATAGAGACCTTAGGGTATATCGGGAAAAAATCGAGACAAGTTTCAGAGAAGATTGTCGAAATACTTTTACCCTTTTTTGATAATTGGATAAGATTTATGGCAACAAGTTGGTCAGTTGCAAAAGCCGTCGGCAGCAGCCACTACGGAATCGGGTTTTTGTTGACCTTTCGTCCATATTATTGACCAGTTTACCTTGTTTTCGTTGGACCCGTCTGCCAGTGTTGACTTTGGACTCCCTCTCAATGAGAACCCCCACAAAAGTCCAATTATTTGTTTGTTGCAATTGTTTTGTTTATTTTTTTGGACTATGTTCTTGACGACGAAAAGTGCAAGTGAATCTGGAAAAAAAGTTGTCCCAGAAAGTAACTTTTACAATTATAAAATTTAATAGATCTTCGAAATAATTCTTGGAATTTTCTCCTTTACTTCATTCTCCACAACTTGAAAAAGTCTGACGTGTCTGCGCTCTCTCCTCCATGATACTATAACGTTTCATGATGGCGAAAGAAGAGAGAGTACAGACAGGAAAGACTATTTCAGGATGTAGTGAATGAGGTAGAAAAAAAGGAAAAAAATTGACAAATAAAAATCAAGGAACTTTTTTTCATATTGGTTTTTTTGTTGGTAAATTGTTTCATTTAAAAAAACATTTAGAGTTATTCGATTGGCTTTGCAAAGGCTTTGCAAACAAAGTGGCTTTGCGATTCACTTGCTCGAGCCAATAAAAAAACAAAATTATAAGGGCTCGATGATAGAAATAAAGCTAATAATCATTCAATTAAAAATGTTTTCTGAATAAGAAAATTTTTTTAAATTCATGATATTGAAGTTAATCTAGCCAAGGCTGCTGACCAGACCGGGGCGCCCCGTCCCGCGAATCGTTCACACAATTAGAAGATTTTTCCACAGTTACTCAATGAAATAAATGAATTTTTCATTTTTCTTCCACCAATATATTTCTTTATTAGCTGTTTCTCTGCGGACTCTTTCACTTGTACTTCATTTCAACTTATCTACTCAGCGGGACGCCCCGTCAACAGCTTTGAAGCTAGCTTTGAACTTTTCAGTTTGTTTTATAGAAAATTTCGTGATGGAATTTCAATTTTTTTCTAAGCTAGAAATTCGAGATAAGTTGAAGAATTAGGAAAGTTCTGGAACTTCAAATAATCAAAGATTTCAAGAATTCATGGAGCAACCTTACCAATTGTTTTCTATAAATCTTTGACTATATTCATTTTATATATTGAGGTCAATATGCTGATGTTTTTCTTGTTCTTTTTCATGTAATTGTTCAAATTAGAGTACGAAGCATGTAATGTTGGCTTATCTCCTTGCTTCTGAAACTTGTCTCTTCTCATTATCGTCTTTTTTTGTTTCTATCTTCATTTTCCAAAATTTTGTTTTTTACTGCTATTTATTTTGTTTTTCTATTCTTTTCTTCTATTCTTTTTTTCTGAGAATCTATTTAGGCGCCTGAGGCCAACAAGAAGGATGCGGTGGCTTTTAACGCTGCTGATCCTGGGCTGGCCGCCGTCGGCGGTGCCGCAGATCAACCAGAACATCGGCCAGCCGCCGCAGAATCCCACCATCAACCAGGTGGCCCCGGGGCAGATCTTCTCCGGCACAGGAAACAACGCTTATTATGGAGGTGAGATCTCACGAAGAAGGGCATAGAAATTAGTTCAAAAAAGCTGTTTGAAGCCATGGTAAGGTTTGAGAGAGGGGATTTCTCTAGTGACGGCTCAAGTCAGGCTCCAAGGAGCTGTTCGCTGCGGGGAGTACTTTTAGAAAATTGCCATTGTTTGTGGTTGATTATTTATTCGATTTACTGTTAATTCGGGATCTCAAAATTTTTTCGAAAGGTTCTTCTGATGATATTATTTTCAGAAGAAGTGTTACTTTTTTCTAGGTTCTGATCTGGAGGTTTTCAAAGAGTGGCTTGTAATGACCTTCGGGACGTGAATAAATGAATAGTATCGTTAGTTCAGATCACAGAGAGGTTTCATCGGTGAATCTGACTCCTATCACCTTTTTTTTTGAAGTTTAATAGTTTGTTTCAGACTTCATAAATGTTTCAAGCAGATAGAACTAATATATGAAACAGGTGTTCAAAAGGTTTAATGGTTTCTCGAAGTCAAATTTTCACTTTAGCGGTGCTAGGACTGGCTTTATAATTGTTCGACAAGCAGCTCTGATTCGTTAGATGTATTTGATTCAGAAATTCTGTTGTTCAGGCATTCCCTGTTTCAGAAAAATGGTTGATACAACTAACTGAAGCTCGAAAATTCACTTTAAACGATTATTTTTTCCTGATCAGCTAAAATCAGTATGAATCAGTGACGCTTTTCTCGCCTTAAACCTCTTAGAAATGTTGCCAGCAGCCACCCCTCCTGTCAGTAATTCGACCCATTCTTTCTACTCGCTCTATGCAATGGACCGAGAGCAGAACGTCGTATATGTTTGCATTGTTGCTTGGAGCAGTTATGAACTGCTCTGCGGCGGGTTCCACTGGGAGAGGAGGGACCTTCGTTCTGGTCGAGTGGACGTCGCCGCCACGACAAACAACCCTCCCGGCCAAACCGTTTCTTCCTCCTTTTCTGACCTTTGTACAGTTTTTTACAAGTTCGGAGAGAGGTTGAGAGCGGCTGGAGAGTTCAGGCGTACCCATGAATGGAGCTGAGAGCGGTTAAGAATTTTTGGTCTTCAAACCTTCGCTTTGTTGAGGGGTTCCAATGAATGTCAAAAAGAAAAGGATACTTCTAGAATAAACTTTTATTGCAAGGTTTTCAAGAATCCAAAGATGACTGGAAATATCGGTCGCTGTAGATCTTTGTGAGTGGAATCCATTTTTCAGATGGAAATTGAACTGCGAGATAAAATAGTGTCTCTCTTTTTGAGCTCAATTCATTTTTCGTTAGACCTACTAAAGCTTTTTAGGCTTTTTCTATGAGAAATAATCCTCAAGATCCCAGTCATTATAAGAGAATAAAGCAGAGCCTTCCAAAATTGAAGGGAAGAAAAATGGTTATAACTTTTTTTCAAAAAGAGCTTCTTTCCAAAAACTATCAGCACAAGTAGCCGACGTTTGTCGATTGTGGCCGAAGATCTTATAAGCTGACTGTTTTTGGTGGATGCCTTTGGAAGGCCTTGTCAAGGTCCTTAAGCTCTTAAGTAGCCGCCGTGTTTGCTCTGAAGGGAGACTCGAGCTGTTCCTTTCCCTGGTGAACACCTTTGACTGTACGAGCTGCTGGAGCACGACCACAGGGGATTGGGGAAGAAAAAACTGGTAACAAAGAGAAACTTAGGGGAAAATGTAAAAGCTCATTTTATGTTGTTTGAGATGACGTTTTTTATTCTAAAATAGCAAAACTACAGTGTTTATTTCTCAAATAATTGAGCATAGAAAAGCAGAAGCACGGGACGAATTCGGAAAAAAAAACGGAAAAAGAGATTTTCTGAAGGATTTTCATCTTGCACTTCAATTTTTCATTTCAATATTTTTCAGTGAACCTTGTGCCTTTCGGACCTGAGGTCGGTGACCTCAAGGTCAATCCGTCGATGCTCACCGCCGGAATGACGATCGACTTGCACATGTTCTTCCCCTTCTACGGAGGACTTTACAATTACACCACGGTTAGGTTTTAACCTAGAACACATGCAAAATTGTAGAACATTCAGTGAAAATAGGTTGACTACTTCAGAAATCTGTCATGGTTTATCTTGAATTTTGCCATATTTTTTTTATTATAAGCTTTTTATGAAGCAAATTTGTGTAGCCTTTCAATAACAGGTGATAATGAAATTTGGAGGAAAGTACCATTGAGGTCAAAAATTGACGAAAAGTCTTTGAAGAAAAAATTACCTGTGAAATTTCAGTTATCCGTGAATGGTTACATGGGCTTTGCAACGGTCTTGGATCAAGGCCCCACGATCAACATCGGACCGGAATCAACAGATTGGCCGCGACAAGAAGATCCAGCCATGATTGCTCCGTACCTCTGCAAACAACAGGTTTTTACCATTAAAAAAACAATTCGAAAATTTCAAAATGATGATTTAGATCCCACAAACCGGAAACCCAGCAAGAAGAGCTGGTGTTTATTATCGACTGATCCTGCGACAATCGCTTTTCGGGCGGGAAAGTAATTCGAATCTCAACGTCGGCACAGTTCAAGGCAGCAGCTTTTTTGGACAGCCAGCTAACTTGGTTTGTCATGGGAAAAAAAAATTTCGTAATTTCAAAAAGGGAAAAAAAATCTGAGTTTATCACGCACTTTTGGCGTAAACACGCTTTTGTGCACTAATACGTGCTACAGTACTCCTCTTGTGAAAGATTTTGGGTTTTTTCTCTGTTTTGTTTTTTCGAATTTTTTCCACTTATTCGAACTTACTGTTGTAGGCTTGTCCTGGAACTGCCGATTCCTACGTTCGATGCGACCAGAACAGCGATTATTTCCTCGATCAAATGATGATTTGGCTTCAAGGTTTCGTGTCTCACTGTTTTAAACGATAAATATGAAGTTCAGAGGGAGTGGCTGGAGCTTCTATGTTCCGTGCTGACGCTGCCGTCGTCGTCACCTGGTACAACACGGCTTCGGCCATTTCCGGTCGGTCTGACATCGACGCCGGACAAACTGGAACTTACCAGGTTGAAAAGAATCAATAACTTGTAACAGTTATTTATTTACAGGCGATTTGGTTGACTGATCAGGCCGCCCGTCTTTCCTATGTCATTTTGAACTACGATCGGCTTGGATTCGACGCCCAGGACTTCAGGGCTAACTCGAGGAGTGGTCGCTGTAGGGTTGGTTCCTAGTGCTCATTTAAGCAAGGATATAACGTTTTGAAGCACAATTTTTTCCTTTGGAGCCTTTAAATTTTCTCAAACCACCTTGCCGTTTTCCCCTTATTATGAAAAAAATTGGGTTAGGGAGCTGTTTGAGCTGAAATTTTTTTGGAAGCCTTTGAATATCAGTTGTTTTTACATGAGTCAAAATTTGAGAAAATATTCAATTTTCACCAATTCTTCAGGCCGTATTCAACGGGGGTAACCACACTGGAACCGTCGAAGTTGATCCGACTCAACCTTACAAAAATACGCCGAAGGTGTTTATTTTTGAAAAAATTAATGAAATCAAGAGATATCCCAGGTTCTCGCACAAAGATCCGGAGTGCCTCATATGGTCCGTGGTCGTTACATGTTCCGTGTGGATGACGTCGTCCGACCAGCCGGCTGCAGTAATAAAACTGGAGGCACATGTGAGTGTGAATTGATAGCCTCGAAATATTGAGAAAGTTTGCTCTGTGGAGAAATTTTCGAGTTTTGAAAGGTGTTTGAGGTGCAACTTCCGATCCCAGGAAGGATAATGTAAAAAAATAGCTCGTGAAGACTGAAGACATGATGAAGTTTTCTGTGACCGTGATTTTAAAAAATAATAACAGAAACTAAAACTGGCTTCCTCCGAAAAATGGGAAACTTCAGATCCGATCATGATCTACCCGAACATCGTGAACATGCTGGGCGAAATGACGGTCGACGTCAACGGAATGTGTCTCGACCGAGCCCAGACCTACATTCTCATGATTGAGGAGCGTGAGGTTTTTCGGAATGCCTAGATCTTCAACTGAAGCTGTACTTCTCAGGTGGCAACTTGCCAAGTCATCAACTCAGCCATCGCCCGATGCAGTTTGCCGAAGATTTACGATTGGGGCACGAAAACCGTCTACTTCCAGCCCCAGTCCAGAGGCGCCAACGATGAAAAAGCCTTTGTCGGATATATCTATTTTGGTTAGTATGGAAAGGTCGAAAATGGAAGTAGATCAGTATTTGGAATATATTGATGTTGAAAGAGATTATAGGTGCTTGAAAATCGTCTGTATGAGGAACAGCTCCAAAATAGCCTTTAGAAAAAGGCGGAAAGTCTTTTGTAAAGTTGAGGGCGGTTGACTTCGGGTTCTTCTGAATTGAGCACATTTGTCCGTTCATTTTCGCCCTAGTTTTAAAAATGATTTCCGATTTTTTCTTTCAAGTACTTGGGAAACCAGTTGCAAGACTCAGTAGAGAATAGTTTGCATAAAAACTGCAGAAAGTGTGGAGTTTTTGTAGGTAATCTGAAAAAATATAGAATTTATGAGCTTTTCACATGTCAGAATTTTTTTTCAACTCTTCAAACTCAGTCCAGAGGGTTTGGTTCAAGATTTTAATCAGAGGCTTTACTTCAAAAATTTCTTATTTCATTCATTAATTTTCAGTACCGCCAACGTTAGATCCGATGCGTCTCGACATAGGAAACATATACGAATGGTACAAGAATCCGATGACAAATTATGTGAGTTTATATTCTTCAAATAGGCTCTGAAAGGTTTCAGAATTCTGGAAAACATTTTTAAGTCTGTAAAGGGGACTTTCTCTATTTTTTGTTCAAAATTTGAAAAAAGTAGTGAGTCCGGTTTTCTTTTTTTTCAAATCAGCCTGAATCTAAACTTCGCAGAACAAGTCTCTGTCTGCTCTCATTTTTTCGGATTTTGTCGGATTTTGCTGTCTTATCAAAAAGTATGAATTTGCAGCTGATGCCAATAGCCTGGTACCCTCGAAACTTCACCAATCCCGACCTCATCAACAGCGGAAACAACATGGGAATCCGGATTTCCGACGATTCGATGTACAGCGTCCAGCTGGGCCTGTACATCGTCGGCTACCGCGAATACAAAGACGACGAGATCAAGAAGTTCCGTCCCGAGTACCGGACTCTCGCCAGGATCACCACCTTCAGCAACCAGGCCAACATCAACTATCGGTGGATGCCCCAGGAGGAGGTCATCAACACCAATCAGGTTGGTTCGGAAATGGTTTTTTTTTGATGAATCGAGAAATTTTATGGTTTTATGTATTTTACAAAATAATTAGATTCTTTCAATTTCTTTCATCGAATCGTCGGAAATCCGGATTCTCAAATCAATTTTTCAAGGTCCAACAATGGTACATGACGGATTGGGAACGTATGCACCTCTTATACACGTATCGCGTCGGATTTTTCAAATTGGCGCCAATAAATTCAAACGACATGAACGGAACTCATTTGTTACCAGGGTGAGATAATCAACCCATATTCTCCGAAAAAAGTAATTTTTATGCTTTTAGACTGGTTTCTGCACCAATTTCCTTACATTGGTTATGGACTCCGGACACTCAACAATTTAACGCGATTACTTTGAATCAACAAGGTTTGAATGAAAATAAATATGTTGAGAAGAAAATCAATGTTTCTGTTAAGATCGCGACAATCGACAGGATTTCGTGCAGAAAAAATCCAGGGAAATGTGTCATGATTGGTGAGTGATTTTCCAATGGCTTTATAGACTTGAATATGTTTTGTCTTTCTGTTGGTAATTGCTGGAAATCGAATTTATTTTGTAAGGTCATAAAGAATAATAATATACTAATCGAATAAAAATCCAAAAAAAAGATACGCAGCAGGTGAGAAGAGCCCTTAAGATGAGCAATGATGAGCCAAAATTCACGGTACACTGATAAAAGAATTAGGAAAAGTTGATGCTTTTTTTGTTTTTCTTTTGTTTTTTTTATCTTTATAGAAGTGAAATTCGAGCTGTTGATTTCTTTTTTGTTAAATACGGACCCAAAAAACTTCAGTTTTTTTTTTCATAAAAAAATAGATCTTGGGAGAACAAAATCTTTTTACTTGTATGGTTTTTATCTTCACTTTCGTTCTATTTTTTTCAAAGTTCACCTGTTTCTTTCCTTTCAAAAAGTTTTCAGCTACCTTTGAAAGAGGGTGGGCCCATTTCGTTCCTATAAAAATGATAAATAAGTGATCGAATAAGAATCCAAAATCAGGTACGACGAAGACGGCGCCTTGTTCAACTTCATCCGCGACACCGAAACCAACACTTCCTGTCCTTGTGTGGAGACGCAGGCCTTACTGGACATCGGTCGGTTCATGCCGCATCCCAGATGTTCTCAGGTCTTACTATCCCCTGCCATGATAATTGACAAACTAATATGATCAGATGTTCCGTGATATAACCTGTACAACGGTGATCGGCTCGAGGAACTGCTACATGTCGGCGTCGAATATCTACGGCAGCTATGCTGGAAACGGCAATACCTTCCAGAATATGGACACTACGTTTGTTAAAATGCAAAGAAAATATCTATATGAAAGTATCTGTTAGACGGTTCATGACTCACTACGGCCAAGTTTGCTGCTACGACGAGGCCGGCTTCTTGATGCAGACTCCGTATCAACCGGTCATCAAGACCCAGAAGGACTACTTCTACAATCCTGGCTATCCACTCAGAGCCTACGAATTCGGAACTCCGCCTTACATGGGACAGTTTGAGGTGGGTAATTTGAACACAGCTTCGAAAAAACTTTTGATTTTTTAATATTGTTTTAGGTTTACTTTTTCATTCTTTTTAAGATTTTTGGGTTGAATTAGTTCTCATCAGAAAAAGCTGGTCTAGCACTTGAAAATGAAGGCTTGAAATGAGGTCTTACTGAAACTTGGACAAAGCTTTGAGTAGACTTCTGATTCTTCATCATTTTCCAAAGAAAAACTGAGGCTAAACGGGGCGTTACTCAAGCTTCTAGGTTCATTCAATACTTTTTGAAAATTGCTTTTTTTTTTTGGTTGGAAAACGTCAAATTCTGTTTGATCTGAATCGTTTTTCGTTCTCCTTCTTTGAAAATTCTCAAAAAATTTATTTTCATAGAACTTTACAGGCAGAAGACATGCAGTCTTACCTAACTGTAAGTATGTCGAATCTCACATGCATATTTTTCATTCTTTTTTTCTGTGTAATGTCAAAGTCCACACGCTCAAGCATTGCTTTTTTCGGGTTTCGCGCTGGGTTGAATGACGGTATTCAGCACAAAGTTTTCATGTGAATCTCATCCTTTCACGACCTGAAAACAAGCTTTTCAGGTGCCCGGCCTGTCCGTCTTCCACCACGACTACATGCCCTACTTCCTCTGCTGCAAGTTCGCCGATTTCCGTTGCCAAATGTTCTATTGGCGAAGGCCCAGCTCCGCTTGTCAGCAATATCAACCGGCGGCCACTGGTTGGGATCGACTGACTCATTTTGGCAGTTTCATAAATGTTTCTCAGGCCAAGCCTCTGGTACCGGCGTTTTCCACACCATCGACAACGACAAATTCATCTTCAATGAGCCCGGCGTTTACAACTTGCTGTACGTGCCGAAGTCGGTCAGAACGCCGGAAGTGCGGGTTCAAATCCGAATGGAGAGATATCCCAACAGGAAGGTCGACTTCGGCCTTCTGGGAAGGTATATCCCGCAGTCGGAGCTCGTCCAGCCGACCAACGCCACCGTCATCACCGGTGAGGAGTTTGACGATTCTATTTTTGTTTGTTTGGGAGAAAGGTCTTTGGAAAGTAAAGGTTGAGAAAAAAAGTTCACCTCTAGAAGTTTCTTCTTTCAGCTTCCGGAATCTATAAGAGAAATAAAATTTGAAATTATTTCCAGGAATTGCTCTGGAAGCGACTGGAACAGACCGAGTCGTCGTCCAGACCAGAAAAGACACTCGCCGATTCCGCTACCGTACCAATATTATCATCGGAAACATCCTTCGTTACTTTGATACTATCCGATTGCAAAGATTCAAAGGTGAACCCAGAAATGTCCTCCGAATTCAAAAAATGATTCCCTCAGGCGTTCTCGTCTACGTGAACAACGTCGAGCGAGGTCAGCCGGAAATCTACGTCGTTCTGGAAGAAGCTCAAATCGGCATCAAAGTCACCGAAAGCTACGCCTTGGATATCGATCGGCTGCCAAATTACCAGGAGAGTATGGGAATCCTCGACATTCTGCTCTCCGTCCCGCCGCAGTATGGAGTGGTGAGTCCATTTTTATCGATTTGACTATTAAAATTTTCGAATTTTTAAAATTGTTTTTTGAATGCTGTTCAAATTTAATTTTTTTTTTTCGGAATCTTTCACAAGTTTATCTCTAGAAAAAAAGCTTTTTTTCCTCACATTTTTTTAATCAATCTTTTTCAGCGACCTGACGGCGACAAGACTCTGGAGTTGCAATTCAGACAGCTCTACAACTTGCCCAGGATCAGCGGCTTGATGCGGCCTTTCCCCGACCAATCGAGCGGAGCTCTCAACCTGGGACTCACCTTGAACGACGTCAACTCGGAAACCTACCGACAACAGATCATCGCCAACTGTTTGAGATTCCTTCGCTGAACCCGAAGAAGATGATTATTCAGACATGGTGCTGGGAACTGGAGAGGCGACGCCGCAGCAGAACACGGCCGGAACCTTGAACCAGGGAATGCCGCAGGACAACATGTTCACGACGTCCAAGGACGAGGACAAGAAGTTCGACGTGTTCCCCGAGGCGATCATGCGCTCCGAGGCCGTCTACAAGATGGCTCCCGTTTATGATACGTGAGTCGAATTTTTTCGGATCAAAAAGAAAACTTCTGATTTGAAATGTTGACGGTTTTGTTTCATTGAAGCGCTGTCTGTTTGATTATAAAAATTTTGAGCATCGACGAAAAATATGTTTTTCTTAATAAGGAGTAATCTCAACATAGTGAAGTTATGTGACGTCGAGAGTGCGATTCTCGAATTTTTCTGATTATAAAGATTCGAATAAACTTTGAATAAATCAAGTATTTTGTTTTATTGCAGTCTATTAAGGCTTATTTTGGTTTCAGATGACAAATTTTCAATTTATAAGTTACGATATTGCACATATAGGAAATATAAAGTCTTTACAAATTTTTCTCAAAAGTTGATTGCAGCGGGCCGTACCGATTCGTGCCCCAAACTGGCGCGATGATCATCCAGCTTCTCAATACGTGTCGCGATTTGCAGAACAACCCAGCTAGTTGGTTTTTTCTTCTCTTTTCAAAACTGCTTTCCCGATCTCTCTAAGAAATAATAAAATAATGAATGAGTTTGCAGCCGACCTGCAGCCTTACCAGAGCATGGCCAATCTGAACTACGGAATGCTGTGTCCAGACGATCCTGGCGCGATTCTGACCGAATGCGGTGACAGTATCCCTTGCCTCTATGATTATGCTCTACTTAACTCGAAGGTTCGAAATTCATGCCTTTCAGATTAAAAATGAAGTTTTTCAGACGATGGCGTTGGAAGAGCAAGACGCGTGGAACAGTTTCTCGGCGGAGCGAGTTGAAGCCATTCGCCAATGTTTGTAGAGAGATATACTTTTCAGAAAACTTAAGAAAAAACGATGAATTAGAGTGACTCGTTACCGTAGTGAGAATATTCTGAAGTTTTTGGGAAATTGATTCGCAAAGACGTGAAGATTTTCACACCAAGAAAAAAAAATCGAAGTGAAAAAGTAATTTTTTTTTGTTCAAATAAGTGATTGTACTTGAACTAGACTCAATTTTGCAGACAACAGCTGCGGCGCGATCAACATCGAATACCCCGAGTACATGATGAAGACGCCGGCCCTCGCTTCGGGATATCTTCAGGGCGACGTCGCCCGCTTCGAATGCTACCAGTCTCACTGGGTGAAAGGCGATCATGAGTACAAATGTAGGTTCTAAATAATATCTGGAGGACCGAAATTGAACCAGAACAAAGCTCAGAAACGTTCTGAAATGAATGATATAGAGAAAGAAGTTTCCAAAAATCGCCCATAGTAAATTTCAAAAACGACCTCTTGCTCCAGGCGGCCTTGTCGTCGACTACAACTACCCCAACTCGTACCGCTTCGAATGGAATAAAGGATCGCAGCCGTGGTGTCGGTCGCGCATCAAGGAGAACTACTTCAAGTGGCTCGCCGTCATTTTCGGCATCGTCGGAATCATTATCGCCATCATCTTGGTGTTCACGCTTTGTTGGTGTATCAAACAGCGGCGGCTGCAGGACAGCAGAACTTACGGCGGCGCCGCAGCTTATCAGAACACGGTTAGTATCAATTCTGATTTTCGGAAAAAGCTAAGTGAGTACCATTTTTGTGATTTTCTGTTTTCTCCGCTGTTTTGCAAAAAAAAAATTTTCAACAGAAAACTGACACTTTCATGGTTAACTTAGAAGTTTCTTAACTGGTAATATTCAAATATTTTAGGAACAAACTCTGAAGTTTTTTAACGCTGGTTTGATTAAGCTTGACCTCTATTTTAAAAAAAGATGAAAATTTCTGAGGAAATCACTGTTTTATCGAAAATCCGGAAAAACACTTTCAAACTAAATGTTTGAAGTAGCCCTATTGATTATTTTTTGTTCAGATTATAATTTTAATGCTTTTTACAAAATTGTCTCCAGGCCTACGAAACGAAACCGCGAACGGCGTCGCTGGGCGACCTGTCGACAGTGCCGCGAACGACAGTAGATCCGACGATCCTGTACCCAGCGACGCAACGAGCAACGCCGGCGACGTTGGAACCGGCGCGAATGACGCCGGCAACAGACTTGCGCGGCTCCCAACAACAGCCGGGCGGTCTGATGGGCTTGAACACCAGTGTCTAGGCTTTTCTTTGACTTTCCTTCTCTTACTGTGATATTTTGACCATGTCTTTCACTTGTTTTCCCACCGTTCTTACTTAATTTTCCTTCCATTTTTTTACTGAATTTTGTAAAACCGAAATCCCAACAAAAATCTCGGATGGTACTCCATGTTGGAGATTTCCCTCGTCTTTCTCGGTTCCATTGCTCACTTTTCCGTTTCTCTTCGTTATTTATTTCTTCTATAACCTCAGTGACATCGTGCCCAGGGCCAAATCCATAATATAAAAAAATAATTTAATTTGTTATTGACTTACAGAGTGTGTCTTTCATTCATTTTTCCAAACTTCTGTTTATTTTTCGCAGGCAATTTTTGCTTTCTTGCAATGATTACTGATGAATCTAATCATTTCACATGCCTGTACATATCATTCGCCCCTTCAAAATGAAAAATAAATTAATAAAAAAATTCAATATTCTCTTTTTTTAGCAATCAGTTTTTTTAAAAAAGAAATAGAAATAAGAAATAAAAAGCACTGAAAAGGTGCAGTTTTTTTTTCAAGTCGAGCTTTCATCTATGAAAAAATTGAATCTCCGTAGCTTACTTATAGAGCAAATGAACTTTTATTCTCACTAGTTGAGAAGTCCGTCTCAAAAGGAGAAGTTTGATATTTCCAAATTCATTCAGTAAGAAGTCAGAGATGCTTGCGATTCAAATGGTTGTACATTTGTGCGATGGGCTTCTTGTAGAACTCGGCCAGCTGAGGCCGGCGGTTCTTCTGCGTCGGCGTCACCAGGCCGTCGTCGATGCTGAACGAGTGCGGCGCAAGGAAAACGTCGGCGATCTGAAGCTTTTTTTCAGTATTGAAGTGTCTATCTTCTGAATATAGCAAAAGACAATACCCTCTCATATCCATGAAGCGGTCGTTCGGGATTCGCGTCGGCGACTTGTCGCAAGCATTTCAAAACGTCTTCTTTCAAACGCTCATCAGCGCACAATTCCTGTTATTTTTGTTGAACATGAATACATTAATCAACAGACCAGTACCCTAACAAGTTCCCTTCAATCTAAAACTGAGAAAATAAAATTTGCAACTTTACATCCTTAGATTTGAGGAGGAGTAGATACGAAAAACTCTTTTAATGCTAGATTGACCAAAAAAATTTTTCAAACCTCATAAGTCAGGCTCTGAAGTCCGTACTTCTTCTCGGCAAAGTTGGCAAGGTACTATGAAAGCGATTTTTTGAGAAACTCTTCGAATCTTCAAATTACCACGGGATCCGGAACAATCACCGCCACCAAAGAGCTTTGCTTCATATCGGCGTGGATGTAAATTTGTGCGACGAAATCGCTCAAAAGGTAGATATTCTCCAAATGTTCGGGCGCCACGAATTTACCCTAAAAAATAGGTACAAGTTGATAGCTCACAAGGTGTTCTGAAGCTGAGAAAGACTGAAAGAAGAATTGTGATAAAAGATCATACGTCTGTAACCAATGAACTTTCAGAACAAAAAAAAAATTTCGGAAAAACATGCAGAAAACTCGTGACTTTGGGAAAAAGTTTCGTGACTAAAATTTTCCTTCCAAATCATTTTTCAAGGTCACTATGCCAGAAACCAGAAAACTTTTGAGAAAATTCGATTGTAGGAAAAAAAATGAGCAATTTCTGATACCTGTGACAATTTGACGATGCTTTTCTTGCGATCGACAATCTCGAGGGTTCCATTTTCTCGCCATTTACCGATATCACCAGTCTTCAGCCAGCCTTCGTCATCCAAGGCTTCCTAAAAGGGAAAATTCAGATTTTTAGCCTCAAAGTTCTAGTTAATAAGAATAGTTACACTATCTTTTTTCCCCCAAAATCTGACATTCCTACTTGGCTCACAACAAGATTGATGGCGAGTCTTATTTCATACAAGAACTTTCTCTGAAAAAGGCGGGAAAATGTCCGCAAAAAATATTATATTCCGATATAATGAAAAATAATTAATCTGAACCTTGGTAGCCTTGGGATCCTTGTAATAGCCGCGAGTAACATTTTTGCCCTTGATCAGAATTTCTCCGCCGTTTTTCGACACGTAGTATCCGAGTTCGGGGACGTCGATCAGTTTGACGGCGTTTGATGGGATCGGAACGCCGACGTGGCCATCCGTCATGTCTGCCAGGATCGAGGACTAAAATTAAATGTATTAATTGTTAATGATATTTAGAAAAAAGGATAAGTAAGTATACTTTAAAAGATCAAACATAAAAGTTGAACAGTTTCTAACCATTCCAAAACACGTAAAAATCTAAGCATCCAGCAAAATCAAGATTTTTTCACAATCAAACTCACAGTAAATTGTCAGTCGAATCTATTTTCTAATCAAAAATTCTTTTGAATGTTTAGTTTCACTATTGCATCTCAAAAAACCTACCGTAGCCGCGGCAGAAGTCTCCGTTTGACCGTAACCCACGACCACCACACAGCCGAAAGCACAGCGAGTGAAACGAACTGCATCGTCACTTGGAGCCGCCGAACCTAGACATATTTTTTCTGAATCAACAAGGACCTAATCTAATCACTCACCAACAATGACCATTTTCACTTGTCCACCCAGGGCTTCGTGAATTTTTCTGAGGAATATCTTGTCTATCAAACCATCGTTCCTCACGATTCCACTAGAAACCGTTTTTTACCAGATAAAAGAGCTTTCTTTCACTTTTTCAACTCCAGTTGTTTCCAAGCTAGGACAGCGCGTAAAATTGAATACTTGACTGGCGACTTCTTTGCTTCTATCATCACCTAAAACATCTTTTTAGGCGGAAACGATACTATTTGAGTACCAAGTTCGAAATACAAAGAAATTGGAAGCAAACGGAAAAAAGCAAAAAGGATTCTCCCCGGCCGGGAATTGAACCCGGGTCTCGCATGTGACAGACGCGGATACTCACCACTATACTACCGAGGACACGTCAGGCAAACGCCGCGAATGAGAATACCACAGCGCGCAAGGAGCCTTACAACGTTAGGAATTTCGAATTACCTTCTTGTGGATTTTGTTCATAACTCGAGGGACCATCGGAAAAACCGTTGGCTTGAGTGATTTGACATCATCAATGAGTTGTGTAACGTCACCACGGAAATATCCAACTCTTCTGTAAACTTTTTATTTTTTTCACTTTTTAACTCATGACTTGCCATTGTTTTCAAGCAAATTCATCAATTTTTAGACAAATTTATCATGTTTTAAGAATATATGAGAATTTTTAAAACAAGATAAAGAAAAACAACTGAAATCACCCTCCAATACTGAAACAAATCAATTCGATGGCACGTTCGTAAATATGAGCCAATGGTAAGTAGCTGATCACAGTTTGCTAGAATCAAAAGAATTAAATATGAAATTCAGATAAGTAGAAAACATTCATAGTGTCGTAAAATTCGAATGAGCTGGTCATTTCGGCCACCAAATTGCCATGCGTCAAAATGACGCCTTTCGGTTTTCCTGAAAAATAATAAGTGAACTTCAATTTGAGGATTACAATCCAACCAGTGGTCCCCGAAGTGAAAGTGATCGAAGCGACAGTCTCGGAAGTCGGCTTGATATGAGGAATTTCCGTCTTTTTGCCAACTTCGGCAAGCTCGTCAAATGTGAGAAGGTTCACCTGGAAAAAGGAAAGTGAAAAGGAATTATAAAAAATCACCATTTTTCGCTTGGCTTCTTCTTGAAAATTGGCCGACGGCTTCTCAAATAAAACAATATTCTTCATTAGCGGAATGTGATGAATATTATCGATTATCACTGAATCGAGCTATTATTTTAGAAGAAGTCTGCTCCAACGAACATCTAGCCCTTTCTTCCTTGTCGACCAAAATTGTCGAAAGTTGGGTCAAATTGCAAATGTAAATCAAGTCATCTTTCGGCACCGTGTCGTACAGAGGAACGCTGGCGTTGCTGAAGTTGTGGATCGCCATTTCTCCGATGACCCACTGCAAAAAAGAAAAGTCTGAGAGTCGTCGAGCGCGGAGCGGTCGCGACGCGTTCAAACCTCGGGCCTGTTTTGTGAGAAGATCCCAATGTTGGTTTCGTCGCCAGTTGAAATTCCAAGTGCTCGAAAGCCTTGGCTGACCAGGTCCGCAGTCTCGATTGCCTATTATTGCTCACTTTAACCGGTTTTATTAAGAAAGACATACTTTGCAACAAAAAATTTGACATTTTTTTTTGAAAACGAAATTTGAGTGATAATGATAGTTTTAGAGCAAAGACCGTACGGCTGCTAATTTTTCGACCTAGCTGCGGTAAAAACTTCGAAAAATTACGCGCTATCAAACCTAACTCGCCAGTGTTTGGGATAAATCGTACTCTTTGCGCTTTCTTTTCCTATGTGGGCGGGAAAAAAAGTAAGAAACACCATTTAAATTTATGAGAGTCAGACAAAATTTTAACGAAGAGAGTATGATTATGTCAGCTCATCCCACCTGTGCATACGTTATCCATTCCCAAACGAGCTGACCATCTATTTCAACCCTCCTTCCCAACATTTCAGAGCCTCCGTTGCGTAATCCTCGGCGCATCTGAAGAGAATATCGCTTCGTATCGCATTCGCTGCACATCAACTCCAAAAACCATTTCATAAGTCGTACTTAGTCCTTCGTCAATTGTCGTCATCAATATGTAGCCTTTTCTGTGAGCGGCGATTCTAGATCCATCCTCAAGAAAAAAAAAAGTTCAGTTATTCCAAAACGGCGTTGGGACACCTCAAGGACATGAGTTTGTTGGTTTACGTCACAAATCGGGTGGATTTTTGGTGAGGTGAGGATTTTCGACGCGGCTATGGCAGCTGCCCCTACGGCGATAAGCTAAAAATGAGACTGTCGAGTGATCACTCGAGGGCTTTTCGCAGCTTCTACCTTTCCATCTAAAAAATGCCTTCGCTGAGTCATCGCAGACGTCATCCGGCTGGCCATCATCATTGTGCTCCGCGAGCCTTTCGACAGCATCTGAAGCGGCTCATTCCGAAAAAGACGCAGTGGAGAACAACCTTTCTCAGTAGATCTGGTTAGTAGAGCGAGTAAAGTCAAAATGAAGAGAACTTCATATCATACCACGTCGATATATTGTTTAATCTTAATGTTTGAGAAACTTTTTGAAAAATACAAGTTTTTAGGATAGGAAACTATGTTTACTGGCGACTTTTGAGCCTCTCATGATCTGCAAAAAGGAAAAGTGATGAAACTCGAAAAAGCAAAAAGATTTCTCTCCGGCCGGGAATTGAACCCGGGTCTCGCATGTGACAGACGCGGATACTCACCACTATACTACCGAAGACGCGACGGTGTCAGGCGCCAATGCCGAATAGCCGTTTTGCCATGGCGCGTAGAATTGAAGAGTATGTATAAGAAACGATTGATTGATTAGATGATTGAAAAAATGATTGAAGAACTATCAATTTGAAAGCTTAGTCAGCTTGTGAGAAATGATAATGAAGAAAGTTTTTTGCTTCTAGGACCTCAAAATTCGCTGAAATTTTGATATTCTAAAACGAGAGATTTTTTTAAATCTCTTTCCTAAGTAGTTCCACCGTTTCTAATAGTTCCAAAATTAGAATAAAATCAATTGTTTGAAGTTTCTTCATTAATTGTCGAGAATCTTGTACATGTCGGCGATTTGGTTCTTGAAGTGGGCGGCCATCTGCGGCCGTTTGTTCTTCTGCGTCGGCGTCAGCAGAACTTCATCGACTGTGAAAGGCCGAGGCGTCAGAAAAACGTCGGCGATCTTAAATGTTTCATCGCTTGACATTTTTCCTGGGAAAAGAGACCCTCTCATAGCCATGAAGAGCTCCGTCAGTGTGGTTGTCGGCGACTTCTCGAAGAGCTTTCACGACATCTTTTCTGATCCGGTCGTCTGTGCAGAGCTCCTTAATCATATCACTCTCCTTCAACTTTGTATATTTTCTCAACTTCAAGAGACTTGTTTTCCAAGCCATACGTCGTTTTCGCAAACGTCGTCAGGTACTATAACTTGTTGAATTGAAGATTTCAGAGAGATTCCAAAAACCGTCGGCTCTGGAACGATAACCGCCACCAAACAGCTTTTCTTGGCATCGCCATGAACGTATATTTGCGAGACAAACTCGCTCTGCTGATAAATCGATTCTAAATGTTCGGGAGCAACGAACTTTCCCTGAAATGAAGACAGATTAAAAGCGAGAAAGGAATCAGGACCTGCGTCAATTTTACGATACTTTTCATTCTGTCGACAATTTCGAGAACTCCTTTTTCGCTCCAACGACCAATGTCGCCAGTTTTGAGCCATCCTTCTTCGGTTATCGTTTTCTGATTAGAGCGAAAATTCAAAGAAAAAAAAACGCGCGGTTTTTAATTATAGCCATTAGACAGTATCTTGAAGTTTAAAACCACAGAGACCTAGCAACTTCTTTTTTTTTCAAAGAATTTTCTCTGATCTTGGGAAAAGTCGAATACTTTCTCAAGCCAGTAGAAAAGGAAATAAAGACTAAAAACTTGTAGAAGAGGGATTTCACAATTTAGCTTCCAAATAAAATTTGATAAAAATCGAGAAAGAGACATCATCACAGAATTGAAGAGACGCCAGAAAAGTTAGAGCGCTCTTTTTCTCTAGCATCTCTTGAGGCCGTTGTTTCTACTCTCTTTTTTCAAAATTTTTTTCATTCAATATGAAAAAGTTAAACTTTAAAGACAGAACATGCCTTTGTGTTAGTGGGATCCTTGTAGTAGCCTCTCATAACATTCGGGCCTTTGATCATGACTTGCCCTCCATTTTTCTCGACGAAATAACCAATATCCGGCTCGTCCATAAGTTTCACGGCGTTACAAGGAACAGGTATTCCGACATTTCCATCGTCGCTATCCACAAAGATGCTTGCCTGAAAAGAACTGATATTATCAAATTTTTTTTCAAAAAGACAATATTTTGAAAAACTTGAAGGTAAGACTCTAAAAATAAATAAGAGCCAGCAAAAGACATTTCAGACATGAAAAGACTCCAGAGAAAAGTTGTTTTCGAACTACTCTGGAGCCCTTTCAGACCCTCGTTGATCTTTCACTATCCCTTTTTTGAGGTGAATAGTTTAGCTTTCTTTTCAATTTACCGTCGCTGCTCCGGCATTTTCCGTCTGACCATATCCAACCATAACTGGACAGCCAAACGCGGCACGGAAAAATCTCAAAGCTTCATCGCAAGGAGCTGCTGCGGCTGGAAAACGTCACCTTAGCAAGAGGAAACACTCCAAAACGAACCAACAACCATAAATTGAACGCGACCGCCGAGAATATCGCGAATTTTGGTTAAAAACAATTTATCCAGTATCGAGTCGTTTCTAATCACATGACTGAAAACTTCTCATTTTAAAAAGTTTTAAGCGAGAAGCTTGCTTTTTAACTTCGAAAAACTTCCAAGCTATGACGGCCTTCAAGATACTATGCTTGATTGGCGACTTTTGAGCTTCTAATATGATCTGCAATTAGAAAAATGAGGAAAATACAAAAAGCAAAAAGATTTCTCTCCGGCCGAGAATTGAACCCGGGTCTCGCATGTGACAGACGCGGATACTCACCACTATACTACCGAAGACACGAATGCATCCAGCTCTGGATGCATACAAGACTCTTGGAGGAAAGCAGTGGTCGGTTTTCTTTTGTGCACTTTTCCCTTTTTCATAATTTCACCTGCTTATGAAGTTTGTTCATGACTCTTGGAACCATCGGGAAGAATGTTGGCTTGAGCGATTTCGCGTCATCGATCAGTTTCGTGATGTCGCCGCGGTAATAACCAACTTTACTGTAATTTTTTGAAGGTCATCAAAAGAAAAATGAGGGGTCAAAATTGAAAAAAAATATCGAATCAGTTTTTTGACAGACAAAAAATGTTAGAAGCAAAGCTCACTAAACACTTCAGGCAAAAAAAATAATACAAATAAAGAATATAAATTTAAAGATAAGTCTGAAACTAAAGAATATTCGCCGAAAATCCTACCCGGCGCAACCGAAGGCTATCAATTCCAAAACTCTCTCGTAGATGTGAGCCAATGGCAAATAACTGATCACAACGTGCTGAAAAAAACTGCGTAGAACTATTGTTTTCTTTTGAAAAACCAACTTCAAGGTGCTTGAATTCGATAGCTGTGCTGGTGTCGGCAATCAAGTTCTTATGGGTTAGTACAGCTCCTTTTGGGTTTCCTATAAACGATCTTGTTATATAATATATTTCATTCGATTCTTGATAGATTCCTATATTTATCTACATGTTGAGTCCGACTTCGACCCAAAAAACTACATCAAAAAATCACCAGTTGTGCCAGAAGTGAAAGTGATCGAAGCGACTGTTTCAGGGCTCGGCGGGCAATGTTTCAGAGTTCCTTTTGCTCCCAACTCGATCATCTCGTCCAAAGCCAGAAGATTTATCTAGAGAAAATTCCATGGGAAAGGAAAAAACAATTTTCTAACCGATGCGTTTTTCGCTAATTTTCTCAAGTTTTCAGAAGGTTTTTCAAAGATCACGACGTGCTTCAGGTGCGGAAGTTCAGCAACGTTATCGATGAGCACTGAAAAAATGATCGTAAGCAGAATGAGGCGCGTTGCGGCTGCGTCGCGGTTGGAGGATCGGAACTTTGAAAATGTTTGAATTTCTTCTAATCAAGAACTGAGCCATAAAACGACGCTTTTAAACAGAAATTTCTCAGCCTTTGATTAAAGGCAAATAAAAGACTTTTTTTTTCGGCTTTAAAAGTCTATTTTACGACTTTCGGACTCATATAAGGTTACTCTAAACGTTTCAATTATATCATGATCTTCAAAAAAGAAAACCAACTTTTAGCCCTTTGTTCAGTATCAACGAGTACAAGTTCGAGTTCAGTCAGTTTTCCAATATAGACGAGATCTTTCTTCAATACCGTATCGTACAGAGGAACGCTGACGTTGCTGAAATTGTGCACGGCGATTTCCGAAATCGTCCACTAAAATCCTAAAAATATTGACCGCAACATCGAGAAAATACCTCAGGGCAGTTCCTAGAATAAATACCAATATTGACGTCATCGCCCTCCTTCAAGCCGAGAATTCGGAACGCTTGGCTCAGCTTGTCGCTTTTTTCTATCACCTAAAACATATTTCTCATGTTGAATCGATCTGAAGTTGAAACTTAATTGAAGAATATTTAGGAAAAGGATTCTTCTCGGTAAATTTTTAGAAGCGATAAGACCAAAAAATGAATTTACTCATGTTACCTCAGCATAGGACATCCATTCCCAAACGAGTTGGCCGTTTAGTTCTACTCGCCGCCCCAACATTTCTTTGCCGCCGTTTTTTAAGCCATTTCTAACCTAAACAAGACTATCAGAAGGCCAAGAAATAATCAATTTACAGTCTCATAAGTCGTCGAAACGCCGGCGTGAAGCTGCGTTTGCATCGGTTTGTCTTTCATATAAGTGGCCACTCGAGAACCATCCTGTTAGAATCAAATTTATCGCGTATTTCCACAAATTTACAGCAAAAAACCTCCAAAACATGGGTTTGATTTCTGGGACAGCTAAGGGCTCGAACTTTTTTCCTGGGAAGAAATTTTTTTGCGATCGTAGAAGATATCTGAAAAAAATAAAAAAACCTTGTTGTAGTGATCTCAAAAAAATTAGTAGAACAAGCATAAGTAAAATTCTACAATCTAAATTTTCTCAAAGGTAAAAAAACTTATCCAATATTGGAAGAGACAGCTAAAAAAACGATTAAAAAAACTTCAAGCCTGAAAAAAATTAGATTTTTGTTCAATTTTTTTCTTGAAAAAAATATTTTTAAATGACTAAACTGAAATTAAAATGAGGAATAACCTCACTAAATACTCAACATATGAAAAAAACTTGAAACAAAAATTCTTCTTTTTCGAGGTTAAAAACGCCGATGTTGCGAAATGACGCAATCGTACGACTAAAGCATTTGATCACACGCGTAATAAATATGTAATTTTCAGTATATTAAATTTAAAGGTAGTTCCCCGAGTCTTGATGTTAAATCTGTTCTGTCTTACGGAAAGCCAATTTTTTAAATCATTTGATGAGAGAATTTCGTATAATATTATAAACGATTATATGAAAATATAGAAAAGTTATCATTTTTGTTTCTTTTTCTCTGAACAGTTCATTTTCTCTTTCATTGTTTGTTTCTGCAGTATCTTTATTTCACAATCAAATCAAGAAATTTCTGGAAAATAACCAACTTTTCCATCAAAAAGTTGTCGTTGAGCGTGGACCCCGACGAGCGATGACGTCACTCTAGCTCTCAGGATGGCGGATTTCGAGCATTTCGAGAGCATCTGAAGACCTTTAACTTGCTTCGTGAGCTTCATGAGCTGGTTACCTTCTCGCTTAAGTGAGTCGGGTTAAAAATGAGTCATTTCAACACGGCTTTCAGCTCATTTTCAGATATAGTTTATTCACCACGACTTGAAAAACTTTGACGAGGCGCGGCTGCGAAACTTTTTCGCTACAATAATTAGAACAGATGAGTAATTCTTATACTCGATCTCGTTCCTTTGAAGCTCTTCTTCTTCTCGAAAAATAACTTCGCATTCGAAAAAGTTTAGTCTCTCTCATCCCAAAAATGTTCACTGGCCACATGTGAATCATGTGTCACATTATTGACATCATGAAAATCAATCTGGCCCTCAAAAAATAGAACAGTAAAGACCAGTTATCCGCCGGATAAATCCCTCTAGAAGGACACAAAAATACAGTGTTTACCCCTGGGTAATTGCAGTATAAATTGAGGCGATCCGACGGTAAAACTTCAGTTTGCAACGTTTTGTTCTATCCGTTTGTTTCAATTTCAAAAAAAAAAATGACCAGTAAAGTTGCGGTTTCTGTCGTCTTGATGGCCACGATTTGGATGGTGAGTCTTATTTTTGAGCTATAATTATTATTGTGCGTTTATTTTTTGTTTCAAGTCATATATCTTTCTCTGAGTTTTCAGAAAGTCTAAAGATTTTTTGAATGTGTAAATCAACTAGTCGTTTCTCAAAGTACTTTGCAGCCGTAGTACAAAAACTTTGCAAAAACGAGATCAGAATTTTTTTTTCTTGTTTCAAGAATTGTCCGAGTTTTATGTTATAAAGTTTCGAAACCGCTCTTCCAGGTGAAAACCGCGCCAACAGTGGTCCCAGTGACTCCAGCGACCACTTCTCCCATTGAACCAAGACCTGTTCGAGCAATTCCAGTGCAATCCGACAATGGAACACTCGTCGAAAGGCCTTTGGAAGACGGTAAGACATGTTTCTGATTGAAACAAAAGCTTCAAAGTAAAAACTTTCTTGAGTCGATCGCTAACTAGAAATGTCAATTTTCGAAAGCTTACTGTCTACAGAAGTTCACTTGGGATGAATTTCCAGACTTAATTCGAAGGAATACTTACTGACGAAATCTAAGAAGTTTACCATATCCAGTAACTTCTATATTTTCATCCTAGTTTTTGGATTGCTTCCAAAATCCATTCTAGTTTTTTGCCAGTTTTCTAAACAACAAGCTACTCTCCAAATGATTCTGACCTTCAGAACTCCACCACGTCGAGGAGAAGTCTTCCGAAGCGATGGACGACGCAGAAACGGCCGGCAACGCTTGGCACAACGCCAAGACCGAAATGGACAACGCTCTCTGATTTTTCCAACTATTCCGACTTATCTGTACATGGATAACTTGTTTTTCGTTTGTTTGATTCTGGGTGACGTCGACGCTTAAGTGATTTCTTCTTCGTCTAAGTCGACCAGTCTTTTTTTTGTTCCTTAATGGCGTCATTCGAATCGACTATGTATATTTTGTACATCTTCAATGAAGGTTTTTTGAGCATGACGTCATTTTTTTCAAATCTGAAGATGTGAGAAATACAGTTTAGTGATCAGGGAGAAAAAATGAAAAAAGTCTCAGCTTTTGTAATATTTCGTAATTCGCGATAATATTTGATACGGAAAAGGGATTTTGAGAAGACTTTATTATGTTCTATGGAAAATTAACAAATATACAGACAAACTACAACAAAGGGTTTGTTACGATACAAAAGTTCGAAGATCCAGATGATTCAAACAAAATGAGTTTTTCTCAAAGAGAACAATTTCTCAAAGCTTGGAGCTACAAACAACAAAAATAGTCAACATCCGTTAGACATTGATGATTCGATCGCGATCTTCGTATTCGCGGTCTTCGCGATGATGATGGCGATGAGGACGACCGCCGAAGTCGCCGCGACCGCCGCCTCCGATTCCGCCGATGGGGTTCGAGCCCCGGTCGCCGACCACTTCAATCTCCTCTCCGGCGAACGAAGTCTCGAGATTCCAGGTTCCTTCAAATGAGAGATTCAATCTCGCTATTCTAGTTACTTATCTTTATAAACATGAAAAAACATGAAAAACATGAAAAAAATAAATCCTTATTTATTTGATCCCTATTATCAGCATTTCAACCTTATAGGCAGGTCTTTAATTACAGATAGAAAAATTTTGAAGTTTTCAAAAGTGATGACTCACCGATATCATAGGACTTGAGAGTGATCGTGCCTCGATTTGTGTAGTTGGGCGGCAGCTGGACGGTCATCTTTCGGAGTCCAGGCTGAAAATGACGTATTTTATGGCGAATGAAATGACGATGATTTCACTTTTTTTAAATGAATTTTTTATCATTCTAGATTTTTCAAAAGGGACGAACATTGGCCTCGTCGTTGCAGTCGTGGTAGATGGTGAGGAAAGGAGCGATTCCGTTTCCTTCGAAGGAACTTCTTTCGGCCTTGACGGAGAATCCGCCGGCGACGTCGGTCAGTTCCTCGGCGTAGATGATGTTCTCGCGGCCCTTGACGCGGTCCCACATCACGACACGGACATTCTGTGCGAAAGTCGTCGTGCCGCACATCAGACGGCCCTTCGCTTCGTAGGACATAACCGAGCTGGCGCCAGGTCCGATCGCTGGGCCTTGCACTCTGGAAAAGAATTTGGTTATGCTGAAAAGGGTCTTTCAGGTTATCGAGAGAGCGAAAAATCGGTGGCTTATTGACATGATTTTCTTTTTTTATTAACTATTAAAAGTATTGAAACGTTTTTTTTTCCTTTCGCAAAGATCAAGAAAGTTAAAATAACTAACCCATAAGGTCCTTGGAATCGTTGTTCGTACAAGTAACGGCCATCGAGGCCGCTGAAGCCTTGGCCGTACTCTTGACGGCCGCCGAATTGGCAGCTGGCCAAGCCGATGAAGACGGAGAGGACCACGAAGAGCATCGGAGAACGGGGAAACTGTTCTAACAGGTCTTCGCTCCGCTTTTATTCGAGTCGGTATCACCTCTGACCTCTCATCGGTGTATCATTAGCGTTTGACCTCGCCTGGACGCTGACCTCCCTATCTTACTGTGGAATCGATCAAAGATCATCTTTTGTAATTTCATGTTTTCGAAAAGCTCCTTTGTTTCCTTTTTTGAATAAAAAAGATACTTTCACAAAAAAAATTCTCTTACACGGGAAGTGCGAAAGGTTGAGGTATTGGAATTCAATGAAACGTGGTATATAGGTGCTTCCGAACACCCTGAATCCAATAAAATTGAAAAAAAGTGCGCCTTTTTGGTTTTAGTCGAGTTAGGGTGCCTCAAAGTTTGCACGCAAAAAATGCATTGGAAGGGAGGAGGGGATGTGTTGCGGCGGCTAACTCTAGCTGCCAGCAGGTGGCGTGGTGTAGTGGTTAGCGGCCTTGCGCTATGGAACCTATGATGCAGGTTCGAATCCTTTTTGGTGCAATTTATTTCTGCCAATTTTTTTATTTGAAAAATGAGGAAGTTTTGATGATGGAGTGAAAGAACAGCTCAAAATTTTGAAATTCACCATTTTATGCCCATCTGAGAAATAATTTCGACAAAAACTTTTTTGCTCCATTTTTCCTTGCCTGACCATACGGCTTATGGTCGACCCCTTTCTTTAAAAAATTTTCTGCTGGCAGCAAGAGTTAGCCGCCGCAACACATTCCCTCAACACAAGTACCTATATACCAAGTTTCATTAAATTCCAATACCTCGACCTTTCGCACTTCCCGTGTTAGAAAAAGGTATACATGACACATAAATCTCTTTTTTGTTATTTAAACATTTTTAAACTGATTTGAACGCATGATAAAAGTTTTCAATCTGAATAATGCAGAATAACTTTTGTAATCCTGTTATCCTTCAAGAAGTAAACTAAATGATTCCCTTAAGGCTTAAGTTTAGTCAATTCACTAGTTTTTAGAGAAAAAAGGTTCGCCACAAATATTGAGAGGTTTTAACAGGAAAAAAATAATGAAAAATTAATTTTTTTGAGTTTTTTTCTTTTCTTTTTTTCGAGCTTCTGCTCAAAAAAACAAAAATTTGTAAATTTTTTTGATAATCTTCGCGGAACCATCCAAATTTGCTCTTTCAAATGAGCTCACTCTCTTCTTTTCGTAGCGTTTCTCTGCACCAAAAACAAACGCAAAATGCATTCGAAATGCTTCAGGTACCATAGAAGACGAAGAAGTTGCGTGCTCAACAAATGGAGCAAAAAAGGGCAGGGCTCGCCGAGCAGCAACTGATCGATTCGGAGCCAAACGACAAGGTTTTTTTTGCCGCTTTGCTCCACCAAACATCTTGTTTGTATTATTCTATTATTTCGAAATTCGGATTTCATGCCAGAATCTCCTTTCTGAGTAATCAAAAAAAAAATTGCTTTGCAGAAGACTTTCCGAGCTCAACAAGAGCTGCAAAACGAGACGGCAGAAAAAGAAGAAGAAAAGGAAACAATTTGTTGGGTCGCCTTTCCGCCAAGAGTTTGAGGAGGATATGTCAACTCGAGCTTCTTCTCGCTTCTGCCTTTGGTTGGTTGGCCTTTTTTGAGCATTTTTCCTTCTTCGAGTAGATTTTGGCTTCTTTAATGGCTTCTGGTCATTCTTGGAAGCTCTTCTTTTGAAATTGTGGAGGAAACTTGAAAATAAAGAGAGCAATTTTGAGAGCAGATGATCAATGATCATATCCTTTTTTCTTCTCTAAATTAATTTTCGTGATTATTCCTATTCAGAACAGGTCAGTGCTCACCTATACTACGGTTGATTCTTAATTTGAATGAATAAGAAGATCACGAAGGTCAAGCGTAAAGGTTTATAAATGCCTTTTTTTCCGTTTGACAAATTTACACATTTATTCACCCTTTAGAGAAAACTTCGAGGTTCAAAAAAACTGCTTTGTTCGGGCATTATGAGAATTGGATTTCATCACAACCAAAAATAAACTCACCAAAAAGGACCTTGGAGCATTCGCGCTCGTTTTCCCACGAGCTCCTTCGTTTCCAAGTCACTTGTCTCCTGTTTCTAGACTTTTTTGTACTCTTTATTTTTTTGCTCTCTCAATATTTTAAACTTGACTTTGATGTCCAATGTAGTTCCAATTTTTTTGAATAGCTTTTTTTGAAATTTTTTTGAATGGTCGGGCGCATCTTCATAGCAACCGCCGTTTGAGCGCGTTTCTAGTCGACGAAAGACTATAATTTGAAAAAAATCTCAATATCTTTTTAGAATGAAAAAGCGAGAAATGGAGGAACGACGGCGGCTTGCACCAAATGACGACGTCACACGGGTGAGTCACGCGAAATTTTTTGAAACCTTTGAGGGATCATTCAAAAAGGAATATCTGAAATTTCTGATTGAATGAACCTCATAATTAGTGAAATCGAAAAAATAAATAAAAATCATAGTTTTTTTTCTGTGTCGATCTTAATTTATTGATTGTTAGCCCTCGAGTTGGCAATATTCAGACGCAACCTGGAATGGTCACACTCAACATCCCAGACGAGGAGCCTCACGTCGCCACAACCAGCAATCTGAAAAAGTCTCTGTCGATGACCAGCATCCGGAACAAGATTCGCGACAAACGAGAGAAGTTCCGACGTCTCTCAAAGTCGTCAGAAGCATTCTCAATCCTGGAACGTTTCAGAGAACCAGTGTGCTGGTATAATCGTCTTCTTGATTCTGGGCACGGCCTGCAACATTCTCGCCTACTTTGCCAGCGTCTGGTCGGCTCAACTCAACGCCGAAGTCGTCCGGACGGCTGTCGAGAACGAGCACACGTTCAGATTCAAATTGAAGAAAAGTTAGTTGATTGAAAACCGAAATTTGAAAGAGAAAAAAACTGTTTAGTTGAAGGACTTTGTTTCACTCGCTGCTAAAGAAGGTTCTTGAAAATAATAAAAATTATTTCAAGAACTATTTCATTTTTCGAGTGTTTCAGTGGATCATATGATTCTCAAAATGACACAGTTGCGCTAAATTCTGATAAATAGAATCAAACTTCACTCACCAAAGTATACGAAAACTCCGATTTTTTTTTTCGAGCTTTTCAGGTTTTTAGAAAGTTTACTAAAATGGTCGCTCCACGTTAATTATTTGCAGCACTAGCCGAGGCTCCATCAAAGTATCTTATTGGCCTTCTGAACTTTGGTGGACGTGTCTTGAGTGCTATTGGAACTGTTATGCTGGTTCAGGTCAGTAGTTTCATAATTTTTATTAGCTGAGACTTGTGAGAAATTTTTTACAAGAAATGAATTCCTAGACCTTAATCTTGATTTTTAATTTTTAAGAAAATAAGACCTACAGGTAGTCGCTACGTACTTCAAACGTCGACGGTACAGTGTTCTGATGAAAAGTGCGGCCGAAGAGGCGGATACCGTAATCAGCGACGCTCACGTCGGCATCACCGACACGGCTGGAGAATGTTGTCTCAGTTGCTTTCAGGTTTGGAACGAAAATTTGCGAAAAAAAAAGTCATAATGTAGAACAAGAATATAGTCCTCTTCGCATGAAGATAAAAAATTTGAAAAAATTTGGCCCGAGTTTTACTTTGACTAAAAGTAACGAAACTATTTTCTGTAAATGGAAAAAGCTTTGCAAGTTTTTAAGAAACCTTTACCTCTTTCGAATATTTAATGGTGGCTTTTATAGTCGCTCCCTGAAGAAATTGAGAAGAATTTGAGAAGAAAAAGAAATTGAGTTCTTCATTTTCAGTCTCTAACCTGACGCTCAAACTTCAAGAATCTCTTGATCTCCAGGTCAAAGATCTCAATTCACGCTGCCCAGGATCTCGCCAAGTAACCGTTTCTTATTTTTACACTTTTTTCAACGAAGTTTTTATCCCGGTCCGATAGTTTTTCAAAAGAAGTTATTGAGTGGCAAAAGTGAGCTCGTAGTAGACTTTCTTGGGCAGCTTGGACAGTTCCTTCTTGACGTTCGTCTCCATCTCTTTCTGTGTCTGCGTCTCGTTGCTAGTGATGGCTGAAACGCGACGCGTGGGTCTTGCGAAGCGGTCAGGCAACGGACCTCGGACTTTCTGGTCGGCGGCACGAGCGGCAGGCGACAGATTCTCCGTGATTCTCATCATTCGGACTGATTCTTCGCTCGCCAGCGACTGTTTGTAAGAAGTGAAGGACTTGTAGAGGCCCTGGAAGGTTGAAAAAAGAAACTCAGAGATGTAAAAATACAAAACGTCACGGTTATTTTTAAGTATCGCTAAAACTTTTTTTTTTGAGTCATTCACGTGCGACCATAGATTTTCTTGTTAGATCGACTAAAAATATTCAAGCAAAGAATTTTATTCTTCTCCACAGAAAAAAAAGATCGAGCTTTTCAAGAATTTTCAATTCTCAAAAGTTCCATTCTCAAAAAATTTTATTTGAAACTCTCACTTCAAAAAAAAATCTTACCAAAACAGGCTCGCCGCATTTCTCGGCCCAAGCGTCTTCAGCTTTTCTTTTAACGTTGATCGGCAAATTAGGATTGCTCTCGAGCTCTCAAAATTTTTAATTCAATATTCATAACTCCAAATTTGCTCTATCGAACTTGTAACGAAATCGGACGCGCTCCGGTCGTTCCTGAGCAGTTCCAGGGATTTTGACGCTACTGAAGTGGTCACTAGAAGTCCCCCGAAATGATGGGAGCGCGACGGGATTCTGTTATCAAAGTTCGAAAAAATGAGATTAAAATATCAAAAAGTTTGTTCTCTAAAGCGCTTTTGCGATTTTTTCGGATTGATAAAACTGGTCGCAGATTTTTACTTTTGAAAATTAGGAAATATGATTCCCAATAATTTTCTCTTCTTGTAACTTTTTCCTCTCCAAGTAACTCATAAATTTTATAAATCAGCTTTTAAAAACCTATGTATTCCTTTCTTTGGGCATCTGTGGCGGCGAGGAGGAACGGCGGAGTGTCGTTTGAATTCGGAGAAGACGTTGAAGCTTCAATTTCAAAGTTTTATTCCTTTTAAATAGAAATTGCATATTTTATAGGAATAAAGTAACGTATGAACCAGGTAACATCTCAAAGAAAAACTTTGAAAAACTGTACCGGAAAACATTTAAAACTGTACAATTCCAAGATAGTCCAGGATAAGATTAGATACTTCCAGTGTGCTCAGTGAATTAATTCAATTGAAACCGAGAGAACGTATTCTCATTATAAAGCTGCCATCTAAGTTATCTAACAGAAAAAAAAGAAAAAAAATTCAAAAATCCAACTTTGATTTTAAGACTTGAAAAAAAATAACTGCTATTTTTCCAATCCGAAATCCTTGTAAAAATAAAGCGTCAAAAAATACGAACATTGCTGATTTTCCGCTGGAGCCGCACTGGGAATAGTTGACGTCGTCATCGGAGATAGTGACGTCATTTTAACGTCATCAGAAGAAACTATTGTTGTAGAAACGAATAAATGAAGCAAAAAAACGCGCGCCAGCATGACTCAATGAGGGGTTTCGCCTCAAAAACTCAACCAAAGAGAGGATTTCGATGGGATTTTCGGTTCACACCTCCAATCAATAAGTGGGTTCAGTCGGACCGGTCGAAATCATAATTTCTGTTTTTTTTTCCAGTTGAAGTCCTGGAACAAACGTTTTCTGAAAGATCAGAACTTTCTTACAATATTTTCACGTTACCTTCTCTTGTAAACAGGTTTTAATATTTTTTTATTTCAGAAAGAGAAGAAAAAAAGAAAAAGGAAAGAAAGTGATTTCTAATGAAATGAGAGAAAATTTGATTATTTGATCATCCAAAAATAAAAATACACCAAAATAACAAGAAATCATAAAGTAAAATGCGATAATCATATATGTATGTAAATGAAAGGAACGGAAAGCGTTATTTGGTTCATTTTGAAGAGGAGAAAAAAAGCGAAAATAAAAACAACGGGAAGTAAAAATTCTGCAGAACTCTGTACAAAAAACGTCAAAAATCAGGGCGAAAATGAAAGAAAAAATAGAGACAAAGGGAAAATGAGAGGCGCAGACACAATGAAGCGTCTGCTGGCCTCTTTATTCCCATGTTCTAACTTTTTTCGATTTTGAGCCATTTTTCTCATGCCTACTTCAATAATAAAAAAAAACAAAATCGACTAGTCACTGGTCAATAAAAACGATAAAAATATGTATAAATATTTATAGAATCTGAAGTAGAAGAAATACACAAAGAAGAATGAAAGAGAAAGGAAAATAGGGAACCTTGTTGAAAAGTTTGTTCGATAAGATGATAGGGAAACATCAATAAATAGGAACTATGAAATAATACAAAGTGATTTTGATTTGGGAAAAAAAGTGGAAGAATCGGAGAAACTATCCAAACGAAACGAGATTTGTGGGGAGTTACGGTAGCAGAAAGAAACTTGGAATAAAAAAGAAAATGGGCAAGAAGTTGATTCTATTGTCTAGGGCTCTCTCAAACACACACTCACACTCGTTTCTACCTCGTTGGAATGGGTTTGGGGGGCTGTGACGTCATCAGAAGTCGGAGTGGGCGTGGCCAGAGGGTCCTGGCTGCGCGCTGCGATGGACGTGGAGACAGATCCAGCGACCCGTCTTTTTCGACCAGACGCGCGTCTCCTGCGACTGTCTCGTGTGTCCTTCGCCGTTCCTGAACGACAATATTTCACTTCTTGTAGGAAAAATTGACTGACTTGTCAAAGTACTGCGTGAGTTTGACGTAGGCGATGCAGGCGCCATCGTCGCCGACAATGTGGACGTTGGGGTTGAGCATCGTCGTGTGGACTTGGTTCTTCCGCGCCGCAACCGCCGAAGCTGATCCTGAAACAACTTTTTTTTCCACTGAGAAGATAGATTGTCCCAAAGATAGATCATCTCTCAACATTATATGCTCAAAGTTCAACGCTATGGTAACTCCAAAATTTCCATATCTCTTCTGAAAAACGTTCCAAAAATGAATTATTCGCGTCCATTCCAAGATGGCTACTCTGGTCAACCTTGTAACTAACTTTCAATATTCATGTACGCGTCCTTGAAAGGTGTGATTTTTTGAAACCTTCACCGGTAAATCACTCATGAGGGTCACTTGAACCGGCAATTTTTATTTCTTTTTTTCACTGCTCATTTATGCCGTTGGAGAACTCTAAAAATCACAGGAAATACAGATTTTTAGAACTCATAAAATGTTTGGTCAATAAATTTCCAATTTTTCAATTTACTTTCAAGTAATGTGACTCAACGATAAGCTGTAAAAATAACGTACCAGCGTCGAAGTAGAAGCGGTGGAATTCGACGCCTTCTATCAAATTTCCCAGCGCCTCCGGCTCAAAACACGTCATCCCCGTGTCGCACAATCTTCTGAAAAGTGTAAAATTAAATAGATTACAGCTTAGAAAATTCGGATCGAAGGCGCTTCAATTAACTCGAGAAAGCTCTCAAATTTCAACTTGAACAAATTCTCCTAACAAAATCACGGAAAACAACCGTTAAAAACCTTTAAAAAAAGTATTAACTAATAAAACTACTTGATTTGAGCTAGTTCATTGAATGTTTTTTAAGTAGAAGAAAAGAAAAACGAACGAATACGCGTCGAAGTCTTTACTCGAAATCGTGTCCAGCAGTTGCTGTGTCACCCGTACAATCTCCTGCTTTTGAGCTGCAAAGAAAACCTTTGCAAAACGAAGAACAATCAATAAATTCGACCTTTCGTGCACTATTAGGTAATCAACTCCAAACGAATTCTAAATCTAACTAGAAAGAGAAAAAAGGGAAGAAACCGTGCACAGTGCAGTGAAACCTTTTTTTTTTAATTTTCGAACTTTTTCAATTATTTGTTCTTGCTTTCGTGACGTCATGCGCATGCCCGTCTTATTGCTCATGTCAGAAAAACCAGTTCAGAATATGTGTGAAATTAAAAAAAAACTCAATTTTTAAGATTCGAAAAACTTGTCTAAACTTTCCCAAAAATTGCTGAGCTTCAAAAATTGAAAAAATAAGTTTTTTTTTGATTTGGAAAAGAACGAATAAATACGAGATAAAAAATGGAAAACCAGAAAACTTCTCGAAATTCATTTTCGGATAAAACCGCCGTAAACCCGATTCGAATTTAACTAATTGCTTTAAAAAAAACAGTTATTGTTTTTTTCAAATTTATTTTTCAAATCTATCGAAACTCATGTTTTCCCCCAAAAAATAGAGCTTCGAACCCATTCCATAGATAATAATACTCCCAAGCGGTTCCTTAGTAGACTTTTTAACTTTCAAAAACTTGAAAAAAAAGTGATATTTTTCAACCAAAGTAAACGAACACCCTGAGGAAAATCAATAAACCAAAAACCAAAGTCATTCTCACCATCGATCTGAGCCATCGCCACGTAATCAGTCAAGCAGAAAATAAAGAGAACCAAATGGACAGCTCGAGAAACGCCTCGGGGGCTCGATAATAAAAATGACAAACGACCCCGAGGTTCAGCGTTTTTTTTTTCCTTTTTTTCTTTCTTATCCTAGTTTCCTCTCCAGCAGTAGTGTACAGCAAGGAGCCACACACAGGGAAGGAAACGAGTAGAGAAAAAAGAAGAAGAAGAAGAAGAAGGAAAGGCGGAAAATGTTGACAAGATAAGAGACGATCGCTTTCTTTCTCTTCTTTTTGGTTTCTTTCTTCCCCTCAGGAAATTCGATATGCTTTTTCTCCTGCTCGTTCCTGTGCGTCTTTCTGGTTTATCGGACTACAAGAAAATTACTTTCTTGCTCAAAATTAGGTCAAAGCTACTCTGGTCGAACCATAACGAGTTTTTTTTTTGAAATCTTCGAAAAAAAAAAGAAGTTGAAGTTTATCATAGTATTGAAAATCGAGGAAATGAAAATATTTGAGGTCTTGAGTCTCCCTTGAGGCTTTTTTCAAGGATTGTCTTTAACGTTTTCCATTAAAAAAATAATCAAAGTTGGAATCTATAAAAAATCTCACTCCGTTGAGCACTTATTCCTCCCCATAATGGTCACTCTGTTATCCATTTAGCATTTTTCCTTGATATAAAGAACTGCTTTCTCCAACACGAGCAATAACTACCCCCCATTTTTTTCCTCATTTAACTTTTTTTAAATTCAAGTCTTAAAAATTTTGTTAGGGAATGTTAATAAGAGCACATGCACACGCAGTTATAAATTGGCTTCGTCATGCAAAAAAGGGTTAAAACAGTTCAGAGGGTTATTTTCATGCAATACTTTGGTTTAACTTTTAACTTTTGGATGTGTAATTCAATTCTGTCAAAGTGGTCGAGGAGAGGTGAATTCCGTAGAGCGGTATTTTAATCATTTGCAAAAACATGTGTTCAAGTTCAATCAAAGGTCGAATTTAATGACGCCAAAAAGTGGAAAATGGAATTTGATCACGTCCATAATTCTATTTTCACTTCCGTGACGTCATTCTTCCAGCTTTACAACTTCAATTGCAACTAATACTGAAAGTGACGTCAATAAAATCTTCTTTTCTATGACGTCAAACTGATAAAAAACGATTTTAATAATGTCAAAACTTCCGTCTATCGACTTCATAAAGATCTCCACATTATTTAAGTTGACCCATGACGTCATAAACTTCTTAAGTCAGAGAAAAACTCTCCAAGACCACACTAGATTAGTCGAAAAAAGGTCCGATGCGATTCCGCATGCAGCCGACTCGATCCATTCCATGCGCTGGGTCTCCCTTCACCTGATAGCGCCGACGTGTTCTTCGAGGCGGCCATCGTCGAGGAAGAAGACGTCACGACGCCGTCCGCCCTCACCACCGTGTTCTCGTGCTTCAGTTGTCCGCCACCTGTCGAGAAACACAAAGCGGTTTGTTTTTCGGCGGCTTGGCGTTTTTTATTCCAGTTTTTGGTGGAGAAAGCAAGGACAAAATGACAAGGACAGAGGCTTGTACGTTAGACTCCATTCAGCTTGACTGAAAAATCCTGGTCGCAGGGAGAAAGGCTCAGTTTGTAAAGTTTCTTGATCGCTGATTGGAACCAATAGTTGTGAAATGAGCCAAGTGTTACAGAAAATTTACGTGCTAAATTAAGAAGTCTCAGTTCCACAGCAGTGAATTGACTAATAACTCAACTTCTCGTAACTTTGCATCCTACAAAAAACGGCTTACGCATTTTGATACTCTCATGATAAAGACGATTTTTCATTCATTTCAAAACTAATAGTCAGGAAGGTCTGAGACATTCTCCCTGCTGTCATAAAAATTGGGAAAACGGTCTTTGAGAAAGTAGAAATAAATAGAGACCCGAATTCCCAGAGAGTCTTAGATTTTAAAGACACGTAATATTGAATCTAATAGTCTTAAACAAAATAACTGGAACACATAAAACAGAAAAAACTTTCCGAATGAAAATTACGAAAAATTATTCGTTACAATAAGACATGGTCTCTGAACTCTACAATCTTCGACCAATTGATCTCTACTTCAGTGAGCGAGATGATTTATCAATAGATCTGTGCGGTGAGCCAGCTTAGGGGGCGCGGCCTAGACCAGCTAATCAATACAAAATGGGCCTTGTTTTTATTCTGAATGCAAAGGTCTCAAGCCACGCCTCTTTTCTTTCTCCACCATGCATCGAAAACGACTTGTCTTTGTGCAGCATTGAAGCATATAAAAAAGCGGACAGGCATGCCAAAATTGAACATTTTCGTGTTTTTCTCTTCTCTAAACCGCTAATTAGAAGGTGCTTTTTGTGTTTGTGTGCGTCGAATCAATAATGGAATCAAATATCACGTGTGCCGAATGGAAGAAAGTATAAACTAAATGAAGCTAGGTAATCAATACCGAATAATCAGCAGAAGTAAAAGAAAGAAAGAGAAGTGGAGGAAAAAGACGGCGGTGAGTGCGATTTCTATCAATATTCATTCTTTCATTTCGTTTATTCGAATATTTATCATTATTTCAGTTTTTCATTCCATTTCCTCAACCTTTCTTCTGATTCGGCCTCACCAATATAAAATTCCAGTACTGTTTATGAAACGAAAAACGCACAAAACACAAAAAACACGCAAAAAATGATTGAAAATTTATTCAAAACTATTTCTCGGAATTGGGAAATAAATAAAAAACCACAGGGACAAGAACGGACATGTGTAAGAACGCGACAATGGACATGTAAGTCAAAAAAAGCTTTTGCGAAATGATTTTTCTTTCGAATAACTGCATGTTGTGCACAGTTTAGTGGGCGTGATTTCGTTTGCTTTGATTTTTTTTTTGATTTTTCCTAAACCAAACAGAAAACAAAAACGTGATCATGATATGGACGGGACAAGGGACCGAACAAAAAAAAAAGTTTGAATAAAAACCGAAAATGAATACTGTTGTTTAAGTGATCACTTTAAAGAAATATTAGAAATTGATAAAAAATATTCAAATGTTTTTAGTTTTCAAAATTTTCTGAAAATATATTTCAAAAAAACTCTCCGGAAAAGAATTTACCTTCAAAATTGATACGGAACGATTTTATAGAATTTATCTTGTAATTATTTAAAAAACACTGCTAAAGTGATCACTAAATCAATTTTTTGTATGGATAGTGAGTGAGATCGAACGAAAAAAATGAATGAATGAACTGGAGATCAAAGACCAATAAATAAAACGTAGATCAAAGGTTAACCTTTCTCGGAATCGTTGTCGTCGATGGTCTGCGAAGACTCGCTCGACTCTTTGATCGTCGACGGCGGCCCTCCAGCCTCCTTCTTGTTCAGCAAGTTGCGGCCTGAAACCTCTGCGTCACATCAGTCACCAAATATTCTTCCTTCTTTTCTATTCAACTTCACATTTGCCTTAAAAAGAGTATTTTATTTCGTTTCCTTTTTTTTGAAACAAAACTTGGCTCACAGAATCCCGAAAATATTATTAATAAAGATGGCCTGCGCCCTATTTAGAGATTTTTTCTAGACTCAGGTATAAATGTTTTAAATAGTATTTTAAACTTTTTCTTCTTTTTATTATTAGATTTCTCAAAGCCTTTTCCCGGAACAACTCAATCATAAAATTATAATTAAGATATTTGCATTATCCGGCTAACATGAGCAATTTTTTACCGTTCTCAAATGAAATGAACTTTTCGTTGATCGAAATCTCAAAACACAAAACAAGGCATCAAAAACTACAAAAAAAGTTCAATCTTCTCTCCCTCGTTCCGCACTTTCAAGTGTCCTGTGAACGTTGGGCACTTGAAAAATGAGTCATCGCCGCAATAACATGAGCAATATCTATCTAAATGAGTCCAAAAAACTGAACCAACCAAATATTTTGATCCGTCGCATAATTCGCCGATAATCGGTGTGAGAAAAAAAGAATGGATCAATAGCCAAGCGATGAAAATACAAAATGGAAATAGAGAGAGAAATGAAGAGAGATGGTGGAAGAGAGAGAGAGAAATACGGCCAAATATGGGGCGCCTCCAGGTATTACACCGAAACCCGCCTTTTTCGACCTTGCCTTTTTGGCTTTTCTTGGTCTATTCAATCTTTTTCCTTTTTTTGTTGTCCACCCCGCTTTGAACTAGCCAGGTTCAAGAATATTTGAAGTACGTGAACTTTTTGAAGGACTTTTGGGTTTGAAAATAAGCCGATCTAGTTTGATAATAGATAATTTTTATGAAAAAAACATGGTGAAAAACTGATAATTTAAGAAAAAAAAGGTGGTTTAAGGCGGACGTAACGGACGTTTCAAGCGGTCATACTCATAACTGTAGATGCGATTACGACTAAAAATCAAGAAATGAAGTACATTTTTGACGAAAATGAAACTGTATTTACAAAAGTCGGAGTTTCAAAAGGTCTTCCAAAAAGATGTCTGTTCGAAGATAATCATTTGGTTCTCATAGAAAGGCGTCAAGAGCATGAATTTTTGAGTCCGGTGACGTCTGAATTAATTTCAAGCCTAATTGGACGACGATGTCCCACGAAACATTTTCCAAGTTTAAATGTGGCTTCACATTTAATTCCTCGTAAAACTCAAATGAATGATGTCATATCTAATTGTTTCGATTCATGACGTCATTCCAAGGAGATTCAACCTACATTGATCCGAATCCGTTGGACACGGTTCTGGTGGCGGAGGTGGAGGAAGATCAAAAAACGAAGGACTTCGACTGCGGCTCGGACTTGGTCCGGGACTCGGACTCAGGCCACGTCTTCTGGCTCTGCCACGACGTTGATTCAACGGCCTGGTGACGTACAAGAAGCCGCCGACGATCAGAATAACTGCGAGGATTTGGAGCATAGTCTCGTCCCATTGGCTCATAGTTGTGCAGAAGAAGGTCGTCGCATTTCAAGACGTGAGGGGAATCTTCACAACCGATGCAACTTCTTGGGAAATAACATCTCCATGGATACCGTAATGGGCTATTCAGTTTCCTTTTTGTTGAACTTAATTTAAAGTAGAGAGAAAGACACGGAATAGAAATTACCATACGGTACCTATGAAACTAGGAGAGAACCAGAAATTCCAATCGATCAATTTTCTGCTCTGAATTTACTTTGGAAAAAAAAGAGGTCAATACTTAACAAGAAAATTCGAAAAAATCAATCTGTAATACATCGGTAGAAAAATTTTGAAAACTTATTTAGTTTCGTCTTTGGAAGAACGAAAATTTCTTGAATGGCTCAAAAAAAGCGGTCGCGACGTCTTTTCGAGGTAAGAAGTGGTTTATAAATTTTATTATGCCCTAGAGCTGCATCTGACCTTAAGCGACTTTACTTCTTCGCAACCGCGATGCGTTGAGCCCTACTCAGAAGTTACCAAACTTCGGAAAGTGGATTATGCAGAAAAACTGTCTTATCAACTAACTAATCAGAGAAAAAAGAAGAAGTAGCGAAGAAAAATCAATATATCACAGACCAAATTTTATCCGAAATATCAACTAATTCAAAGAAATTGCTCCAATTCGCAGTTAAAGCAAAAAGTGATCAATTGGAACATCCAGTTCAAACGACTAGCCTATAAAATGAAGCGAATAAAAATACATGAGACAATCAAACAGACGTCGGAGCCGAAAGATCTCACACAATCGCTCACGCACACAGAAGCAACACTCACGCACAACCAATGTTTGTGTAAAGTGAACACTTTAGGCGGCAATCCAAGGGGGCAAAGAAAGAAAGTTCGAGACACACTGCGATCTGGCAAATCCAACAAGAGCCCCCTTGTCTTCCTTCCCATCCGATTGATTTCAGCTCGCTATTTTTTTCTCCATTTCTCCTACTTATTTGATTATGTGACGTGGGGAAAGGTACAACGAAATCGTTTGGGAAGAAACTTTAAGATAAGAAAAAAATGGAACTAAGTAATCCATTAGATTTCGTGAAGTGATTTGAAAAAAGTTCCGTCCTTAAGCCTTTCAAATTTTACAAATTACTCGATTGAGTTGGTTCTTCACATAAAAGTACTCTACAAACTATAAAGAATTATAAAAACTATAAAGAAGTATAAAAAATTTCTGACCACAAAAATGAGTTTTGAGAAAATTCGACGAAATACCCGACCGAGTCTTATATTTTCATCTGAACCCACGTCAGAGAAGCCATACGTGCTTGTGAAGGGTTTCTCGTATGGTTTCCTAAGCTTCTGACCGTTTTGGGCTCATTTTGCAATAATTTAGTCTGAAGAAATATCGCTACAAATAAAAATTTTGAATAGCACAGATAGGTGGAAAATTCTTGGAGGAACAGCTTCAAGAGTCTAGCAAAAATGAGATCTGGAAAAATTTATAGATACGGCTCCATCAAAATTTTTCAGAAAAAGAAGAAACACTCAGCGTAATTTTATCTCAAGTGAATCAACTACTTCCGTTTAAGATTAATCATCTCCAAGTACAGTGAAATCCCTACCGTCATCGTCCAAGTCTTGATCTTCATCTGAAACCAGCGGAGCTTCCAATAAATCGAGTTGAATGGGCAAAGAGCTGGTGGACACAGAAGTGCTGGAGGCGGCCAACGACGTCGAACTCGTCGAGTCTACCAAGGCCAAACTGGACAGCTCGGGCTTCTTTTTGACGTCATTTGACGTCTTCTTCTTCTTCCGCCGACTGTTGCGAATCTTCTTGAGGAAGGCGTCCATCCTCCGAAATGGCAACGAATCTATGAATTGGCAAGGAGGCGAGGCAGGGCGGCGGCGGATGATAAGGCTTCCATATTGGAGGCCTCGGCGGCGGCCACCACAACTTTTTCCTTTTACTTTTTCCGTCGCCAGAACCCCAAACGAGGGCCAAGAGCTCCTTTTTGGAGGTGTGCAGACGGAGAAACGGAGCAAATCTCCAAGGAAACGACGGATGAGTTTTCCTATCGATAAAGAGCACGCTCTACTTCCTTTTCTACGCAAATCCTTTTTGGAGCGAGTCTCAGAGAACGCCAGAAAGTGACATTTATTACTTTGAGAGCTCAAACGATGCGTCATTTGCTGGCCAACATGTGACCGACAAACTGATAAAGCAACCATGTAAAACGTTTGTAATGGTCTCAAGTCCAAATAAAACGCGTTCGTGGTAATAAGATCAAAGGAAATAATGTTGAAAAAGGAAAAAAGACAGTAAAAAAAAGATGATTCCAGAACTTTTTTCTTTTTTTCAATTCTTGAACTGAGAAATTGGTCAATTGGAAATTGAATTATGAGAATAATTTTCTTGCAGTAAGACTTTGAAAAAATATACGATTCAAAGAAAAGAAAAGTTCAGAGAAAAAAAAGAGAAATTTTAAAAAAATTCTATATCATTTTACGGTTTATTTGGAAAACAAACCATGTAAACACATGGTTCCGAGATCATTCGTAGCTTGAATTCCGACTGTTAAAAGTTTTAGAACCTTCAAAATTCTGAGAAACTAACAAAGACCAAAAAAAAACATTCAGAGCTGAAAAGAATATTTCAAAAGACTTATTAAAAATTTAAAGAGAAAATGGTGAGAAGTCTGACACGCTGGGGAAGTTTGAAGACGTCTTTTTTGTCTTTAAATTTCAGGACTCCGAGATTTTAAAAAATGAAAATTTCAATATAGAGAGCTCTAACGGAATAAAGCGCATTATGAAAAAAATTCTTCATCTCGCAAAAAAGTTTTTTATTGATGTATCATTACGAAAAAGAAACCTTGCAGGACAGGAGTATTGCTAGCAGGAGAATTGGAGGTTGTCGAACTCGACGTCAAGGTGGACGTGGATCCGAAGTTGGACCGCGACGTCGAAGGAACCGCATCAAATGGAGGAACCCGGCTTGTCGCCACCACCATGTCCATGACTTGCTGGAGACCGGCCGGAGCCGAAATTTTGCGTCGGTCGTCGAGAGATCCACTCGACGTCGACGCCGTCACTCCGGCCGACTTGCGGCGAATCGACGGCGACCTGCGGCGAGTGACGAGGTCAGCGATCGCCGTCGCGATTTTCGTCGCCGTTGATGGTCGCTCGTCGTGGCGGTGCATTCTTTCACTGTTTCATTCAATATGGTGAATTTTTTTGCACGATTTCGAAAAAAGAGGAGATTCAGTGAGAAAAAATCTGGTGATTTCAATAACTTTTTGAAGAAACTCGGCGTCAATAACAGAATCTCAGAAAGACATGAATAAAAAGGCTGATGAAAACTAAAACTGAATAAAAAATGTGAGCCGCAACACGTTAAAATTAATTCTAGTGAAACATTGAAGACTTGAATTCAAGAAAATTAGAAACTAAAAACTTTACTTCAAAAAGCAATCTGGAACTTTGATTTATCATTATCAGCAGCCATAAGTCACTTTCCTATGACACCTAATAAATCAAAAAAGAAAGGAAAGAGGATTTTCGAAGGAAAAATCTTTGGCTGGCCATAACAACTGAAAAACAGCCGGACGGATGTGTGTAAAACGTTCTGCGGCCTTTTTTCCGAAAAAAAAAACTTTTTTGATCGTCTGAAGGGATTCATTGGATTACATTACAACATGGTCAAGGCGGAGCAAATCTTCATCAAAATCGGTCTTTTCAATGGAGATTTAGTCGAGTAAGTATGAAAATGCTAAAGAAACACTGAAGAAAACTTTAACTTGTCTGATAAAACCTTCAATTTTTCATGATAAAAATAGTTTTTCCCACGCCAAAGAAAATCATAGGTTTGACATTATTATTAACTGAAAAAAGAGAAGAAAACATTTTTGGACTGCAAATATGAATAAACCCTTTGCTTTTAAAACTTAGATTCGAAACAATTAAATCAGGAAACCACAATCAGTTGAGAATCTTTCTTTTTTTATAATCTTCTGATGGCCCTCACTTTCAAAAACTTTCCCCTAGCACCATATTGCCTTGATACAAAAAATCTTGACTCGACATCTCCAAAAAAAGACCAAAGACTTTCGAGAAGCCCAAAACGTTGGATAAAAGATTGTGGGAGGAAAAGCCGTAGCGAATCCTCAGAAATCTGTTTTGCCGTGAAAAAAGAAAGATAAGCGATCAAGGTGCCGTGTGCGGTTTGCTCGGAAAAGACTCACGAAAAGATTGGACCCGTGGGGCAGAAGAGCGGTGTGTAATATTTGTGAAGCACTTATGCCTGATAAAAAGGCGAAAAAGGGCCCACACACAGACGCACGAATCCTTTTCATAAAACTTTCTACCATAGAAATGAGATCTTATGGTTTTTGGGTTCAAAGGTGTTCCAAATGGTGAAGTTTCCGTAAAAAAAAGCATATATATAACTTTGATCTCTGAGGTAAACCATTTCACGTAATAAAAAAAAACCTTGAAACGTCCAAAAAATTCAATTTTGAATACTTCAGAAATGTCTTCTTACAATGAATCAGAAAAAAATCAAAACCATATGGACATTTTTCAAACCCAAAGAAAATGAATAAAATTTTCGAAAAACGTGAATTATCTTCTCCTTCCATGTTTCTCGATTGAGATGCCACCGCAACAAATCATATTCGAAGATTCGAAAACAAAACTTATAAAAGCTACAGAAAGCATCCATTAGCCTTACATCCAATGCGCCGCAAAGCTTCTAACCGACGTTACGAAAGCTTTCAATCAAGCTCTTATTCAACCTCAAAAACCTAAAAAAAAACCTTATATCAGCCGAAAAAACTTATTTGACACCGGAAAGCGACGAGAACTAGAAAAAAGGAAGAAAATTTGATTTTGATAAAAAAAAAAGCTGAGGAAAAATTTTCACGACGAACGGGTGAGGGACATCTATAAACAATCTTTTTTTTTGTTTTGGCCTTCTCAAAGCCGTTTTTGACGCTTTTTCGGTTATTTTCTATTGTTCATATGAGCTAAAGGGATATGAAAACCAGTTCAATATATCATTATTCAGAAGAAAGAAGGAAAAAGGGAATTCAAAAATGTTGAGTCCAAACAATAAATACATTGAATTTTCATGCAATAGTCCCACACAACACATATTGCTCATGTTACCCCATATTTCAACTCAACTCTTTATATTTATTTTTTTATCTTTCGTCCATGTTGCTCATGTTAGCCGGCGATAGCCTCATTTTTAAAAAGGATCATTTTTTTCAACAAAAAGAAAAAAACCAACTTGAAAGGTTGCGCGTGGCGATCATCGTCGTCAGAATGGCGCCCTGAAATTGGAAATTTTCTTGTTATTTTTTTCCGATTCTTCCAAAAAAATTGCTTTATTTGATTAAAAATTTTGTCACATTGATAGTGATAGAGCAGTGATGTTGAAGCGATGAAGAAGCTGTGTTATTGGACTATTTTTTTTTATTGAAAAAAAACTTTTTCAGCGCTGTTAGATGTGAGTAGTTCAGATTTTGTTACTAAAAGTTTAACCACCCCTAAAAGTTCAGAAAAAAAAATTATTATTACCGAATTATAAAAGGGAAAAGAAAAGCAAAAAAAAAAAATGAAAAAAAGTCGAATGAAACCACGAAACGTTAGGAACTGAATTTTAGTCAGAAAATTAAATGATAAATGAGAAAAGAAGAAGCGAAAATGAAAGAAAGTTTTGAAAAAAGGTATAGTTAGAACATGCAAAAGTTCCCAAAAATGGTTGGAAAAGCGAGGAAAAAATTGGACGACATTGAAAATGAGACGGCATTCATGTTCAGCAAGCCATACACAGCGAAAAATGGGAAACGTTATTGCTTTTTTTAATAAAATAAAACCTCAAAATTTTCGCTTTCATCAATTTTTTTTTTCTTTGAAGAGCGTTTTGAACATTTTTTTCGAACAGTGATGAAATAATGATACTTCACAAAAAAATATTTTTTTGAAATTTTCCAATAGTAATCAGTACGTGAATTTAATAGCCAAGTTAAGCAGCTTCATAGAAAAAAATATTGAGTAGTGAAATCAAACTTTTGATCGAACATATTTTTTTCAAATCACAGAATTTTGTAGCTAGCTTTTCATTTTTATTAGTTTTAGTAAACCTGTGAAATTCTGAACGTCAAAGTATACCTGTGAATTCCTTCTCTTTTTTTTTCAGAAACTCTAGGACCTCTTGGAACTTACAGCAAGATAAACTGAATCAGCTATAAATCAAGTTCTTTTTTGATCTGAATTCGATATTTTTCAAAACACTCAACATAAAAACAGTGAGTTTTTTTCCGGAAAAAAATTGAACTGAAATGGGAAATTTTCTGACAAAACACAGAGGAAAAAAAAGGGAAAAAATTCATGACAAAGGGACCGAAACATGCAAAAAACCATCCCAACACAGTCACCAATTATTCAACAACCAAAAAAACCAGACATTTTTGCAATTAAAACTCAAAAAAAGCTTTCAAATCATATCATTAACAAGTACATGTATATCAGTAAAAACCATCGGGGAAATTCGATTGGAAAATAAAATGAAACCTTGAAAAATGAACAAAAATTAGATAAAATATACATGAATCGACGGTTTCACAAGTACATTTCTAACCAAAAACACGAACCAAAAAACGTCTCATTCCCTCTCAAATTCGGTAATTAATTTAATTTTTTAGAGGTGCAAAAAGCCCCAATTTCATCATTCCATCATTTTCTGCTTTTTTAGAGCTTTGCGAGCTTTTGATTGGTACTTGAAGCGCATTTTTGGTTAGCAATGCATTATGAATATAATGTATGCGTGTGTGTATCGTGTGTAAGGCGGTGCAAAGCCGCGACGCGCGGACCCATACACGCGTCGCGGTCCGAGAAACGTCATTCTGGCGGGAATACAAAAGATGGAGGGTTAATTGCACTCAAATTTCCGACAAGCCGTGTACTTTTCGGTGTAGGGTTAGCGGTTAATCTCAAAAGCCAAAGAGGACCCTGAAAGGGCCACTTGGACGCCATTAAGCATGTGATTTGCGTTAAAATTTTGCGTGTAGGTGTATTTTCAAGTGTGGACAGAGTAATGCTGGGCCTTTTGGGATTTTTTGTCATCTGAATCGAATTCCTGCCTAAACGTTAAACTTTCTAAATTTTATTGTGAAGAGGAAGAAAAGCTCTGACGGAGTAAAGATGGTAAAACATCACGTCTTTATTAAACTATCCAGAATGGTATCGTGCTTTTGGAAAAAAAAAATTCAGTCGAAGTAAATTTTTACAAGTCCGTACTGACGAAAATAGCAAACCAGATCGAAAAAATTACTTTTTCTTCGAGGTTGAGCGAAAAATGGAGCTGAATCTCGGTGAAAGCAGGCTCGAAACGAGATCGGTTGGAAAATTATATGCTTCCTTTTCACATGAATTTTTATTATCTTCGCCTTAATTATAGTGTCCGTTTCTCGATGGAAAATTTTTATCGCGGTTTCAATGGGTGTCTGATTGAAGGTTTTGAACCTAGCTATGTGAGATTCGATGAAGAGTGAAAATTCGAATGATTCTAGATTTTTTTTTCGGCAAACTGGAAAAGTTTATTTTTGAGACAAAAAACTTTATCATAGTGAAAAGAATATGCCAAAGTCTCTGAAGAAGCCGTTTCTTTAATGTCATTAGCTACAATTTATTCATAACGATTATTATTCATTTCGATTTTGAATGTTCAGTCTGCGGTAGCCATTACAGAACGACTCACGCCAAAAAAAGTGAAGTTTTCTGCTCTAACGCCAGATGTTTTCAATTGCGTAATTCTTAAAGGTTTCAGCTTGTCTCTGCAACGAGAGGTGTCCGATTCAGATGACAACTTGGAAGGATGGGGTCTTTGGTGTGGGAGGAAGGCAGGGGAGATACCTCGTTGGTGGTGTTGTGCAGAGGACTCGTCGGCTGCGACGAAGGCCCCGCAGACGTGCCGGCCTCCTGCGGCGTGCTGCCGTTCGAGGCGACGCTGCCAGTCGAGTCGCTCGTCCGCAACACGCCCGACATTCTCGTCACCATCTTCACGGCAGAAATCGCTGCCTGCCTCATGGGTCGTGTGTACGTGGGTGTGTTTTGTGTATACGTACATTTGGGTCTACTTTTCGAAGGTTGCCACTATGGATTTTCATTTTCAACCGGTCAGTTGTTGTGAAACCTTACAAAAGCGTTCCAGTAACCCATGCCTCTAATTAGCTATCTTGCAGCCTTGAAAATTCTAGCTGGAACGCGAATGCAGGAATCTACAAGCTATCAAATCAGACTAGATTGTCGCACTTGGAATAGTTTTTTCCCTTAATCAAATTAAATAAAAGAAATTCTAAATGCGGCAAAAAGTTCATCGATAATTTTTTGAAAACGCCTAGTAACATTTTCTTCAGTTTCCATTTAAAATTTTCATAAATAGAACAACGAAATTCCAAAAAACTGAGATAAAAAGAGAGAGAAAAGAGTTTTAAAGAGTTTAACCCATTATTTCAAACCGAACGGCATAAATAAATACAGAAAATCTATAAAGTATGAGTACATGTAGGATGAAAACGGAATTTTTCAGTACAATAATGGACAAACTATGTTCACACGACATTCGCGCATTCGCCGGCATTCCGTCAACACACCAACTGTTCGCATTTTCCAATATTTGGACTATATATCAAAAGAAAACGAACCCAACGTGCAAATAAAGGTATGACAAGGGTTTTCAATTAGTTCTTTTTCGTGAGAGAAAGATAGACGACACTGAAATAAAGGTAAACATTTTTCTACCGACTTTGTTCTACTGAAAAAAGGGTGTTTTTACACGAATCACAAAAACGAAGGTGCTTGAAATAAGGGGAAAAATAGAAAAACTACAGTCTAGAAAGTTTTTTTGTAGATTTTTTTTTTTGAGAATCACAACACCTCCATTCACATGCTTGAATCATTTTTAATAGTAATCATGTAAAAGTATTATGAAAAAATAGAAGATAGGAGCGAACCAAAGTAAATAAAATAGAAGAAACTTTTAGAAAAAATGAGTGCGGCTCTGACTTTTAATAATCCTCTCTCTAAAATCAGAGACAATATAAAAACGTTTGTTTTTTACCGATATTATTCCTATATTCAATTTCAACACTTACATCTTACCTCTAGCGTCATGTTCTATTTATTGACGTCATAGTCTGTTAAAAGATATCGTGACCTATTCAGTGTCATACAAAAATACGCCGCACTCATTTTCCCAGCTATTAATTGACTAACTGCTTAGGAAAAATGGAATAAAGAACGAATGAAAAAAGAACCTTCAATTTCCGACGAGCGTTGAACTTCTTCAAGCAGTCAACAGTGTCCTGTCTGTGGATGGCCGACGCCACGCGTTCGCGGTTCTGAAAATTGAGTGTTTAAATCAATAAATCAACTTTTCAGAAAAATATCCAGTCTTTGATTAAATCCCAAGGAAAAACTTATATTTTTGCGAGATAAAATCCATTCCGAATGCGGTCGTCTAGTCAAGACATAAACGACTTACACAGATCCACGGGACTTTGAGCGCCTGATCGGCCGTTATCCGCTTCTTTGGATTAACCGTCAGCATACTGTCGATGAGGCTTTTTGCCTCAGGCGTTACCGTATCCCATTCGGGGCTTGGGTACTGTAATTTTGAGGTTGAAAAACTTTCAGAATGACGTCACTCACGTCATAGGCGCCAGCCTTGATTTGAGCGTAAAGTCGGTGCTGGTCCTCATCCCAGAAAGGAGGGTAGCCGACGAGCAGAATGTACAGGATAACACCTGGAAGGTTTTTATACTTTCAGAGTTTTCTAAAGAGGAACGTTCAAGCTATACTTCCATCTTGCAAAAAAGTACTACAGAGACGTCTGAGTCTCTTATTTTTCCCACTCTCTCACTGATCATGTGAAGATCCCAAAAAAACAACATGAGCTCTTTGATCGATAATTTTCAGCTATAAATATTCTGGTCGTCCGGAAAATGGCTGAACCTAAAAAGCTGCGAAGCAGTTGCCCTCAGACCAAAAGAAACGTTTTCATAAGCTTGGAATTTACGAAATTCTGTTCAAACTTTGAATGAATATCCTCGTTCGCAGCGCAACTGCGACGCATTGAGACATTCTACGAGCGACCAGAGATTCTCAAGTTGAGACTGATCAATCTAGTCATCAGCAAAACGCTCAAAGAAAAATCTTTAAAAAACTTTATCATGTTTCATCCACTTTTATAACTTGAATATTTTTTACACTCAATTCATACGGAAGAAAGAGGTTTTTTGTCGAATCTCCTCACCCCAAAAAAACAAAAATCAAAAACGAACCGCAAGCCCAGATGTCGACCGGCTTGGCGTAGGGATCCTTCTTGAGGACTTCCGGGGACAAATATCCAGGTGTTCCGGCGAATCCGAACCACGCCTCCGTGTCCTGGCTAACCTCGATGGCCAATCCGAAATCGGCCAATTTCACCGCCGCTCCTTTCGCTTTACTCGCCAGCAGAAGGTTTTCAGGCTAAATAACGCCATTCCCATTGTCATTCCGGTTCATGTTGAATAGTGTATCCACCGTTAGCTTGGAAAAAAAAAACTGCTTGGCGTATGAAGATACTTTTGGCACGAAGTTGATGCTCTTTTTATTCGAAACACAACTCTGACTTCTTCAGAATACATTTTTAGCTATTTGTCAGGAAAATATTGGAAAAAACTCTTCAAAAATGCCCTCAAGAGTAAAGTCTCAAAGTGAGCATCAAATCGAAAAAGCATGAAATTCGAGCCACTATTTGATTTTTTTTTTCCATAGCAGCGCTGAATAAACTATAAGTCCCGGCAAAAAATTATTTTCGTTTCTCAAAATCCCATTATTCTAATTTTTCTTAAATTTCGAGGCTGGAACATTAACCTTCTCGCTCAGAAAAAAACTAGAGAAAATAAAACGAAAAATAAAAATTTTTTTGCACGGTACTGTATAGTCTGTTCACAAGAAACTTGAACTAAATTTCAAAGGCACAGGATGAAAACAAATTTTCGTTATAAAACGCATTGAACGTGATATCCTGCGCCTTCAAGTAAATCTTCAAAGTTTTTGTGAACCGACTATATGAGAAAGTCATGGAGTTTTCCATGAGTTACATCTTCTGTTTTGACTCATGCAAACTCCAAGACTTTTGACACGAAGCATATAGTCTGTTCAGATTCTACATGTCAAAGCAGCTAACTCCGCCCCTGCTGAGACGGTACCCTTTCGCGTCGATGTTTTAACGCGCGGGACTAATTTTGATCTTTTTTGATCTAAAAGATAGAAAAAGAAGTCAAAAATGCAGCCTTATTAAAGGGCCATCGTCATCTGTAGATCAAACATTGACGCGAAAGATATTGTAGCTTTGGGGGTGGAGTTAGCTGCTTGACATTCAAAATCTGAACAGACTATAACACAAAAAAACGCTCAGAAAGTGGAAAAAAAGCTGAAGTTTTAAGCCGAAAGGAAAAGCCCAGAACCAGAAGCATACAGGCGAAATGGAAAATTGCACTTTCAAATATTCCTTCTTGAATTTTTCAAGTTTCATGAAAATTTCCTAGCTTTTTTTGGTCTGAAAATAATAAAAAATTGAAGAAAAAGAAAGGAAAAAAAAAAGAAAGTTTACACAATACAAAACCCACTACTACAACAAAACTGAAGATAAATTGGAAACCTTAAGGTCGCGATGAACGATGCCGTTAGCATGGCAATACGCGATAGACTCGAGGATTTGTTGAATGCAATGACTGCAAAACCGGGTTAGTACTGGTGCAGAATCGAAAACCAAAAGAATTTCCAACCAAACATAATCAATTTGGCGGCATTTGAAAGATAACCAAAACTTCAAAGATCTTCGTGTTTGCTCTTCAAGTACGCAGAAAAAACACGCCTATTTTCAAAAATCGCTTTTAAATATTCTGCTGAATATTACTACAGCAAATCACTGCGTTTCAAGTCACGCCAAATCGATTATGTCGTTTCCATAGTTCATTCTAATCAAACTGATGTTGATCGCAAAAAAAGAATTGAAACAATTAAAAATTTTTACAATTATATTAACGAATTATCCACAAATGTTCCAAAGAAAAAATGAACTACGGAAACACTCTCTCACGGTTTTGGTTAGGTAAATTATTAAAATCCTTAAAAATAATTTTAACACAGGTGTTATTCTACTTTTAATCACTTTGGCGAAAAAGCTGATCTACTTTCTGTGTTTGAGTCTTACTTTGTGTCGAAGCAAAACATAAATAAACTACGATGAAAATAGATCGAGATTATTATTTTTCATTAAATTAGAAGATGACATAAGGAACCAAAATAATCATTTTAGAATACTTTTTACTGAAAAAAATGGTTTCAGAGCAATGACGTCATATTGATCTTGTAATGACGTGAATTTCACACATAGACTCCTCGAAACGTTTTTTTCCTCCGATATATTTTCGATAAGTCATATTTTCACGCAGCTTTGAAAAAGTTTAGAATGTAAAAAATGACGTCATAGGAATTCATAACGTTCGCAACAAAGGGATTCAAACACAGGAAGGAAGTTTTCTTTTCTTTTGGAGAAACAAAAAACGATTTTAGTGACCCCTTGAGGAACCACTAAAAACCGGTCTTTTAAGCGTTTTCATCGAGGGTTAAGTGGTCAGCAGCAGCAGTAGCAGCAGTAGAAGACGGCAGCCCAAAATGAAAAGGACAAAAAAACGAAAACATTCAAAAAACGTTTTTTTTTTCAAGTTTGAGTGAATTTTGATACCTTCATGTCTCTGTGCACAATGCTTCTTTGGTGGCAATAATTGACCCCCTCGAGAATTTGCCAAATGCAATAACTACAAATACTCAACGCTAAATTGGTTAATAGATTATTTGGAAAGAAGAAAACTACCCTTTTGGGTATTTGAAGAAAGAAAAAGATTGAGAAAAACGATTTCGTCGGTTATTTGCTGTTAGAGTTTTGAAAAATGCGCTCCAACGAACTGCACATTCTTGATAATCCTTTACGAAGTTTGAGGCTCAATTTAGGGTGGACTAGATGATATGAGTGATAAATTTTTCTAGTAAAATTATAGAATGAAAGCGAAAATTTGAACTTGAGATTTTGATTTTTTTGAGCACAATCTCTATTTGATTGAAGCTCGAAAAAATTCAAAAATTTTAACTTTTATTCGTTGTTTTTCATTAAATATATTTTTCTCATCTCCTCATTCTTCCAAATACCCAAAACATCGTTCTAATTCTAACTGGGAACTTCTAAAATACCTGGCGTCGGCTTCACTATAAAATTCACGGGCGACAATATCTTCGAAGAGCTCGCCGCCAGTTACCCTGAAAACTAAGAATGAAAACATTTTATATAATTTTCACAGCTCTCCTCTGCCTTTCAAAAACTACTTTTTTCCCTTGCACTACACGAGAGCCCTCATAAATTTAAATCCGAGATTACGAAACGGATTCCCAGACCCATCAATAAATATCCTTCCCAACAAATCGGAGAGAAAAAAGGAGAAACCAGGACTCACAAATCAAAGACGAGGTAGTGGAACGACTCCTCCTGGATGCTGTCGTGTAGTCGGACTGCAAAAAACATGTTTCGAAACTGAACTTTTCTGAAGCTTTTCGTTGGAGAGACATATCGATTGGTCTCTTTTCAACTCGTACTTTTCGAAAACAAGACATTTTCAAAAAACAAAACTAACCGATGTTGGGATGTTGAAGCTTGCGGCAGATGCGGGCCTCGCGTTCCAACTTTTGGAAATCGCGCGCCGACAACTTTTTCGTGTTGATTATTTTGGCGGCGAATTCTTGGGCCGAGGTTTTGTGCACGCACCGTCGCACCACCGAGAATGCACCTCTGAAACATTTTCTTTCCTCCTTTTATTCTCACAGAGGTAGCGTTCTCAGTCACTTGGTTGGAATATTCTAGATAAGTTTTTGGAATTTAGTTCGCACGAACTTGCTGGATTCTCTTTTTCAAAACCCTTCTTTTTATCTGAAAACGGAGAATTTTGGAACGAATTCCAAAGTTTGAAATGCTCAATTCACTTTCCGTCTTCCAGCCCTTCTGATCACCCACAAATTCCTCTTATTTCTGATAAGGCTAATCCCCGTGGGCGTCAAAAGCGTCGGATTAGCGGAGTGGTGGTCGTATAGCACCTCCGTTTCACAATCAAGACATATCAATTCGAAAAAGTGTGTGTGTTCCTTTCTTCGCACTCTTAACGAATATCGCGCCGGTTGCCGTGGAAACTCGGCAGATTATCGCCACTAAAAGCCCACGCAGATGTATTGGTACAAGACACCGCAAGGTTACAGAATACTATAGAGCGACGACAATTTTTGTAGTCTTCTGAGGTATTGTATTCCCGGAAGACTACAAAAACCTACGCACAATCAGCAGAGCGCTACAAACATTCGGTGTTTTCTAGAAAATGTGGAGTTTCCTAGAAATTCGGACGCAATAACAAAATTGTGGGAAGACGTAATCAGAATTATTTCCAAGGAATCGGAAAAAAAGCCCAAAATCTAAATTTTCTGGGTAGGTGGTGGTAGATGAAATTCGAGAAAACCCACTTAAAGATGAAGAAAATTATTTTGAACTGAATTGGTTGGAATGAGAAGTCTAGAATCATCGAAATAATTGAAAGAAAAAACTGGAAAACTATTCAAAAAAGTATTGAAAAACCCTTGATGAAAAACTCTTTTCGAACGATGCTCCGAATTTCTCATTTCTCAATGCAGCGCATTAAGCCGAATCGCTTGCTTTTTTTCTCAAAATTTGAGAAAATACTCACTTTCCGAGCTCCTCCTTGACATCGTAGTTGTCGCTAAACTTGGTCGACGTGTTCATCATGACCATATCCCGACTGTGCCGCTTCTCACCTGTAAGCATATTTATCATTATTGGAAAATGACTTCTACCAAAACGTCCCATTATTTGACCAAAACGTTTGAATCATTTTTGAGAAAAGGATATCTTAGTTTCATTTAAAGATTTGAAAAAAAAATTGAAATTATTCACATCAAAATTTCAATCAGAAAGAGGGAACTAGTCAAAAAGAAAAAAAGAGAATTGAGACGGAAAAAAAGCCATAACGCATTGAAAATAAAAAGACTTTTGAAAAAAAGAAGTCTTTTCGAAAAAATTATGATTTTTAAGGGATGAAAACGCTTCGAAAATGCTTTGAAAATAATGAACAATAAAACTTCAAAGAGTTTTTTTCAATCATTTTCAAGATTTTTAAAAAGAAAAATTTATCGAAAAAAACAAAAATGTTTTGAATCGAAAGATTATTTCAAACGCATCCGAAAGCTCAGCGAAAACTCGTTTCAAACCTTTTTGAGGTATTGAAAATTGAGGGGAAGCGAAATATAAGCTCTTAAATATGTCGCTTTTTTGAATGAGTCGATGCGCAGCGAAATATCTGAAGTTTTCTCAGATCAACCTTGAAACTTCGTATCGAAAACAATGAACTCAAGTCAATTGCTAAGAAAGGAGTGAATTTTGTCAAATGAATATTCGTTTAGGGCGATGAAAGAATGAGAAAAAGAAGTGGGAACTTGTCCAAACAAGCCACGCCCACCGATTCTTATTCTTTCTTTTTTTTTCGTTTTTTTTTGCCGTCTTCTTCTTTTTTTTCCTTCTTTCTCAGAGCCACTGGCAAAAAACAAAAAACAAAAAAAAGAAGGTGGGAAAAAGGCGGACCTTTGCATTCCTCGGACGGACTCTCGGCAGCTCTCTTCGTTATTTCTGCTGGGACGACGCCTCGGCTCCGTTTTCTTCGCCCCTGAAAATTGAACCCGTGTGCCATCATTTTCCTTTTTCTTTTTGCGTTTTGTCGAGGTTAGAAATGTCGCGCCAACGCTAATAAGTTGCTGGATCGGATTACGGTACTCGAGGATGAGTTCAAATGAGCGCGATGGTATTACGGTTGAAATGAAAGAGAATGGAGGAGGACAAGAATCAGGAGTGAATAGAAAAATGGAAAAAATATATGACAGGACTTTTTTCAAGGATGAAGATGCTTACAAAACTACTATAAATGAGGTCCAAAGTCTGAAAAAGAAAGGTCATCGAGATCCTTTTGACTAACAACTAACGGCAATCGGAAATCTTTTAGGTGGTTATTTTTGGGAAATTTTTAACGATACTCTCAAATTTTATATGCTCTTGATAGTGTTATCTTTATGACATTATATCTTTCATTGTTGGAAAAAGTTGCCTTTTGATTTTATTGACTGTTTTGCTAGCAAATATCAAAATTTACATATATTCAATAAGCAGAAAGAAAATGTATCTCGAATAAAAACAGAGAGATTCATTTGGCCAAATTGAGACACTTCAAGGAATGAAACAGGCTTTTTTCTTTCAGAATTACACAAAAACGATAAATTTTGAATTTGTAGTATGCAACATGTAATTCTGAAAAAAAAGAAAACGGAGCCAAATCGTGAGAGAAAAATGCGAGTCAGAAAAAAAAACAAACATAAAAACGAGGAAAACGACCAATAAAACCCTTTTTTGGACATTTTTAGGCCCAAAAAAGTCCTTCTTTGATTCGCTTCGTACTTCGTATCACAAACAGGTCAAAGAGGAGGTTTTTCAACGAAAACCGTATCAGTTCGAAAGGGGCCAAGTGGAATGGATAGCTCCTATCAGAAAGGAAATTTTTGAACATATCGAGATTGCTACGAAGAGATTATGCTGTAGGAAAAATATTTCAAAGAAGATGAGAGAGTAAACTTTAAACAAAGGTAATTTTTTTTATCAGTCAGCACCATTCTGTTCATACACAGACTCAACAAAATAGAAAAGCAAAATCAATCAAAAGTTTGAAAATAGGGTAAAAATGTCAATGTTCTCAATCGAATTTAGAAAAATACCTGATCAAACTTTTCGACAGAAAAAGAGAACCATTTTCAAGAAATTCAACAGCCGTGAAAACAGAAAGCAAGCAAATTTAGAAAAACCCCCTTTCGTCCATTTTACGTCATAGAAAAGTTAAGTTGCATGTTATTTTATAATGAGAACTATTTTTTTCCATATTTTTGAATGCCTGTTTTCAGACAAAATAACAAATTTGAAACAAGAGTCTCAAAAACCGGAATCGGCTATTTTTACCTTTTTTCTGTGCTCCAATGATAAAATGTCTGAAAAAGTTCTCCCAGCAAGTTAGAAAGTTATTTTTCACGTTTGTCCAACTCGAAAGTCCAATAATGAATAAAAGATCATATCGAGAATTTCGTCAAAAAACTCATCAATACAAAAATCGTAAGCAAAAATAAGTTTTCACATCTTAAAAAAGCGTCTTAGCATTTTCACACACTTGCATCTTCCTTTCTTCAATGAACTCTAAAAAAATTCAAAAAAAAAATTTCGAAAATTCGAATAAAAATTTTGGTTCGCTCAATTCTAAGAGGCGAAACTTCTCAACGAACCATTCAAAAAACGAGAAAAAAAAGGCAAGCCAAAGAAGGCAATCGATATAGAAGAAAACGAGCGGAAATAATAGACATTTATAAGATAAAGGAAAAAGATAGAGTGTTTGACGGCGGCGGCGGCGGTGGCCGCAGGGCGAAACGGCAAAAACGCTCACGGGAAAGCTCACGGCCGACGAGAGAGCGAGAGGGCGCCAGACAGACAGACGGACAGCCCCAACGACAACCACAACATTTCATATCGATTGTCGGTTTTCTCTCACGGTGAGCGATTTTGAGCTCAAAAAGAAAAAAAACAGAGAAAACTCACACTCACAGAACGATTGCCTTCAGGGAAGTGATATAATGCGAACACCCGGGGTCTTTCTTTTTCAAACTTCAATTTGGAGCTGTTTGAGCTCAAAATCGCTCATCTTTCGGACTTTTTTTTCACTTAACTGATCACTGAGACTTCAAAGCTCTTGAGTAGTCGTTGAAGACCACTTTTAAAGTTTGTCAATTCCGGAGTCGAGACTACAAATCGAGCATTAAAACTCAGAAATTTCACTCAAATGACTACTAGAAAAATTTTTGACATTTGAAAAGTCTCTTTCCTCGAGTTTTTCTGAGATAAAAAAGATCTCTGAGAGAAAGCTTCTTTCCTGGCTTTCACCCCTTAAGTGGTCATTGGACATGAAGAGTTTCCAAGTGATCACTGAAGCATAATACTTTCGTATCAGCGCTCCAGGCGTTCCGAAATTGAGAAAATGAAAAGAAAATGGATAAAAATGAGTGACCATTCTAGATATGTACCGTCTTCAAATCAATTAAAGATTTTCATAAGATACGGCTCAAGTTTTTTCTGAATTTTATTGTGTACCATCAAAGAAATGTCCATTTCTGACTCAATACTTCTGTTGGATCCTTTATGACGGTCATCAAATTTAAAAATGGCCACTTGAGCGATCTTTGAAAAGGAAATCGTCAGAGATGACGTCATCACTTTAAGGAGATGACGAATAATTTTAAGATGTTGGTACATGCGTTTGTTGATGTAACTGTGAGTCATGATTTGAAACACTTTGGATCTGACTCGAAAAGGAAATCGGGTTACGGTAGCTGTAGTATGATGGAAATTAGTAGGAAGAATTCCAAAAATGAAGCGCAATGAGAGGTAAAATGGAAGTAGAAGTACAGAGGAAAAATATGAAACTTGGAATTTTAATCTTTTCTTGAGAAAAGGTACAGTAGATGTTGGAGTGAGTCCAAATAAGGTCTCAAAGAGATGAAAAAACCATGAAAAATTCAAAATATTAGTTTTCGAGGCTTAAAAAGTAATATAAAAAGAAGTAAAGTAGCGCAAAAGAGTAAAAAAGATATATTCAAAAAAATGAAAAACTTCTGAACTTCAATTACTCCGTTCTGAAAAAAAAATGTAAAAAAACCTAAATTTCCGAGTTTTCTTGCAAAGTTTATATTTCACAGGAGAATCGGATAGCCAACGTTGTACTTTGAATCCCTATAGGTTTTAAAATCAAAATAAGGTTTGATAAACACTTATCTTTTCAAAAGAACGCTTGAAAGCGACAAATTTTTTGCTTGAAAATGTCTTTCTGACAGGTGAAAAAATTTCTGAATGGTGAGAAGAAAGCTCAGTTTTTTCAAAACTGAAATCTCCCAAGTTGACTAAACGCATTGTAATTTTTGTGGTACTCGTAGATTTTGAAAACTTTATCTCTCAAAACTTCCTATTTGAGAAATCGAAATTCTAGTTTTCAGAAAAGCTACTTTTGTGGTTGAAGGCAGAAAGTCTTTTACGAAAAACCTTAATCTTCTAAATCGAAAGAAATTCCAGCCAGGTTCAAAGAATGTGAAAGTTGCGAACAACCGTCTCCTAGGAGAAGTCCAAAGGTGTCTATTACAACGTAGGCTGAGATTTGGGATTGTAGTGTTGTGGTTACTGTAATCAAGCTGCAAACTGACGTAGTTTTTAATGAAGGCCTTTTTTGCAGTCGAGCTGTCGTCAACAGGTGCCTACGCAAATTGCTCGCCCTTTTCTTTTCTCAGTTTCGAAGAATCTTACAAATCCCCGTGGAATTATCGTTACAAAAAGTGATGGCTATTTTGGGTGGCTTTATCTTTGACGTAAATTGATTCTCCCGTCGCGTTTTGTAGAGACAAAATGATGAGAGGAACGAGAAATGACTGCAGTTTGATAATAAATTACAAAGTGGCCTAGTAGAGAATTTACGCCTTATTTTTTTTTTCTTTAAAAAATGGGAAAAAAATCACTATTTTATGCCCTATAAACTCCCCTGAATTTTACTAACCGGTTTTTAGTTCAAACTACAAAACCTTCATTTCGGATTGGCAAAGTTCTAGAAAAGAGAAAAAGCGAAAGGAAAGTGCGCATGTGGAGATGTGCTCTTACGCTAATAACTTTCGCAACGAAGCCAATTTTTTTCTTTCGCCTCACTGCCAAATATGAAAAACGAAACCAATTTGACTTTGACGCTTAAGGGCAACGTTACTTGACAAGAAAATGAGGATTGTGAAGAGTAGCTTAAAAGAAGGAAGAAGCTTGGGGGAGGAAAAAGAGTAAAGTCAAAGTTTTAGGTTTTTCAGAAAAAAACTTCTGTTTTTTTCGACGGCACTTTTTTTCCTATCTCGGAGTGTAATTTTTTTGAAATCCGTATGCTTCACGAGAAAAATCTAAATTACACGAAGCTTTCTTTAGAAAGAAGAAATAATGATTTTTTTTTCTGACCCTAAACCTTTAGAAAATATCAAAAACTTAGATGTTCGAATATTTCATGTTTTCAATTGAAGTTTTCACTGAGCTTTTCAAATATTGTCGAAAGAAAAAAGTGAAAGTCGTATTAACTTTTTTAAACTAGTTACCTCCAAAAACCATTCGACTCGCTTAAAAAACTGGAATAATTTCAAAAAACAAAGGTAAATTTTTTTCAATAATCTTCATGGAAGCCGACAAGGGAAGAAATTTCCCTTTGAAGTTGGGAAATTCTTAAAAATTGGTGAGAACACTCTTTGATGCACCAAAAGAAGGTTCTGAAACCCGTAAACTTTGCCCATTTTTGAGAGAAAAAAAGAGGTCAAAGCCCATTTTAGTAGATTTTGAGGGTTTTATTTGATTTCGAGTTATCCTTTCTCGAAAACAAGGAAGTTTTGCAGTTTGAGACTTTCAGGATCTTCAGCCGGTAGATCAAGGCGCGTTCTGGCCAATTTTCAGGGAATTCTTAATCACAAAGTGAAATTACCTTCCTTGTCAGAGTATTTGCGATATAATCTGAGCAAAAAAACGTAGAAAATACGGGCTTCTGTTTTCGTCGCCGTTTGATTCAAAAATCCAGCCTTCCCCTTTGAATTTCGGCCAAACTTCAAAGCCTACCGTAATTTCGCTTCTTAATTGTCTTTGGCTGACGAGGCATACCAAATTTGGTTCTGCCCCTATTGCGCTAATTATTGTGCGACGACCAATTAGTCGTCTTTCCTTTTTTTTTCTTTGCAAAATAAAATTTCTTTCGATTCGTCGAGGGCTCTTTGAACTATGGCTTTTTCGTCGTCTGTTTTCTGAGATTAAAACCAAGTTCAGCCGTCCTGGAAAGCTAGTAAACACGTCCAGAAAGATATATCTCCTGAAAAGTTTTTTAGCAATGTAATATCAAAAAATGATTTGCGAAAAATTCCTCAATCCTATAACTTTCCTTGGAGGTCAACTATGAGTATGAAGGCTTCTTAAAATTATAACTTTGTAGGAGAAAAAGCAGGCTTCGAAAAACCTTTGATTCAGACGTTCTTTGGACATTGAATCTGCAAAACACAGCTAATCAGAACCTTTCCTAGGAATTTCGCTGAGTTCTTATTCAAAACTATAGTGTTTCCTAAACTTGACACAAATTTTGAGTAGAATATACAAGTTTTTGCACTTTAGAAAGAAAGACTCCGCACTATCGAAACAAATTCAAAAATATATAGAAAAACCCTTTTTTATAACTGACTTAGAATTTTGAGAATTTGTTTCACTACGAAGGACCTCGAGAAACATTATTTCTCGTTTTCGTCCAAAACATCCCCAAATAAATCATCCGTTTGTCAACACATTTCCCTCTTTTAGCGAAAACATTAACGAGCGTTGCAAACGTCGAAAAAACTAGTATTTCCAAAACCTTCCAGTTTTCAAATTACATTAAATTGAATTGAACATGTCAAACAAAACGAAAAAAGAAGAAAAAAATATTTTTGAAACGCATTAAAGTGATCACTTAGTAACTTTTTTTCAAAAAAACAGGAAAAAAATGTTTTTCGCTTCTGAGAGACTAGATAACAATACTTTCAAGAGAATAGATTAAATGAATATTTCTTTGTCACTGGAGAAATAGTCCCTTTCTAAAAAAATGAAAAAAACTCTTGTGAAAAGATATACTGAAAATTTGAGTAAAAAAATGACATCAGTGAAAAAGTAATAAAGACGTCATGGGGGGCAGGATTTTTTTCGAGGCTATAAAAAGTCTACCCATTCTGAAGAACTTTTTTCCTCAATGACATCATAATTGTTCTCAATAGGGCATATTCGAGAGCAGAATAACAGCCACTTTGTTCAAAAACTACATAATCGGGCGAGGAGCTTAATTGAGAGCTTGAAGCTTTTTTTTTCCGAAATCCGAATAATAATGAACTAATAAATTATTTTTTTGAATAAGATTAGCTTCCAAAATTCTCGAAAGTTTTTTGTAATCGAAATTCAAAAGGGATAACTTATATCCTGTTCTCAGATGTTGATAACGGACAACTTTGAATGTAATTTAAAAGAAAAATCATTTTTTTCGAAAAAAAAAAATGCTAGTACACGAAGACTTACTGAAAAGTCGTCCAGCCAACTTTCAACATTGAAAAACGAATGGAAAGGTTCGTCATTCGAAATTTGAGAATTCGGTAGTTAAAAGGATCTTTTTTACAAATTATCTGAGACGATATAGGTTCTTGACCCAATCAGCTAAACTAAACAACGTGCAAAAAAGTGAGACCTGAGTTATTTTTTCCATGTGAGTAGTGAATGGAGTGTGATCCAGTTTTTTGAAAATCTGAACTCAACAAAAAAAATTCCTATTATGAAAAGGCGGAAACAAGAAGTAACTTCAAAAGGTCGAAACCCTCTGAGAATCTTCTGAGAACTCGGAGAAAAAAGTTCTCACCATGAAAGGTAAAAAAAGATGCAATAAACGGCGGCTTGCGATGAAAGGATGGGCGTGGTCAAGAGGCCGAGGAAATCGAAAAAGGAAATAGGAAAACGTCGGGAAAACGCGGCCTTCGTCGTGTCGTCTGGACCCTCGCCGGGCTGGGGCTCGGCGAGCAGCAAAAAGAGCTCTTCTCTCTCTCGATTCCATTCCTCATCTATTAGTACAACACAATGGCTTTGGGAGCGCCGAGGCAGCCTGCAGCAGAGCTTAGCCGTCGTCTCTTTACCACCACCACCAACGCTATCTCTCGCCTCTATCTGTGCTCATATCGATGAGGTGTCCCCTGGACACGCCCACTTTTCTCGAGCTCCCCGACCTCCAAACATCCTTGATTATCACTTGGCCTGTGTTCGCTCGGCGAAAAGATCTTACGGCGTGTTCGTTGGTCAAGCTGGAACACGGCTTGAAGCTAACGAGGGAGGTACTTTTAGCGTGGAATTCGGAATTTCCCGTCAAATCGTCTAAAAACTATCTGAAGATCTTTATTTGTCACAGGCGCTACCTCCGTAAACTTTCACCTTTGAAAAGATGAGTTTCAAATTTTGTGATTAACAAAGAATCAGCTTTGCAGTTATACCAATCACGAAAAACTTATTTTTTTCAACGAAAGTTTTTTTAAAGAAACGAGAAATATTTCTGTAAACTAAACCGATTATGACTGGCCAAATTTATGGTAATTTCTTCAAAAAGCTCCAAAAACAAAAAAAGTGTCGTTTCGATCTGAATGAATAAAAATTATGATCAAGATAACAAAAATTTTTTTAAATGAAGGGATAGTTAAAAAAACATTTTAAAGTTACTAGAATGTGAGTGAACTACAAAACATTGTTTTTCTGAGTTTTTACGTTCTTCTTTGAGTTTTTTGGAACATTCCATTGTCTGTTAAGCCGTTGATTGGAACCATAAAATCCTCGTCTGGAAGCGATCATCATCGGGTTTCTTTTTTTGAAAGTTTTTTCAAATAGCTTATTGAGGAATAAAAAGTTACTGGAGAAGATGAAGAACTTGGTGATAAACTTTCTGAAAAACATATAAAAGAGCATGTTTGGATCGGATCGTGAGAATACGCCTACTTGTTTTATTATTCTGATCGTTTGCAGTATCATCAAGCATAGGTTATTAGATTCTCGATCAGCTCGAAAAACAGAAAAATCTTCCGAAATACCAAAAATCCTCGCTAAAGTCCAAGAATTATCAAAGGCAGCCTCCTGAAAGCTGAAACGCAATTTAACTTGAAAGAAAAAATTCCTTTCTTTTTAACAAGTTCAAACTTTGATATTCTTGTCTTTCTGAACAAATTTTAGCTTTCGGAGATTATCCTTCAAAACTCTAAAATTTTAGCAAATAAACTCCTAAAACTAAAACTATTATTTTATTATATAAACTCTGATTTAAAGCCAGTCTCAACTTTCATTTTCGTTTTTGAAAAGTACTTTTTTTTTGATCAAAGATCAATTAGCTGTGCGGAAAATGTTTGTGAAAAATTAACGATGATCACTAACAGAGGAAAACTTTAATTTTTCAATTGAAGGTTCACCGAGCTTTGAAATGTTTACCATCACATTATTTATGAAAAAAAACCTGTTTTTCTGGATTAGATTAAGCGACTCAGAAGCTCAGAAAACATTTACTTTCAAAATCAAAAGACTCTATAAAGTTTTTAACACTTCGACAACTGTCCTTTTTATCCAAATATTCCTATTCGAAATCCACTTGTAGATTGCAACCTGATGATGATCTTCCACCGAATTCCCAAGCCGGCCGACCTCCTTATTAAGGCTTCCAGCGCATCGGAATTCGCTCATTACTTAGTCATCATAGCGGAGAACATTCCGAGCCGGTTATAGCTCTAGAGCTCGCTCGAGTCGTTCGATTATTAAAGAGAGAGAAAGAGCTCGGCTGCAAGCTCAAACACCGACTGTCCGGCAGGACTCGCGGAGCACTCAAACGGGGATTATGGAAAGTGACCTGTGGAAAAGTCCGAAGCGCTTCCCTGCTCTGAAGCTGGAATATTCTTCAATGAGAAATTATGATTTTCATGGGAAGAGTTAGGGGGTTTCGATGAGTAGCCCAAGAGCTTACCAAATTTATTCACAAAATGCCAAACTTGAATGAGACAGGAGGGTTAAGGAAAAAAAAAGATAAGGATGTTTGGGGTTATAAAAGCAATTATCGGAAAAATAGAAAGATTATTTTTTTGATTTTTCAAAAAAATTCTAAAGATGGAATTATACCTTCTTCTCGACTTCATAATGTGCTTTTGAGCACGGAAAACTGTTCCAAGAGGATCTTTGGAGCTTCTGGCAGATTTTAAACAAAGATCACAATTTTAAAAGCAACGAAATCGAAGTATTCGCAGCCACATTCTGGTGAATTACATGCATTCCTACCCTATCTGCGAAAAGCAAGGATTTTTTTCATAGATATTCCATCAAAAAATTGCGCACGTCTAATAAAATCAATACACGATCATTCACAAAAAAAGAAACTGTTGGCCCAAAGAAATATTTCGAGACAGTTCTAAATTGGAACTCGACTTCCAAAAATGTTTATTTTTCAAGATGACTCAAAACATCGCTCTTCTGGATACTGTAACCGGAAATGAAACTAAAGCTTTTTTTTTTTCAAAAAATAGGTTGGTTGCGATTTTCAGGATCTCTATACAGTACATCAAAAAGTATTTCGTTCATTTCTCGGAAGTCTAAAGATTCAAGTTGAATGACTTTTGTTGTTGGGCCAAAGTTCCAGAGTACTTCTGGATGAAAACGAGAAGACACTGTGTTAAGCTCATTTCGGGAAACAAGTCATTTATGGATGAAGGAAAGGCGAGGAACTTTGTCGAAAACCGCCACTCTTCATGCTATCCATGCATACCAAATTATTCGTCTCACCCACTCTCCCGCATATTTTTTCTTTTGTTTTTGAGCCAGGCCTGATGAAACGAGAAATGAAAAAACTCAAATGAGAGAAAAATATAGGAGGTGAATATATTATATAGGAATGATTGTTTTGGGGTCTCAATTTGAAGATATTTCCCTCCTTGTACGAAAATGGAAGGCTCCGCGCAGCTCACTTTTTATTTTTAATTGAAAAAATGTTAATCAGAATATCTTGAAAATTTTCAAATGGAAAATTATTCTATGAAAAGAAGAGAACAAACCGATCGGCGAAACCCGCACAAAGTCGGCAATTTTCTTTGTAGAGGACTTGGAATTGAACTGAAATTTAATCATTAAGTTTTCTTTGTACGAGTTTTAAAAGTTTTTATAAAAAAAAAATCGTGTTTAGCAAAAAAACTTGGATTTCATCTCTGAAAGTCTAAACTCTTTTAAGTCTGAATCCAAATTTTTTTATTTTTTTCAAAATTTACATGTACTCGAATGAACGAACTCATGAAACAAGAATATGGAAAAATCATGACTAAAAAAAGTACTATGGTGTTTTTTTGCGAAAATTAAAATAATATTTTTTTCTCAGGTTTTTTTGCTCTATTGAAAAAAAGATCCAGTTTCAACTGGGATAGTGACCCTGATACCATTCAATTCAGCTTCAAAAATGTTTTTCAATAGAAAAGAAACGTTGGAAAGAAGTTCATTTTCGTATCTTCAACGTACTTTAAAAAAAGTAAGTTTTTTTGAAACTTCTAAATTTTTTTCATCCAAAGTAAGAGACAAACTGAAATTGACACGCAAAGTTTTTTTCCTTTGAACGTGAAAAAATTCTATATTTTATTAGCCTACATCTATTTACACATATGAAAATGCTCACAGATATGTTTTTTTTACAATCACTATCAAAAAAAAAATGACAATATGTACAGAATAAAAATAGAGAGATATTTGGCAAAAAGTAAAATGCTATACAGTCCTGAGAACGTTGAAAAATCACAAAGAAGGAAGAAAAAAAAATCTAGAGTCACTAAACAGAGATCAAAAACATTTATTATATACATAAATTTTGTTAGTTGCTGTTCTCGTTGTTTCAATCAGCCAAAGTAACCAGATCGAAGAGCCTGGAAAATTAATAGCATGCATTTTTGTTGAATTTGGACTCTATTCGAGAGGATATTCAAAATATTTTACGTTTAAGGTCGTTCAGAACTTAAAAATGTTTTTTTTCGAAAACCTGAAAATATATTCGTTTCGAAAGTACCTTGAGAACAGAGCATCAATAAAAAAAAGAAACTTGAAAAACTGTTGCTTTCAGAAAATTTTGGAATATTTTACGTTTAAAAGCGTCAAGAACTCAAAAATTGTTTTAAAGAAATCGTAAAATTACGTCCGACTTTAATGAACTAAAGAAAAGATGGAATATGTCTATCAAAATCCCAAATATATGTCTCAACTCACCGAATCCAAGTCCTTGAGCTTGTAAACGAACTGGATTTCGATCCAACACGGCGTCTGTGTGATTTCCTTCCTCGGGTAAGCCTCGCCGAAGCCCTTCACGAAAGAAATCCGAGTTATGCAGTGGTTCTGAAGAGTCCAGAACAATAAAAATGGTAATTGAACGGAAAGCTAACGTGGAGCAAGAAGTAGTTGTCTTCGCACTCGGAATCGGCGCATTTGTCCAAAACGAGCCGGAAATATTCTTCGTCGAAGATCACCAGTTCTTCTGCAATTAGGACAACAATAAATATCTTTTTTATATTCGCAAGGTTTTTATTGATTTTATAAGAATATTCAACGCTCCGAAACTGTTTTTCACCTAGGTCCCTACATTTTGGTTTGCCCTAATGCGGCATCTAAAAATGCTTTCAATTGAGTTAGAAGTTATTTTTCCTGAAGCTTATGAGAAATCACTGACGATTGGCCTTATCCCTGGAGCTGAGTCGATAGACGCAGTTGGGCGGATCTTGTCGGATGTGAGCTCTTTGCGGACATTGCACGAAAACCGCACATTCGGCTTTGCACTGCAGTTTCACCTGTCCGTTTTTCATCACAACGTCGATCCCTTCTCCTGAAATAAAGTGGTAGAAAATTAGTAAAAAAATAATGGCGAAGAATACATTTGGGTTTCGAAAATTTTTATTAAGTTTTTTCCTTTTTTTTTCTGAAGTACTGTAGTGAATTAAAATTGTTCACGTTCGGGGATCGAACATCAAACAAGAGTCAGTGGCTTAGGGTAACTTTCAGACTGAAAATTCTAATTTTGCGATTGCGATAAATTGGTCAGGCAGATGGAACCTTTTTTCTCTCAAAAACCTTTGAAATCTAAAGAAAAAGGAAGCTTAGTTCAACAACTGATCCCGAAAAAATAAAAATAAAACCCTCTGTTTTTTGTTTGGTTCGGTAACATCACTGCCTTTTCAGCCTTGTCAAAGAAAGTAATGAACCATTACCAAGTTGATTTCTGATGATGGAGCTCACAGGCCGCGAGAAACTGTTCGGAGCCGAACTCAGGGACATTTTCCGTCGATCCGTCGTTCTAACCGTCTTGCCGTTAACGTTAAAATATGGGTCAATCGCGTAGAATATCTTGCCGATCTTTAATTTAAAAAATAACAAAATGATGAGAAAAGGGACAATTTTTCTGACCACAACTCTCAACTAGCATCAAAAAAATTAAAACCAACGAAGATTTTGAGATTCTTAACTATAGAAACTCAGTTCCCCGGGTTTTTTTGATTTATGTTTCTTTTTCTTTAGCGATTCAAGACATAAAGCAACCACTATACTTTTTCACACTTCCGGAAAATTTTCCCTAATTTTTAAACTTTTTATCTTGCTTTCTACTTTTTTTTTTGAATAATTTCCCACTGTTTTCTTTAAATAAATGATTCGATGCTTAAAAAGAACCTTCTCCTTCTCCTCATAATAATAGACAGCAGCCCAGTGGTCCAGGGGAATAGCTTCTTCCTCGTTATAATTCGCCGCATAACTGGTTTCCTCTTCAGGAGCCGTTTCCTTAGCTTGTTCAGACACGGCTGAGTTGTCCACCGACGTTTCTTTCATATTTTCGGCTCCGGCAATACTAAAGTGCAAAGTTTGCTCAAAACTTCCATTCTTTCCGCATACGCTTTTTTATCTTCTAGCAGCAGTCTTTTGTAAATGTCTGCCAGGTCGTCCATCGGATCAACTTCAACTTTTCTGAAGAGAAAAATTGTTGAAAGTCGTGATAAAACTCACATTTCAACAGGTGGAATGTTATTGAGGGCTTTCATCCGATCGGAAGCACAGTTTACACGAGGGGTGAACACGGCGCCGCATCTATCGTCCCCACAAGGCCGATATATCAAATCCAGGTTAGCCAGGGGACTGAAAATAGAACTTCGTTTCAAAATAAAGATGGAAATTGATTGCAAAAGCTGGGAACTTGTTAACCGCTGAAACAAAACTTCTTGGAAATCAATGAATGAGTATTTTCAAGCTTCAAGATTTATTCGAACCAAGAATCAGTTGACGATTTTTCAAACCTCAAATTTTTAACATCGGGTTTAATATCTACTGTTTCACGTGAGATTGGCGGCTCATCAGGAGGAAGAGGCGCATCTGCTGTCCAGTCTTCTTCTTCTAATATCGCTGAAACTTTTCCGTCCGGGAATTTCTTCAATTTATATATTAACTTACTCGGATGTTGGAAAGAAGACCCAAAGGAGACTTGACGTGAGTGTAGAGACTTTCGGAGATGCCTATGTTGGAATGAAGAGTTTCTGAAAGTTCCGGCTATGATTCATCTTCCTGCAAACTGAAATACATTAAAAACCGGCAGAACTTTCCTTTCTGAAAGCATAAAAAGAAAAATTCAACTTTCTGAAAACTTTTAATTTCAAAAATTACTTCAATATTACTCAGGCACAGGGTGGGGGAAGCGCCGGGTTTCTGGCTCTCTTTTTAGCCTTTTGAGTGGGAAAACCTTTTTAAAATTGTTTGTTGGTTATTTTTTAATATTTATTAGTATGTATGCTCACTTTTAAAACCGGTTTCGAGCACATTTGTTCAAGTTTTTGAAGAACCATATTAAAATCGAAAAATGGATGTAGTGGAGTTTTTTTTTAATGTTAAACTAAGCATCATGATGAGAGGAAACGCATAAAAATGAAATAAAAGCCGAAATTATGAGCTTAAACGAACAAAAAAGGCAAAAAATGAGCGGGGACCCCAATCGCGCCCCCGCCTGAAGCGCAGCGCGCGCCACCAGTGCCTGAGTACACAACGAAAATTTTATATTAAACCTTACCGAGCTAAAAAAAAAAGAAAAAAGACGAACGATAATCTGATAGAAAATTCGTAAAACCGCTGAAAGCCACTAAAGTGGTTCCGTGGAGCAACATTTCTCAACCTGTTAGCTCACATCTTTTTTCCCTAAAACCTTTTTTTCTTCTCTGTTTTCTTTTTTATTCAATTTTTAAAGTTTGAAATCAACTTCTCATATTTCTTCAATTTTACAAAGTAAATTAATTATTTTTTGCAATCAATGTCGTCATCTGTTCTTAAGTCGAACATTTTTTTGTTTCGGTTTCAAAACAATGAACTTTAGGAGATGAAAAGAGCTACTTCTGAGCTCTTCTCACCATACAGATCGCTTGGTGTAGTTTGTACAGAAGTTACTCCAACAGTCCGAACTACGTTCATTGGCAAAAAATCTTCCCTTTCACTGGTTTGCGCAATCGACAACGTTCTTTTAAACTACAATGCCTCTAAACTACGGCCCATCGCCATGTCCGAGCCTTTGAAGACGAAAATTACAGCGGTAGCTTCAACGAGCAGGTTTTTCAAAGTTCAGAAAATCAATGATATATTCATTGTAAATTGAAGATGTGTCTACGCGGCGTGCGACGATTCGATAGCGCTTCTTCCTTTTTGCCGAGATATCCAAAAGTATATTCCGATCGAGCATAAAATTACGAAAATGCTTGTCCTCGGAACGCAGTTGGTCAGGAAAGAAAAATGTTTCTAGCAAAAATGTCTTTTTAAGGTGGCCTGCGATGAGAAGAATGGTATCCTAGTGATTGATGTCGAAACAGAAGAGAAAGTCTTGTATGTGGAAGGAAGCGAAGATTTCCAAATTACGGCTTTGGTTCACCCTTCGACCTACTTGAATAAGGTAAAATGATCGTAGGGACAATATTTACTTTAAAGTCATTTTCAGATCCTGATTGGTTCCTCAGACGGCCGGATGCGGATTTTCAACTTTCACACTGGCAAAGTCATTCATGAATTTAACAAAAGTGAAAACTTTGATTTTTCTCTGTACCATGAGTTATTCAGAGTGGAATTCTCGGATAAATGTTCTTCAACAGTCAACGGCCATCGACATCATTGCTGTAGGCTTGGCAAATGGTCAGATTCTCGTGATGAATGTGAAAACCGACGAGGTTTTGTTCAACTTCCGACACGATTCTGGGATTTCTGCGATAGGATTCAGGTTTTCCTAATGTTATTATTCAAAAACAGTACACCAGCTCCCTTTTTTTCTCGAGTTTTCACCTTTGGTATTCTTTGCAGAGATGACGGAGAGGCCAGTATGGTTTCCGTTGATGATAAGGGCTCGATGGCCGTTTGGAACTTGGAAAAAGAAGAACTGATCGGAAAAGTTTTGAATATCCACAAGGCGGCAGTTCAACTGCTTCATTTTGTTCCCGGCGAACCGGTCATGGTTGGTTTTGCCTCTTTTCTTCGTTTTCTTGGAACCTTTTTCTTCATTTTTAGAAATATCCCTCTTCTTGACATTGAGGAAAGTTGTGAAGTTTTAAAATCGGAGTCATTTGACATACCAAAAGATTTCATTTGTTTCATTTCCCGCTTGCAGATCACAACATCGACGGACAATTCGATGCGAACTTGGATTTTTGACGGCGCGGACGGAATGCCGAGACAATTGGTCATTCTGGAGGGACACTCCGAACCAGTCACGTCTTTGACTTTCGCCAGTAAAACTCAGGTTGGCGCTTTTTGATTTTTTAAATGGAGCATATACAAGGATGAGGAAAAAAAAGGGAGTTTATTGATTCTCAAAACAAAAAAGTACGCATTTACTCCAAGTTTTTGACTTTTTTTGGGAAAAGCCGTATTTTAAACCAGTTTTCTACTGAATATTACTCTTACAGATTCTCTCTGCTGGCCTTGACGGAACTGTGAGAAAGTACGACGCCACCAGCGTGACTATGCGGTCAAAGCTGGGAACCGCTGCGACCATGTCAAAGTATCCATTTTGTCTTATTTTTTTTTCCTATCTAAGCCGGTTCTGGTTAAAGCGTTTTTCTGGAATATTCATTTGCACTTTATTAGGTATATGAAAAAGTAGAAAAAAACAATTTTCTAGATTATATTAGAACGTTCATTGGGAAATATTTTACATGCACACTTTTTTTAGACATTTACTTCTCAATCTTGTTTTTTTACGAATCATGTATTTTCGTTATTGAAAAAAAATTTTCAAGATATCATCAGAATAAAATTCAAATGTTTGCTGCTGAAGTTCGTTTGAAATTTATTTCAAACTTGCAATCCCACGATCCAACTTTCGAAACGGAACGACTTTATTTGTCAGGGAAAAATATTCCAAATTCATCGTTTTTTTTTTTCGAATTTTCAACTTTTCTAGAGCGTATTAAAGATAAACCTGTAGGCTCAATACATTAAAAAAAAAATGAAAATTAGGCAATTTCGACTTTTCACCTCAAAAAAATTTTTCCAGAGCCGACGCCAGGAAGAAAAATGTCGATTTCGAGAGCGTCAAGTTGGCACCGGTCGTGGAAATGGCGATTGGTTGGACTCGGGAGGCGGCCTGGGACAACGTCCTCTGTCGACATAAGTAATAAATCTGCCTTCAAAAATTCAATCCAGAAATATTCGTTTGCAGAGATTCCCTTGTAGTCACAACTTGGACAACTCGCAAAGGATTCTGTCGGCACTTGTAAAGTTTGAAAAATTCCGTTTTTCTAGCCCTAAAATCCAAATTTTCAGCTTCAACACGAGCGTTTCAAAGCGAACGAGGCGTTGATCGGCACGACGGCGACGTCGATTTGTCTATGTCCTTCCGGAAACTTTGCCTACATCGGATATTCCAGTGGTGGGAATGGAAGTTGAAATCGATCCGAATACATTGCATTTTCCAGGCCACATCGACAAGTTCAACGTTCAGAGTGGTCGACACGTTCACACTTATACCGAAGAATCGGGCGGCGCCAAAAAGGCCAAGCACAAAAACTTGAAAAAGAAGCAGAATGCCCAGAAAAGGGTACGTTTTTTTGGGGAGTTACTTTGGGAAATCTAGAAAAGAAACGTCTATTATTTCATTCTACCTTTCTAGAGAGTTAGTAAAAGAGACTGAACACAGAGAGGAGCTTTATTGTCAGTTTCAGACTCAAGTTGAAAAGTTTTGGAGAAAAACTTTTTTTTAAATGTTGATTTGAAAGTTTGGCTTTTTCCTTCCAGTAAAAAAAATTTCTTCGATGTTCAATCTGTTGCTTCAAAATATTTGACAGTTTAAAAATATCATAATAAGAGAGAAAAAAACATATCGGTAGCCTTGTTTCTAATTTTCTAATTTTCTCTCTTACTCTTTTTATTATTCAGTAATCCTTCACGAAGTAATTTTTTCGAAGTTATGAAAGAGATCTTTATTTTGCACTTGAATCTATCAGTTTCCTTCTAATTATGTTTTAGCCGCCAACTGTTTTCTTTGTTCTGTTTTGCAATTTTTCCTATGAGTCTTTATCCTCGAATTTTTTCTTCCAGGTGACGGCCCACGATGACAGCGTCACCGGCTTGACTTTGGATCAACGCGGCGCAGAATTGTGCAGTGCTTCCAGCAGCGGCGTCTTGAAGTGAGGATAAACTTGAAATTCTCTTAAATATCTCATTTTTGAAGGTTCTGGACGACAAAAACTGGCGCCTGTTTGGAGCGACTTAAAGACTCCTTCGTTGAAAGTCACCAAAATGAAGTCTTGTAATGTCAACAGTCTGATCGCCGTCTCTTGTGAAGCCAATGATGGTAGGTTTTGTAGAAATTTGGGATCAAGTTGCATTTTATCTTAAATTGAAAAACAAAGTAACTTTTCCCAATAAAATAAGAATATTATATTTTGAAATTTTTTCATTGGAATAAATCGATTTCACTATATTTTTTTCAGGAAAAGCTTCAGTAGCGATCTTGGATTCACTGACCCACAAAATTGTCCGCTTTTTCAAACAAGTTGGCCCTGCGATCCACGCTTTGGAATTCAGTAGCGATGGAAAGTGGATTTTGATCGCTGACAACGTTAATTACATCCGGGTGAGTAGATTTCTTCAATTCTAGAACAAAAGTATATTTTCCAGGTCTTTGATCTGGCCACCAGCGATTTGATCGACGTTTTGTTATTTTCGAAGCCTTGCGTCGGGATCAGCTTCAATCCCACTGGAGAATACATGGCCACGATTCATGAAGTTCGTTTTTTTTTTAAGTTTTAGGTTATTATATGATATGTGAGATATGACGTAAAAGAAGAGACTAGAAAATTTTTTGAAGGCTTAAGATCAATATTTGCGGAAACACTAAGAATAACTGCCGAGATAAACGCGAGACACTGGCGGTACATTGACGAGCTCGCAAACATCTCGCTTTTTTTCTCGCGCCGGTCTCGCATTTTTCTGGGCGCCAGCTCGCACTTTTCTAGGCGCGAGCTCGCATTTCTCTCGCAATTTGAAAGTTTCCGAAATGCAAGATAAATGCGAGATGGCGCCGAGAAAAAAGCGACATTTTTGCGAGTTAGTCAATGTACCGCCACCGAGCTCGCGTTTATCTCGTCAGTTATTCTTAGTGAAGATACACAACTAGAGAATATTTTCAACCTAAAATATTCCATTAAATAACGGAATTTGCTGTGTGAAGTTTTTGATGATATTTTCCAAGTATTTCTCAATTTTTTGCATCCAATAATGAGGAAATTTGAAGAGTCGAGTAGATAGTTAACTGGGAAAGTTTTTTTAAAGTTTTGATAAGACTTAGTGAAATCAGTAGGTTAGAAAGCAAAAAATCGTTGATTTATAGAAGCTTAACTTGTGTTGAAAGCATATTTGTCCAAAAAAAAACCAGGGCGAGAAAGCGATGTTCGTGTGGGCGAACAAGGCGATGTTCGCGACCCACGTCAACATCCGATCGCTGGCCTTGGACTACACTCCGACCTGGGAGCAGGACCTTGGCTCCAGCGTCGACGCCTTCAACAAGGTCTACATCGACTTCGACGAAGACGAGATGATGGAGGAAGAGGCGCGACGGCTTAGAGAACTTCAGGTCTCAGATTGGGCTGAATATGATCCCAGAAATTTAGAAGAAAACCTTTTTTGAACGTCTATCTTAATGGAACATTTCTTTTTATTTTTGAATGTTTCAACAATTTCTGAAAAAATCTAGTGTCCATGAAAGTCCGGAGAACAGCAATAATAGGAAAAAAACATCGGTGAGAAAAAAAAAGTAATAAATCAAGGTTTTGGAGCCGTTTAGAGTCTTTAAAAAAACATTATCATGTTCTCAATTGCATTAGTTCATAAATAAAAATGATTTTTTTCTGTTTAATCAGAAAAAACTTTGAAAAAAGAAATGAACTTGTGAAAGTAGGTCTGAAATAAATGAAGATAAGGACAAAAAAAGAAAATTGAGAAATTGAAATAGAATGTAAATAAGAAGAAAAAAAGAAATTGTCATATTTTTTTTCCAGATTGATCCATCTCTGGTCACTTACTCCGGTCTGGCGATATCGCGTTGGGCCAACCTTCCTGATCTCAGTCTGATAAAGGAAAGGAACAAGCCGACCGAAGCGCCCAGAAAAGCTAAACAGGTGCAGTTCGAACGGGAAAAATACTCTGAAGATTCTAAAAGGAATTTCGAAAGTTACTAAATATTGATCTCCTTCTTCAGCACCTCTTTCCAACTCATTTAGCAAAATAACTTTTCTGGAAATTAATTGAGCCGTAAATCGACTTGCGGCGTCGCAATTAGGACCGTAAAATCGCCTAGCCGAAACGTCACAGGAAAACTAGAGATTGCAAGGTGCAGAGAAATCGAAATATGGCTTGACAATTTTTTTCCAGAAAACTTTAAAATTTAAGAGAGTTATCATGTTTTTTGAGAGTAATTAATTTAAGACTCCCTTCTTCCTGACGGCAGCTGCGACCTTGGAAGGATTCGAATTTTTCGGTCCGGAAAAAGAAAACGAAAACGAGGATCGACTCAAGTTGCAAGCCAAACGAAGCCTGTTGGAGATGGAGAGCTCGTTCTCAGCAATTTTGAAAAAGTTCTCCCTATTCTTTCTAAAAAAAAAGTTCAAAATTGATTTGAAGAGCGACGTTGATTGAGCACTTGATTGAAGCTTTCGAAAAGCTGAAGACAAAGTCGGTCTCGGCGATCGATTTTGAGATTCGCAACTTGTCGCCACGAGTTCTACCTCTGTTTTTGAGGATGCTTCTGGAGGTGATTTGAGAAAATCAAGATTTGATAGTGTTTCGACTTTGAAGGGTTGAGGATATCCTTGAATTTGAAAGTTCCCGTTTTAACTGTAAATGAGGGTAAAAATACTCCATTTTTTGTGGGAACTTTTTAATAATGCAAGTTTTGGGGTAACGAAAAACAAACAGTCCTTCGCGCAAGGCTCTTCAAAACTTGTAAGAAATAGTGTTCATAAATTATAATGATATTCCTTCTGATCAATTTCATGACATTTTTCAGGTTCTCAAAACGAGAAGAGATTTTGAACTCGTTCAGGCTTACCTGGCAACTGCTTTGAAGATCCATCGGTGAGTTCCGTGGAAAAAAAAAGTGTTTTTTAGTTTCTAATTTTTGGCCAGTTTCTAATAGGCCAACTTTATGAGAATAGAAAAATTATGACTCCGAAAGTTATAAGTTATTTTTTCGATTTTTTTGTTCCAATTTTTTCACTCTTCAACCGTCAAGAAAGTTTTGAATCCTCTCTCATTTCACCGAAATATATGTTTGATGAAAGTTTTATGCCTTTTTCTGCTGTTTGCTTATCACGTATCGAAACGATTCGTCGCGTTTTCTCAGGCGTGATTTGATGATTTCGGACATATCTTGGGGAAATGTGTGAGAAACTTCTTGTTTGCCTGAAGAGAATTCGGAAAGAGAAGTAGGAAAATAAAATTGTTTCGACTTTGACTCGAAGTCAAGACCAAAGTGGAAGTTCCTTGAAAAAGCGTTTTAAATTGAAATGAATTTTAGCTTTGATTTTTTCTGAACGTATGACGCGTTTTATGTTGAGTTTTTAATTCAAAAAATGCCCTTTTTCCTATAATTTAAAACAGGAAGTCAACATGATATTCATAAAAATTAGGTAGTCCACTTTTAAACGTTTCTTTTCCGGTTTAATAATTGAATATAGAGCGCGACTCTTTTTTGTATATTTTTCGAGCTAATTTTATCTTTTTTTTTTCTGAAATAGATGATCAACTAGCTCAAACAAAAAAAAACCAAACGTTTGAAGTAAAAAGATGCTTTCACGTGATTAGTTCACTTCAACAAAACAGTTCTCGGGTTAAAATAAATGCAGTCTTTGAGGTGATTTTTGAGTGTTTCTCCATTTTTGAACAACCTTCCACCAAAATCGTTGCATACACTTTATTCTGAAAAGGAATTTCAAATTCTCCTGCAGCCGAGAGTTCTGGGCCAACGATTCAAACGAGGAGATGAGCTCGGCACTCGAGGAATTGGCGGCAGAACAAACGGCGGCTTGGCGTGAATATGAATCACTGTTGCTGCATGACACGGCCGTCGTCCTGTGGGTCAAAAACGCCCTTCTATAGGCCGAGCATAGTTTTTTATGTCTTTCCGTTTGAACTGTGTTCTCCGTTTCTTCTTCTTCTCTCTTGTTGTTAGAAAGATTTTTTCGCTTTTGTTTTTAGAATTTTCGACTAAGCAGTCCTGGAACTCACTGGGAAATTCAGCCATCGTTCGAAACGTCTAGCAGAGCGCTATTTATAGAATTTAGTCTATGTTCTTGGGCTGTGAGAACTTTTTTTCAGAAAAATTTTTTTGATTTTTTTAAAAATAGAAAAAAATATTTTTTTCTTGAACATTACGCATCAGAATTCTGTAATGAGCAATAGAGGCTTAAAAATTGAAATGACTAGAATTTTCCAACCCAATATTTTTTCCTAATGCTTCCAGCCCATAGTCCAATTATCAAGTTTTCGAAATTTCTAACGAAAAATTGTTATTCTGTTGACCACATATGTTATATATGCTCCTGTTATCGTTGATTTTCATTGTTATTGTTGATTTTTTTTTTGTTTTTCAACAAAAAAAACGTTTTCTCTTCGTCTTGTTTTCGCTCGCAACAGAAATGAAATATGCTTGGAATGGGATTCTGGGATTTTTGAGCGATAAAAAGAGAGTGAAAAGAGATAGGCGATGGCGGTGGTGAGAAGGGCTTGATTGCGGAAAGTCAGTGGGGGACCAGGGCAACTTTCGGATTTCCTTTATTTGTCGAAGACGTCGGCGCTGATTTTGGCCTCCAATTGCTGCTTGGATGCGTTCAATTTGGACGCCTTTCAGTCGTGACTTCCTTTTGATCTCTAGTCTTATTCGAGCCTGAGCCTGAGTTGGGTAGAGCTGAGGAGATGAGGAAGGAATGGCTTTTCAGCGTTCTGAATGAGTTCAGAAACTTTGTGAGATGCTTCCCAAAAGAACCGCAACTTGGACTCAGCCCTTCTGCTACGTATCTGCTATATTCGTTGAGCATCACACTCCAAACTAAGAAAGTTTAACTTCAGATTAAATTTCTGATATATTTGTGGTCTTCGAAATTTTAAACAAAAATTCCAGAAAGATTTACGGAAGTTTAAGAAAAAAGCTGCTCACAATATTTCACTAATTCTGGAAGTTTGTTTTAGAACTTTATTCACTTATTTTAAGCTCATCAAAATTACATCAAATTTATTTTTTTTCCATTGTCCCCATTTTCAAAATTTAGGATAACTTTTTTTTAAGCTGGAGAAGACAGACATTTGTCAAACTTCTTGAAAGATGATGAACGAGTTTCTAAAATTTTCCTTTTTTTCAATGAGCTTTTGGTTATTTTTTTTTTGTTACCCGGAAGCTTTGTTTTTGCGTTTTCAAAAAGAAATGGACGGATTCATCTCTTTTTTTTTTCTTTTCCTTCAAGTTTAATCATTCAATTTCGGAGCTGGAGCCCCTCAAAAGTTGCGCTTCTCTGAGGGGAACGACCCTATTGTTGAAATGAGTTTCTGAAGTGTTTTTCTACCAGTCTCTTCCGCACGCGATTCTCCCAATTTCTCGTTCCTGCTTGTTTGAAAGTTTTAAGAGTTTCGAGCATCTTAGGATGTTTTTGTTTTTATCCTTAAATTGTTTTCCTACCGGTTCCCTTTTTGGGCGAAAAAATCATATTATTCTGCGCGTAACTTGCGTCCGCTCCGTGTTACTGCGTGATGGTGCTTCTTGGCATGTTTTTAATTTTTAATTGCTTTTTTTAAAAATAATTCTCGTTTACTTTTTTTCTACTTTTTCCATTTCATTATCTTATTAACCTTCTGAAGAACGGCTGTTGAACATATTTCGTACAAGATTGTCCAATAAGTTTGAAACTTTTGAAATTTTTCTTTTATTCGAAGAATTTCTGGGGAGGGGCAATTTTGTTCAAGATCTCTCAAGAGGATGAGAAAGTTTGCGTTTTTCTTTGTTGAAACTGCAAAATATTATACAATAATTTTTTTACTAAAATTTATAACGCTGCTTCTGTAGTTTTCCAAAATTCTCCAAATAATAGTCACAAAAGTTTTTTTTTTTTGATTTTGATGAAACTTCATCCAGTGTAACAGCCTATCATCAGAAATGCGGATGCGACTTTTTGAGTCATTTTTAAGCCGAATCAGGGAGCTTCCTATTGAGATAAATCAAAAAGAAAGGATAAGTAATTTTTTGGTCTTCCTTCGAATTTGATTTCTTTTTTCAGAGATCTGTTTGATTCACGTTTTATCGGATGGCTTTCCCAGTCAATTCCAAACGTCTCAAGTGTACGCAAAGTGACCTTAACAACTTTTTTTTTTCTGAAAAACTCTTCAAAACTGTCCTTCATCGTCCATTGCATCCCATTCAAATACACACCTCATGTCACACTTTTTTTCCTATTTTTTGCTTCGGCTCGCATTTCGCTTTTCTTTTTTCCCACGTTCGGACGTGGCTGAAATTCCGCCCCGGCTGCTCATCACACAAACATCGTCGTCCGTCGGCGGCCCTGCCAGTCTGAGCAGTTTACATCGGTGATTTATTCCCGCCAATATTGCATTTTGTGCTCACGGAGCCGCTTGCTTCCGTTGTTGCTGGCGCCGATGTCTTGTTTGATTTTGGAACACCTTGGTATTTCATTCAAGACGCAAGTATCGGTTAGAAGTTGAATGTGGTGAAATTTGAAGCAGCTGGTGTACTTTGAAGATACTGCGGTTAAGCTTTCACTACAAACGTGATAGTCTTCTTTGTTTTTTTTTTCTTGGGAGAAAATTTACTTTGGATTGGATCTTCTCAATGGAAGTTAAAGTTTTTTAGATTTGAAGCTATTTTAGGTCTATTTGGAGACTTTCTTGAGACTTTTTCTTTTTTCCTTCGATTTCAAAAAAAGAAAAACTTGCACGACGCGCTGTTTACAGCCAGATTCGACAATTTCAAAACATCCTGGGTCGATTTCCGGTTTTAAAAGATCTTTTTCATGACGTTTAGAATAGTCCAACTTAATTTGATACTTTTACCGAACTTTTTGAAAAACTGTATGTGAATTTTAGGTTTTGAAGCTTTTTTTTTTCGCCAGTCAAGCGATTACTTCGGTTCATAGTGGTCTTTTCATTTTGCAAGTCTAGATTTTCAAATTTAAAAATTGTGACAGAAAAAAATTCTTTCCAGCTAAAATTTCGAATGAGTTGACATTTCTCTCATCGTGGCTTTATAATGAATCTTCTATCGTATACATTCCAATCTAGAAAGTCAAAACTTTCTCCGTAACCCAAATTTCGCCGATATTCCAAACTTTCTGGCCTCTCGAAACCGTGAAAAAGCACACGCTGTTTTTTTTTGTTTCTCCGTTTATTTGCCTGCCCACTTGAACTTTTTTTGCTGGACTTGGCCTATTTACAGCAGCTGTTTTTAACACGTCAAAAGAAAAAAGAAAGCTAGAGTGCTGGCGACACACCTAATTTGCAACGGCGGCGACATCAAGACAAAAAGTTTGAAATTTGAAAGTTCGATGGAGCGCAATCACTTGAAAACGTTTTACGAAACTTTTCCCAAAGTTCACACATTGTTTGTTTTTTCAAAGTTTCGTCACCATTGTGGTTTTCATTTCTTTTTTTTTGCTGTTTAGGAAATGTAGAGGAGATTTGTTTCACAGGAAAACTTCAGAATTTTTTTTCTCGTTATCGAAGTTTTTTTTTCTCTGACTAAACTTATGTTGTTTGATGCTTGACAGTGAGCTGAAGTTCTTTATTAAGGGTTTGATGTGATGATTTACATAAACTGTGCCCTCTAATGTAGATTTAAAGCCCATTTTTTTGAGTTCTATGTAGTCGTGATTCCTTTATTTTCTTTTTTCTCTGATAGCTTCAGCGCCACGAACATCAAGCCATCAGTTTATTTTTTTGACTCTGGTATTATTTTCTTTGCAGGAGGCTAAAATTTTTTTATTTTTATGTTTGCAAAAATTGAACTATTTTTCAAAAATGATTATAGACGATTCACGGCTAGCTTGGGACGCAAAAAGGCGTGGCCTGTCTGCGCTCTCCACCAACCAAGGCACTGCCTCGTCTCTTTTCGTGGCAGGACCCTTTTCTCGATGGCTCAAGCCAGCCGTGAATCAGCTATACTTCAGCATTAAAAAACCTCTATTGACGATTTACTTTTGAGAAATTAAAATATATCTTTCGTAATTGATTTATTTTTCCTGTTCTATATCGATTTTTTTTTTTTTTTTTGATATTTTTTTATTTGTCACAAAAAGGCCATAATGATGTCGAACTATAGGACATTTTGGAGAACACGAAAAGTATCTGCGAATGAAGGAATGTAGCGGCGAACGATGAGTTCGCGTGTCGTCTCGGTGGCGGTGGTGGGCGCGAGCGGCTGCGAAGCGGTCCGCGGCGTGGTCGGCGTTGGAAAGTCGCTTCTGTGCAATCGCTTCGTCGCCGCCGCCTTCGACCAATTCTTCACAGAACATTGTTCCGTTCTGTCCCAGGTTCGTTTTCAGAAATCGTAAAAAAATTCTAATATTGGTATGAGTTAATTATCTTTATTCATTTAGTAAATAGGTATCCTGCAGAATGACGTCTCAAATAACTTGAACTCTGTTGATTTTTGGTACAATTTGCTCCAAGTAAAAAAAAATTTGCAGAAAATAAAAGTTCCAAAACATTTCGATGTATGAAATTAGGCATAACTGTCTTCAAAGATAAAAATTTTGTTGTCTGATCAAACGTCGCAATTTGTTTGCGACACCCACTTTAGAAGTGTTTGTCGAGCTTTTGAAGAGATCAGAAATCACTTTTTTTGTTTTGTTATAATTGTTCAATCAATTTTATTGAAGTAAAATTTCTCGAATTTCTTTTTTTGCAGACGGATTTTTGCTGGTTCGCCGGTTATCAACAGCGAACATTGGCTGTACTGGGGCGAGCGAATATTGACGACGGAAGAAAATTCGAACGTCGTCATCCGGTTAATTGAGCAGACGGGTAGGTATTCTCATCAACAAATTTATGTTTTTGATTTTTTTTTCCTTTATTTCCTGGTTTTAAAATGGTTTTCCAGTATTTGGAGGCTTTCGAGAAGTATTTTAGACGGTTTTGAGAGATTTTCGTATTAAATTCTCCTAAAAGTGGTTCTAGTGAAAGTGTTTTTAAAAGAATTTATCGTTCTCATAGGCGGAAGGAGTGTTTTTCTCTATCTGAAACAAAAAAGGGGATGTATAGTAAGAGAAACGTTCACCTGTTCTCTCTGAGAAGCCGTCAGCTGCTCATTTCCAGTGTTCACTATCGCACTATTATCTTTTTCTGCTCTTTTTAGCACTTCTCACCTGGAAATTAACGATTTGAGTGTGAAGTATTTGTTTTTGCAGAGTTCCTCGACGATGAAACGTACGAACCGATCGCGGGGCCTTCCAAGGAAGAATATTGCAAACGGGCGGCCAAAATCAACCTGAGCAGTCGCGACAAATTGATGTATATTAGAAAGGTGAGAACCTGGGCTTTTTACCAAGTTCTTGAACTCTTTTGAAATCAAGGGTTTCAAAAGAAGCTCGTTCAAATTTAAGTTATCGGACAAAAATCTTTTTTCTTTTTAATTTTTCACTTTACAAGCAGGTTTTTTGTTCACTTTTTCGAGTTTCTTAGAAGAATTTGAAGCCTCATAACTTTTCTAAAGATTTCTGAAATGAAAAAAAGCTTTTGAATCTTCAAAATTCATAGTTATTTTTGATAATTATTTATTTCTCTGTAAAAGCTTATTTTTTAAGTTTTTTTTTAAATTGTATTTTTACTGAGTTTTTAACCTTGCTCAAATCGAGCTGATTTACCCAAATGTCCCGATTTGTAGGAACAACTAGGGCTGGAAGCCGATTTTCCGCAACACGCGCTTCCCGACGGAAAATTCTCCGTCGATGCTTTCATCGTCGTGTGCGACGTCAGCAAGGCTTTCATGCAGAACCATGAAACGTCCGTTTTTATCATTTCCAAAAGATTTCTTTCAGTTTCAATCATATGTTTTTTTCAGAAAGATGAAATTCTTGTCCTCGTTGCTGTCGAACGTGGTGAAGACGAAGAAGCCGGCGATAATCGCCCTGACAAAGTCCGACCGAGTTGACGAGGAAGCGAGAAGAGCAGTCATGACCTTGCTCGCCAGAAAAGAGTTCAAAGCCATATTTTATCCTCCGGTTAGTTTTTCTTTCGTAAAAAGGTTCTTTTTTCAAATCGTTATCTTTTCTGAGAGGATTTCTGGCTACAAATTCCTGTTTCTTCATTCGTTTTTTTTTTGCAGTTGGAGAAATTTTTTTTTGAAATATATCGAGCTACACAATTTGAAAAGATCCTTCAATGTCCCTTGTTGATTTAATAGATTTTTTGATATTTTTAGACGATTTGCAAAACTTTGTGCGAAAAAATAACGTTTTTTGATTTTCTCAATGTTCTCAATGAGGAGCACCTGCAAACATTCTCGATTTTCTCTCAAGGGACCACTTTTTTTCCTTAGCCCTTTTGATACTTTTTTTCAGTAAAATGTTTTAAGATCGAAGTTTCCTCCATCTTCAACGTCAACGTCGACGAGATTTTTTTCACCTCGCTTGTCATTTGGTTCTGAAAAAAATAAGCTGAAAAAGAAAGGTTTTATTAAAAAAATCCTCATTTTTCATTCTTTATTTATTATGTTCAGCCTTTGCCCTATAGTGAAGCGGCTTTTTTTGGTAGATGAATCTAGGCAAAGAATAAAGTTGGTTTTTCCAAATTTATTAATGAAAAAAATTGGAAATAAGAATATTTCAGATCAGTCTATCTTAATTTATTGTCATCGGTGATTCCTGTGAAAAGCTGGCCCGCGCAGAGGTTTACATGGAATCGGTAGGTTTCAAATTTTTTAATTGAAAATTGATGAGGAAGCAGTTTTTTTTTCAAAATATTAAATCTCCTACCAGTTACTGAGGTGACTGTTAAGCACACATCAGTTTAATTAATTTAGTCAAGCATTTTTTTTTTTTGAACTTTTTTTTTTCTCCAAGCAATCATCACGTAGTTTGTACGAGCGATTTTTGAATATAAACAACTAAAAAAAAAGTTCAAGTTTTAAAGTGTTCGAAAAATGAATAACTCATCTTACAGGCTCCTGGCTGATCTCGACCGACACCCGGATTTCATAGCTTTTGTCAAAATTTTCGGCCAAAGGGAGGCTTACAATCTCTACGAGCAACATGTTTGCGAGGCGAAAGAACACTGGATGAGCTCCAAGTTCGATTTACATCTTTTTTTTGTTTAGAAAAATGTTTGAAAAAAAGCTTCATCGTCATCAATGAAGCTTTCCACTTGGAAAAATTGAAATGAAGAACTTTCAAAATCAAAAATAGCAAATATAAAATACCTATTTGAAGTTTCTTCACCATTTTTTTCCTCTTCAGACTTCGATCCTTTATTCCGCAACTTCCACAAATCTTCGCGACCCTACTGGAACGTCCAGATTTCGAGGATTTGGACTGGAGTCTGGCCAAAGAAAAAATCGTCTCTCATGCCCTTTTTGATGACTTTTTTCAGCCTATTGGCAGCTTGGGTTTTTCAAAATGGAATTTTACTGTTAAAACAAGAAATATATTTGTAGGTCGTCAATTGGATCCGATGACGCCTGATGGTGACTATTACTCTCGAGGCGATCCAAGAGTTCCGGCGGAGATTCTCATGCGCGAAGAGGCTCGCTACACTTTCGAGAGTTTCAAGGTAAAACTTGACTTGACCAGCCAATTCTGAGTAAGGGTCGTCTGAAAGTTGCGACTGAATCTGGGAAATTATCAACCCTGACATTTTATATATTATCAAATTACAGGAAAGGTTATTTTCATGTGAAGTTTGAAGGTCTCCAAAAAAATTTTCAAACCTGTGACAGCTGCGAAAGTTTTTATTTTGGAATTGTGAACTTTGAAAATTGAAAAACAATGGTTTCAAGGTTAATCCAGCATTGAACGCAAACTTCAAAATACATATTTTCAAAGCCGAAAATTTATTAAATTTCTGAGAAAATTTCAAACTTCACACTGAAATTATGTTGATTTTCAGTTGAGTTGCCTTTTAAAGTGTAGATTTTTCCGCTTGATCGTTCTATTACCCATTTGTTACAATTTAAAACTGTCTTACTTGTCTGAGCTCTCCTTTCCCTCACCGGGGCAGTAGGAGAAACGTAAAAAAGTGAATGTAAATGAAAGCTAAAAGCCGCTGATCCAAGCCAATAAGATTAGGAAACTTTTTTCCCAGAAAGAAGCGGAAACAGCGCGAAGAAAAGAGAAGCTGGAGGAAGATTTCGAGAACCTTCTCGCCGAGTCCAAACACATCACACCCGGGAAACCGCTCAAAGAAGTTCATTTGTTCCTCCAGGTTTTCATAGTTTCCAAAAATCCAGTCTGACAACTTTATTTGAGGGTTTTCCCGCTTTTGATTTACTCTCACCAAATCAAGCCGCAACTGTCTACGACCGTTATCAGGTACAAAGACTTTTATAATTTATACTTATTTCCTTCACAAAAATGACTAGGAATGAAGATAGGAGTAATAAGTTATCGAATTTTGGATGTAGGGTGAAAAAATAGAACCCGATTTTGAGACCTAGTGATGATACCGCGACTAATAGTTTTCATTACGAAGGTTTTGGCTCAGCCAAATCAAAAGATTCTTCAGAACGACCTGATGAAAAGAGCCGAATGCGAGTTCATCGAATGTCTTCTGGAGTACGTCGAGCTGTTCACTGACTCTCTGAAACGCATGCACTATGAAAATCTGACTCCTGCCCAGTTGAACGTGATCAAAGACGTCCTGGAGGCGGACTTGAGGTTAGGATATTGAGATATTTTTGAGTAATTTTGTTTTGAACTATTTATTTTTCGAGCTTACTGAATTGAAATAAGGTAACAAAGAGGTTTATAGTTGGCAGAAAGAAAGCCTTTGTGTACAATATTTTTAAAAAAACTTCTTTCATTAAGAATCTTAGTTACTAATAAAAAAATGATAATTTTTCGAAAGGTTTCAGAAAACCTAAAAAGAAAAACTGTAGATAAAAAGTTCTTACGAATAATCCAGTATTGAATAAAAAAATTTTTAAAGAGCTACAATTATTATTATCAAATATTGGAAAAATTTGGAAGACTTTTTAAGATTAAAAAAAGTTCAATCATGAGTTTTGAATTTTTAGAAAATCGATCTTCTTCGTGTTATTTTCCACTACATTCTTTTTTCCACTACCCATTTCTGCCTTTTTTTTTCTCAACATATGCGATCCTTTTTTCTTTATTCACTTCTCGTCTATTTTTTTCATTCAAAGAATCGTTTTGAAGGTACCGATGGTTGTCGAGAGTTTTCGAGCTCCGGGAAAAGCTCATCCTCGATATGTATTCTTTTTGGCGGCAGCCGAGTCCGCCAAAATGTTTCAACGGATCGAGATGCGCAGATTTCGTTGTTCCAGACGCCTTGGAGAAGTTTTTCCATAGGTTTTGGTCATTTCGAATATTTTCCCGTTAGTTTTCTTTTACAGGAGAAACGACAACTCTTACGTTCATTTGGTGGATGTGACAGTGCATGGAGACACTTCGATCGTGGCTCAGTTTATCACCGAAATCAACGTGAGATTTTCGGATTTTCAATGATTCAGTTAGGTTTCTGGATCAGTGAAAATGAACTTCGATCTGAGTCGTTTTTTTTTTATTGAAGATTATAAGTTTTTTTTTTGGAAGTATGGAAACGCATTTGCCTCATAGGTTTTAGTAGAGATATAATCATATGATTGTAACATTCATGAGATTTTGAATTTTTCAGTGTTTCCTGCACAGCGACCCTTTTCAAAGCGGCTGCGGCTCTTCTTTGATTCGCTGTTTCGGCGAAATCGAAGGCGATGATCGCGATTCAAGCCGGACCAATGTATATTTGATTGGTGGGTTTTTAATGAGGAAATAGAGTTTTATAGTTTTTCTGAAGGTTTTGGCGGTCTTTTGCACTTTTCATAAGTCAAAAAAGTGGTCGAACTAGTTTCTGAAGTGAAAAGAACCTATTTTTTCGAATATTCTTTTCTCATTCTAATTTGAAGGACTCTCCGAAAATCTTATTTTCAGACTCCCTCGACTCACTGCACACGTTCCGAGAGAAGGAGAAGGTCCGCAATGGCTACATTCCTTCGCTTTTTGTCGTCGTCTGCGACCCCTCCAACTACGACCTGATTCCTGTCCTCCAGCAGCACGTACTGATTGATTCTCTTGATTCTTCTTCATTTTTGTTCAATTTTCAAATCAATACTCAGGGCGCGAAATTGGCCGCCGAATGCGACGGCTCCTTCTTTGGCGTCGGTTCGACGTCTGGAGATGATACGACTTGTCCCTCTTTCTCTAGTGATTGCAGCTCGTTGATTGGGTAATTTTCGATTTAAAAATTGATAAAGGGGTCAATTCGAAAGGACTTGACTCAGAAGAAATTTTCGTTTTGTGAGATTTTCCCTCTAGGCCGAGTTTGAAACTACAGGGTGGCCAATAAATATTGAAACCGTTTTTTGTTTGATCGCTGCTTTTTGCACAAAGGACTGGCCATTGAATTTTTTTGTTTATTTCGTTCATTCATGCTCACTTATCATGTGTTTGAAGTTACAGATCATACTTTTCAGTTTTCAGGTAATGGTGGCCCATCTCCGTACCGTACCGCATTCATTGATTGTGTCAAAAGCTGAATGACAAATTCAGAGATCGTTAAAAAGCTGAAAGTGTCTCGTGTTCTCGTTTTTCGAACTGCACAACGCTATTGGCGTCTCGGTACTTCAGATGACATTCAAAGAAGGGGACGTCCAGTCACCGTCACGACTCCAGAAGCAGTCAAAGCCGTTCGAGAGAAAATCAGACGCACTCCGGAAAGAAGCGTGAGAAAGATGGCAAAAGAAGACGAAATGAGTCGAGAATCGATGAGAACTATTGTCAAGGACAAGATGAAGATGATTCCCTACCGTATGCAGAAAGGTGCCTTCCTCAATCAAAAAAAACAAGACATTGCGGATGAAAAAGGCTCGAAAGCTGCTCGCTGGCACGAAAGATGACTCGCATCTGACGACGCTATTTACCGACGAGAAAATCTTCACTGTGGAGGCGAACAACAACGGCCAAAACCATCCGATCATTGCTACTGACTATCAGAGTGCCTGTGAAAAAGGAAAAATTCTGAATAAAACTTCGCATCCGGCTTCCGTGATGGTTTTTACCGGAATTACCGCTGACGACAAAACTCCGCTGATTTTTGTGGATCCTGGAGTCAAAGTGAACCAAGTATACTACAGGGAGTAGATTTTAAAGTTGAGGGTGTTGCCCTGAGCCAGTTCTCACTACGGAAACCGACCATGGACCTTCCAGCAAGACGGCGCCCCCACTCATCGTGCCAAAGGGACTCAAGAGTGGTGTCGCGCCAATTTTCCGAGTTCATCTCGGCTGCTGATTGGCCTGCTTCCTCGCCCGACCTCAACCCGATGGACTATACCGTGTGGGGATATCTGACCGAGAAGGTCTCTTCTAAGAACTACCCAAGTATCAAAGCTCTGAAGACCGTGCTCATCAAGAAATGGGACGAAATCGACGACGACTACCTTCGTGCCGTGATCGATGCGTATCCGAAGAGACTGAAGGCCGTTATCAAAGCTAAAGTAGGAAGTTTTGAAAATTATTCTTGAATTTTGTTTCTATATTGTATGAATAAAATTTGTTCCAAGTTTGGTGGTGTTTGGTTGACTTTTGAGATAGTTATAACGTTTCAAACGCGTTTCAATATTTATTGGCCACCCTGTACCTGACGCGAAAATTAGTGGATTTTCTTGTTTGATTTTTTTAGCTTCGCTTTTATTATGGATAAATTTTCAGTAGAGAGCGTGTGATGGGAATTTGCGACGCGATCTGCTCTTCCCAGTTGACCAGAAGAAGGTCTGATCTGAGGATTCAGGTGTGTTTTTGAGTGATAATGAGCCCATGATCTGGATCTTACTAATTAAGCGAATCTTTAGTTTGAATCTATAATTCGTGCTTCAATATACTATATATTACAGTTGAAACATATAAAAAACGTAATAGAAAAAAAATCTCTTAAATTGAATAAAAAAATTCATGGTTATATCACAAAAAAAAACAGAAAAAATGTGATGTAAAACCTTGTAGGTATCGCTGATGTGTGGCGACCCTTACTCGTTAGACGCCCTTTCTTGGGACTTTTTTGGTGGCGTCGAACAACTCGCCACATTCAGACCCATCGTTCATCCCAACCTCATCAATGGCAAGACTTCTTGTGTCTCCTTTCCAAAGACGTCTTTCAGTTGGACTCGTGCCGGTGGACATCTTCCGGGCAGAGGCTGAGAACGAAGCCACGTCCAGGACTCGGGTCGACTTTACTTTCGGTAGCTATCATTCCTGGATGACGGCGGCTCCGACAATCAGTTCAGCCACGGGCCAACTTCGACCCCCCGTCTATCATCATGGACATATCTTCGTCTATTCGACAAGGTGGATAATTATTTCCGAAACAGGCTTCAAAGTTTGCAACCTTTTATAAATTTCAAGCTCTAATTTTAAGCCTGCAACGTAAGCGTAACGCTTCAAAAACGTCCAAAGCATGGCAGTTTTAAATTTGAAATAAGTATGTAAAAAAACCCTTTTCTTCATCTAAATTTCTATGAAAAATTTGTCACTTTGAGTTTTTTTGAGAAAAATTTTTCAAAGCTAATGGACTTCATTAAGACTTTTTTTGAAGTTTCGAAAAAAAGGAGCAGAAAAAATTCACGAAAAGTTTAAAAATCTAATTTCCGAAAAAAATCCAAATTTCTTGTTTGTTGTTTTGAACTGTCTCTAACTTTTTTGCACCATTCCCAAGGGTCAAAAATCTGCATCCACGGCATTTTCATGAATGAAGCTGAGTGTTCTTTTATTCGTTAATTAGTACAAGCTCGAAAAGTTCTAGCCTACAAAGCGTTCCATTTGGCCTTTTTTGTTCTTTTCTCTACTTCTGTCTCTTTATTTGTGCCTGCAGACGGGTGGCCTCATTTGCACACGCGCGTGCCGCAATTAGTCGGGTGCTGGACGACGGCTGGACGAGCGTCAGCGGCAAGTCCATTCTCCTCGTCGCCCTTCTCGACCATCCAGATCACGTCTCCTACGTGAGTCTCCATTTCACGATGCGTAGCTGCTTTATTTCTTTTTCGAAAAGTCTTGAAAGTTTCACAGAGGGTAGATTTTTGGGTTGAAACATTGAATCATCAAGATGAGTTGAAAAAGCCGAGTTCACTGACTGCGTCTGAAAATCAGAAGTTGTTTTTAGAACTTTAGGGGTAGTTCATAACTTATTGCACTTCAGGTTTACTCAAAAAATTCAGCCTCTTTTCAAAGATAATGATAAATGGCTGTGTGAGATCTTTCAAAACTCTTCAGTATTTGCTTTTTCGCGGTTTTCAAGTAGTATTTCCTCCTCAAGCGTTCCCTCGAGTGACTCCTCTGGGAAGAGCCAATACCCGACCTAATTACTGAGTCATGCAGCCGTTTGCAGCCGGCGTCGCTTTCCGTCTGCTCGAATAATTGAACCCACCAGGCCACGCCCACTTTTTCTCAACAATTTCTCTTCTGAGAAATGCTAGGAGCCACTTAAATGCTTTTCGAGATGGAGAGGGTGTAGAGTAGTCAGAAAAACATTGGTAAAACGAAATAATATAATGCATTGTTATATAGATTTTTTCCTGACAAGAAAGTAGAACCGAAAAAACCTTACACGTAATTTTTTGCTTTGATAAGAAAACCACAGAACATAAATTAGCATTAAAACATTTGAAGATATTTTTTCTCCTTTTTGGCTCAGTCGCAAAGACAATTTTTCTTATTATTTTCAAACTTTTTGTTTGGAAACGAAAATCTAAGTTCGAAAAAGTTCAGAGTACGTGACTATAATGAAAAAAGAAATTTCTATCTCACTTTTTTTTCTTTTTTTTGAAGTCTCCGGCTTCTTTGTGCTTGAGGTCAGAGGGTTTGGAAATTTTTACTGAAAGGGTCGATTTGAGGCGTTTTTTCTTGCGAAGAATATCGTATTCTCCAACATTTGCCTCTAATGTCCTTTTATGGGCTTTTTACTCGTAAAGAAAAGCGATTTTCCGCGGATCGCTATACTTAAGATCCAATTCTCCGTGTATAACACCGGCCATTTGGAGAGTCAACCTACTCCAAAAGAATAATTGAGCCCAACCGACCACGCCCACATTTTATTGGATTTTCCTGCATTTTGCGTATGAAATGAGGGAGAGAAAAAGGAGAGGGAGAAGCTTAGGATGAGAAGAGAAGACAATGGGGCAACTTCATTGTGGCTCGTGTCGACGTTGTCTTTTGGAGGCGAAAACGGCGTCCTCGTCCTCCTCGCTGCTGCGGATAAACGGAAAGGGAAACATTGGAGCGAGATAGGGATGTGTGGGAGCAAGCCCGCGTACAAGTACTTGAGTCCGCAAGAGAGCGCCAGACTCCCAGTTTCCTCCTAAACCGCATTTTTTTTTTTCGTTTCAGTGACTTTCACTTTATTTATTCCCATTTTTAAGCTTAAAGGAAGTTTTTCGGTTTTAGGAGGTCTTCGTTACGTTTGTTTTAGTTCTTAGATTTTTAGGAAATCATCAATCAACTCGGTCTTTTTTTCTTCTACTAAAGGATTGCTTTTAAAATATCAAGACTTGTTTTAGGTTTTCAATAATAAGATAGGTATAAATTGACTTAGACTCATCTGTCGATTCCTTTTTCGAGATTCTGGTGCAGTTTTTCTATACAATTTTCTGTTTATTTTTCCGGAGATTTCAGGAGTTAGGCTTCGCTGAAAATTTCAAGCTGTTTCTTCTTTTCGTTTGTTTCTTAGGCAGTTTTTCAGGTAAAATATTGCTAAAATCTCTCGAAGTAATTTTTTTCACACTTTTCTTTTTTTTTGTGCAACAAAAAACCAACAAAAAATTCTATTTAGTAGTACTTGAGCCTTTTTTCATTTTCTCGTTGAGATCTCTCTTTTTGATCGCTTTGGTTTTTTTTTCGAGAGGCGAAACTCAAAAAGTTGAAAGGGCAGAGGAATTAAAAGTTCTAGAAAAAGTATTGGAAAGTTGCAAAGTTCCGAAGTATTTTTAATATTTCCGCAGTTTTCTTGGAGATGTCGTGAAATTCCAAAAGACATGTAAGATATAATTTTTTTTTGAAATTTGACTTCAATTTGTTGCAGAACCTTTTAAAAAGAATCTCATGCGCTGAATGTTTTAAAACACGGATTTTTAAGATGTATCGGCGTTTATCGTTCTGGAATTCGGTCCCTAACTTTTCCTGAATTTTTGATTGACCGTGCTCATTTTTCTCTCTTTTTATCGTACTTCTCAGGAGAGCAACGTGTTGCTAACAGAGGGCAGCGAGTTGTCGACGAGCATCGGGGCGCGGTTCATCGCCGTCGCGAGCAACGAACTTCTGACGCCGGACGTCGTCGAGTTCGTCTTCGCCTTGCAGAGCATGGCCATGCCCAACTCCTCGACCACCGTCAGCGACAAGTACCGTTACAGGAACTCGCAGAGGTATCAAAAAAAAAAAAAATAAATATAAGTTTGCACAATTAGCGATTACAAGAACCCATCGAATCTAGTTATTGTACAAATATTCAAGAAACTTTGAAGTTCAAGTGACATTTCCTAACAAGCCGAAGTCATACTGCTTGCCACGCATTTAACAATAGGGCAAAGTGGCGACAAATAACCAATTCAAAGGAGGTTATGATTCATAAAATCAACTGCAGCACCGACTTCTTCCCCGTCGTCGAACACGTCCGACCGACGACCCTCCACCTCAAAACGCCCACCAGCATCAACAGTATGTCCGACTCGTGTCTCAAATGTTTTCTGGCAATTTTCCTAGGAACGGATCCGCCTCGTCGAGCCGCCGCAGCCGTCGCCGCTTCTGCCGCTGCTAAAAACAACAATAAAACGACTTCGAATGGCGAGGCGACGTCATCTGCCAAGGCTGACGTCAACTCGACGAGGAGTAACAAGTTTAGGTCCGGAGGCAGCTTCTTCTTCTGTTTTTTTTTTCCTTTTTTCGATTATCCAGACTTTTGAGGATAGGTTTTCCTTGTCAGTTGAGCTTCTACATGCTTATAACTAAATATTAGGCCTTTGTCTTTTTTTTCAAATTTTTAGAAGGGCGATGAGAATGATTATATTCAAATACAAAATTTTCGTGAACGTTTCGAGATCGTCGAAATCGAGTTTGAGGAGTTCGAAGCGGTAGAGACGCTAATTCTTTTTATTTACCTGACTTTTCTCGATTCTCTAGACTTTGAAGACCAAAAGGATCCTATGTTATTTGTTGATCTTGCAACTATTTTGGAAGAACTTCAAGTGACTTCTTGCTGTTTATGATCTATAAAACGGATTGTCGTTCAATCATGCCCAAAATGTTCAAAAACAGCGTTTGAGCAAGACCGAAAATGAAGAGTTTTATGAGTTTCAAGCGGCGAAGCTTCTTTTTTTCTCTTTTTTTTTTGAGTCTTACATCTTTTGTGTGGAGACTCTTCATTATTCTATTTTTATTCTATTTTTTGAGGCTAAGGTTCCAGCTCTCGGAAACTCCGAAAAATTTTTTTTTTCGAAATTTTGTTTAAGGATTTTTTTATTCTGTTAGAAACCTTAGCATTCGATTGTTTTGGCCTCTGCTCTTTCTTGATGCGGCCTTTTCAATTGAAGTATACGAGTTTTTGCATTGAAGAGGCTCTTTTGATGAATATGATTGTGCTGTTCTTCAATAGTTGGTATTCTCACTGGTTTTTTGGAGACTTCTTGAGCTTCATTCTTTTCAATTCTCACTGTAAAGTCTAGCTTTTTTATGGGGATGTACTGGCGATGTTTTTTCTGTGATTATTAAGTTTGAAAAAATTATCATAATTTACTTGAGAAGGACTCCGTGTGTTTTATCTCAAAAATGTTCAAACGAGTTTTTTTTTGAAATTTTCATTCCGAGTTTTCAAAAAAAAAATGTTTTTGATGTTCTAGCTCTATTTCGATGAATAGGAAGTTAAATTTTTTTTTTTTTGAACAAAAGCGATGCATTTTCCTTTTCACACTAAATTATGTGCATTGTTGATTATTTTCTAGTTTTTTCGATCTTGCAAAGTGGCCATTGTATTATTTCTATTTGCATTTTGAATTTTCAGAAAAGAAATGGTCAGCAGACCCGCCTTGATGCCTTCGCTGCCCATGAACATTAGGAAGAGCGAAAGTTTTCAGGTCAGTTTTGATTCTCCAAATTTTTTTTTCATAATTTTTTATTCAAGTTAGAGATGTTTTATTTTGCAGACAGCGCCGCTAGCGACTCCAGAAATGGTTGAAATTGCGCCGGAATACTCGTTGGTCAAAGTATGTTTGATTAAATTCGAAAAATGACAAGAAAACTTTTATTTTAGGATGCTCTGTCGTGTGATGAGCACATTTACGAAACACTAGACCATGCAGTTTTGAAGAAGAAAACGACGCCAAGCAGTACGGCTTCGTCTACTGGCTCGAGGGGAAAAACGGTAACTTTATCACAATCTTTTTGAAAAAAAGTTTTTTTCGAATTGTATCAAATGTTTTTTTAATTTTTTTAATGTGTCATGAAAAACTTCTCAGATTTCACATTTTAGCATGCTGTTTTAGTAGACTTGAAATTTTCTACGTTAATTGATCGTTTCAATTTTTTTTTATCATTTCGGAAAACAAGGTTGTCTCAGCGTTATAAAGTTTTTTTGAGCAGAAAGTATCGATTTTTTTTTCAAATTTTTCTTTTTTCAGTCAAAGAACAGCTTGACGTCTGAGACACTTTCACAACGCGACAACCCACCAAATTCAGGTAATTTTACTTTTTCTAAAAAAACAAAATATTTACTCTGATTTATCTCCCAAAGAAAGAGAAATTTCATATTAGTTGAAGATTACAATTTTACAGCTTGGAGTTTAGATTTTTTTAAATTTATTAGTCTCAAATATTTTGCGTGTATCAAAGATTTCAAATGAGTCCTTTAAAATTGGTTTACAACTTGAAGAAAAAAATTTTAACTGCTGTCTGTATGATGACTTTTTTTGAAAAAAACTGCGACCTTCAAAGTATTTCACAAAAAACAAAACTATTAAAAGATCATCACTTTTTCTGTTTTCAATCGTTGTTGTGTCGTAAATCCGTCGTGTTTTGTATTGAAGAATCGTGTCGCGCCGGTCGAGCCGTGAGTAGACGTGCCAGAACGGCGTTGCCGGCGCTGATGGAGCCCATCCAGCTGCACAGGACGACGAATCTGACGCCGACTCTTCTCGTCAACTCCTCCTCGCCACCGACGGCCATCCGACCTGAAATCATGTCTCGGAGCGTCACTGTCGCTGTCATCAACCCCTTGATAACCTCTCCGAGGCGACTGAAGAAAGCCGACATTGGTCCTCCAACTGCGACGCTGCGACAGTCGTTCAGTGCCGAATCGCTGTCCCAAGCAGCCGTCGGAGAGAAGAAGGCCAAGCGAAGGGACTTCAGCGGCAATCGCTTCGTCAGGAAGGTCGCCACCTCGTTCCGATTCAAGAAGGACAAGCTGGAGGAGAAACGAGATGAGGGAAGGAAGAGCGAAGAAGCGGCTGAAAGAAGGGACGTCGTCGAAGAACCGATCGGCTCCAGAAGCCTGCCTCAAAGCCCTCAGGTCGACCGCAAGCAGGCTAAGAAATATGCATCCCTCAGCAAGTTTTTCTTTTTTTTTTTTGGTTGATTCTGGTGGAGGTTGTGGTTGAGTTTTTTTTTTATCGTTTGGAGATGAGTTTTATCATTAATGAGCTTTGCAGAGCTAGAGTTTGTATATAAAAACTTTTTTTTTGATAATTTGCTTGATGATTTACTCTTGAGTTTATTGGTTTTGCTCTCAAGTCTGAAGTTATTATTTAGTCGCTTATGGATAGTAGTCAGTAAAATTTGGTAAAAAAACTATTTTTTTGGTTATTCTCAGGGCTTTCTTTTCATTTATGTGCGACAAAACGGACATTATAACAAATTTAAGTTGAATTAATTAGTAAATTCAATGTCCCGAAAAAAAAGTTAAAAGTTTCGGAGATAAAAATGATATGTCGGTTTTTGAAAGTTATTTGAAGAGTTTAACGCAAAGAGTGAAAGCTATATCACCGTATTTAGGTTCGAAATGAAGTAATTTCAGATGCCACTGAACGAGTGACCAACGCCCTTTCATGGCTCCCGTCGAGGTCTCCGAAGAGGTCGAATAAAAGCGCCACTACTGAGGTTTCTTCATTTTATTTATATTGCTTTTGAGATTTTCCCCAAAAAATGGAGGATTTTCAATAAATTCAGAAAAAGGAACATGTGAAAAGAAGAGACAGAAATTCGACTCGTTTATTGCCGAAAAGTTTTGAATTGGCTATTGTGAGCTCATGGATTTTCCGGTGTGAACAGATTGGATTTTTGGAATTTTTTTTTTGAAAAGACTTTTTTCAGAGCTTTTTACGAATTAGGTAGTCAAAAATTGAGTTTTCTTTATAACACCAAAAAAGCAGCTAAACAAAAAAATCAGGAAGGTTGACTTTTATCACTCTTTGAAGTTGATCCAGTTTTGAAGATGCAGGCAGAGAATCTCTATAATGCGTATAAGAGTCATTTAGAACGTTTTTCGCGTATTTTTCACAATCATCTTTCCAAAAATACTTTATTTTAGCCTAATTTTTTTTTTCTTTTGAAAGCTAATTATTTGAATTGAGTATTTCATTTTTGCAGATAGCTTCTTCGGTGTCGAGTTCTTCGACGACGAGCGTTTCCGCTCAAGGAGTTGTCCTGCCGGAGGACACCCTCGATTCTCTTTGTGCCGCCGCCTCTGGAGGCGTTCCCGATTTCGTCTCCCAGTGTATTTCGATCATTGAGGAGGTCTGAACCATTTTTTACATTCGAAGAGAAAGTCTTCATGGTTTAAAAATTAAAGAAAAATATATTTTGAGTCATTTTTGAGTGGATTTTATTGATCATATTATTTTTTCAGACGGGCGGTCTGGAATCCGAAGGATTGTACCGAGTACCCGGAAATCAGGCCCATGTTCTAGACGTTGAAAGGATCTATAGGGATACGGTTAGATTTGTTAACGAAATGAGTAAGAAAGACGATTTCCAGGGTGTTGTCGATCTGTCTTCAGCGGACGTGCCGGTACACGTTGGAGCCACGGCGCTGAAGAATTTCTTCAGTTGTTTGCCGCTTCCATTAATTCCGACAGAAATACATTCTTCTATCATTAGTTGTGTTTCTGGGGAACCTGTGAGTTTTCGAAGCTTCGAATCATCATGTTTTTGGTTAAAATGACTTGAGGTTCTTAAAAAAAATCGCCAAAAAGTAGCGAGCTTGCACTCCACAGAATAAACAATCTTTCAAGTCCACAAACATTTGAAAAATGGTAATCACACGGAATTTAATTTTCAAAAACTATAAAAGGTTGTTCTGTTCTCACATTTCTCATTTTGCTTCCTGCTCGATCAATAAAAAAAACCTTGCTCAGAACTTGGATCAACTAAAAATGGCTCTGAATGGACTCCCATCCTGCAATCGAGACGTTTTGCAATTTTTGATCAAACACTTGCAAAAAGTATCGCAATCCCCAGTTACCGCCATGGACATGACCAATTTGTCGAAAGTTTGGTTCCCCACTCTTTTTAGGTATGTTCTATTTATTCTCAACTAAATAATCATCACTCGTTCCAGACCAGCATTCAACAGCTACGAAGCCTTGTCCGCTGGTACCCATCTCTACCAAAAAGCCATGGAAGTAATATTCGAAAACGCCGATTCATTGTTATAAAATTATAATTATCACTTTCTTTGTTGAATTTTCTCCATTTATTGCTTCCTTCTTCGATTGCCCTCCTACTAATACGTGTACATAAACTTAATGGTGAGAGAACTGACGAATCAACGAATCCCGTGAACTGATGCACCATTCCAATCGGACCAACAGAAAAACCTCATCTATTTAGACTCTTGTAGTTATTTAACTTAACCATTTTCATATGTGATATTTATCGAAATGAAGATATTTAATTTAAACATCTTTTTTTTCTTCTGTTGACAGGGAAGCAAGCTGTTCAACTTTTCATGAACTAAAAAAAAGAAGCTTATCTCAACTAAAAAACTCACTATGTAAACAAAAGAATATTTTATTACCTCAAAAACGTTATTCATTCAGACAAATAAGAAACAAATAACACGGCCAAGAGAATTTTAACACCGCACACCGAAAAAGCGTCACCAGTCCGCTGATTGGCGCAAGTTTAGGGCGCCTGAATACGTGGCGTAAACTGCGGACAGCGATCATTTCTCGTTTCACTGATCGATTTACACGGTGTTTTCAATATATCTTTCGTGCTTTCCGAATAAACTATTTTACTTTGAAGACTGTCGCACATGGCTACGAGCACTAGCGAGAGCCAAACAAGCCTGGGTGATGGTGAAAAAAGGTATCACAATGACAAGTCGATCGACGATCGGATCCACCAGCAGTTAGTGTATAAAGTGAGAAAACTACAAAGAAGGCTTTGAATTGGAAGAGATGTTCAGGATAACAGGATAATAGACTTGAACAATGTTATTTTGGACAAGGAGCGACAGATTCTCGACTTGCAGGTTGATATTTTAAACTTTATATCAAAAATATTCTTCTATTGTAGGAACGAGTCCGAGAACAAGGTGAAGTTGCAAATGTTAAGAACCAAGCCTTGCGAATCGTTCAGCAAAAATTTGAGGTTTAAATATCGTATATAAACTATTTTATTGTATTCTCTAGGAAATTAACCGCGAAAGAAAGGATATGTCAACGGAGACGGACAACTCTTTCGTTTTGAGCCCATCCACGTCGACTTCCTATTCTGCAAGAACTGAAAAAGTTGAACGAAATGAGAGAAGAGCCAGGAGTTCCTCACCCGGTCATGCCATAGCGAACAGAAGTTGGTTTTTTTTTCAAAATCAGTGTTGCTTTTTTTTTAACTTTTTTCTCTCAAGTTTCATATTGTGAAGCATTTTTGAGCCCTTTCAGAACTGAAAATTCGTTTGCATTTTTAAACAGTTGAATTTTCAAGGAACATTCGCCAGTGGAACTTTTTCCCCACCTCCGATCGATCCACCAATTGATACGGACAACGATGCCTCTTTTATCGAATCTGTAAGTTTTTGATCTAAGTTTCGTGAAGCCATTTTTTGAAGGTTAAACACCTGGATGTGGATGGGATCAAGAGAAAGAGCCGGAAACGTGTGACTTTTGACCTTCCCCCGTCGGCTTATGGGTTTGAAGAAAGTTCTCTTTTTATAGAGAATGATTTTTTCAGTTCCACAGAAGAGCTGGCCTCCGCTTTGACCGAAGCTTCATCTGAAAATAGTTTTTTGAGGAAGCAGATCGAAGAATTGAACGGATCTGTGGAGAAAAATGAAAGAACAGGTGGAATTTTTGTTTTTAAATTCATGATTTCCATGCAGTTTTCCCTTTTTTTTTTGAATAAGTTTTAAGCGACTTTTGAGAAAAAATTTTTTGAGTTATCAATGAACTTCAACCGTTTTTTTTATGATTTATTTCGCTGTTTCAAACAATTTCTTGTTAAAGTATCTATGAAAATCGGAATTTTTCCACGAAGTTCTTCCCATTTTCTCAAAAATATATTCTCACAGTTACGTATAATTAAAAAAAAAGTTGGTTTGAGTGATTCATCGAATTTTTGTGATGCAAAAACTTGAGGGAATTCGAAATTTTTTGATTTTTTTCTTGTGGTTTTATATTTCAAGTTCGACTGGAAATCGTTTTTTTTTTTCATTAATCACCTCATTGTTAAATCGAAGTTGTATAGAGCCATCTTATACGTTTTCACCCCAGCCTGCATTTTTAAACATTATCTACAATTTTCAGTACGAGCAAGAAATTTCCAAGTACTCTCGGGACGCAAAAACAGCCGGTCTGAAGGCGCGTGTTGTGGCGACGGCCCGTATCAAATCATTGGAAGAAACCCTCGAAGAGTGTAATCGGAAGCATTCCGAACAGGTTTCCGTAGTGATTAGGGCGTTTTGAGGAGAGGTTTTGACAGGTGGAGAAACTCCAAGCGGAGGTCGACACGTTGAGAAGCTCCAGGGAGTGGGAGCTGGAGCAGAACGGACAGTTTCGCGAGCAGATTGCTTATCTCAAGTCCGTTTTTTTGTAGAGAAAAAAATGATAAGAAATATGAGTTGAAATTATAATGGAAGCTGAAAATTTGGGATACGGTTTTCAACAATCAGTCGAATATGAAACAAAAAACGGCTACTCGTTGAAGTCTTGGGATTTAGAATTTTTCTTTTAGCGAAATATTCCCAAATGAGCTCACAAATTTAATTTGTGTAATTTTGATGCCGAAAGTTTTTCTTATAATTTTTCATTCGCAAAAAATAATTATTACTATTAATTTTTTTGTGCTTTGAAAATGTTTTCAAGGCCTTGTTTTATGTTTTTTTTTCACTGAAGTATGTCTGAAAAACCTAAATAATAACTTCCAGTAGTTGAAAACTGAATCAATTATTATCCGAATAAAAAGCCTTTTCAGAGAAAAATCTCACAAGTTGAATGAAGAGCTTGACGTGAGCGAGAAGGCCAAAAGACAACTGGATGATGAGATTCAGGAGGTTTTAAAAATTTTCGTTTCCATTTTTTATCTCTTTTTTAGTCGAAAAAGATCATGGAACTGATGGTGGACGATTTGTTGGGCGCAGAAAATCTCATCGAGTACCATGAGACCCAGAAAAGAGCCATTTTTGAGGATGTCGACAGGCTCAAAGGTTCTTTTATTTCAAATGACTATTTTGAACGGATTTTTCCGTTTTCAGACGCAATTCTGGCTCAGGATCGATTCATTGAGATCCTCGAAGCAGACATTGTTATTTATGAGCAGCACATCGGCCTTCTCAGAGAGTCTTTGGGAGCTTCCAAGGTGACTTTTTAATGACTTTTTAGATTCAAAACCTTAAAGGAATGTTAGAAAAAAATGAATGTCACCATTTCAGTTGCTGTTTTTTTTAGGAAATTTTTGTTATTCTATTGTTTTTTTATAAAAATCTAAGTGTATTAAAAAAATAAACTCGAAATGTTAAAAAAACGAATATTGAGTGAAATATTTCGTTAAATCTGTTTCAAAAATTGAAATTTCCATTTATTAAAAAATTCTACATTATAAATTCAATTTTTTGTTCGAATCAATTCATCGGTTTAATTTCTGACTTCCAAAAAGTTATTTCCAGATTGACCACCGCGCTCTAATAAAATCGAAAGCCTTTGAAACGAAGCTTTTGGCGTTGGAAAAGGAGAAAGAGATGATCAACCGCAAGTCTTCAGGTTCGTTTTTCGAGGAATTGAGAGAATCGACGCATTTCTATGATTTCAAGCCTTTTCAAAATCACACAATTAGTGTAAGAACCGTTCATTCTATAGTACAGATAACAACGAACGAATATCGGAATGCCATAGAAAAATGGGATGTATAAGGCTGGAAAAGAGAAATTTCAAGCCGCTTCGAAGAAAACAACCCGAAAAATTATTAAAATTAATAAGATGAGAAGAAGGCTACTCCAAAATGGAATATGACAAAGCGGAGAAAATTTCAGAAACGGGATAGAAATCTCGATGCATAGAAGAATTACCGGAAGAGATATGATAGATGAGAGGAGTTGTCAACGTTATTTTGAGAAAATGAAAAGGAAAAATTAGTGCGATATTTTGATATCTGTTTGGGAAAAAAAATGCAAGGAAGAAAGGGGTAAGAAAGTACTCAGATTATTAATAGCGGCTTCTTTCACATTTTTCAAAAATTGGTTAGGAAAAGTTCAGCGTTGATAAGCAAGTTTGAAATGTTTGTGAGAAATAAAATCAGGCATGGCTCTTTTTATAATATTATTATAAAAGAAAGTAACTTCAAGTGGCTGTCTTCGATTCAAAAAAAAGCGTGAAAGAAATAAGAAAAATCTCAGCTGTGGCTTTTATTATCATGGAATAAGAGAAGAATTAGATAGTGTCAATGAGATGCTTATCCGAAGAGACGCTCTGAGTTCGGTCCCTTTCAAGAGTGCCGTTGGTTGAGGACGTCGACAGTGCGTGGTTACGGTAGGCGCTGATTTCCTGCGGCGCGAGACCCTTGTGCGTCGTCTGGTAGTGACGATACTGGTAGCCGAGGCCTTGGCCGATCGGCCGTTCGCCAGACTGAATCACCTGCAAAAATGAGGCATTAGATCTTGAAGCGACTTTGAAAGGCGAAGTGCGGCACCAGATAGCTGTGAATGAACCAAAAATGATATAAGGCCTTGAGTTTGTTTATTCTAATAAAAAGACGGATGGGAGATATTTCCAATTCGATCAATTTTTTCGATGAAAAGGACCTAGTTTAAAAATCAAATCGGCATCATTCCCTCGCAACCTTCTCTGAGGAAGTTCTTTTCTTCTAACAATGTCCATTTCAAACAAATTATATATACAGTCATGAATCATTTTTTTTTCCTTCAGAAAACTGACTAATAAAATCAACATTTTCATGGCGCTACCAACTTTTTTTTTTACTTCTATTCAGTTGAAAGAAATTCTGCCAATTCGATGTGTTTTGTGCAGATCAGCTGCCGCATGGCCTGTTTACTCCTGACATCATCGATTTGTTTACGGTGGAAAAGTGTATTTGTCCCTTTGAGTGGTGTTCGGAATGGGAGAAAACTGCGATAAAATTGTGAGCCGACATGGGAAAATTAGAAAAATAGGATAATTTTGAGCCTTGTAAGAATGATACCAGAAAGATTAAAAAATTCTGAGAAAAAAATGAAGGGATTTTTGTTGATATTAAGGATTTGAAAGCGTTTTCATTTCTTAGTTGATTTTTCAAATAACTATTATGAATTACGAGAAAAATATTCGACATAGACTAGGCCTAAGCCACCTATACAGGTGCACAGTCCAAAGATAACATTTTTCTTATTGCTCAATAATTGTTAAAAACTAATGGCACAAACAATTGAATAATGTTTTTAAAAAAAGCAAAATGAACTCACGTCGCAATGGCATCCACGACAGTAACGGCTTCTCCTTCGAAGGCAACAGTAGATTCCACAAGGGAAACACAAAATGGCGTAGAGAATGGCCCTCCAGTCGAATCTTCGCTTCAACTGTGGCTTGCCGCATGACGGACAGATATTTTGTTGGGTCGGCATTGCTTAAAATAGTGTGTCTAGTTAGAAATTGTGAATAGGAACTATTTGCAATAACAAAAACACACATATATATATATAATTAATCGTGTGATGGGAACCTTGAAAATATTTTTTGGGCAAAAATTTTTAAGGAACTTCTGTCTTCAAAAACAATCGTTTTGTAGTCAAAAGGGAATTTCGAACAAATAAACTGAGTAAAATTTCATTTCACTTCTCTAGAGAGAGCCTCACGTTGTAAGGTAGAAAAAATATTTATTATACTTCTAGCTGAATAAGAGAAAAAGCGTTCTATGAGAAAAATTTTTATTAAAGACTGTGGAAAAGCCAAAAGTAGAGCTTTATTTCGAGAATAAAAAAGAACCAATGACCGGATGAACCATTTTGCAAACTTTATCTGATATAAATTTAAAAAAATTTCATTTTTTTGAACAAAAAGGGATAAAATTTGAATTTGGTATAACTAAGATTAAGTTCTATATTTTATTAATGCGAAAAAAATCAAAACCTAAGTTTTCTGAAGTTTATAAGGCAAGTTTTTTCCATACTTGAGCTCAAATGAAAAACAAATGGAGTTTCATTTTGAAAAAAAGGATGAAAAATCTCGATTCTCGTTTATTTATTAGCCAAGTTAAGAATGAGAAACAGATTGAAATGAAACACAAGCGAGACTCCCGCAATATTTGCGATCCCATTTCTTCAAAAAAGGAAAAAAAAAACGGAACGGGGTGTCAGTAACCAAGGATGATTCAGCTGTAATAATAGATGGAACCGTACAATAAAACAAAAAAGAGATTGGCGCGCGAAAAAAAGACGATTCAGTGGGCGGAAACTTAATATCGATTGGGTTGGAAAAGAGCGGGACACGACTGGAGGCAGTCTCGCGTCGCCGACATCATCAACAACAATCAACAGAGTCTCCACCTCTCATTTTTTGAGGCGTAAACACCGTTTTGTTGGTCTTGTTTTGGTCGGGCTGTGGTCTTTTTGAGGAGCTTTTCTTATCAGAAAATGATTATAAGGGTTTATGAATTGATAACAGTGGCGAGACTGATAATAAGGGGAACCCCAGGATAAATTTATGAGAATCTTCTTAAATGAAGGTTTTTTTTCTATTTTGCTGATATGAATCTTAGAAAAACAGAAAAGCGATAGAACCTTTTCACAAAAATTTTCATTTTCTCTAGTTTCTTAGAGGAAATCACATTTGTGAAAAAACGAAATAGCTGAAATTGATAATGAAAATGAAAAGTATTTGGATTATTTGAGAGTTTTGGAAGAGCTTGTGAGGACGTACAGAGAACTTGGAAAAATATCGTGAATAGTTGTCGCCACGAGTTTTTTTTTAGTTTTTGTTTAGGCCACGCCCATTTTATGCTACCTCATCGTTCATCTCGAATTTTTTAGATTTTCAAATTGAAAAGTTTTGAAGATGTTTCAACGAGCTCAAATAAGAATAAATCCTAACCACAGTGTGAAATTTATTAAGAAAAAAACAGCAACGTAAAAAAACGTCTATTTTCTTTTTTTGACAACAAAAGTTGACCTCGAAAAATATTATTTGACCTTTGACTCACAAATATTTTTTCCGTCTTTTCATGAAACGATGCAATTGAAGATTGAAAATGAAGTATAATATGAGGAAAATCACGGGTTTTAGGGCTCTTCTCGTTTTAATTTATAAACAAAGTTCAAAAAAATTTTGCCAAAGGCGCGTTTATTTCAAACTCACCCAAAGGTCATCTTCAACTTGAAAACTTGTACCATTTCTATTGGCTCGGTCAAGATGAAAGAAGGCGATTAAAAAAAAATTTCCATGAAATCGCTGTTTGTGAGATTGTTCTTATCGGTTCGGTCAAGATCAAAAAGGTTGATATAAAATTTCCACGAAATGATACGTAAAGGCCTAACAGTAAATCAAAGAAAAATGCGTGGAAGTTTGAATATTTTGAAAAGAAAATGCAAATGATGGGAACGTTTATTTTTTCAGAAGATCGATTGAAGACGAAAGCGCTGGACAAGAAATGTCAGCTGTTGGTACAGGAAAACGAGAAACTGATGGAGAAGCTATGCGAATTGGAAATGCAGCGCGGCGAGGAGGATATCCAGGCCAAGCTCAAGAATCAGATCGAAGAAGTGAAAATCGGCATTTTCCGTTGTTTCCTATTGTCCTTTGTTTAGCTCAACCAGCGTATCAATGATGAGAAGAGTAGGAGTATTGCATTGCAAGTGGCTAAGGAGAAAGTGGAAGAAGGTCTGAAGCCTCTAGAAAGTCATTCGTATATCAATAATTTCAAGAGTTGGCCCGCGAAAAGCTCAGCTTCGAAAATCAGGTCATAGCTCTGCAACAGGCCCCTCAACGTAGGAAATCGAACAGAGAAGAGGATTTATTTCTGATTTTTTTTTAGATGTTGTTGAGCCTGAAGCTCCTGACTATCTGATCAGAGAAATTGAACATCTTCGTGAGAAACTCAGCACGGCGATTCGCGAGGCTGAAGATCTGCGAGCCGAGAACTTCGACCTGCAAATGAGCAAAGCTTCTACCGCTCCCAAAGAGTCTGAAATGCCTTAAAACTAGTAGATGAAGAAATTTATCTTTTTAGAACTCCCAAGGACGAGGATTACAGTGAAGAAGTTGTTCGTGAGGTATACTGTAGAGCGAAACACTTTCAAACTTTCAAACTTTTAGATTAAAGCAAAGCTTGAAGCGGTGACGGAAGAACTCAGTGAGTCTTTGGAAGCCGTGGAGTCTTTGAAAAAAGAGAAACAGGCGATAAGGTACTCAAAAACTGTTTGGATAAAAGAGAAAAAGGAATTTCCAGAGTTGAGTTGGATAATGCCCGATTGAGCATTTCTGAAACCAAAGAAGTTCGCGAGCAGGTGATCCGACTCAAGGAAGAGGTTCGTTTTGATTCACAATTTTTTCAAAATTCATTTGAAGACTATCGTCTTAAAAAAGGCGCCCAAAACTTCATAAGACATATACATGGGTTTTTTTTTCAGCTGGATCAAGAAAGAGAAACTGGCAGACAGAACTGGGAAGAAGCTTGCAAAAGAATGGCGATTCCTGACGCGAACAGCCGCAAAAATTCGATCGAAGTCCAGTACCAACAGTACACGATTGCCTTCGAAGAAAAGATTGAGGCGCTCCAAAAGGCATTGGAAGACGCCAAGGGCACCATTGCTCAGGACAAGGAGGTTTTTCTCATTTTATGAAGCAATAAAAGATTTTTTTCCAGGAAAAGAAGAAGCTGAAAGCGGCTCTCCGGCAGTTGCGCGACAAGAAGGAAGTGAAAGAAGAGCCAAAAGTCGAGAAACTGGAGGTCCAGCTTCAGCAAGCTGCTCCAGCTCCAGATCAAAGTCAGGCTGATGCTGTGGAAATGAAGCGGCAAATCGATGTAAATTTTCCCTTTTCTCGGACAGTCTCACATTTGAGAAACATTTTATCAAACTAGCGGCTTATAGAAGGATAATTGGTATAAATAAAAGTCTTTTTTATAGGAACTTCAATTGGAAGCGAAACTTTCTGGAGAATTGAACGTCGAACTCGGCAGAGCGATGCTCGAGATGGAAAAGAAGATAGATCTGATGAGACTGGAAAACGATTCGCAAAAACGGGAAGAAGAGACGACGGTGATGGAGCTCAGACTGCACGAGATGATGGTCCAGGAGCTGTCTGAAGAAATCGAGAATTTGAAGGCCTCTCTGGCTCAAAGTTCCGCTCCGAATGCTTGTGAACGATGTGAGACCTTCGGAGAAATCATCGAAAACCTGCGACAGGAGAATAAATCTCTGAAAGCGGAACTTGACCGGGTCCGTCAGCAGATGGAGGGGCTTGGCGTGGAGCGAGTCTCCGAAAGAGAAGAGCTCGATTCGATGCACGACGTAGAGGTCCGAAGGCTGTGCACGGCGATCGAAGACGCCAGGAGAGAGGTCTCCGACTTGGAGCAGAAGCTTCTCCTCAATGAGGAGGCCTTGCAGAAGAGTCTGACCACCTCCAAACAGTATTCTCACCAGGTGCGGCTTATGAAAGTATCTATCTTTTTGGAAACTTTTCAACATTTTTGCTCAAATTTTATGACGAAAGTAGCGTTTGTTCAATGCTTTTCCATTAACTTTCCACTATATAAAAATATTTCAGCTTGTTTATTCTTTAAAGGTTAGCCAAAAAAAAATTGAATTCATTTGTTTTCCAATTTTTTTTTTATCAAAATGCAGTTTCACTTATTTTTCGCCGGCAAAATGATGGAGGGTGAATTGTTCATGATTTTTTTTCAGAGTACCACAACGGACGAGTCGTCGGTGGTTAGCAACGACAACGTCACTAGAGGATTCTATTCTGACGACGAGCCTACAACTTCTCAAGATGATCAGAATCGTCTGATTGAGGAAAACGCGATTCTCAGAGAGTGTATCGACGAGTCGAACAAGGCTCAAGGCGGCATGTCACAGGTAGAAATCAAAAGAAAATATTTCTTTTAAAGTATACGTTTTACGTCTACGAAGATAATGTACGAAATTTTAAGATTATTGTAGAACTCGAAAAATTTGCAATCAAAGGTTTAGTTGTTTAAATAATGGTTTCTTATCATAAAAATGCTCGTTTTTTATTTTTATTTTTTGAGCTGTATTTCCTCCTTTTTCAGGACATTGCCAAACTTCTCGAACTGAAGGAAGAACTAGAAACAGCGGTAAATGCCCTAAAAGCTGAAGTTTGGTCGCTCAATGGACAACTCAAATCGGTTAGACTTTAGATTCCAAATTTCATATCAACACTATTCTTTGTTCAGCATTTGATCGATAGAGAGAACTTGGAAGACCGGCTCTGCGACTTAGAAGATCGTGTTGAAAAAGAGAAAAAGAGAGCCGATGGACTGGATGTCGAGCTGCAAGAACAGGCAACTGCCTACCCGTAGAGAAAACGAACTTTATAATTTTACAGGTCGAACTTACTGAAAAAGCACAGCAAAGGGCAGCCCAGGCAGAAAATGAATCGAATAGAAGATTGGCTGAATGTTTGGAGATGGAAAATCGGCGGTTTTCCTTCTTCGAGAATCTCCATCATCCATATTTTCAGAGAAGAGATTGAAAAAGCGTACGCGAGCCTTTCTGAGTACTACAATCAACTTCAGTCGGCCTACAACGTGATTTACGCGAAAGTTCATACTCAGCAACAGGAGGTCAGGCAAAAACCTGTCAGAGTTAACTGAAAGGAAAATTGAAAATAGCTGAAAAAAGTTATTTGTTGCTAATTCACTTCTAAAATTTTGATTTAGAAATTTTTAAGTCTATTAAAAACAGCTTCCTTCCAATTTTTTTCTTTCCAGCAACTTCTTCAATCGGCGCCACAACAGCTAACCTTGGACGATTCTGAACTTGTTCCCATCCTCCTCGAGTTGATGACTGTTCTGGAAATTGACTCCGACTCAGCCCAAGGCACAACTGAACGGCTTCAACTCGTTGTGCAAAAAGTCAAGAGTGTGCTCAATGAAGTCGCGGAGTACCGCAGTGCTTTGGCCGAGCAGAAGAGAATCAGCGAGGCGATCCAGGACCGCTTGGAGACGTTGGAAGCTGAGGTGGAGCGAGGTGCGACGGCGTCGTCGAAGGAGCGGATCCAAGAACTCGAGGGAGAGATCGAATGGAAGCAGGAGGAGTGCGTGTCTCTCAAGAGAAGGATCAGCGAGATGGAGAAGGCGCTCGACGTCCTGGCCGTCAAGGGAAATGAAGATGAAGGTTCGTACTTGGAAAATGGGATGGAAGGTGTTTGAGAAGAGTTTGGAGATGAAATAGAACAGAGGATTCAAAAAATTACGGTTGAGAAAAGGTGGAAAAGCTTTTTTGAAGAGGCTTATGAGGTCTAACCAGAGATCTATTGTTTTGCATAAGAACTAAAATATATTTAATTTATCATTATAACTAGAATAGGACTGCGACTATCTAGTCAGTCAGCTCAGAAGAGAGCGTGAAAGAAATTTTCAAATAATCGAACGCTCTATCGTCGCTATTCCAGCTTCTCTCAGAAAAATTTATTTATTTATGTTTTTTGACAAGCTTTTTCCTCTTCTCGTACAACTTCTATAGAAAAAGCGGCTTTGAGGAGCTTGGATGCTTTGAAATAATGCTTTCGCTTGTCCTTTTACACTATCCTGATGGTAGATAGTCTTGGTGTGGCTTTTCCTGTGTTTCTGTGTGTGAATTTATCGGCATCGGGAAAGCCGACTGCGTTCGCTAGCCGATCTGGCGCGCATTACAGCTGCAACCGCTAGTCGACTCGGAATGGAACTCGCGATTTTAGCTGCGAAGCTCGCCACCCGTCAGGCTGACGTCGATTCCTTGTTCCGCACCAACGCCGAACTGGCCCATACCAACGTGCGGCTGCAGAACGAAGTCGACGAGAAGGACGAGGTGAGACTGACCGCTGAACGACGGCATCAAGAAGTACTGCGAGTCTAGTGGTTGAGAGGAAACTTGGGTTTCAGGAGCTCCTGGCTCTGCGGAATGAGATTGCTGAGCTCGAAGACAAAGTCCGCGATCTTCAGGTCAAACTGACGGAGAGCCATTCAACTGATGTCAGCTCAGACGAACAAAAGGTTTTTTGAAGAAGGATCTCAGAAACCTGAATTTTACGAGTAGGACTTGAGAAAATATGCACAAATTTGTTAAAGTTTTAGTGCTTTCTTTGTTCTTTTTGTACCGTTTTTTTTCGATCTTAAGTTTTCGGTTTCCAGCGACTCCAAGAACTTCTCGACGAGCAAACCAAGGAGATGTTGGAGAGACAGCGTCAAAATTCTCTGGTGACCCAAAAAATTTTTGTTTTAGTCGCATGCATTGTTTTCCAGGAAGTCAAAGAACTTCAAAAGAAGATTGGAACATTAGAATCTCAGCTAGCCGAGAGTCAAGCCAATTCAGCAAGTTTGGATGAGCAACAGGTTGTAAAAAGCTATTAACAGTATTAAATTGGCTTTTTTTTTTGTAGAGACTTCAAGGAATTGTTGAAGAATTGAAAAAAGAAATGGCCGCGAAGGAAAATCAAAATTCTGCGGTATCGAAGAAAGGAAAAGTGTTGATGTTATGAAGATGATTGTAGGAAAAAGACGATTTGGAACAAAAAGTAGAAGAGCTGGAAGAACAAATCCATGATCTTGTGAAGGATCTTGCGGATAGTCGCCGGGCTCCCACTGTTTCTCAAGAACAAGAAGTTAGTGAAAAAAATATTGAAAACTAATTAGTTTTTCGAATTTCTCAGCGACTCCAAACTCTTGTCGAGCAGCAAAAGAAGGAAATGTTCGCTAGGGAAAGGAAGAGTGCTGTGGTAGGTCTTAAAATTTTTTTGATGTTTTAAATTATCTCATCCGTCAGAAGAGTATTCAAGTGTGTTTTACCAATGTTTTACGGTAATTTTAATATGTAATTGAGAAGAAAGACGTTTTCACAATGAATCCACTTTCAGGAACTGGAAGATCTCCAACAGAAGATTGAAGAACTCGAGGAATACATCAGAGACTTGGAAGAAAAGTTGGCCGAATCTCGTGAATCTCAGCAGAAAGTCGTCCATGAAGTTGTTTTCTTCAATCGATTGTATTTTTATTATGAAACTCAGACGGCTCAAACTTCGGCGAAAACTGAAGAAGACGACAATTGGGGATGGGGCGAAGATGAGGACAATGTTGAACAAAAAGTCGAAGAGGACCCTAAGAAAGAAGAACTTGGTCCCTCACTCGATGATGAAGTTTGGCCTAAAAATAAACATTACAGTCAAAAGGAAATTTGAGGTGGCTCGTCTGCAACAGATTGAAAAGAGTTCTGAACCAAAGGATCATGAGCTTAGAAGATCAGCTTCTGGAAGTCGAAGAGAAGTATCAGGATGCGGAAGAGTCGCTGAACGAGGAGAAGGAGAAGGTGAGTCCATAAAAAGTAATAAAGATTGAGACACCATTGATAAAAGAATTATTCACAGCTAGAAAAGGCTTTTTCAGAAAAGATGATTTTTTTTTTAAATTTTTTTCAGTGTGTGTGTGTGTTTTTTTTTCCCAAATATGAACAATTAATTGGGCAGTATAAGTTTAGTGGGGAATTTTTCGGCTGGAGCCAACTCTTTTTCAAGTTTTTGGAGCCTCTTTTATATTTTATTGTTAACGAAAAAATTCGTATGTGTTATTTGTGCTCCTAGAAGGATACTAGTAGTTTATTGAATGATGAGAAAAAAAAAGTTGAAAAATAGACTGTGCGTTGCTAGAAAACGTCTCAAAAGACTCGAAAAAGTAATTCTATAACGAGTATAGCTCGTTTCACCTGGAGACGCCATCTTGTCATTTTTTTTTTTCTTTTTCCGTACAGAACCTTTCCCTTTGATGCGCGCGTCCTGTGTCTGTGAATGCGTCTTTAGTTTGGCCTAAAATTTCCCGTCTTCGGTAAGTTCATTAGGTCAAATATAAGAGTGGTGCAGTCAAAAAACACACGCGTACCAGAAAACTGATCGCCAACTGGACTTTCATCATTTATTTGAATAACTCAGTTGATTTTCAGAACGCCGCGCTTCAAGAAGAAAAAGAGGGGCTGAGCCGAGACGCTTCTGGTCTCAGAGAAAAGTTTGAAAAAGTACAGATCAGCTATCAATCACAAATATAAAAAAAAATGTTATTGATTTTTCAGACTTCAGCGAATCTAAATAGAACGGAACAGCGAGCAGAAGAAACTGAAAGGCATTTGAGGGAAGAGGTTTTTGTTAAATTATTGTTTTTGAGGAATAATCTAATTTTCTAGATCGAGACGGTTACTAAGAAACTCCAGGAACAAGAAAAACTAGAAGAGGTTTCACTTGTTCTTTTACATATCCAAAATGAAAAATATAATATTGTAGAATGTTGTTAATGAACAACAGGCCGATGCCTGGGACGATTGGAACGATCAAGAGGATCAGAAGCCTTTGGTTTGAGGATAAACTCGTAATTCAAAATATTTTTCTTGTTTGAGAAACCCGAAGTCAAGGAAGAACCTGCGGACGAGGATAACTGGGGCTGGGGCGAAGATGAACCTGCCGATCCTGTGGAAACGTCAAGTTTGAATGTTTTTGGCCGTATTTTATTGAAGTTTTCAAGAAAAAAGTTCAGAAGGATGAAGTGGCAGAGTTGAATGAGCAACTGAGAGAACTGGCCGTAGCTCAGACAAATCTTGAGGTTTTAAAAAAAAAGAAAGAAAATTTTTACTTTTCAACTCTCCAGAAAGACCTTCAAGCAAGAGAAGCCTTGATTTTGACGTTGGAAGAGCAACTCAAAGAGGCCAACGAGAAGTATCAAACGGTTTGTTAGGTCATTCCATTTTCGAAATACCATATCTGTTTAGCTGAACGACACTTTGAACGAGCTGGAGTTGAAGTTTGAACGCAAAGAGCAGGAGTTGGAGGAATCGGAAAAAAATGCCCAGAAAGTGAAAAACGAGCTGCTGAAGATGAGGGAGCAGAGCGACCTTTTGAAAGACTCTGAGGCCCGGTTGTTAGATCAAGCGGATGATTTTGCTACAAACATGGAGAAGTAACCAAAGTTTTTCGAAGAAATATCCGAAATATTTCTTAAGATATTCAAATGAATGTCAGACGTTGCGAAAACAGTTGACAGAAGTAGAATCGAGGCGAAATGAGGTCGATCCGGTGGCTCTGAAAGAGAAAGAAGACGAGGTTCAGCGATTGAGGTGATTAGATCTGTACAAAAAAAAAAAAGAAAAAATTTGCGCTCCACTGCAAAATATTTTTTTTTGGTTTGTGAAAGGAAGAGAAGCGCCTATCAATTGTAATGACGGATCTCTCAAAAAAGCCTCCTTCGATAAAGTTTTAGATTTCCGTGAAATTGGTCTAAAGTTCAAAAAGCTATAGTAATGGTGGTAAGTTGTCAATTAGAATTTTCACCATGTCAAATTCCCAGTGGAGCGCAAAGCCCCTGCGAATACTGGCGTTTTTGTCCTCATCTCGGCTCAAACTTTTCATAATTTCATCACAATTTTTTGCAGACATGAGCTCGAGGAAGTCGAAAAAGTTTTGAAGTGTCTTGAGCAGAAACATGAGGCCGTGTTGCAACAAGAAGAGCAAATGAAAAAAGAACTGAAAACCTTGAAGGATCAGAACGACCTTCTGAAAGATTCGGAAGCAAGGCTCATCGACCAGGCCGATGACTATGCTACTCATATGGAGAAGTAACCAAGATTTCTGAAATTATTTTCCAATTGCTCCTTTAGATACTCTAATGAATGCCAACGTCTGAAGAAACAACTGCAAGAACGTATGGTTGATCCGGAGGCTGTCTACGAGAAACAAGTCGAGGTTGAAATCAAGAGGTACCTCTTGCAGAGTTGCCAAAGAAATAGAAGCTTTTTTCCAGTCGCAAACTCGAGCAGATGGAGCAGTTTTTGAAAGATGCCGAACAGAAACATGCGGCCGCCTTGAGACAGAAAGAAGCGAATATCAGCCAACTTCGACAAGACCAAGGCCTTTTGGAGAGGGAAATCGAAGATTTGAAGCTGAGGATTGAAGTTGTTGAAAAAGTACGTAGAAACATATAAATTGATGGAAAATAGTGAATCTTTGGTTTGAAATACAGAAAAAGTTTCAGGAGCGCGATGCATCCAAGAAGGCTCTATCGGACCTGAAGTCGAAGATCGCGGCCAGGTCTCCGGCGGGTTCTCGGCCTTCGACTCCAAGAACAAGACTGGCTCCTCCAGCACGACACCCTGACCCAGTCGCCGAAGTCGCAGAGCCGCCGGCCGAACCTGCCGAGTTCAGATCTTCGGCCTTTTCGCCAGTCATTCCACAGGTTTCTTTCTCTTCCCTTACTTGGTTTTGCTCTGGTGTATGGCTTTGGGAACGGTAGAGAGTAAGGCGACTAGGCTTTCATCTCAAAAAAGATAACTTTCTGTCCGTTTTTCACCTTTGTCTCAGCTGGACCACACCATGCACCTTAGCTCAACTTTCTCAAAACTTTTAGCCTAGGCTAGCCTTTACCGTTTTACAGAGCACCATGGAGCCATTAAGACGGAGAACGGCTGCGCATAAATAACTTATCGATTTTCCATTTAATTATCTTTATTTCTTCTCGGGTTGATCCTGGTCTGGTCTGGTCGCCTTAATTTGAACATTAGCGGTGCTGCTGCTCTCCCAAATGAATTCATCTGTCATTCTTTAAACTGTTATTCTCATTATGTACTTATGTGATCGCTTGTGATGATAATAGGGTGTAGATAAACTGTTTACAATTGGTAAAATATGTGTTTGCTTGTGCTAGAAAAAAAAATGTCATTTGCTTTGAAAGTTCAGATACTTTGGCGAAGAAAATTGCATGCTTTTTTTTTGCAGAAGCAAGAAAAGAATTTTTTAGGACTTTTCTGGTTTCTTGGCCGATACGGACCGGTACCTCGAGTCGCTAGACCGCATTGACGACTTGGTGGTAGAAGTGATCGGAGAAAAAGTCATGGGTCGCAAGAATAAGAAGAAGAATGTTCGTTTTTGCTTGCTGTCTTCGTGGCATTTGCATGTTTCTTTTTTCAGACAGTGCCATCGGATGGAGCCGCAGTAACTCCTTCGACGTCGCAGGTCACTTCGGAAGGATCTTCGAATAATGTTGTCTCAAAAAACGTTTCTGCTGTAGAGTCCATGCCATCGCAAGAAGGTCTGAAGTCTGAAAAAAGACGTCTCTGCTGGGTAACGGCAGATCCGGAAAAGGAAGTTTCGCTTGAGCAAGAACTTCAATTGCGAAACGACACGCTGTCTATTAAAGTCGAGGATTTGATGAACGAAGTTGAAACTCTCAAAATTGAAGTCGCAAAAGCTGCTAAATCTTCCGAGCTGATGGAAATGGAGAAGAGAGAGTTGATCGATTCTATCGAAGTCCTACGCAAAGAGATTGGAGAAGAGAAGCTGACCAGCTACGAGATCGACCGACAAAGGACTGAGAACGACGAGGTGCAGGACTTGATGAAGATGCAGTACGACGAGCTCTCCAAACTCTACGAACAGGCCGTCGCGTCTTTGAAGTCAAAGGAGGAGAAGTGCGACGCTATCGAAGCTGCGCGACAGGCGCTCGTCGAAGAGATAGCACAGCTTCGTCTGGGACTGGAAGCCGCGAAAGGCTGGTACGCCGAGAAATATTCCATGATGGACACGTTGGAGGAGCTCAGAATTGAGAAAGAAGAGCTGCTCGATCACATGGAAGTCTTTGATCAGAGGGTCTCATCTGACAAGAAAAAGAAGCAACTGGAAATTGACAATCTTCGTGAGGATCTACGCGTCTTGAAGAAGAACGGCGAGGACCTAGCGCTCAAGCTGACTGAGTCGAATGAGAAGTACGAATGTATTGTCTCTAAACTTGACGCCGAGAAAAAAACTTCCCAACTTATTATGGAAAAAAACGCCGAGCTGGAGGTAATGGTGCAGCGTCTGAATTCGGACGTCTCTCGTCAAGAAACCGATTTGGAGACAACCTTAAAGAGCCTGAGCGAGCAGAAAACGCATCTTGAGGATTACAAAGTGGAATCGGAACGTCAAATCACAGATCTCGAACAACAGTTGCTAGCTGCAAATCAGAAAACTGAAGAGTTCGTTTGTGAGCTTTTTCATAGGAAGTTATTCGTTTCAGATTGATTTCGGAGAAGTCGGAACAGACCGCAATGATTCTCGGCTATCAGGATTGTCTCAGAGACTGCAACGATCAGAAGCTGCGGATCCGCGAGTTGGAGCAGGCGATCATCGAGTCAGTTAACGGCGCTTTGAAATTGAAAAAAGATGGATCTTTTTGAAAGGCTATTTCGCAAGAATGTGCTAGAAAAACTTTCAAACGTTCTTTTAACAAAATTTGAAGTTCAGCTGAATTTTTCCCAATTTTCAAATGAAAACAATTTCTAGTTAGTTCAGAATTATCTCGAAATTCTTCAAAATGTATGAGGCTTTCTTCATTCAAAAAATGGTTATAAATCGTGCTACTGAATGAAGGCCAATCAATGCTGAATTAGCTAATCAAACAGAATTATCCATAGTTCAAAGAAAAAAATTTTTCAGGCAAGAGAATCGCAATTCTTATCTCAATGCCGAGTTGGAACGAAGCCAGACCAAAATTAACGTTACCTCTGTTGGATCAGCTGATGACGTCAAGGTTCTCGAGAAAGAATTTCGATCTTATTCAGAGAAATTTAGATCGAAGAAGAGGTAGTTGATCATCTGAAACAGGACAACGTTCGGCTGGAGCGAGAGCTTTTCAGTGCTCACGAATCTTTGGACAACCTTCAAGTCTGTCGTTATCAACTGAAAATGCGTGCAAATTCTTTTTTTCAGGCGGAAACTTCCGAGTTGCGTCGAGCAGTCGAAATCATGAACATAGCGTCAATGGAAGCCAGCAACGAGGCCAACAAGTATGAGGTTTTCCAGAGTAACCTTTCAAGAGTCTCTCCCAGATTGCGACTTGCTCTGGAAAAGGCGATGTTCGAGAAAGAACAGGCTCTGATGGCCAACGACGGCCGCGACGCGACCAACCGAGTTCTGGAGCTGGAGCGCGAGTTGGCTGACGTCAGGGCGGAGTGCAGCGAGAAGATGAGCGAGATGATGGAAGAGCTGCAGACCTGCGAGGAACGTCTTCGTCTGGCCGTCGACTGCGAGAGATCCGCCAACGAAGCCAAGGAGGAGATGGAAGCTACGGTTTTCAGAGTTGATTTGGATCTATGAAAGAAAAATGTTGCAGGCGCTCAACTGGTGCAATCGATTCGAGGAGGCGGCGGCTGCGAACGAAGCTCTTGGAAGAGAGATCGACGAGGTTCATCATTTGGAAGCCGCTCTGAGGGGCGTCCGTGAGGAGAACGCCGCCATGGCAGTGCTGGTAGATGATCTGAAGACGGAGAACGGTCGACTCGTGGAGGAAGGACAAGTGTTGAGGCAGCAGGTCTCAAGAGGTCGAAGCTGTTATGGGATATCGGGAATTCCAGATCTCGCAAATGAACGACGTTTTGAAGACGAGGACTGAACGACTTCTGCAAGCTGGCGAGGCCAAGATGGACCACACCAAGAAGTTTGTCAAAACTACATCTTCTTCGGCAAAAACAAATCCCTGTTGAAATATATTCTCTTATTGCTGCTCTTTCTCTTGAAAAGATGATGACGTCCTAAGAAATTTGAGAATTTCTTTTATTGCATAAATCTGCAGGCAGTTTTCTCATAAGACTGAAAATGTCTTCATTTTATAAATTACTGTTTCAGAATTGTGGAACTCGAATCAAAACTGGCTAATGCGTTGCAAGCACAAACAGCGGAAGAAAAAGTCGAGGAGAGTCCAAAAACCCCGGAAACTCTCGGTATCAACGTTCCGGAGGTTTTCAAACAAAAAGTCAAAAGTTGTATTTTGAAGTTTTCAGAAGAAGAAGTCTTGTGAAATCGTTATCGAGCCTGAGGAAGACGTTGGCGGCTGGGGTGTGGATGACGTCGACAGTGATGAATTCCTTAATGTTTGTCTTGAAACAAAAAAACGGCAAAATGACAAAATGATAATCATATCCAGCGGAGGCAAAGATAGAACGAAGCACCGGAGAGAGATCTCTCTCTTTTTTTTTCTCACGGTCTCCTCACCAGAGTTTTTCCCCGCGAAATCGAACTCACTGAACACATTTTAATTTTATATATAACACAAAAATTACTCATGTTTCATTGAATTTTCTTTCCAGAGCTCATCGAGCGGCCTCATCGCTGCAACGAGTCCTTTGCCGTCGTTTTTGAGCCGTTTCTCCAGAAGATTCCGTCTTTGGCAGCACCACCGCAACATTGCCGTCTTCCCTTACTTCCGCTATGCTGCCGCCGGATATTTCATTTTCGTCCATTTCCTTCTCCTTCACTGCTTTTTATTCTAACTTTCCTGTTTCATGGTTTTCGATGTTTGATTGTTCTCCCGGGTTTTAAGTGTGGACCTTTACAGGTAGAGAAAAACGGCTTTAAACGAAGAAACATGTATATGGATTTAATTTAGTATTTATGTTCTGTTTTATATTTTCGTTGTTAATAAAACTTCTTGTATGAGTGATGATTTTCACGTGAAATATTTTGAAAATGGCTCAAAAAGCTGCCCCCCAAAAAGGTTTCTGATGGCCAAGTGTGCCCCATGGTCATTCGTCCGCGATTTCGAATTTAAACTTCAATTTTATTATATTTGAATTGAAACCTGGGTTTAATATTGACTTGTATCACTAGATACCCGGCAAGGGTAGACTATTTAGTGAATAGAGGCAGCTAGGACTCTCAGAAATCTTTTTCAAAGTTTTTCATTTCAGAACTCATGAGTCCAACGACTTCAGCAACGCCACAGCTTGAAGATCCAGCTAAAACTGCCAAAAAGACGAGGAAAAGAAAGTATAAGAAAAAGGCAAATGATGATACTGAGTGTAAGTTCAAATTTTTTCGAGAAAGTTTTTTTTGAAATCAATTTTTAGATACCGAAACGCGAAAAGAAGTCGATAAGTTGAGAGAGCGGCTAGGTGGCAAGAAGAAACGCGGCAAAGATGACGACCGTGCTTATTTCACGGTTAATTCTCGACATTCAACTGATGAAAATAATCATCTTCAGTTCAAAAACGATCGGGTGGTGATTACCAGCTGCGAGTCGCACACGAATATCATCACAAGGGCTTTGGAAAACCAAGTCAATCGGTGTTACCAGGTTTTTAAATAGTTTTTCCCAAAAGAAGATGAAAAATGGTGATTTTTTTCAAATAGCCTCGTTTGTAGATTGATATTCGGAACGATACGATCCAGACTTCGTGGCGTTGTTGTCTGTGTCATCTGGGATCGGCGCAACGCGAGTTGGGAGACCTCTTCGGGCCGTATTACATGACGCCGTCGTCCTCGCCGTCGTCGTCGACGTCTCCGTGGCCCACGTTCCTCTGCAAGAAACCGGTGCCTATTCCGTCCTTATCACGAACTGAAAGGGTTCAATTTTTCCGTCGTTTAATGAGATTTGTCAGTCAAAATTTTCTTCCGAGAGAAAAGGCTAGATTTTGATTATTGGTTTTCGAAGTTAAATGGTAATTTTGAAGAAAGCAGAGAACATAATGGACGTGGAAGTTTGGATGCACGGCGACTGCGTTCTCTGGGCGCCTGATATCCAATTGAATGGGAATCATTTGACGAATCTTAACGTCAAGTTGAAGCAGTTCTGGGGGCAGGTACACAACTTGAGAACATACTAATTGCCGACTTCTTTTTGTCAAAATTCAAAACAAGCTGTAGTTTTTCTACTGAAATGAGATAAAATCATATATTTCTCATCGTCATAAGAAAGAAAAAAATAATTTTTTTCAAATTTCTCGATGATTTAATTTTTTTGAGAGGGGAATTATTTTGAAAAATGTTCCTAATGCACGAATTTTTGGAATAAAAAAAGCAAAAAAAGTTTACAGCACTGCGCGGTTTGTTCAAAAGTCGGCGCATCGATACCAGTCCTCGGTACTGAAAACGTCCTTCATTTCCCTTGTGCCGTTCAAAAAGGTTCGCATTTTTGAGTTTTCATCTTTCTTTTTTTTTAAAGAAGCGCTTTTTTTGTTTTTTTTTTTCTAACTCTCAACTAGTGCACAATTTCGAGTCGTCCCTTTGTCCTTTCTTCGATTTTCCGAAAAGAATTTGTTAGGAAATACCGATCAGTTGATTTTTCCAGGATATAAACTGGACGAGGGACGACTGACGTGCGAGCCGCGTTGACTCCCGTCTGATAACGGCTTTTTGTGACTGTAAATAAATGGTTTCTCGCGTTTTTATCATCTTTTAACACTTTCTTCGACTTTCGGCGGGTGGTGGTCATTGATTTTTTTCTCGCCTTAAGTTTTATTGATTAAGAAAAGTTAGAAAAGTACGTTTTTTCTCTCGGTTACATTGGATAGCGGCTCGGTTAGTTTTTATTTTCAGACGAAGGGTTCTCGTACAAAATGCGCAAAAGTTTTTTTTAGAATATGAAAGCTGTGAAAAACATTAAAATAGGTAATAAAAAAGTTGCTTATATTGCGTTCCGTGAGATTTTTGCTTTGTTCTCTTTATATGCGTGTCAGAACTGAAACCGCAGCTTTTTTTGCTAGAAAAGTTCGCTCCAATGAAATAAGCCTCTCATTGGCTCGCCTCTTCTATTTACGAGGATTTGAAGCTATCCCGGAGCAGTTGTCGAGAGAATTAGTTTGTTAGAGCGGAATTGTATGGCTTGGCAAAGGTTAGGTAATATATTTCAGTGATTACGGGAAAAGTTAATTTTTTGAACTTTTTTTCGAGTTGAAACCGCTCTAATTTTTGGTTTGAAAACATTTAACAGACAACAGGATTTTCTCATCGAAAGAAGTTTATTTTGATGTTTGATATTCATGAGAAATTAAAGCCGATTTTTCTCATTATAGTTTGGTCCGTCCTAAGCCGACCTTGTCAGGAAAGGAATCAAAAATAGAACAATCCATCGTCCTCTCTTCGCCCTATTTCGAGCTGAATATCCCATTATTTGTGGAAAGCATGTACTCATCTCCATCTAATTCTCCCTATCCAATTTCAGTTTTTCTCGTTGCTTTTTTTATTCTGCTTGCCACCCCAACCTCCTTCATAAGGCATGACCAGATGACGTCACAGAGAGCCCTGCGGCAGCGCGAATCGATTGGAAAGTGGAGGAGCGGCCCTCGGTGCTGACTGAGCTCGGCATTCCTTGATGCTGAACGGCGCGCGGCACGTCGTCGTGCTCCTGTGTGGGCTCGTCGCCCTCACCTCCGCCTCCTTGTTCTTCTCCTCGTCGTCTTCGAAAACGAAAGAGGCTCCAACGGCCAAGAACGACGACCAATGGTCGCACTACCACAACCAGGAGCAGCTCGAACAGCTCCTCCTCGACATCAACGCCAAGTGTCCTGATGTGAGTTTAGGTCTTTTTCTTCATTTCGCATAGATTTCGCCGATCTTTCGGGTCATCTCTCTTGAATTATTTCGTTAGGAGGTGATTCCGAAACTTTTAAGATCGGTTAAAAGTCGTTTCCTTTTTTTTACTGGCTTTTTTAATTGCCCAGAAGTTCCAGCTTTTTCCATTCATTTCTACTAATACTTCAAATTAAACTTTTCAAAGGAATTTGGAAAGTTATTGAATTAAGGTATGTAAAAGATCTTTTTGAGATACTCCTTATAACATTTTGTTGAAAAAGCTCTTTTCGAGTAAGCGACAAGCAGAAGATTTTTTTTGAAAAAAATGAATTTAAAAAAGTTTTAGGAAAAAGAGTCAAAAACAGGTGAAAAAAGTTAGCGACGTAAACTTTCTAAAGTTTTACGCGTCATTTTTTTCGAAGAAAAAACGTTTTGGCAAAGAAAAACATCAACTTCTTTGGTTATTCCCGATATCCAAACCTTTTATCTCTTTTTCCTTGCAAATTTAGCAACCAAAACCGTCCTGAAAGGCTCAAGAGTCTCTTGAAAACGACCAAAATTCTCGTTTTTTTTTGCTTCAGAATCTCAATTTCCCGCCCACACGTCGCTCAATTGCTTGCCTTCTCGACTAAATCTTATTCATTCATACGTCTACCGTATCCCACACATTATCCCATCTGTTTCTCACGAAACCTTTTTTGATGTTTTCTGAAATTGATATGGTAGTTTCTTTGTGCCGCTTTTGTAGTTTGAAAGGGATTTGTACATAGATTCACGTTTTTTGAATTAAACTGAAAACGTTTTTTTACTCGAAATATAAAGAATTGAGAAAAAAACAAACAGAAAAAAATCTCAATCTTGTTTCCAATCAATTGTGTAGTATTTCAAAGGTATTTTTTCTTCCAATTCGTTTCAATTTTTCTTTCTGAATTTTCGAACCCTGCCATTTTTCAACGCCTTTTGCCATATTCGCAATGCTATCCGTCATTTATCTTTTTGTTCAGGCCTTTAGTCGCTTGGGGGAAAAAAGCAATTAAAAATAGACGATCAAAGAAACGCGAATTTCTGAGTCTTGAGATGAAATTCAGGAAAAAATATCTTAGAAAAATTGAAGATTTATAATTCAGAGCAGAAGTTGTCCTTATTACCCATGCTCTTGGCGAGATTCCTTTCTCGTAATAAGGAAGTAAATTTATCCTTGTGTTGAAATCCGGCTTGCGGGATGGGGCCAGGCCTTCGAATGGAAAAAAAGTTTCTATCAATATTTTTTTCATCGTCAATAGAAATTTCAAGGGGCCGAGCTTTTTTACTTGAGGCTTCACTGAGGCCGGGCCAAATGGCCGTATAGGTTGACGGGCTGGCCCTCGCAGAAGTCTGGTTTAATTTTTTTTTTTTTTCAAAAACTCAGTCGATATTCTTGTAACGATCATGTGTAAAAAAGAATTTTGCAGGTCTCGACATTATACAAAATTGGAGAATCGGTGGAAGGCCGTTCATTGGTCGTCATCCAGTTCTCGACGACCCCCGGCGAACATGTCGCTTGTGGGTTTTCGATCGTTTTGTTATGATGAGAGAAAAAAAGCCGCGTAGATAAGATGTTGCCCTGATAATTTTCAAGTTTTAATTGATTCAAAACAGTCTTTAGAAAAAGTTTAGGGGAAGTTATATCTTCAAGAAAATTCTTACGAATAATAGTGTGAATTTCACTCGTTTTTTCCGCTAGTCATAGCTGTTTTCGCCTTCTTTTGTTGTAATATGAATGACTAACGAATCATGGACTCATTTTGTATATGGCCTAGACAAGGAGGAAGTGAAGTTACTTCCTTATTAAGTCTAGACTTTTGAAGAAGTTTCTTTTGATTTCGATCTCGAAGCGCAGCAATTAATGGTGCTGGAAGCATATTTTTTTTCTTTTATTCGTAATTAAAACTGAGAAAAATTTGAGTTCTGATTTTCAACAGAGTTTCTTTCATAAATGTTTTTTGAAAAATAAAAAAATATTTTCTAAGACATGTTAAAGGTGCATGAGAAAGCCTACCATCAAACATCACGACAAACGGTTCTTCGCTTCGATGAATCTCTACGAATTTTTTTTGCTATACGCCAAAAAGTATTAAAAGTATACTTTCTTGACTTTTTATTCAATCAGGAGAAGTTCTGTAAAAAATTGAGTTTTGTCAGCATTTTCCAGACCCCGTTTCGTAATGAAATTTGCTGAAGGGGGTTCTTTGAGGTTTTCGCCATTGAAACCCAGCTGAATAGGTCGAAAGGGCTATAAATAGGAACAGTAAAGCTTTCTAGGTGTTTATATCGTAGTGACACAGGAGAACGGATGTTTTCTCAGTAGTGTTTCTATTGAAAAAAAAATCGAATGACGGAAAGCCTTATCAGTGAAAAGAATCAGTATCTGAGAATCCAACTCAGACTTTTTTTTTGAATCAATGACTGTTTTGTTCGTACCTTGATCAACATGAAGAACTGGAAAAATTTTCATTTAAGAGTTCTGTTTCAGAATCTTTGTTATGAGCATAAGAGTTCATAAATCACTCTTTTCGAAGAGTCTTTTCTGTATATTTGAGGTCATTCAAGACTTCTGCCCTTTAGACACCTTAAAGAAGATTTCTGAAATTGAAAATAGGATCAAGATCAGTTGGCTAAAGAAAATGTCACAGATTTCCGTAGCTTTTCAAATGTCATGAAAAGCGTATCAAATTTTGTTTTGCTCCATGCAAAAGCTGAAAAGTACAGTAGTCTCTTAATTCAAATTCAAGTCTAAAAAAGATATATTTTCTGTTGAAAGATTTTTTACTCCCAAAAAAGTTTGAGAAATCAGTAATTTAGATAAGTTTCTCTCAATTTGAATGAAAAAAGCTGTGATAGTTTCTTAAGTGATTCTTTTTTTTCTGATAAAAACTTCTTCAGCAAAGCCAGAAGTGAAACTGGTGGGCAACATGCACGGAAACGAGCCGGTCGGCCGCGAACTTTTGCTCCGACTCGCCAGTCAACTCTGCGACGGCGTCAAGGACAACAATAAGGTTCGGGAATTTCGACTTTTTCAGTGCCTTATTTGATTCCATTACAACTCTTCCTTTAAAAACTTTTTTGACCGAAAATCACAACAACTTTTTTCGACCAAAACTTGCCAAAGAACGTCTGGAGATCAAAGCTTTTAGTCCATTTTCCCACCAATTAGTCATTCAATTTTTTCACGATTTTTCCATAATTCCCTTTAACGACTGAGCAAATTTGCAGGGAATGAAGCTTTGCAAAAAATTGAGAATACTTTTTTACAGGAAATCATGCAATTGCTCAACTCCACGTCAATCCACATCCTTCCTACAATGAACCCTGACGGATTCGAGCAGGCTCTTGCCACGGTCAGTGCAGTGGCTAAAAACTTTTATTTCCATGGAAAGGATTGATAGTTCAACACCTCTATGCGTTTTTGCCGTTTCAATAGTTTCTTTCAGGAAGAAACGAGCCGCCAATGGCTGACTGGCCGCTCCAATGCCAATGGCGTCGACTTGAACAGGTTTATAAGAGATGAAAAAGTTGAGATTAGAGAAATTTTCAGAGATTTCCCTGACCTCGACGGCGTTTTCTACGAGCTGGAGCAACTCCAGGTTCCCAAGTACGACCACCTGCTCTCGTTGTTCGACGACAACCAAGATGTAAGTGAATGTGGAAAGCTATTAAAATACTTGCATTTCCAGAGTTCAACTTCGAGTGTAGTTTTAAATTTTGAAAGAGATATTCATAGTTCAAATAATAGGTCATTAATTTTTGCTTACCAAGCTTCTGAAGTTTCCCCCTGGTAGAAAGACCTGTGATCGCTTTGCTTCGTTTTTACCAAGGAATATATTGATTAGACAATCATCAAATCTTTCAAACTTGGCTAAACTTTCAAATTTGACAAGCTGGAAAGAAACTCCTTCATTTTCCAGCGCCAACCGGAGACGATGGCCGTCGGCCAATGGATCTTGTCGCTTCCATTCGTCCTTTCGGCCAACTTCCACGAAGGAGACCTCGTCGCCAACTATCCCTTCGACTCCAACACGGTCGGCGACGATACCCTCCAGCAGTACTCCGCCTCGCCCGATGATGGCACCTTCAAGTAGCTCCTCTCCCCGGGATTCCCTTCAAAAAACCTTCTCAGATGGCTCGCCCAGACCTACGCCAACAACCACGCGCACATGGCCAAGAACGACCATCCGCCCTGTGACGGAACCAGTCAGAACGCCTTCTCCCGTCAAGGTTTCCATTTTCAAAGACGTAGATCTCATGAGGGAACTTTTTTGAACTTTTGATGTTTTATGATCTTCTCAACGAGAAAAAAACCTCACTACTCTCAAAAATACCTCAAAAAAATTTTTCAAGCTTAGTTCAACCAAAAAAAAAGACTTCTAGTAAAATACGACGTCTTCAGGCGGAATCACCAACGGCGCCAAGTGGTACTCGGTCTCCGGAGGCATGCAGGACTTCAATTACCTGGCCACCAACGCCATGGAGATCACCCTTGAACTGAGCTGCGAGAAGGTTTTCATTGGCCTCATTCTTCATTCCCAATGACGTCACTTCAGATGCCGGCTGGCTCCGCCCTTCCACAGTACTGGAAGGACAACGAGAAGGCCATCTTCGAGTACATCTGGAAGGTTGAGAATCTCTTTGTTGCTCATTTCAGCTGATGATTGCTTCAGACGCACAGCGGTGTCAAGGGAACGATCGTCGACGCGACTGATGGAGAGCCAATCACTGGCGCCGTCGTCTGGGTCCGAAACGCCACCGAGGAAACTCCGATCAAGCACCCGGTGACGTCATGTGAGTTTTGTTTGTTGCTCATGTTAGAGAAAGGTTTTTCCATCGACTACTAGAAAGTTTGTTTGATAACATGAGGAATAACTTGCAATCGTTTAGGGGTGATGGGCGACTACTACCGCGTCCTGCCCAAAGGCCAGTACCAGCTCTTCGTCGCCGCTCCTGGCTACGAACCTCAAACTCGCAATGTATCTATTTTCCTTTCTTCATTTTAAATGTTCGCATTTTAAAGGTGACCGTCGAGAACAAAGTCCGCGACTCGGCCCTCACTATGGACTTTGCTCTCCGTCCGCTGCAGGCCGTCGCTGAGGTATGCTTTGGCTCAATCGGTTAAGGTTTTGATTAGAGTGTGGGAGCTTCTTGGTTCGGATTCTTCATGAGTTTTGCTGATTTCTTCTTTCATTTAATGAAAATAAATGTGTGATGTAGCGCAGTCGGGAAAAAAATAATCTCAAAAAATGTTTTTTTTCATATGATTTTCCTACTTTGAAATCCAACCGTATGTCATTTGATTTTTTAGCGTACACAGTTTTCAGAGCTTCTTTCGTTTATCCAAAACACCATTGGTTTGATTCTCGTTATTTCATTTTTTTGTGGTTTTGTCGTGATTTCTATTTAAAGGAGTTTAAATGTATTAAAAAAACAAACGATTATTTGCTGATTGAAATTTTTTTAACGCCGTAGCTCGGGTCAGTCGATTATAAGCTTTCCGAGCAATACATCTAAATTTTTCCGTTTCTATAAATTACTGAAAGCTTGCTAAGTAACTTTTTGAATAATTAGAGGGAGCTCTCATTCCTTCGGCATTTGGTATTTTTCATTGAGAATTTTCTGAAAGTTCAATAGCTCTGAATAAAATCACCTCAGTTTGTTCATTCCTTTTAAAAGGTCTTGTAAAAAAAAAGTTCAAGTAGGTATACATTCCTTGGCGCGATCAATACCCCCTTAGTCTTATATTCAAACACTACTTTCTTCACTAACTTTCCGGAAACTTACATTTTTTTTCAGGAAGAGCAACTGGCTGAAATGATTGAGGAACTCGGCGAGCAGCAGCCGCAAGAACCAGCCGCTCCTCAGGCCCAGAAGGAATAGAAAGAAAACTTTTCAAGATTCCTGAGTTAAGTTGAAATCCCGGTTTCCTCCGTTCCCAGTTCCCCAATCCAATTCACTACGAGTCGCGACATTCAGAACATCTCAGAAAGACACACACGTTGTTGTACCATACAGAAAAAACCCCATGACATAATTCCAAGCTTTATCTTTTTTTTTTGACAGTAAGAGAGTCGACAAATAAACGTGCACATTTGTTTGGTTTTTTTGAACTGAAAGAAAAAAGAGAAACATAAAAGAACCCGGCAAAAATGAGATCACATGACGAATAAGCCGCATCGTCGATGAGTTTCAGGATATTTGGTGTCTATTTGGTGTTTGTACGTTTGGAAGGCGCTGGAAATTGAGAATAAATCAACTTTTTTTCTAGGAGAAAATATGCTACTAATTGGTCACTTTTATTATTTAAAATTTGGATAAAATTAGATTACGGAGTCTAAAGAAGGTTCGACTTAGTCAATTCAAGGATCATGCTGCATAATCTTCAAAATTTTTTTTGGGTAGTTCGAATTCACTAAAAAAATGGAAAGTTTCAGCAAGGACCGTTAGAAAAAACTCTCATTATTGGTTTTTTGTTTATTTTTCTGCTATTATTCATTTTACAATTTTCTAGGTGGCCTTTGCATCCTAAAAAGCTAGGAAAAAGATTTCCAGCTGTGTCAATCCAAAAAGTGTTCTGAATGAGGGGAAGTTTCTTGACAGATTTTTTTTTCTAAAGAACTTAGAGGAGAATTAAAGAAAGCTTTCCTCACCGGCTCCGAATCTTCATCTGATGATTGACGACGGCGGTGTTGATGTTGGTCTCGGCGATCTTGACGCCACGGTGCACGTTGAACACCTGGGAGGCAAGCAGGAAAGTGTAGTTGGCTCGACACAGTTCGTAGATCTGAAAGAGAACCGCTAGTTGTGCTGACAATCTCCAGACTCTAGAACGAGCGCGCTACCGAGCCAGAAAAAGTCTTCAAACTTTTAAAAAGGTTTTGAAGACTAACCAAGGCTTGTTGGTCTCGGATCCTTGTCGGCATGTAGTCAGCACTGTAAGGATCGTTTCTGTGCTGGATGACTTGGGCTTCCCAGGAACTTCCTCTGAAAAAGTCAATTTCACAACTTAAATACAAGGAAGTAGTTCAAATACTCACTTGTAGGGTATTTCCCACGCCACTGGATCGGTATAATTTCTCGATACTCGGAACCAATGCCACAAGCCTTCTATCGTATGTCCCAGCGGGAAAAATTTGTGATGAAATTCAAAAGCTCTGAAAAATGTCTGCTTCATCGTCCCATGAAACGGAACTAACTCTCGTGATTTGATCATATTGAAGAGTTCCGTGTGGTCTTTAGGGACGTTTTTACTACTATCAACTTCGAATCTTCTGAAAATTCTAGGCTGAACTGTAGAAATAAGTCTTCTTCTCACCGTATTACAATCACGTTTTTTTCTTGCCCATTGATGTATACATTCGCGAGCTTCTTCATATTCAATGCGAACCCAAGACTTGAAAAATAAAAACTGGACGTTTTATAAATCTCATTCCCTTTGGAAAGTCTGCTTATATGTGTTCTCTTTTCCTTTCATGGAGTTCTAAGTCTTTTTTTGGTCTTTGGAAGGAAAAAGAGAGCGCAGACAAGCCAGAAAGTTTCCCTTTTCGGCGAAAAAGGTGTAAACTTTGTTCAATTAGAGGCATTCATACCTAAACTTCATCTCGACGTCGGCAATAACGTGAATATTGGACATGGCGCCACGGCGAGCCACGTTTCTCATAACATTTATCGGGTAGATTCCGAAAGAGTTAATGATTTTTCCGACCGTTTTACCTCCTGAAATTTACTTTTTGAAAATAAAAACTTTGGCTATGACGCTGTGTGAGCGAGAAATCATTGTAAACTCGTTTTTTATTTGCTACCTTCGAGCTTAATAAAGAAATTTTCGATGAATATCCTCAAAAACCCACGAAATTCTCTTGTAAAGTTGGAGCACGGCATGTTGCTGACATTCACAAAAATCGGCTCGCACTTTTTCTGAAACGCTGAGAGACGGTAGACGACGTGAAGGTTCATCTGAAAAAAAAAGGTAAAAATGAATAATAAAAAAACTGCCTTTTCATGAACTTTCGGAGCACATCGATGCAAATCGTATAAGTAATCAACAGCATTTGAGGAGAATCGGTCCACGAACAAGGCGACAGAAACGGGGCCATTCCAGCTTCTGGTCGAGCACTGCAAAATTTGAAGTTCACATGGGTTTTTTTTTCTTGATTTTGAACAGCTATCACGACATCTACCTCTCAACCATAGTTCTTTTCTTTTTCTGGACGTCAGTCAAACTCAAAATTTCAATGGAACTTTTTCAGAGACCTTTTGAGAAAGAAATTTGAAAAGACTCTGAAAAAATCTACAGAAACTACCTGTTCTTCGACGTCATAAACGTAATGAGACGTCGTGTGGATGGCCAAACTGATCGGCTCGAGTCCATCGTCACGGAATCTACAAGCTTTTTGTTCAAATCACAGCGTCGTCGCACGCACCGCCCATGTGCTTTGGTGACGTTGTAAGCCACGCAGAACTCGTAGGAAATGCGTTCGGTTTGAACGGCGACCGTCGAATTGTCCAGCCAGTAGCTCCGCGGCCGGTTGGACTTGACCGGTCGACGACTCGCTGGCTGTAAATGACTTCTTCAAAGTTGATATTCTTGTTCCGCCCTGGAGATAGGCCTAGTGGAAAGTTAATATAATACGCTACAGGGGACACCCCCGTAAATCGAGCCAAATTTTCCGATAAAAAAATATCCGTTTTTTTCCAAATGATCTGCTCAACGCCCCAAGTCCAGAGTAGGACTTCAGCAAATCAGAAACTTACAGAAAAAATGAACAAGAAGAAGAAGACGCAGTGGAAAAGGAAAATGGTGCCGACGATCATTCGCATCCGTCTCATCGAACAACTTTTCCCATCGACCGGTGCCATCGCACAAAAAGATTATCCGCCCTAGGGTAATCTTTTTCTTTCAGTTCTTTTTTCGCTTTCAAAATTGGCATCATCCATCATTTGAAAATGGAAAAGGGAAGCGGATGAACTCGCAAAGAATCAAAAATGACGGCAAAGGAATCAGTTGATAGCGAGCGACAACGTAAAAAGAGGAGATTTCCAGACTCTTTTTTGCTTGTTTTCGATGTCTGGAAACTCCTCTTTCTTGTAGTCTTTGAATTAAATATAATTCAGGCGGGGGATTCTCGACGATGGTGTCAAAATGATCAATGAAGGCGGTCGCATCTCTAAATCAAAGCATTTTTTTGCCTTTTTCTCAAACAAAAATATAAATTTTCATACGTCTTTCTTTATCATAACATACGCTTTCTTGATTCAAAATATTCTTGGTTTGTGAGAATTAAATGAAGCGTCCAAACATGTACTGTACAACACATTCCTAAACTTTTCGGTCAACTTTTCACAGATACATGATTATCGAGATTCTTTCGAGAAAGGATATAGTCAAGAAAAATGAAAAAAGCAGCTAAATGGAACCAATAGGGAGAAAATTTATGGAAGATGCCGATTCCGCGTTGAGTTTTTGTTTTATTTCTCCAGGGTTCTTAATTTATTTCATTTCTTTACAACTTTGGATCCGAATTTCTCCATAAAATTTAGACTTTCTTGAACTTTTAAGCATTTCCACACGTATTGAGAAGCTCGAAAAAGAGCTAAATTGCGTCCCGGACCCCGTTTTTAATACATATACTATTAAAATACTTTAACTTATAAAAGTATTTCTCAAAATGCACTATTTACTTGGATCTCGAAGTTTTTTTTTGAGAAAAAATTCCTCACTGAAATTCGTCCCGGTTTTTCTTAGAAGCTTTCAATTTTGGGTGTTTGTTTGCGTTTTCTTTCTGTAGAATCCTCTTCTAAATCAAACTCGGAGATTTGATGAGGTTTTTTCGTGAACGGCATGCTCCGCCCCGCTTCCGCAAAAGCTTTGCACGAGTTGCAAAGATGCCAATGAGGGGGCGCGGCCAAAAATATTGGAAATTTTCTATTTTTTGTTTATAATTTCTCTTTTCAAATTCAATCTGTTCTGTTGCTACTATAGTTTGAAAAATTTAATGAAAAAGAACTACAGTTGAGACATCAACAAAGATAAATTATTCTCTCCTGTTAACTTTAATTTAATTTTTTTTTTCATTTACTTGAACTGTTTTTTATCTTGAAAATGTACATTATTAGTCATGTTAATGCAAAATTATTCCAGGTTTCGCTAAATTTCTGAAAAATTTCCCTTTGTGCACTCATTACATGTTTTCATTTTCGGATCTTATTTTTCTCGAAAGTTTATTGTTATATTTTTAGATGGAAGGAAGTGAACGGGAAGATCCTCCTAGCAGCGCTGAAGACGACGTCGAGTGTCGGGTTTGATAGAAAACTCATTTAAAATACATATTTATAATTCAGAAGGTGTCCACGCGAATCGCTGGCGTTACACTTGAATCGGATTCCTTGCCAGAGTCTCCGAGCAACGTTGTCGAGGAAAGAATGGCTAGGTCATTGATTAAGTTTATTTTCGAAAATTTTTTCGGTTTCAGAAGAAAGAAACGAATGAAGCGTCATAACAGAGGTCAACAAATGGATGTCGATCCGACGCCAACAATCAATAATCGACAAAGTAACAGAGAAATAAGATTTTCGATGGGAATCTTCAACTTCTTAAGGCAAACACATGGACTGGGATGGCGCTGAATCTCATATCTCTTCCAGCGACGAATCGTTTTCGGATACAAGGTGAGAAATATTCGAATTTAGACATATTTTCAAGTTCCATTTTCATTTTAAAGAGGCCAAGAAGCTGACGACGAACAAAGCGATTGGGTCGGTTATGCTGGCGATGTAACTGAAAATGAAACTGTGAGTTTCTAATTGAACAAACCGCATTGAATTGAATTGAAATGTTTATTGTTCGCTCATGGAAATTTTCCAGGAACCAGTGCCAGATCGACGTCCACAAACTGGCCGTAGGAATGTCACCAAGACGCTTTCCACCGTTCAGAAGCAGTTGGAGCGGTGAGAAAAGGTTGAAGCTTTGGAAAAAGGGCATTTTCCAGGTTCGCACTTCAAGGACCACAAGGCGAAGCGGGATTTGAGCTGCGAATGCGCGATCGTCCGACCTCGATCCATGTAAGCTTTCATTGAACTTTTATCAATCTACAAGGCCTTTTCTCAAATTCAAAGTTTTTTTTTTCTCGACAAACGGAAGAACAATTTAATGCCTCTTCAAAACTTAGCTATGAGGTTGAATCCCTTCCAACAATTTTTTTTTTGATTTTTTGTTCTGTGAAGTTTTGCATGACCGCTTTTTTCCGAATAATTTTTTCACGTTGAACATTTATCTGTTCGTCCTCATGCTATGACTATAAACATGAACAGAGGCAAATCAAAATAGCATATATAAAAAGTTCAGCCAAAGTTATTTTTCTTCTCAAAATCTTTTCATGAGTGTTTATTATATTTTTTCAGTTGAATCGTCTTCTGAACAAGTATCACCTGGAGGTGGTTCGACGCCAACGAGGAGCCGTTTACTTGAGGAGGAAGCAGTCGGCGAATAGTTCCTCGGCCCGTTGAAATTATCATCAATCATATTTATCGATTTCGGTTTGTTGTAAATAGAAAATGTACATCATTATTCTTATCCCACGTTCGAAGCTAGTTTGACGCTAATTAGAACCAAGAGTCTCCTCTAGGGCTGCTGAGTATGAGTAATCGAGTGACATTTTCAACCTAATTCGTCGTGTTTCCTCGTCGCGCAACGTAGCTTTGAACACGGAATTATCCTTTTTTTTGTTTTACATCATTCTACCCAAATCCAGATTGCGTTAAAATCTCCAAAAAAGGCAGATCATTCCGTTTTTCTCATATTCTATTGAACGTTAGCTTAAGACGAAAAAAGTACAAAAGCTTCTAAAAATCTAATTTTAGAACTTCGCTTCCATCTGTAAATTTCTCTTGTAAAACAAACTGTTTTTTTCACCAACCCATCCATAATAATTAATAATTAAGCATTTGTAAAAACCCGTACAAATCGTTTTCCATTTTTTTCTTAAATTATAGAAAAGACCAAGAACTTATTGTCTGTATATGAATGCCCACCTGCGTTTGCTTTATAATATTTATTGTATAGTTTTTTTCGTCTGTATAAACAGTTTTCTTCAACTGCCTTGTTACTATGAAAGGTGAATTGATTCGAGATTTCACGCTATACATCAAATAATAATTTTAATAATTATCACTTTTTTTTTTGAGTTTTCTCCGATTTCAACGCGAATGTTTGATGGGGAAAGAACCGATTGAGGCTGATTTTGCGAGGCTTGGATTGAAAATGTGAGTTTTTTTCTTTCTCTAGTCGAGTTTTATGTGGTTTCAGAGGGGCAAAAACCTACGAATTTTGTTAGTGTTCTCAAAAAATTGTAAAAAAAAATTTGAAGATTACAAACTGCTCCAGCTGGTGATTGACTTCTTGCGAGATATAGAAATTTATAAATTTAATGCTCTTCAAAAAAAAAAGTGTTCTCACGCAGTCCTTGTAGTAGTTTTTTTCGGAATTGACTGAACTTTTTTCTCACTCTGTCTTTTTTTTGAGATCCTTTTCTTAGATTTTTCATTTAAAACTGTTTAGCCATATGATAACCAACTTGATTTTTTTTTCGCAACTCTTCAGAGTTGTATGAAAAGTTCCAAAAGCCCTTGTTACGGTCAGAAACAGTGCGTTCGCTTCTGCATGTCAATGATAACTGATAGCACTGTGGTCACCGGGCATTATCGATAAAAATTTGCAGTGAAACGGCCGACGACGCGCCATTCACTGCGAAGCACTTCGAGTTGTTCGTCAACGACGCCGTCAAAAACGTCCTCGGCTCGTGTGGACCCGTCGTTAAGGTCCACAAGGCTTTTGTCACTGAGTTAATCCATTTCGAGCATTATCGTGTTGAAAAGTTCGGTTTTTGGGCAATATTTGCGCGTTTTGTCGTTTATTACTCCTAACCGTTATCTGATAATCCTTTAAAAAAATTTTTTTCAATTTTTTCTACATTTTTCATAGATTTCTCCACACAATTTGAATCATTCAACATGTAACTTTGTGCCTGAAAAAATTTAAAAGAACCAACTTTTTGGTAAGTTTTTTTTTAAACTTAAATTCAGAAATTTACCATTACCGTAATTGTAGATTTTTGTACTTTTCAAAAAATTTAATATCGGAAAAACGATAAAATCAATTCGTTGCATTCAGTCTCTTTTCAAGCCTCCTGCTCTATAGTCTGTTCAGATTTTGAATGTCAAGCAGCTAACTCCACCCCCAAGGCTACAATATCTTTCGCGTCAATGTTTTATATCCAGATGACGATGGCCCTTTAATAAGGCTGCATTTTTGACTTCTTTTTCTATCCTTTAGATCAAAAAAGATCAAAATTAGTCCCGCGCGTTAAAACATCGACGCGAAAGGGTACCGTCTCAGCAGGGGCGGAGTTAGCTGCTTGACATTTAGAATCTGAACAGACTATAGCAAATGTTAAAAATTTTAACGCGAAAATTTTCGAACGTTTTTCGGCAACATCAAACTTCTTGGCTCTTTCTCCTTCAAGTTCAGAAGAACCTTTTTGTCATGAACTATCATTGAACTCACTGCCTAAATTTAGAAAGTAATCAGTCTCATCCTTTATTCAATGTTCGAAATTCTTTTAACACAAACACTATTCCAAAAACTTCATTCAGATCTCTCACTTTGACGAGAATCGAAAGATTGGAAGCGTGATAGCAGTAGGAAACGAAGTTTTGTCGGTTTGGGCTGCAATTTCCGTTTCTGGCACTTTTTTGAATCGTCGTGTGGCTGCGCATTTCCACTCGGTCAATATTTTTCAAATTTTTTTATTAAAAAAGTTAAAACTTTGAAAATTTTGTACGTAAACGTGAAAACCTCATTATTGTTTATTTCGGTAGTTTTTCAAGTCTCGGTGTTTTTTCATCTGTTTTTTTGTAATTTTAATCGATTCAACAATTCGTTTTGATTATGCAGACGAAAACTCCGAATTAGGCATGTGAATCAAGAAGAAGAAAATTTCAAAAAAGACCAAGTTTTCTCATTTTCAAATATGAACTTTCAGCTGACTGAAACGAGCGTCGAAAACTTTTTCACCGGATTCTGAAGATTCTCAAGTCTGTCCAGTGGTTTTACATCGAAAAGTCCAAAATCTTACTTCCAGATAGTCATGTTGGTCTATCTCGTGTTGATTCCTGTCCTTCTTTTCGCCTTCCTTTTGGCCTTTTTCCTCGTCATTTACTTCTCGATGCCGTCCAGCCGAGATTTTCACTTCTTCAAAAAACACGCCCTTGTCACTGGTTAGTTCGTTCAAAAAGTCACCCAAGTTTTTTTTTACCCTTCAAAATTAATTTTTTGATAGATGAGATCTCAATAACGTATCTCCGAAACGATTTCGACCTTTGAAGAAATTATAGTGTCTCTCATGAACCACAGTTGCCAAATTTGAAAAAAAAAACTTTTGAGGGTTCAAGTTTTTATTTTTCAGAGAAGTCCAAGAATTTTATACAGATGGAAAAAAACATATATATCCCTAACCTCCTCAAAAACGTCAATTTTCTGTAACAGATTGAAAAAAATATTCAGGCGGTTCCAAAGGAATCGGATATCAGCTGGCAGCTGGCCTCATCGAACGTGGCGCGAACGTGACAATCGTGGCCAGAAATGTCGACGATTTGAAGGTTCTTTCTTATATTTTTTTGTTTATTTCTATTAAATTCTATGTCAAATAAAAATTTGTACATTTTTTTAGAAATATATTTCTTTTATCATGGCTTTTTTTATTTTTTTGATTTAAAAAACTTAAAACAATTTCTAGAAATCCTGCGCCTCTCTGCAAGAATTGGCCGATGGTCGAGGTCAGCGACAAAAAGTCCAATGGAAATCGCTGGATTTGACCAAGAATTACGATGAGGTCCGTTTTTTTGTATTGTATTTTTCCATTTATTCGATCTTTTCAAGATAAAAAAGACGATCGAAGAGGCTGAGAAGGAGTTTGGACCTGTGGACGTATTGATCAACAACGCTGGACATAGTGTTCAGGTTGAAAAATGAGTAGAAAATTTTGGAAAGAATATAGAATTTTCAGGCTCCTTTTGAAAAAATTGACATCGATGATTTCGAAAAGCAAATGAGGGTCAATTATTTGAGTGCGGTATGTTTCAAGTTTATTCCGGAAAAAATCAGAGAAATTTTTCACTGGAGCGCACTTTTGGGCCATTTTTTTTCATGAATTTTTGATGAATTTTTTGAGGTCTTTGCGACTCGAGCCGTTATTGAAGGAATGAAACAACGCAAATCGGGACATATTTCCTTCGTTTCTTCGGCCGCCGGTCAATTCGCCATTTATGGTTATACGGCCTATTCGGCGACCAAATTTGCTCTACGGTCAGATTTTTCAAGAATAATATTTCACTCACTTTCAGACTTTAAAAAAATCAGAAAAAAATTTCAAACTTTTTAATTTATAGCACTTCATACTAAAGAAAACTATTTGAAGATTGTCTCAAGTCCGTATTTTGTAAAAAGTTTTTCAGAAAATAATTTTTTTAGTTTCTTATATTATATATTGTAAGATCTGTTTTCCGATAAAAAAAGAGAAGTTTTTGTAGAGGTCTGGCTGACGCACTTCACATGGAACTTTTGCCCTTCAAAGTTAACGTAGGGATTCTGTATCCGCCAAATACAGATACTGAAGGTTTCAAGGTCTGTTTTGAATTTTGAAAGACTGATCGAAACAATCAAAAGTTCAGTATGAAATCCAAACGATGCCGGAAGAGGTGCGATTGATCAGCGAGACTGCGGGTCTCTTCACCCCGGAATTCGTCGCCGAAGCTCATCTGAAAGATGTGGAGAATGGGCAGTACGCGACGACCATTGGACTCGATGGCTGGATGCTAGGTTGAGCCTTCTGAAATTGAGAAGAAAATATTAATGTAAACTTTTCAGAGCTTGGAAAAGTTATATGCCTTGTTCAAACGTCTTGCAGAAACAAAGTAACGAGATAACAGAGATAATTTTTGAAAATAGTCTCAAAGTTCACTCAATCCTCAGATTCACGATAATATAATAAATTTAGGAGGAAAACTTTTGAGAACCATTTTTTTATAGTTTGCTATTATTTATTATCTTTTTATATCATCAAAAAAGCCACAAACTGTCATAAATAGTAAAAAAAAAACCGTATTTCGCAGGAAATCTGACGGCTGGAGCTTCCCCGGAAAAGTCGCTGTGGCGCGCATTTGTGCAAACTTGGCTGGCAGGGCTTTTCCGCGGTATCACCCTCGTCTACATGGGTTATTTCAACGGAATCGTCAAGAAATGCCATCGACGACGGCTTCAAGAAGCTGCCGAGGCCGAGGAAACGTCCAAGAGTGAATAGTTCTCCTCTTTTTTTCCCTTGTTGATTTTTTGTTTTACATTTTGATTACTTCAACCTCTTTTTGAAAACAATTTTATTCTAGACACTCTATGTTCTTTTTTTTATAGATTACATATTTTTTGCTCCTTTCGAACATAAATGAACAAGTGTAGACCACATTTTTTGCCTTTATGGTTATTTTTTTTTGTTTCACTTACACAATTCACTTGAACTTTTCGAAGTTTTTTTTTGCCTTAATTTTTCGAAATAAAATTTATTATTTTCAAAAAAAACTTTTGCTTGGTTTGACACTGAAAAGTTTTGACCCTTCCAAAAGCCCCAGAAAACTGCTGTAAAGCTTAAAAATATACATTCTCATTCTCAAGGAGAATAGCACTTCCTGTTCATCCGGATCGTTAGCGATCTCCGGCGGCGGAGGGAAAATTTTCCCGCCGCCAGGAAAAATGTAAAACGAACGGCAAAAAACAAAACTTCTCATCAATCTCCCGCGAGTCTCGACACCTCTAGCAGGCGGATGAAAGCGATTCGGAGACGTTCGAAGGGCCGATGCAAAAAGAAAAGGAAGAAAAAGGACAACACAATTCGAACAAATAGTCGCATTCTCCTTGAAGTGTTCGCTTTTGAAATGAACACCGATCAGAAAACTTTGGACGGGCATGGTTTCGAACATTTCAAAGGTTCCTAAACTGAAAGAAAAAAGGAATAGGGAATGCAAAGACCCTTCGAAGCTTTTCAGTTAAAGCAAACTTGGATTCAGAAAAAATCTTTCTTATTCTGAAGTTTTCCGGAAACAAAACTGTTGAAATTTCTTCCTTCCACCTTCTAACTTTGAAACTTTTGATATTTAAATAAAAGAAGACTCAAGTTTTCAAATACCTTTGAAAAAACGGTTCAAAGAAGATTGAAATTTCACAGAACAACTTGCAATCGCTTCTAACTCTTTCAGTCGCTGCAAAGAAGAAATTCTACTTCACCATATCTACTGAACCTTTCAAAAAGCTCCAACCTCCTCTTTCATTGATTATCCATTCAAAGATCACGTTCAAATTTTCAATAAATCGCAGAAAAACAGCTTGAAACCCCTTTCATTTCTTGACCGTTGGTCGAAGACCCACGCCTCCTTGAATATACTCTCAATTTCCCTCGCCTCGGCAATTACGGTCTTTCTACACGGTCTCTCAACAGTTCACCTCCATTAATAGCCTCCTGTGACCGGGGCGGACCGGTCTTACAACTGTTGCACTAGCAGAAGCCTCGGCCTTTCGGGCTGGCTCAGACCAGATCGCTCTCGAGGCGACTCATCTCAAATTGAATCGTTTCGCGCTCATTTGAATAGTTCTCGAAAATTCTCAACTTCAAACCGGCTCCGAGCCCTTTACTGCTTGTGAGATACGCCAAAATTCTCATTTCTAACTATTTTTCATAAACCTACTTTATTCTGATTGACCCTCGACGATGCTAGACTTTTAGATCTGATACACTGAGCTTTCTTTATTTCTCCGACTTTTCAAACTTTAATTGTAACCTTTTTTTATTTTTCTCTATCGTTTTTTAAAAAAATATTCTGACCTATTACTTTATTTTCACTTTCTACCCGTAAAAAGCTTCCAATTGATGAAAATTTTCGGAATTTTCCTGAAATTTTCTGAGTTTTTTGAGTTCTCTGTTTTTCATGCCTAATTTATGCAATTTTTCGCTGTTTCCTCATTCATAATCCGATGGTTGAGTCGAAATCACCACGTTCATGAAGTTTCTGATCCGTTTTATCAGTGTATCTGGATACGAGCACTAAACTCAAGGGTTATGTTCAAAAACTCAAAAACTCTGTCAGTGGGTCAAAAAACTGTGCACCAAAATCACAGTTCCTAAATAACCATCAAGCCAAAACGAATTTCTGAGCGGCTGTCAAACGGTCCAAGAGAAACAAGTAGAAGAAGGGAAAGCGGCCGAATGGAACACAATAATTGCGGTGGCGTAACGAAAAAAAAAGACGTAGGCTGGGAGTTAGGCAAAATCCTCCGGCGACCCCTCATCAGAACGGCGTCGACGTCTACAAGGATGAAGACGTCGCCGACGATGGACCGAAACCCTCAATCCGACACGAGACGCGGATTTGTGATGACGGTTCAGTCACTCTTCTATTCTTCCTCTTCCGGAGAACTCTCCCTTTTTTTCTCAATCATTTTTTTTTTTTTGATTTTTTTGATTCTTTTTTCTCTTCGAACAAATGTCGGTATTTACACTGATGCAACGTAATTTCATTATAGTCTACTCTACTAACTAATAATTTTTGTGAAAGTTTGCAAATCTCTGAAAACTGATTGAAAACAAACTGATTCCTTAAATGATAGCCTAAGCCTACCAAGTTGATTCATCATAAGCATAACGAAATTTTATAATATCAAGCAATCGGATCTTAAAACTCTTTATATTTGTTCTTTTAAAAATAATTTTGCGAAAAAATTATCGCATCAAAAATTACTTTAATAAAAAATAAGACCATTTTCTACCGAACTGTGTGAATGGGCCATTGAATAACAGTAAAAGTAACCAATTGAAGTTTTAAAAATTGAAGTTTAGTGAAGAAAAAGTTGAGGTCTTTAGCTAGAAGCAAAAAGCTCTCTTGACTCTCTTGTCTAACGGACTGTATTATAGAATCTATTACTATTCGAAAAAATCTACCTCGTGTTTGAGCAAAGGCTATTCTGAAAAGTTTGCTACACCGTTTTTCGTCCTCACGACAACACCAGGAGGAAGACCAACTGGAACAAACCAGCTTCAGTCTCACCTTTTTATTCTTTTTCCCACTTCCTTTTCTCACTGTTATATCCTTCGACCTTATTCCATCCAAACCGACTGAACAAAAACTGTTTGCTTTATCGCCTCGTTTTACTGACCCGAGGAGCGAGTTATGAACGGCGCCGCGGTGGACCTCACTTAGTAGTCCTAATTTTTGCTTTCGACGCCCTATAAATGTGCTTGAGACCCGAGTTGTTAACGGAGGTTATGGCATTCTTGGCCCAAACCGTTCCTGGAACTAACTTTTTTCTGAGTCCAAGCTTTTTTTTTCAGTTTTTCTGTGTCTTAGAATTTTCAGTGGTAATTTTTTTTACAATTTACTGATCAAAAATTGTTCTGTGACTGCTCTTTTTGCGTTTTTCACAATTGCATAAGTCGCGAGAATTGTCAAAAAGTCGATAAAAGTGAATAGTTCCTTTTTTTGACGAAAATGGCTTAAATCATTCTTTGAGCCATTCCCAGCTTTAAAAACTCTATTTATTAAGCACCTCAAATTTTTTAGACATTGAAACTAGAAGATGTTTTTCTCAAACCTCTTTGAAAGTATAGGCTAAATCCATTTTATCATTTGAAGTTCACTTCTTTTCATTTCATGGAACAAATAGATACATTCGGCAAATTATTTTCAGAGGCCATATGGAATTAGAAAAAAAGGATAAAGCAAAAGCTCCTCCAACTGATTGTAAAATTTTTTCGAATTCTCAAAGTTTACTTTGCTGAAAAAGTGTCCCTTTTTATATTTTTCTCTTCATCTAGCAGCCATCGGAATGTCATCTCATTGCTCATGTTAACGTCCAACTTTCACATTCCCAGCCAGCCAATCCGATCCAATTTTTGCATGGTGCCCTTTCACCTTGTCGCCCAACGCCTTCCCCTCAAAAACGCGAGGGAAACCCCGCCTCCCCCGGTCGCTTTCTTCCGCCGAAATCTCGACAATCCTTCTCATATCGCTTCTTGTCCTTCTACTCTTACCCTTTCCTGAAAATTAAAAATCACCTAGAAATATTCAGAAGACGTCCGATGAGGACGCTGACGACCTTGACGTTGGCGTTGTTCTGGTGCTTCGGCGTCGCCTCGGGTCATGCTATTCTGGAAAATTATGAGCGGAAGTTGAACAAAATCCTACAGACTTCTGGCACAAGGACTGTTAAGAGGTAAGTCGAAAAACTACCCTCTTTCTCAGAAAGTTCCATAACTTTGTCTCTTTTTTTTTAACTTCGAGTGAATTCTTTGAAGAGAATCTTGAAAATTCTCCATATTTAGAGAGCTTTTGTTTTCTATGATGTGAGAAATTTCAAGGACTTAATTCGAAAACTGAAGAAAAGTCCATCTGAACAGAAAAGTGTTGAGTTTCCTTTATTCTACCTTCCTAGCTTTCAAGAGAAAAACAACAACTTTTTTTCAAAATATTCCACTCGATAACTTCCATCACATTATCAAACTTCTCAACCGATTTCTTCAGTTGAAAAATTTCCTATTAATATACTCTTTAGATTTAAAAAAACATTTTTTAAAATTTTTTTCTATTTATTTCAAAAACTTTTTCAAAATGTTTCATTTCTCTTTTTTTATTTTTCATTGAATGGAAACCAAGTTTTGTTCCTCCACGACTTTCCTTCTTCGAAAAGTCCGAAACTCCAAAAAAACACGACCAACCTTGAAAGAGACTATTTCGACAAATCAACAATGTTTATCTTGGCAGAAAAAGCCGCGAAGATCGCGATAAGCAACTCGCGAAATCGGGATATTTCTCCTTTGTTTCCTTCACTTTCCGAAACCTGCAACTCATTTATCATATTCCAAAAATAACGGAGGAATCAAATAAAGATTTCCGTTTGACGAAATCGGGAAATTGATAGAAAAAAATAAGATGTTAAAAAAAGAAAAATTAAACAATGATTTTTTTATGTTTTTTTCTCCCACCGCCAGTCGGAAAATTTTTTTAGTTAAAAAGTTGCAATTGTTAAACTTTGAGAAAAGAATGAAAAAAATTGATAAATTTTTTTGAAGAAAAAAATGTTTTTCTGTTTTGCGGGCTTGATGGCAGCTCACACATCGACGCAAAAAGGTACCGCTACGCGCAAGTTTGTGGATAATAACTTTTTTTCTTCTAACTTCCAAAAATTTTTTTAAATCGAGATATAGTATAAAAAAATTTGCTATAGAAATTTTAAAAAAATAAATCAAATTTTTTTTGCGTTTGTGAATCTTTTAAACCTGAAGATTTTCTTAAGTTCTTTGTGATCAAACTAAGTGCTAGCATTCATTGCATGTTAGCATGCTAACACGGAATTAATTTGCGAAACGCTCTCATTAAAAAAATAATGATTTTTTTAAATATTTTTTTAAATTTATTTTACAATTGTGATTTTTCATGTCCTTCTCTGCTTTTTTTCATGCTTATAAATTTAATGTTTTTCAAGAACTTCAAATCTTGTTTTTTCTTTTCTATTTTTCATTTAAGTTGACATCAAAACTCAAAAGAAATAATAATAAAATACCTCCAAAAGCGATTTCTGACCCAAATATGGCCCACACGCACGCGAGGCTAATTCGATTTGGTTGGTTTCAAGGAGGACAAAAAAAAAAGAAGTTTTATGAGCCGGCTTATAAATGAACATAAATCCATCAAGGTCGCCGCAATTAGTTCGTTCCTCTCTTTTTTCGTCCTCTCTTTGCTTTTCGACTTTTTCCTTTAATTTGTGACCGCGGGCGGTGTGTTTTTTATTACATTTTCTCCGTTGGAAAACGACTCCGTAATTGTCACCACGGACGACTTGACCAACGAGAACCGTTGTGACTGGAATTTTTCTGACTTCAACTTCTGGAAATTGCTTTTCACATCCATATTCGCTCATGGCTTTTGGTGAAAAAGTTTTTTCTTTGAAGACATACTAAAATAATCGGTATCTAAGAGAAGTGTTGCTTTCCTGAAAAAAAAACCCTATTCCTCTTGGTTATTTTTCAGCAGCATTTTTTTTCAGCTTTTTCTTCCATCTCCAGCCTGAATTACACAGTAACCGACTTTTTCAATACCGTGGATTCCAGGTACAAATGCGTGGAAGAGTACGTGACATTGGATGATGATGGAGTTACGGTGGATTCTCGAAGGGGCGCTCCTTTCCTGACTAGCCGATTTCCTGGCGGAAAATTGACTCAAACGACTGTGAGTTTCAAAGTAACTGTTCTACTAAGATGATTCATAGAACTTGATATTTTGCAAAAAAATTTTTGAACGCTCCCTGAAAAAAGATATTGAAAAAGAATCTGTGGATCTAGACTTTATTACAGTAATAGTCATGCTTTATACCAACATCTTACAGAAACCCGAGCACGAATACGCCACGTCAAGCATTCGTAGAAAGCCTAGTAAACGGACGAAACCATCAAAACGCCGAAAGTACAAAGCCTCTGAAGTCTTACCGATCGTTCGTTTATTTGAAGTTTCTTGATTTCATAGCTCAAAAGCTTCAGGACATGATTCCCTCAACTTCATCCTCCACAACGACGACGACGACGACGACAGAAGAACCGACGACGTCTCCAACGACTTCAGTTCCTTTTGAAGAACTCGACGACGCCGATGCAGACCGACTCATCGAGCAACTCTACTTGAATAATGTCGTTAGTTTCTCATATTTCGAATTCATTCAAAAAATGAAAGATCTCTTCAGAATGACGTCCCCCAAACCGCTGACGTTCCTCCAACTTATTCAACAATTTCCGAAAAAACAACGGCGACTGAGCCTCCGAAATCCGCATTGAACCCACTGAAACCTCAGAAAGTGAAAAAATTGTGGGTTTTTCCTCTGAAATATACCGAAGGGATGTCATTTTAGTTGAAAAATTAGACTTTTCTATGATTTTTTTAAACTATCCCTGAAGGACAAGATGAAGTTTATTTCTAATAGCTACCTCCAATAATTTTGAGCTTCGAATTAATGTTTTCAGGCCTGATATACTGTTAAAAGCGAACTTTGAAAAATCGCATCTTTCAAAAATTTTGCACACACAAGTAGCGACTATGACAGTGTCCATCAGGACTTTCAGAATGTTTTAGTAAAGTTTCAGAAAACTCTATGCCTTTTTTAAACTTCCAGCCTTCATGTTGTTCATATTACAGGCATCCCGAAATTAGACGAGCTCCGCCCTCTACCTTGTCTTCCGCCGCAGATTCTCGAGATGCCGATGACATCGAACAAGACGACGAAGACTCCTACGAGCGGACCAAGCCGAAACGCGTTTTTCCGGTTTGAAAACATCCTTTGTTACTGAAAATGAAGCAGGAGAAGCTTCAGATGTCGAACGCCATTTCCGACGACGAGGCCTACGACTACTATGAAGACGTCATGTACTACCGGCGGCCGATGTCGCGAAGAGCTTATCGTAAGTAACACTAAGTAGTCAAGAACTTTAAAAATAGGAAAAAGTTGATGAATGGGATCGGGGTTGAAACTATGAGGAATGAGTCAATATAAAAAGACATTGTAAGACATCGGAAGACTTTGCAGCACCACGACTCCGCCGAAGACGTCCCTTGATCATTGGAGACTCGTCAAGCGACGCCGACAAGCACAACCACGTGGTGAGCGCCATTTTGGTGCCTTTTTGACATTCACCGCTGGCTTGAAACGACACTTGAAGAGGGCCTCACTAAAGTTCAGGAGAATTTTGTCAGTTTCATAGGAGAAATGCTCGAAAAATTTTTTTTTTTTTCAAAGCTTTTATCAATCAGAGCTTCGCTTTTGAAATCAATGTTTTAAAAAAAATTCTCACTCGGATTCGCTAGTGCAGGCTAGTTTTCACAGGGAATTCTTCAGCCCCGGGCTGAAATTTTGATGAAACTCTGTTCAAGTGTACTCTAGGAAAACTGGGAAAACGTTTCCTTGGGAGTGAATTACAAAGAGCAGCTCTTCAGACGCACGACCTGCACCCGCTGCGACCGATGAAGCGTCTGCGGCATCAGCGACGGATCAAGCCGTACCGCCCCCGCTCTCACGACGCAGCCCCCATCACTACCACGGACATGTATCCGCCCCCGATTCCTCAGACGCCACCGGCCTCGCAGGCGCTTCCGCCCATTTCAGTGAGCACGACTTCTGGAAGCCCGAATGAGACATTCTGTTTAAGGACGCTGCTCCTGTTCAAGAGATGCAGGAGGCGACCCCGGAGAGCTGCGCCAAGATTGGCGTCCTCGCCAAACGGTTCGGCATCACCGACGTCTCGACCTGGGCTCGTAGCAATTGCAGTTTCTTACAGGTACCGTATTATTTATCTGAAAATGACCATTCTCATTATGAAATGACGTCATCTACCATTTCCTTCTACTCCAATCACAACAAAACTTTAAGTTTCACCTCAAAAATTTTTCTTCAGATCTTCAACTGGCCGTATTTCTCATGAAAATATCTCTGAAAACCCAAAACACAGTAACCAGTTCAAATTACAGATGTACGCTCCAAACGCCAGTTGCGCCTTGATCTACCACTTTATCGACTCGTGCCATCAGAAAAAGTTCATTTGAACTCGGAAAAAATGGAAAAAAAAAACTCGAAAAAGCCTCAGGGCCACGTCCTCAAACCAAATCAGACATTCCATGCCGACAGCTGCTCACTCTTTGTATATTAATTGTTGAGATTGGTTGATAATAATAATAAATATTTTACTCTTGAAAAGGAAAACTCTACCGAAAAGTCAAGAAAAAACCAACGAGAGGTAGGAAAAAGATGACGAAAAAGCGACGTCTTCATCGGAAAGGCTTCGTCTCCAGAATCTGTTTCGCCTCGTCGACGTGCTCCTTCTCGACGGCTTCTGCGTCGTCGTATTCGGCGGCGGCTGCCTAGAAAACAGCTTTTTCTAGAGCTTCGAAAGATGGCAAAATGTTTGAAATGGTACTTTGGAGTGAGTTTGTGATTTGCATTTTTAGAAATAGTCAATACAATCTACCTATATAGAAAAACTTTTGAAGGTTGAGAAAAGTAAAAGTTGAAAGGTCGGAAATGGTAAACCAACCGTCTCGAGCCATTTCCTGGCCTCCTTGATCTTGTCCATGGCTAGATAAGCCTTGCCAATGTATAGCTGATTTTCGGCGACGCCATCGCAAATCGTTTCGGCCTGAAAGATTCTTGATCTTCGAGTAAAATGCTTTTGGAAAAAAAAACCTTGAGAAGGTCATCGAGGGCGTCTTGAAACGAGACGTTCGGCACTTGACCAATCACTTTTGCCGCCATCCGTTCGATCATCGAAAGGTTGGCCACCTCAAAAAACGTTCTTGTTCCATTTTTCCCTTTCACTTCTATTTTTCTTTTTTCTCTAGTTCACAAATTCTACTAAAGTGCTCTCGAAAAGTGTCATAATTTTTTTTGACATAGCCGTTCCGCTTCAGCCTGTCACGATTTTTGGTTTCTTCCGAGCTACAGAACTCTTCCCTTTGGTCTGTCTATGAGCATGCGCCTTTTATTTAGCCTAAGAATTCTTCTTATATTAAAGGCGCGTGCACAAAAACAGGCAGCGCTCAAGAGTCTTGTAGTTCAGAGGAAAAGTTGTGAGAGGCTGGCGCAGACTATAATACTTTCATTAAAGCTTGACCAACCTGATAACAAAATCGTCCACGCATGTGTAACAATTCAAAGTTGTTGGAATCTACGGCGAGAGCCTTGTCCAAGTAAGTCTGAAACAAAAAACTTTGAAACCGAGAAGTTTTGTTCATGTTAAGAGAACAAACAACAAAGATTATGTGGAACTTCTAGTGATTAGTTTTCAACCCAATCAAAGTTTACCTTAAACATGAATCCGTATTGAACTTTTTTAGTTAGGCCACTTTCCTCGGCAAGTCTTCCCGTAGTTGAACAAAGTAGCTGAAATTATGAGAAATGTATAAACACAAGTTTCAATTTTTCAATGATTTTTTTAATCATCTCGTTAATGTTAAACTTTAATTAGTTTCCACAAACGTATCAGTTCAAAAAAAGAAAAAAACATCAGTGAAAACGAATTTAAAACAGAACAAATTACAGTCTCGGTTTTTCGAATTCAGCACTCTTTAAATGAGACGAAGAATAAAAATTTCGTAAAAATAATATTAGAAACTTTTTAGAATAGAAGATAACTCTGTAGAATCTTAGAGATCTAGGAAGGTCAAATATTCACCTTGAGAATCTCGAAATTATTCGGCTCGATTTGATTTCCCTCTTCGGCAGCTTTTCGTGCTGAAACAGTTCGGAAAACTAAATTCAGAAGTTCTTTTTCATTCATTACCATTTTCCAAATGTTCGATTCTCTTGGTCCTATTTTCTTCGTAGTTGCTCAACCCGTAGAGCAACTCGCTTCGACGCCTCAATCCGCCAACTTGGACGTCCGAAGGTTGGGAAGACAGGTTCAGCTGAATTGAACAGTTCAGGATTCAAAACTAAAGACGTTTCTTTGTAGCTTTTCAGCTTTTACAGATGATGAATAGGGCTTCTCGAACGATTTGAAGACTTAGGGCGGCCCATCGCCAAGTTAAAAACAAGCGAAATCTTGCTGAACTTTTTTTCAAAACTCTCTGAAGGTTAAAGTGAAGATCCCTCACATAGTGGCTACTTGCGCAAACTTCTAGTTTTTAAGATATGATTTTTAAAACTTGCGATTTATGGGTTTTAAATCTAACTTCCAGAAATTGAAAAATAATCATCTCAAACTTGCCAGTTTGTTTGAGCTGACTTCTGAAAAATTCCAAGCCACAAAGTAAATCAACCTCCATGAGATATGTTAAACGCAAATTTAAAAAGTAATAATATCTCAAAAAACCACATTTTTGCGCAGGTAGGGACAATTAAAGATCTTCCTCTAAGTCTTCAGAGTGTGGGTGAGCGAATTTTCAGCAAATTTCCAAACCGCAAGGAAAAATGATCTCCCGTGTGAGACTAACGGATTAGAACTTACTAATCGAATCAAAACTAATGAAACATCTAAATCCGGGAACTACCTTATCAAGCATACCGATGGCCGCGTTCAAATTGGTCGCATTCCAGTCCTCGACATCCACCGTCGCAGAATCCACCTCATGGAAAATTCGCTGGAATTTTTTTCTCAAAATTGATGACTTGAAAAAAAAGCTTTAAAAAGCGCTTTTGAACTTCTTAGTAAAAAAAAAATGAAGACCTTACTTGTTTTCTTTATTGAAACTGCCACATAGCTTCTGAAAGCTTTTAAAAATCGAATAAAAAGAATAAATGTTCATTAAAAAGTGTCGTTATCCATTCGTCATTCGTCCCATCATAAAGATTTATTTCAACTATGTTTTTTTCATTTTTGCTACATTTCTGATATTTTAGTTTTGAAAAAGTTGAGAAATAGATTCGGTAGATTCTTTATAGTAAAGACCAAGTTTCCTTTGACTTCCGGAAGACTCATATAATGTCAAAAAGAACTAATAGAAAAAAAAAAAATGAAAGTATACATTTTCAAAATCGTCACAGGTGGAAGTAGATCGGTCATCCATCGTCGCAACACAGAAGCAACAGCTAAACGCAAAGGAAGACTTCAAGTGAAATGGCTTTATTCGAAAAATGAACCGGGAAGACGAGAAAAATGAATCGAAACAACTGAAAACGTGTTGAGAGACACGTGGCGACCAAGACGTAAAAAAACAACACGTACATTATCAATTCAGTGCTAATAAGGGAAGAAGGTTAACGGGTTTTCATGTTCAACTTGAAGGAGCAGAAACCTTTGGAAACTTCAGAGAGTTTCTTTCACACGTTGCGCCTTTATTATGCGAAAATGTGGCCTTTTCGTCGGTTTCTTTTTCAGCCAATGCTCCTTCAAATAGTGCAACTAAAATCAAATCTAAAGCAACTTAAAGCAATCGATGAAAAAGGTAAAGCCACAGATGAAAATTTAACAAAAGATCAGAATAAAGAGGAGTGGAATAAAGAGAGACCAATTTGGCCCAACAAAAACAGGTGGAGAGCGGATTAAAAGCGTTTTCTACCCAAAAAAGAAAACGCGCAAAGTGAGGGAGGCAAAAAATATAAAGCACTTTCCATCAAAGAAACGAAATACAAGTGGAAGCCAACTGAAACAACAAAAACCGCACTCGTAACTTTTGTCGAAAAAAAAAGTCCTATCGATTATTGTCAATATGAATCGTTTTCTTTGCCCATAACGTCGTCGAACCGCAATGTTTTGAACCAAATGAAGCAAAGAAAAAAAGCAAGAAAATGATACTAGTCAGATTTATGATGGAAATGAAAAAATTGGAAACAAAGATGTGCGGATTGAGCTTGAAACTCAAAATTTTAATGTAAAATCTTCGCGATATTATTCGAAAATTGAAAATTTCCAAGCCTAACCCTCAAAGATGACGATCAAAAGTGAGACTAACAGCTAGAAATATTTAAAGTTTTCCTCATCAGAACAGTTCTCTATGAGACACGGAATTTACAGACAGGCTTTCGAGGAAAACATCGAATGTGGTTGGCAAATGGCACAGCTGATCGTGAGTTTTTCTGAGTTGCCTAAGGCCTTATGGCTCTTACGGCCTCAGGGTGGTGGTGATGGTTAGGTTTTGGTTGGGTATCTTATCCATGGGGAGCAACTGCTGGCCAAACATGTTGATGTAGATGATCGTCGTGAAGAGCATCTCCATCGACACGATCAACCCAACCACCACCTGAAAAATGGATCTATTAAGTTATTCAAGCTTCCTATGCGAAAAGTAAAGTTTCAGGTCGAAAGAAGCAGACTCGCCAAAAATAACAAAATATAGTTCAATTTCAATTCCTGCCTTCACGTTCCTAACTAGATGAAATTGCAAAATGAAGAATCATTAACAAACTTTACCTAAAATCCAAAAAGCAAAATAACTTTGGTTTTCTTTAGCCATTACCAAGACCTGCTGCTCACTCCTATTAAACGGAAAACTCGGCCTAAAAACGCACCATATCGGTGACTTTGACGAGGCCGCTGCCGAAGACGATGGCGTTTGGCGGAGTGCCAACCGGGAGAATGAAGGCGAAGGAGGCGGCGAGGGTGACGGGCATCATGAGGGTGAGCGGATGATGGCCGGCCTGTTGGGCCAACGTCGCCACGATGGGCAGGAAGATGGAGGCGGTGACCGTGTTGCTGCAGATGTTGGTGATGGCCATCGCGATCACCATGATCAGCAGCTGCAGCGCCCAGATCGGCAGGTGCTCGATCGCCGTCAGTTGGTGGCCTATCAGGTCCGACAGCCCCGATTCTTTCACACCTGCAGAGAAAGAATCTTTAGAAGTTGATAAAAAAAGACATTTTTGGGCGGTTCTCCGAGAGGCTACGCTTTTTGCTCTTAGTTCCCTCCTAGAAATGTTAGCGATGTGAAGAAAGTCTTCAAGTTTTCAAATTTACAGCTTCGACAATTAATTATCATCTAACTCCTCACCAGCAGCCAAAGCGAATCCACCGCCAAGGAGCAGGACGACGTTCCACGGGAACGACGACTTCATCGCATCCCAGTCCATCAGACACTTCTTCTGCAACTTCCCGGTACTACTTCGGCTTCAGATTTTCAATCCCTACATTGCGCAGTTCATCACTCTTCAGATAGGTCTGGAGGTCAGGCTTTTCCGCGGGGAGGATGAACAGTAAGAAGGAGACGATCATCGCCGATGTCGAGTCGGAGTAGAATCCTTTGCTGAAGAGGACGCCGAAGCCTTCGAACATTCCCGGGTTGCGGAAGATCCAGAGCGAGAGCAGCAAGGCGAAGCAGCAGAGAACCGACTTCTCAGCGTAGCTGGAAAAAGGTGATTATTGACGGAACTCAGAAAGAAGTTGAACCTCATTCGGGGCAACCTGGCATAGCGATCTTTTAGCATCGCCGTCACGTGTTCATCCTTGGCCGGAGCATCTCTGTAATCATCGTGTTGAAGAAATATCGAGACTGATATTGAAATTTCAAGCCGCCTTTGAGAAACTTTTGATTTCCCGCATCGCATATTCACAAGGCCTTGTTTTGAATTTGACTGTGAGAAATCGTGAGAAAAAACTCTTTCGGTTCTCAGAAAGCATTGCTCATGCGAATAGGATTGAAAAAAAAAATTATTGATTTAATGTTTCAAAAAAAGTTACAAATTCATGAATTTTTGAGGTCTTCCTTTGAGGAAAAACACGAAAGTTAAGCTTTCTTTAAAACGTTCATTAAGTGCTCTAGAAGAAGTTTCTCTTCGTTTTCCTTCTTTTCCTGAAATCTTCAGAATCACTCTCTACTCACTTCAAGAAGAAGAAGACGAGGGTGATCCAGCAAATGAACAAGCAAATGAGCATCAGCGGATAGGCGAAGAACATCCAATTCGTGTAGGCGATGCCGCTGTCGCCGTCCGCGTACAGCCTGGAAATGTCTTCTTTCTCTTTTTCAAGGATAAGCGGTCTAACATGGCGGCCTGCCCGACCAAGACCAAGTTGCTCGGCGTCCCAGTCAACGTGCCAGTTCCTCCGATATTCGCCGCGAAGCAAATGGACAAAACAAGGCCTGTAGCCATTCTCTTGCAACCCATTCTTCCCCTGTGCGTCTCACTGAAAAACATAGGGTACGGTAATCAGTTTGGTGTCTTCTCAGAATTGATTATCTCTTGATCCAGAAGAGTTCAGAACAGGTTGGGCGCTTTCCGATTACTGTAGGTTGATATTATGGCGAAAATTGTTATAAAAATTTTTGTCTAAAAAAATATGCGAACTTGAATAAAAACACTGTTTTTACAATACAATATTTATTGGTTGTTTTAGTCAGATGGTATCGACTAGGCGGTGAAAAAATTGCTCTTTTGAGCGGCACTAACACCGCCTTTGGCGAAAAAGAAGTCAAAACGTGTAGTCGATTGAATTGAAAGCATGGTCTTACGGTCCTTCGCCTCGTTCTTCCACAAGTTGATCCCTCAGTTTCGCTTGTACGGGCACGGCGGTGATGGTGGGGCTCGGGCACGGACTCCGTGTACACTCTAGGGTAGCCTCGGCCGACTGAGAGAGCTACCACTTCGAGTGAAGAAAATACACGAAAATACACTGTTCAGCGACAAAAATGTTTTTGAGAACATTTTCGCAAACGCTCGCCGGTATCAAAAATGGCTGATTTTAAGAGATCATACTTTTTTTTGGGAAGACATACATATGAACATAATTCATTAGAATCTTCGCGAAATTTTCTAATATGATCGGGACGGCATTTTTGTTTTCACCTTTTTTTTTTACCAGGAAGACATTGAAATGGTCTAATATGGTCAAATTAGTTTGGTCAATAATCGTAACCGTAATGTTGCCTATGTGGAGTAACTGATTGATTGAACAAGTTTGAGAGTCGAAAATGTGAAACCTGCTCTGCGGATGGTTCTGGAAGGAGGTGATCAACTGCTGGATGACGGATTGGCCGATGGGGACCATCATGGCGGTGGTCGCCGTGTTGGAGATGAAGCTGCTGAGCAGAGCCGTCACCGTCATGAATCCAAGCATTATCCTGCAAATGTTTCCGATTCAATCGTTCTTCTCAAAATGGCAAATGAAGTAAGCGAGAGACTCGGTCAACAGTTGAAATAATCGTTCTATATCGAGTCATCCTTAAATTAGAAAATATGCTAAATTCCGGAAAATATTTGAATGGTTCTTTTTTTCAGACGCAACAACAGCTATTAAGAAAATGATCTTTGAAATTCTCAAGTATTCCAATATTTTCTTTACTATTTTTTTAAAAATCCAATTTTATGAGATAAAAAAAGTCTCGGAAATAATTTTTCTTTGGTTAACTTGAAAAGTCAATGTGTTCATCATATCTTAATGCTGATCGTAGCTATTGATTTGTTCAAAAAAATTTCCAAATGTTCGATTATTTTGTCGATCCCTCAAATACTCTGCGATCCCTACAAGAATATCATCAGAAATCGTAAAATTCCCACTTTCCCAGAAAGTGCACACGTCCGATTTGAAAAGACGGCGCTCCAAACAAAGGAGCCGTGCAAAATGGGAATGAAACAACGGGCGTCTAGACGTGTTCGCTGTAAACCTTTGCGAAACTAAAGAAAAAAAAAACGGTTCGGCGCGCCGAAATTTGAATTCGAGGATGAGAAGAGCAGACATTTCGATCATAGAAAGACAGATTTTTTTTTGAATTTCTACAGTACTCGAGTTCCATTTTCTTTTTTCTTAGGCAAACTTCGTGAGACGAAATTCTTAAAAAACTGTTCTACTGCTATTTTCAACTAAATATACAAGTTGTGCGAGATTTCATCAATGTTACTGGTAACTTATTTTTCCAAAATGGATTTATATGTCATTCAATTGAAAAAAATTGTATACCTGGATGAAGTTAAGCAAGAACTATATTAAGTGAAAGAAAATTGATGCGAAAAGAAAATATTTGAGAATGTTCTTCCAAAAGACTTCCAATCAGTAATTTGTCTTGAATGCCCATGAAGCGCACTAATCATTTCAGCCGTTTTTCATTGGCTTAATCATTTTTGCCTCGTTCAACACGCACCACTTGGGTTCACTTCCAACATGGCGCAGTACAAAAAGGGCGATTCGTTCGTGCAGCTCGCACTTTTCCACGGCCGCCGCCATGATGAGGCCGCCGATGAACAGGAAGTTGGTGTCCTGGAAATCATTTAGTTTCCGTTCCATTCCCATAGGATTCCCTTACGTTCATGTATTCCTGTGAAGTTCTGTGCGTGTCCAGTACACCACACAGAGGGAATAATACAACCGGCATCATCGCGGTTACTGCAAATTTTCAACTTTAAAAACGTTCTTTCCTTTTTAACAGTACTTTCAAACTTTCAAATTTTCAGAAAAGAATCATTCAAAAAAAAACTTTAAAAAACTTGAAATTTAAAATCAACTTTTCGAAAGAAAAAAGGAATGAAGCTGAGCCTAAAAAATGAGCTCCTAAACTTATTCTTAATAACTTCGAACTTGAAAAAAAGACTTCATTTTTTTTAAATAAGTAAAAAATGAACCAGCAAGCGGCATGACTTCGCACATCCAATAGATCGCGATCACACAGACGCAGTACCCGCATTTCGCTTCCTGAAAAAAAAAATCAATAAAATTTTTCTTACACTTCCAAATATGAAATGAAATCTCTGATTAACGGTTTCTTAAATCCAGAAAAGAACACTTGCAGAAGTTCAATTGTTTCTTTTATTTCCATAAATTTTAGTTTGAACCTTTTTTCTAACTTCAATCCCAGAAACAGCATTGAAATGAACTCCCTACTTTTTTCAGAAACATTTTTTTCTCAACTCGTACAGCGGCTCCCAAAAAAGGGACACCCCAATATGCAAGCTCTCACTTCATTAAACCCAAATTTCCTCCTTTTTTTTCTCCTTGCCCCATTTCGTACAGCCGAGAAGATTTTTTTTTTCATTTATATTTTTTGCCTCCGCTGTAGTTTTCTTTTTTCTTCACAAAAGGTTTTCAAGAAGATAAAAAAATGGAAAAATGTGTTGATATTGTAATTTTGGCTGTGAGTAAACTCAGAAGTATGAAAATGTTAAGTGATACTAAACCTTTGCCGAAGTACTCTGGCATGTATCCAACTGGTAAAGTTTTGAAAATTTGATAGTATTTCAATATTTCACAGGGAAATAGTTCAAAAGATTATTTTCCATGCGCTATCCAAAATTCCGTCTCAAAGTGCATAAATTTCTTTTCTTCCAGTCCGAGCCATAAAAGGTATTGGTCGGTTCCCCAGGCAGCCGAAAAAACCAACTCTAATTTCGCGACCATTTTGCTCTGGCGTTCCCACCATCGGCTAGAGAGCAAGAGAGGCCAGAGAGGGTCAGAGAAAGAACGCCCCGAGTTGATCTCACTACGTCAGCGCTTCCTCCTTTTTCTTCTGCTTCATTCAAAAGAAAAACCATTTGAAAATGCTTCTAACTTTCTCTGTTTCTTGAAAACTCGTGACAGAAAGGAGAAAAAAGCGAAGATGGGATAAGAACTGAAATTTCAGCCGCTGTCACGAAGAAACTCTTCACGTTGGCGTCAGGCCAAACGCCAACTGGAGAGGCTCAAATTTCTCAAAAGAGGCCGCCTTCTAGAAGAGTGTTCGAGAAGAAAGGTCGCTGATTTGTGATTTTCCAAGATTTTAGGGTTAAAGTCCAAAGTATATAAATATTTTATTAATATAAGTTCGAATGAGATTCTCAAATATCTTTGAATGAGGCGAAAGTTTCAAGCGACCCCTTGAAATGCATTTTTATCGGGATAAGAACCTCAACCTGGGCTTCGAAAAAACAGACATTTGATAAAATAAAATAATTCGAACTCAAAAAAAAGTTTCTTCATTGTTTTCTGCCACAAAAAGTTTAACTTCTTAAATTGAACAATCTTTAAAAACCAAAAATTCAGGTCATTCACTCGAAATCCCAAAAAAATGTACTACGGTCAAATATTTGCACAGTCGTGCATCGTTGTCTGCATGTATTTTTCTAAAACGAACCTATTTCGGTATTTATTTTTTGTGAGTTAGAGAATATCCTGAGAATCCGATTTCAAGATGTTCGGAGAAAAAAAAAACACAGAATGACCCTTTGTACAATTTTTTACGATCAAAAATAAACTAGAGAAAAAACACTTCTGGAAGTAACATATGAAAGTTCGTTCACCTCTATCGGACTCTAGAGAGATCAAACTCGGCTCGAATTCCTTATTCGTGTCATAAAAATGCTCTCATTGCACTCTGAAGTCGCATAGGATCTAATTCGAGTCGCTTGTATGAAGCAGATCAAGTTTTTTCTGATCTATCCTTCTTCCCACAGAGATCCAGAGCACTGGTTAAATTAATCTCAAGCATCAGAAACCCGATATTACCCTTTCAATGTATAATTAAATTTTCTATCGCGAGACTTTTTTGCTTCCTTCTTATTCTCCAATCTCGCAAAACTCGAAAATATGATCTAAAAAAAGTTGCAAGAAAGCGCGGTCGGAAGAAATTTTCAAAGGTTCCTCTGGACTGCAGTGATTAATGAGATCGGAAAACCAAGAGAAACAGAAAAGAAAGGAAAACGGCAACTTTTGAGCCGATGAAACATCGCACATCACTGAGGTCTGGTCAATTAGGACGGAAAGAATATTATAAGACTTAATGAGTGGATTGATTATAAGAAAGATGTTAGACTGATAAAAAGGAAAAAAAACCTTTTCATTGTTCCTACCATCAAAACAAAGCTTGAATTCTAGATGAAATTCAAAGAATTCACCCGAATTACCAAAGAAATGCAAAAATTTCCTAAAGAAATGAAAGAATACCTTGCGATCGGAGAAAAGCAACGGGGCGAAGATCAGAGGGACGAGGAACAGAATTATTCCATTTTTACACCTTCTCGCCAGAGTTTTCAGCTTTTCTGCCAGTGGAACCTGGAAAAAACGAGCATAAATAGAGGGGAGGAAGGTCAATAATAAAACCCACGAGGCCGTTCATTCTTCCTCTAGTGATTGCAAAGAATGATGAAAAAATCAGACACTCATTTTTCAAAACTGAAAAAATCTTTAAGAGCACGAAAATTGTATCTAATACCAAATTCGAATGATTTATTTGTTGTTCAAACCTATTCTCACAGCTTTTCGAGATTGAATACTAGAGCTTCGACAAATAAAATGAATATGTTATGAACATACTCAGTTTATCGCTTGCCTTCTACAGTATCTTCAAAAAATCTTCACTTTTCGAGTATGGTTATTTTTCAATTCTCGAAAGCTTCAAAACGAATCTATGAAATACTTTTTTTAAACTCTCAAACGACGCATTTTATTGAATAGAACAAAGAAAATCCACAAAAAAGCTACTTGATTTCTGGCTTTTCTTCTAAAAAGTGCAATGAATGCCAAACGAGTTGAGGACAAAAAAACAAAACTGGTACAAAAAGTTGTTTTCGAAATTTTTGAGAGAGAAAATTTTCTACGAAGTTCTTTTTTCTGGCGGCTTCATTACCTTCAATGAGGTCATAACTGTGGCTTTTCATACTGAATAAATTTTTCCTATTTTTAATGATTGTCCGGCTGATAAGAGGGTCCAGCGTTTTTGCTAGAGCTAAAATTATCCGAAAAAAAGTTGAACTCTCTGAAGTTTTTCTGATCGAGAATGGGTGTATTCCTTTTTATTTTTTTACACTTTTTTTGCTATGAACTCTGCAAAAATAAAAATAAAAAATAACCTCTCGTGAGACGAAATGTTGTGTGAAGTTACTGCTGGAGGCACTTTCCAGCATCCGCTGCCTCGACTCCGAGTTCTCCGGCCAACCCGACAGCAGCAACGACATTTCGTGCTGAATTTTTGACTAAACCAGAAATTTATTCAATTTCTTTTCTCTATTTTCGTATGAAGAAAAAACGAAATAAGGCCAGAAAAAAAACGAGCACTAAAGAGCCTATAGATTTTATGAGGTACTCAAGTAACTACTTGAAACTCATCGAATCAAAACCGTTAATAAAATCAAATTAATTTGAAATGTGAAGTGAAAAAGAAAGATAAAGATCATAGAAGAATAATCATTTATCCGCAGAAATGTTATCATAATAAAGAAGACCTTCCATCCAAAAGGCCAGATAGAAAGAGGATTATCATCCAAAAAGCGTGAAAAATTTTGAAATTCAGTCGAAAAACTTTCCTTCGAAAAAAAACTATTCAACTATTTCTTTTGCTCAAATTTGGTTCTTGAAATACCTCTGGAGTTCATCTTTTAAAAAAAGCCTATGAAAGCTCTGATTGAGTTGTCATCGGAATACCACGAGAACAGCTGGAAAAATGTTAAAGCAGATAGATCCTTTCAAACTCCAAAAGTCATCCAAAGTATCTTCAAATCAAGCTTCAAAAAGAGAAAAGAAGTCCAAATAAAAATGAAGCCCAACAAACCACCTAATGTAAAAAGGCTAAGTATAGAAAGTAAGAATTTGAGAATCAAAAGCAGAAATTCGAAATCCCAGAAAAAAAAGCGTCATCCTCGCACATTCCATTCATATCATAACTCTTGATTAATCATCTTTTGAGAGCCAGGAGAGACAGCTTCAAATCAAATGATTCCATGGAAACGGCCATGTCTTGAAGGCGAACTTCTGCGAAGAAGCTTCTCGATCTTTTAATTTCTTCTATGAGCCTTTTTCGATGAGAAAATTTGAAAAAAAGGAAAAAATGTCACTGAGCAGAACCCAACCGCAATGACATTCTGCTTGGGTGTGAGTGACGGCCGAGGCGACGGCGGCAAGGAAAGTGGGCGGAGCCGAGGGGGCGCGGCTTGGCTCCGTTCCACAGCGCTCGGCCGCCGTCGCCGAGCTTTTCTCATTTATGCGACTTTTACAGCAATCATGGGAAATTAATCGCTTTTCTCGCATTTTACACGTCTACTTATGTTCTTTGGAACAAGTATACCTTATTATAAACTTCGAGAGAACCGAAAATCGGATTTTACGAAATATCTGAAAGCAATATGAGGAGAAGATCTTAAAAAATAGCCAGGATTAAAATGTGAGAAAAAATAGCCACTATTGAGTTCCTTGGATATTTAAAGCAGTAGACAGGTAAAACTCAAATCCTGGAATTCTCAAAGTAAATTAGCGATGAAGTTCGAAAATTCCAATAACCTAACACAGCCATCTAAGCTCAATTCCCTCATTTTCAATGGTTCCTAACGAGTTTCAAATGGTTAAAAGGGATTGGTAAATTTCTTTCTGGAAAAAACCTTAATTTTTGTCTGTTCTAAAACAAAAAAGAACAGGAAGCTATGTTCTATTGGTACTCGAAACCAATGAAAATCTCAAAAGTGTGAACAAATAAAAGTTTTCGCAACTTTTTTGCCTACGAAGATATAAATCCAAAAGCCAAACATTGGAATTTCGACGGAAAAAAAAGAATTTGAGTTGAAAGAAAAGCCGCCAGACGAACGATGTTATCATTGACAATTGCCAAATTCTTAATCTATCTTCACAATCTACCGTAATCTGAGAAAAAAAATCTGGAAAAGAAATCTGATGAAGAAACAATCTTTTTGCGAGAAAAAAACTTGAGAAAGACGGAAAAAAAACTAAAAATCCTGGCATCTCAATAACTATTATTATTTTTATACCATTAAAAAACTTTAGAAAAAGCTGAAGTGGCTAGACTTATTTTCATTGAGCTCAGAACAGTTTAGCCCTCTGTGAAACTTAAAATTCAAAATAATCAAAGTTCGAACCATTTCTTTTTCTCATAATCCATCAGAACTCTCGCAACAAATTCATTCATCACGAGTTCTCAATCCCCAAGAAAAGGCGGAAGAAAAGGGAAAAAAAATCGGTGGGTCCTAAGCTTCCATGATGGCTGCGAGGGGACACAGCTTCCCAGAAAATTTCTTCCTTTTTCAGATTCTCCAAAAAATGGGAATTTCCAGTTATTTACATCGGTTCTTCGAGAATCTCGATTTCATTTTCGAGCTCATTAGGAAGGATACTCGAAATTACAAACTATTTCAAAACCTGGCTGAAAACTTTTTGTTCTATGTACTAAATGAAGAAATCGAAGATCGAAATTTGCAAAAATACTAATTTGAAAAAAGGACGCCTCAAAGATCACTTTCCTGGATATTGCGCAAGAAAACTCAATTATGAAGCTTCTTGTCTCAAAAAATAGAAAGCTGTGTACTTTCAGATTCAAAAGACCTCTTTCAGAACATCTGAAACATCTAAGCTTACTTCAAGGCGGAAATTTCAAACTTCACTCAACTAACCAAATTTTAAAAATCAGGAGGTTATAAATTATTGAAGGAAAGCTTAAAAGAAGTCTATTCTGAAAAAATTTGAATTCCAGGGTGTCTACTTCATTGTGGATATTACATTCCTAACTGGAAGGTTATTTAAGAAATTTTCTGTGACTCTCAAAAATATCTCATAATAAAAAGACAATCGCTTCTTTGAATCAGCCGAAAAATCACCAGAACTATTTTACTTGAACTTCCTTCTCATTTTTTGGTTAATCCAGAATCGATCCGAATTCAAAAAAAAACCTCCGAAAAATTCATAACAAATATTTACACCAGCCTCCGAAAATGAACCGTTACAAGGGATCAAAAATGGGCGGCAACGCACGTCTACTTCATTGAGGATATTACATTCGAATTCAATGAAAAAACGTTAAAAAAGAGTGAACTTTTGAAAAATCATTTTAAAAAAAATCCAGTTTTCCTGTGAATTATATCAAACACAATGATCAAAGCACTCTTTACAAGTATATTTTCGAAAAAAATTTTTTTTTCTGGAACATTTTTCAAAGCCGAACTCTTTTTCAAATGTTTAGAATAAAAATGCTTTTGAAATAGTAAAATACCTGAAATTTGGTGCTGAAAAGCGCATTTCGAGAAGAAAACGTACCTCAAATCACCAGAATGAAATGGTTTTGTAGGAAACCCTGAAAGTAGGCTCTTGGAAGCTCGAACCAGCCTTCTAAGAGTCCGAACCAATGAAACCAAATCGGAAAACTACAAAAAAAGCACTTAAAAGTACGATTTCATAGCAACAGAGTCCGCATTTAATGGAAGGACACTGCCGAGAGCCAATTTCTGTTCAATTTGTCTTCTTCCTCCTTCGCTCCAATGAGCCACAGCTGGAGGACTTATTCATAGGGAATTTATTTAAGTTTTGTTTTTCTTTGTTATTTATCATTCTTCAATTCAAACCTTCTTAACATATACTTCAGTTAGTAACTAGCGATTACTTTTTCACAAAACACATTTTGCTCGACAGAAACCATTGAAAAAAGGGTTTTTTTTTTTGCAACTTTCATCAGATGGCCAGAAGAAAGTTTGTATTTGAGAGTCCTAGAGTAAGTTATTCCTTGCAAAGTTCAGAATATGAAGTCTTCGTTTCAACTAAGATTAACTGAAGATTAACACAAAAAATCAATAATCAAGTCAACAACGAAGATATAGCTTGAAACCTATTAAGGACATCGTTTGATGTCTCTCGCTCGAAAAAACTACCTAGATCTATTTAAAGCCAGAAAACGCGAGAAAAATGCAGAGAGAGTCGGAAAAAGGCTTGCGCAAGAGGGAAGAGACGAGAGAGCATTGGAAAGCCACGAGCAAAACGGGTGGCTGGATGAATGCAGCTTTATGGGGACACGGAAAAGCGGAGCCGAGAAGCGGAGAGGCGCAGATGACAACGGAAAAAACCACCTCGTTGAAATGGGCGTGGCTTGAGCCTTTTCGTTTTGCGCTGTGCTCTTTTGACGTTGCCAAACTGGTGACGGGAGAGAGAATAGCGCAGTGGATAGTGTTCTTGTCTCACGTCAGAGAGGTCGAAGGTTCGATTCTGCTCGACGTGAACTTCCTCTTTTGTCTATGAACTGATGAGTTCTCACTCTCCTGTTTTACTTCTCTGTGTTCATATGAGCTCAGACCTCGGTAAAAAGGATCGAAAGTCGGGGCATTTCTAGTGACCACTTTAAGTAACGACAGCACTCTTAAATGATCCCTAGAATTGCAAAGAAATGTCTGGAGCGTGTCCGATTTTCGTTTCCGAGGGAGGAAGGCGTTTGAGCATTTCTCGTAATATCGAAAAGCCGGTCACTTTTTTGAACATAACTTGCTCCGCTTCAGTTTTTCATCTCTCAAAAACAACCTTCCTTGTCAGAACCCGGCCCGCGGCTCAAATTGCTCTCTTTTCATTTTTTGCAGAGAGTTCAGTGCTCTTTTGACGTTGCCAGCTGATGGCAGCCGCTGGAACTTATTTTCCACGTGGCTTTTCCATCGTCTCGACTTTCTGAGGACGTCATCCCTTCCTTTTTTCCGGTCGCGTTGGAGGATGTAATGGGGCAAAGTTTGCCGCCGTTGCCACAGCTCAACATGTTTTCTTCTGGGAGCTATTAGAGAGACATACAGTAATCCGAATGGGCAGCGTTCTCTAGAAAGCCAATTAGGAAAAAACCAAAATGAGGAAAAACTGTTTGCAAAAAAATTTGCAACTTTTTCGTTGGAGTTCATTCTTTTTCCAGTGTTCTCAGGGTGAAGCCGCAAAATATGGTGAAAAGGTGATTTTTGAACTTTGTAGGAATTTCACGGCCTTTTTTTAATTTTTAAAATTCTATATTCTGTTACTGGGAATTTTTGGATTGAACCTAATATACCTCACATTTTCAAACTCGGATTAATATTGTTACAATTTTCGACATACTGGATTTTTCTTCCAGATACTAAAGAAGCTCCGATTTCAAACATCAGCATCATTGGCTTCAAAAATCAACGTCGATGTTTGGTGCGCAGCTCAAAAGCTGTGAAGAGTAGGGAAAAAAGCACGCAAACAGAGGAACTGATAGGTCAGAGAGCTCAAAATGCAGCTGTCAGCATTTAATGAGACTCGGGGAAAGTATTAACCTATCAAAAAAAGTTTGAGGAAGCTCTTTCCACTCAAAAACACACCGATCAATCTGATCGAGCTGTTTTTTTCGGCTCAAATTGATCAAACCTGCAAATTCACAGACTTTCATGCTCCATGAGAAGAAATTACACAGAGTTGAAGCGTAGACAATAGATGAGCCTTTTAAAATTTTCTTTTAACTTACGAATCAACTACAGGTAATCTAAAAAAATCTTTCACGTTCAAAAAGGACAGAAATCGCCCAGGTAGAAAAAGCTTTTTCAACAAATACGAATAGTGATTTGCTAGGTATCAGCTCGAAAAATCATTGAAACAACGCGCTGACCACTCTACATCATCTTTTAAAAGCTGATGACTTTTTACCTCCATTAAAAACAAAAAAAGATTTTTCCAATAAAAAAAAAAAGATGGCTTCAAAAACCGAAGCTTTTATCCACTTCCGTCACGTGTTCCTCTTCCATTGATATTGTCTTCTGCAAATAAAATTTCAAGCGCCGCGCGCTCGTCAAAAATCCTGTGAAAACTCTTTACGCTTCAAATTTCTTCAAACAAAATTACGTATTTTTGAAAATCAACACGTCATAGGTCCAAAAACTATCGATGAAGCAGGCGCAGAGATAAAAATTATACGACATTTCGCGGAAACCGCTTCCGCCATGTGAGAAGGGACACGCGATTGACTTGTAAAAACTTTTTCTTTCCTCTTTTGGAAGAAAATATTTATCGCGTGGGGTTGGTAGTGATCTTCTAGGTGTCTTCATAAAGCTAAAAAAAAACTTCTGAAGAAATTGAGTTCCTAACTATTCGAAAAAAAACGCGGATGAACTTTTTTGGATCTCAAAGAAAAATTCTGAGAATCAGAATTATCCAAAGTTAGAGAAGCGCCCTTCCAAGATGATATAAAATCTTGAAAAATTCCAAGATTAAAAAACACAAATTTTCATTGATTATAACATTTGCTCGACTTGTTTGAGCTCTAAGAAATAATAACTTACACGGTTCTGGTAATGCAAAAAGAAGCCTATCCTTATTTCAAACATGGAAAAGGTTTCGATCGGCAAGCGCAGTTCCGAAGACGTCTTTTTTCGCGACAAAAAGTGCTACAAAAAAGGGCAAATCGACGCAGATGCAAAGTTTACTGGCAGATGCGCAACACATGTCTCCAAAAAAAACTGTTTCTACAACGAAACGAATCCTGCAAGGAGACTAGCTATGATTCCAAACCGTTCATGGTAACAAGAAAAGGGGAAATGAACTGGAAATCTTTGAGCTTTTTGATTATTTTCTAAATTCGAGGTTTCAGATCGAATTGCTACTGTCAAAGACTGTAGAAACAGAACCTTTAGGTTGAGTACGTTCGAACCTTCAAGTAAATACGAAAAAAACAGTCGTTATAGACTGATTTGAACCAAAGTCGCTTGATACTTCTTCAGAAAAAAAATATCCTGATGTAAGAGCAATAAAATTTTTGACGAATTTGACTTGTAATGAAATTTTTTTAAAAAAATTTATTGACTTTCATTGAGCTTTCTTCAGTTATACTCATGAAATATCTGAAGATAAAATTTATAAAAAGGACCAAGCGGCCTTCAAAATGATGACTCTTATCTTCAGAGTTTGCCTGCTTTATTATTTTTTTTCCATTACATAAATTTCCGATAGCTGATATTTAAAGTCAGCCATTATGAGGTGACAACGGTCAGACCTCAAGGATTATCAATGGAGCGCAAATTCTTTATCACGGCCGTTTATTCTTTCCTTTTTCAGGGCTTCTCCAGGACATGCACATTTCAACTGTCACTTTTTCTCGTCGCATCCTTCAAAATCATCTGATTCCATCAATCGAAAGCGAATCATCATTTTCGACGAAGAAACGACAAAAAAGTGAATCCAGAAACTGGGGCACGGCCACCGGCGCCGGGTTACCTCGCCGCTTTTCACTCTTTTTCACTTGTGTTCCGTTTTCGTCCGCGCGGATCCCAACGTCCATTTTTAGGCAAAAATGAAGCTGACGGCCCTTATCGCAGGTCTGATCGCCGTTTCTGCGGTTTTAGCCGATTCTGTTAGAACAGGTACACGCTTTTTCAAACTTTTGAGAAGTCTAACCTTTTTAAAGGGCTTTTTTGACTATCCTATTAGATGAGCTTACTTCAGAAGCTCGTTTCACATTCGCGCAGTAGAACGTCTCAAAAAATTTGAAGATAGGAATTTGTTTAATTTTTTCTTCTGATTTATTAATAATACTGCTCCTTTTTTTCTATTAAAAATAAAAACTCTTTTTATTTAAAAAAACGAAAAATTTTTTTTCTGCCGTTTTCATTCTTTCCTGAATTTGGTCGCTCCTGTTCAAACAACTGGAAATCTGTGATTCGGAAGTTGCGGATCTCAGAAGTTTGGAAAAAGACTTGTTAGGTCGAAATTTTTCTCTCAAAAGCTTTGATTTTCCAGAAGAAACAAGAAGCTACGAGTGTGTTCGAAATGGTGGAAACAGTAATATCGAGTGTCGTTTGAAGTTCGACGACGGCGAATTCATGGCCATCAATGATAATGGATGCTTTAAGGTTGGTCTGACAAAAATTTTGAGCTTCGAGAATTTTTGAAAAAGCTGTAACAAATACGTTCAGAAAAAAAGTCTTCAACACGGATAGTGTGATAGGAAACGGTTCCTTAGAGACATTAATATTTCTCTTTCACTTTGCGAAAGATTACTACTCAGAGAGGGAATCGATTGACACGTCTGTAATAAAGAGACTCTCACAGATAACTCCGTCTCTGCAGAGTTTCCCAAAAAAGATGGGATTTTTGAAATAATATTAAATCGACTTGAGAATTTAATATCCTGACATTATTGAAAAATCTAATATACAATTGAAATGAGTCTTTTCCTTTTTTCATTTGAAAAAGGCGAAAAAAAGAAACCTTGAATTGTGCACTGCCGATGCGGAAAAGGTGCTTGACGCCTGCGGAAGTCGCATTTTTGGCCTCGCCGTCGTCGGACGCCGGGAGCCCCACGAACGTCATCAACCCTTCAAGATCGTTCAATTTGTTTGTGTTGCCGCAAGCGAAAAGAAAACGAAGCGGATCTTCTCCGTACTTTGCGCGCATCATCTGCGCAAAGAGCACAAAGAACACATTTCTCCGAGGGAGCCCCGACTAGAGTGGCTTTTCGAGGTGTCGTGTTAGAGGAAGAGTCCAACAAGCTTTCCCTTGTCACAAACAAAACAATGCACTTTTTCCCCAGCTTTTGAAAAAACTGAACTAATTAAGTAATTATCACACAAAAAAAAGTTTCATTATTTCTTTAAATTATTTCCTGGATTGTACATGAAACTTTTTTTCATTTTCGATCTGATTTCGACTTTTTCAAGGTCTATTAGTATGGGTAAGATCGTAATTTTCACTAAATACTTCTTAGATGAAGTTTTCTGGAGAAAACCAAAATAATTGTTTCAAAACTGATAATAAAACCGACCTATTTTTTCGGAGTAAAAAAAATATTTGAAAATATTCGTTAAATTATGAAAATTGGAAACTTTGACTGTCATTTTGGAACCTGATGTGCTAGACCTATTCCAAAACCTTGTGATATTGAACCAAAATAAGCTTAACTTGACGTTACAGTAACTAACTTCCTGCGTTCATCTTCAGAAAAACAACGCAAAAATAACCTTTTCTCTACGAAAAAAATCATCATCTCTTGATTTCAATCGACTTTGAGCCAATTTTAACCCGCCAATAGTCATCATCATGACTATCATATCGATGGAAACCAGCCCCGACGGAAGTCCCAAACAACTTTTCCGCTATATTTATCGACGTGAGAAAAAGCACCACCTGATCTGGGTTTGCTCAACAAACGGTAGTAAGTAAGTAGGGAGTTGAGAAAAGGATTAGGAAGAAGATAGGGAGGAAAAAACGTCTGGCGCCACTACGGCGACCAAATGAGCCGCATTTTCGCACTCGTGAACAGCTAATTTTCTTTGGACAAACAGCGGACGGATACAAAATACGGTCTGAACTAAACTCGAAAAACAATGAGAGGAGAGGAAAAGCAAGGGAGTTGGCGGAATCGAGTTAAGCCCTGGGGCTATTCAACTGGGTTCGAGGGTGGCTTAAACTCATTTCTTTCTTTTCCTCTTTAGTTCAGGAAAAAAGGAACACTTCATTTTGTGGCGGAGTTTGTTCCAATCCAACTTGGTTAGAACACGAGGAAAAAAAGTAATGAGATTTTTGAGGAATGGTAGACACATAAACAACATAAAAAATAACGAACTTTTCGATTTCTTCGAAAAAATTATGAAAATAAATTAATTTTTCCTACGTTTTACAGCAATATTCGCCTACACTTCAATCAACACTGGAACACTGTCCTCTACAGTGCCAACACGCCACAGACGCCACCGTAATCCAGGTTAAAAAAATTAGATTGAAATTCACTAAAAGAAATTAATTCTTACACGAAGTTCATGAAATCAGGATAAACAAAAAGGTTTCGAAGTTTCGCTACCGATATCCCTTGAACCGCCACTTTTACCGGCTAAAAATATTCACTTTTCAACTTCACAATATTCTAAAATATTGACTTATACCTAAAGAATAGACTTATGACTAAATGAAGCGATTTTCCGCCGGCGAAACAATTTTTGTCGGGAAAAGTTTTGATGACGTCATGAGAGGAGGAAGAATTGAAAATGGAAAAAGTTCATGACAATGATCACAACGCATTATGTTCGAAGCAAGACAGAACTTCAGACAACGAGCCCGGAATGCGTCAAAGGAGAAACATTCGACGTGGAACGTCGTCGGAGCGATTGGTTCCTGTGGCGTCGTGAGGGATGTCTTCGCGTTGAAGCCGAGTTCAACTTCACCTGCGTTTCCCAACAAATGCAAGTTCAATCTCATCTCATAAAAGCTTCCTTTTAACTCCTCTTCAAACTCCGAAAACTTCACGTCTAAATTACCAAGTAATATTAGCAAAAAAAACTTCCGTTTCGAAAACTTGAGAAGAAATAGGACTTATGAGAAAGAAAAATCTTCGAAAAAAACGGATTATTTCGATAATTTAATTAAAATAGTTTTTTTCTTATGAAGCTCTAACCAATGTGCCACAAAATCCAGAAAAGCTCCTAATCATTTTGCCAATCCGACTGTACAATTTCCAGGGAATTCCCGGAAGCTGATCAACCATTGGAAGTGCCAGACATGATGATGCAAAACATTGAAGAAGTCGATCAAGAGGAAGAAGAAGAAGTTCGAGCCGAACTGCCCAGTTCCAACAACGAACTCCTCGATTTGGAAGAAGAACAATCGGAAAAGGAGCCCGTCGAAATTAAGCCATTGGATGCTCCAATTTCCGTCGAGAACGCCCCAAAAGTTGCGGAAAAAGTTGCCATCGAAGAAAAGCCAGATGACTTGCCCGAAAAAGTCGATACCCTACTCGGAATCATGTTTCCCTCATACAGAAAAGCTGCCTAAGAATTTCGATTCTTGTAAATAGTTATTAATAAAGACCCAATTATAGAACCCAACGCACGAAATAAAAAAAATGAAAGAAAATAAGGAGAGCTGAATTCAAAAGATTTTTTTGAAACTTAATTCACTCTGATTTTTTTTATGAAAAAACGGGAAAATATTGTCAAATTGCTAACTTTCTTTTTTGTAACACGGTATTCAGCCTTGGACGCATGGATAGAGTTCCATCGTACCGAGAAATTATTCCAAAAGCAAAAAAAAAAAACAAAACAAACAGTTTATTGCCAAAAAAGTGAGCAGATTTCGCAAAGGGAAAGAAAAATAAAGAAAACAGTAAGTAAAAGAACGTTTCTCAACTTGATAAGTAGGGTTTCTTTTTGGTACGAATATATACATTGATAGTTTTTCGTCAGCCGCAGGCGCTTGACAGTCAGCAAAAAAGAGAGAACAATTCAATAAGTGATATATTTAAAGAGCGAATTTATCAGAGAAAAGAGAAGATGCGTTGCGACGCGTACTCGCAACTAAATGGACCCTTATATTCAACTACATATTCTTTAGCAAAAGAAGCGCTAAATATTTCGTAAAGATTTTAGAGGGACGAGAAAAAAACGATTTGACAAAAAAAAGAAGAGGTAACAAAATAACAAATAAAAGATACAAAATGAGAAAGCCGAAGAGAAGCAAAGCGGTTGAAATAGATTTTGATTTGTTGCTGCTGCTGCGGCAGCGTATTCTTGCCCAAAAAGTTTGAGGATTCGGTGAATCAGTTCAGGTCGACCTCGTCCATGTCGATCGCCTCCTCCTTACGGTGATGCTTGTGCTTCTGGAACCAGAAAACGTATTGAAATGGAAGAAGCCTTTGTGAAAATGATTTCTATTCAACAAAAATATTTTTCCATTTGACGCTCTGCGTCCGTTCAGTTCTTATTTCAATATTGTCACTATCCTGTTCAGACTCTTACCAACGAAAAAAAAAGCGGAAATGACCTAAAATAAGCCCAAAGGTCGAAAAGTGTATCTTATCAAACAGACAGGCGAAAAGCTCGTGCTGTACCATAAAAACAGTGACATCAGCGCCCACGTAGCGCAGAAACGGAAAAAAAAAACCAGACATAATCGGTGCGTAGGTGGTTTTGTCTTACGCAAAGAGCCTACGTTTTTCTTATGACGTTTGGTAGGACAAGAAAAATAGGAATGTGACCAACTCTACAATGAAAGGGAGTGCGAAAAAAAAGAACAGGCACTGAAAGTTGTAAAAAAAAAACAAGAGCAAAAATTGAGATTATTCAAAGTGGAAACTTCAATGATAGGCATTCTCAGCAATTGCTTTTCGAACAAATTTTTTGAATTTCGAATGAATTTTGAAACACTGAAAATTGGAATTTTTGGGAAAAAATTTAAAAAAAAAAGGGAACATTGGGATCTTAACACTGTGAGAAAACTTGCGAATCACATGAAATCATAAAAAAATAATAATAATTTTGCTTCTGATTTTCGAGTCTCATGAATCAACTCAACGATTTTCAATGCATTTTACATGAAAACACCAGAGTTCAAGGAGGAACGTAACCTTTAAAAAAAAAGAATTTTCTCTTGGGCAACCTCTAGCTTGAAGAAGTCCATCAAAATGATTTTTAACTGAAACGAACCTTGCCCTTTTCCTTGTCGACGCTCTTGCCCCTGGCGACCTGCTTGATCTGCTTGAACGTCTTGCGCTTCTCCTTGGCTTCTCTGGCGATCTCCGCCGACCTCTCGCTCTCCGCTCGTTCTCCAGCCGCGCCTAGACACCCACGCAACCTTCATCAACCCATCTGACGACGCGGAAATCTAACGTTTTTCATGGTGCTTCTGGTGGCGGTACTTTCTGTAGCTGGCACGCCATCTTTCGGCAGCCTCGGCCGTCATCGCGGGAGCTGTTCGACCGAAGGCCGCCTTCTCCTGCTTGTTAGATTGGAAGGCACGGAGAACACGGAGCTGCAAAGAAATATGTGTCTGATAAGTTTGCAACCTGATGTCCCAATAAACTATCTTCGACTTCGAATATTAGGAATATTACTCAAATGAATGACGTCCCACATGAACAAGAACTCTCGGAAAGAAAATCAATACTAAAAAGTTTTCAATTTGAGAACATTTTTTTGATTTATGAGTTTTTTTTTATTCACGCATGTTTATGAAAATTGGGTTACTCGAAGTAGCCGAAAACAAAAATTAAAAGTTTTCTTGTGTTTGAGAATAATATTTTGTGAGACTTTGTAGATTTTACGCTTCACTTTGAACCTAATGATGGTACATCTTCAGATTAGAATCCACCGAAAAAATTTCCAACAAAACTCAAAAAATAACTCACATGAGTGCCCAAGAGGAACATTCCGCGGACCCAGAGCGACTTGCCAGATCTTCGGAGAGTTAGGGCTCGAGATCTGGCGCGGACGTTGTAGTCGCCGTTGATATGGATCTTGGTGGGTGCAACTTCGCCGCGACCGACTTTCCAGGTCTTCGGAAGCTTCTTCGAAGGAATCGTCGCGACGAGTTGGCCCCAGGCGAGAGTCGACACGCCGAGCAACAGGCACACGATCCACTGATTTTTGATTTTTAATCAAATTGATTCAAATAAAGCGTTTAGTTTGGACAATTTTTTTCGAATGGTTCAGCCTCTGAAATTTCCAGAAGGGGAACATAATGAAAAAAAACATTTTGATCATAAAGAAAAAAAAAATAAATATCGATTTTCTAAAACCTTTACAAAAAAAACCTTCAAACTCGCAAACTATGACTGGATATAAAATTATATATATCAGAGAATGAGTTCTGAAACTTTTTTTATTATCTTCAAAAGAGCTTCAAGAGAGCGTTACTCCTGTTTTTTATACGTTTTTTTGTAAATATTTTTTTCCAAATTGGCTCATAAAAAAAAAGGGAATTTCTTCCCATCTTTTTGCCATCACCACCCAGAATTTCTGACATCTCTTTCATTCGATTTTTGAAAATACCTGTTCCAAGTTCAAAGGATGAGTGGAGAACCAGGCGCCGCCAAACTGAGTGATGATGATTTGAGCGACAAAAGTCGTGAGCCAAATAACGCAGAAGACGCGGTTTTTGAGCAATCCCTGAGCGATTCATCGATGAAACCGCACTTTTTTCCAACGAAAGAACCTTGAAAACATTTCGTTCTCCGTGAACTTTACGCGCGTTGATTTCGTTGAAGATGGTCATCATGACGAAAGCGTTGAAGACGATCGTGAAATGCTGCGAGGGAGGGGCGAACAACGGCGCGTAAAGGCCGGTGGGGACCGAGAAGATGACGTCACCTGGAGAGAATGAGGAAATAGCATGAGATGTGAGGAGAGTACCGTAGAAGAAAATGGTGAACAAGATGACGAGCTGGTACAGAGCATGGCACAGGATGTTTTTCACCATCGTTCGAGAAATCAACGACTTCTTTCTGCAAGGCATAGGGGTCCAGTATTGCAGAAGAAAACTAGTAAAAAATTATTCGTATAACTTCACCTAATGCAAATTTATACTGAAATTCTGTTTTTTTCTTCTTCCCGTACCGACCTTCCGTATGGCTTTCTATTCAAGAGTTCATCGGTTGGAGCTTCGGTGGCCAGGGCGAGAGAGGCAAGAGTGTCCATAATGAGGTTGATCCAGAGCATGTGGACGGCCTTCAACGGCGAATCCGACACGGTGACGGCGCCGATGAACGCCGTGATGACGGCGACGACGTTGACCGTCAGTTGGAATTGCAGGAACTTCGAGATCGAGTCGTAGACGTTGCGGCCCCACATCACCGCCTGAAAAGTTTCCACTATCAAGCTGAAACTCGAGTTTTTTTCCTTGCCTTTTTATTGATCGGATAATGACGGAAATTTAAGGAGCTTGAGAATAATTCGATGCAAACATAAGAATCTGGTTTAGTGTCACCTCAAGAATTGCTACTGATCGATGTAAATTTGAAAAGAGGAAAACTATTTTTTTTCATATTTTATTTAAGCAGTATTTCCATTTTCCTTCCCCCCATCCCAAACTTGTAGCTTCTCCGATTACCTTGACGATAGATGTGAAGTTGTCATCAGTGAGAATGATGTCCGAGGCTTCCTTGGCCACATCCGTTCCAGCGATTCCCATGGCGAACCCAACGTCTGCCTTTTTCAGCGCAGGGCCGTCATTCGTTCCATCTCCGGTCACAGCCACGATTTCCCTGGAATCGACTTATTTCTTTGTCTTTCCGGGCCTTTCTCGAACCTCTGCGGCGTGGCCTTACTATCGATGATTCCTTTGACGAGAGTGTACTTATCAGCCGGCTGAGCACGAGCCAAAACGCGAAGTTTGGGCCAGATCTCGTCGAGCTTCGCCTGGGAGACTTTGCCGTTCTCATCGCGGATTCGCTCGTTGAACTCCTTTCCTTCGAGGGCCAGGAAGTCCTCCCCAGGTTCCAGGATCTTGCAAGACGTCGCGATGGCGCGAGCCGTCATGATGTTGTCGCCAGTGACCATTCTAACCGTGATGCCGGCCTGAAACATTAGAGTTGTTGCTGAACAACTCTTTGATCTCGCAACCTTCTTGCATTTGGCAATAGCCGCGGGGACCTCGTCCCTGACCGGATCCTGGATACCACAAATAGCGATGCCGACGAAGTTCTTGTACATGGACTCCTCGTCGTCCCAGTCGATCTCGGAATCTTCCTCGAAGGCAATCTGAAACCAGACCTCTGAACTAGAAGACGTTCAATTCCAAGATCGAACCTCCGTCTTTCCAACTTCGCGAGCCGATCGACGGACGTAGTCTTTGTAAGCGACGCAGATAGTTCGCAGGCCGCTATTCGCCATCTCGTGAATGATCGTCGAGGTGATCTCCTTTAGTCGGTCGGAAGTTAGGCCGTGGGGTTTTCCGTCGGAGCCGAGGAGGTAGGAGCATCTTGAAAAATACTTTTTGAAAATTATTGAGTTAGGAAACTGAGCCGCTACAAAAGAAAACAAGAAATTCCTTGCTCAGTTTGAAGGAAACCAATTTTTTTTCATCGATCAAAAGATTTTAGAGCTTGTGAGAAAAACTCATTTTGGTGGAAAAAAAATCTTTGAAAAGGTGTCGTAAAATATTTCAAGCAACTTTTTCATTGAGCCGACTTACAATTTCTTGTTGGAATTAATTTAAAAAAAGCGCATAAAGTTCACAAAAACATTCTAGAGAATTTAAAAAACGCAAATAAGTAAAACAGATCAGAATTTTAAATAGTTTTCACTTTATTCGTAAGGATAAATTCGATCGGATTCACCTTCCAAGAACGATTTCGGAAGCGCCCTTGCAATAGACGCGATATCCGATCTCCCGGCCTTCCTCGACAAGTTTCACAACGGTCATCATGCATTTGCGCGACGAGTTGAACGTGTAGACCTGAATTCCAAGCTGAAGAACGACGAAAAAGAAAAGTCGACTTTGACAAGGTCCTGCTCGGGAAACTTCTTGCGGATGGCGGCGTAGTCTCCGCCAAGTTTGTTGACGAATCCGAGCAGTCCGCATTCGGTCTTGTTTCCGAGTTGCTGCATTTGCTCTCCTGCCTTGGTCGGCTGCACGATCATCGAGTTGTAGGCGCTGAAATTTCCAAGATTGTACGTGTTTTAAAATTTTTCCTGTTCAAAGAGCTTTTACTGTATACAAGATGGTAAATTTTAAAATTTGACTATTAAAAAAACGACGAAATTTCTTATTGAAAATACTCGAAATTAAAATTTAATGAATAACAGTTATTCAAACAAATCTATTTCCGATCAATTCCTATCAATCACATTCAATTTTCATTACTTTTTTTGAATGAAAAAAATTTGAAAAAAATTTGACATCGAGAAGTCTCCACAAATTTTTTTGAGGAGATTCATTACTTCAAAACCTTAACTGTAATTTTCTTCATTGCTGTTATTTATCTCAAGCGCCAGATTTCATTTTTTTCTAAAAAATCCCAAACTTCAAAAACTTTGACTTCCTTAGTTTCCTAATTATTTGTCATTTTAATCAAAAAAATATCTATGACCATTTTTTTAAACTCTACTTCTTGATAAAAATTACAAAGTTTCACTACTGAATTCACCTGTTAACCGAAATGGCCTCTTGCAGAACGGGTCCAGTGATTCCAGGCAGAGCCGATCCTGCGGGCTGCTTCTCCTGGCCGACATAATGGTTACCTAGAACATTTCAATCAACCTTTCTCATTGAAAACCAAGAAAACCGTTGATATAAGACTGTACGACAGTCATCCGGTTGGTCGTGAGGGTTCCCGTTTTGTCGGAGCAAATCGACGTCGCATTCCCCATCGTTTCACAAGCGTCCAGATGACGTACCAGGTTATTGTCGTGCATCATCTGGAATACAGTGTCCGATGGAAACAATTCTTCCAGGGAGATTCTGAACCTTTCTCACGGAATACGTAAGAGCGAGGGCGATTGCCAGAGGCAGGCCTTCCGGGATAGAAATCACCAGGATGGTGACAGCGATGATGAAGAATTTGACGAACATCTGAACTTTCCTATTGATTTGCTTTGGAAAGGAGCCAAGGACCTGGATATCGATCAAACTGAATGGCTGTTTCGCGACGACGTAGTGTTCGATGCAGAAGCGAGTCACGAGCACGATCAAAGCAATGATTGCAACAGAGGTACCTAGAAGGTTTTTTTTTATATTTTTTAGTTTTCCTATTCATCTTTAGATATGGCCCATCAGAAACATGATCCTGAAATGGCACAAGGCGCAGTGATTGTTTTTAATCTCTAAAAACACTGGAAAATATTTAAAATTACACGAAATTTCAAGAGAAAATCCATTTCGATTTTTAGAATCTACAGGTGTTTAAAATTGAGAAAAAGAACGGAAATTCCGTAAATCAGCCATTATTGCATAAGCTTCTCAGTTTTCCCTCAACTAGGCACGATTCCAAAAGTTCATTATTCTCTTCTTCGAAAACTTTCTTTTTCTTCAACTCATTCAGGCCCTGATTATTTATTTCTACTTATCTTGTGTGCATTCCAATACCGCGTATCTTTCCTATGAAGTTTTTGAATGGATGACACAATTATTTAAAAAAAAGACGTAAAACTTGAGCTCACTTACCGCAATAAATAATCTGGAGAGCGAGTTTGGAGAGTTTTGCCTGGAGGACAGACTTTGCCGACAAGTCTCCGTCGTCGCTCGATTTGGACGAGTCCGATGTTTCGTTGGAGGAAGATGAGGAGCTGGACGAGCTCGAGCTCGAAGAAGCTGCAAAAATCGCACTCTTTCTTTTGACCATGTTCTGACGGTAGTACTCGAGGTTCCGTCATCGTCTCCGTCGGCTTTGCCAGCTCCCAAAAGCGTCATGATGATTCCAGTTTGGGAGTTGACACCAACAGCTGTCACCAACATAATTCCAGAGCCTTCCATCGCGTAGGTTCCTTCAATTTTCCTTTTCAAGCGACTCATCCTTCAATTTCAAGAATAATTTCCAAGATGATACTAGACGAAATAAATTCAGTTTTAGGTCACAAACTTGTCTTAAAAAATTTTTCTGACAATAACTTTTAAAAAAATGCAAACATTGGGTGTCTGAAATCAATGTCTGAAAAAAATTTCGAAGGTTTCAAGTATCTTTTTCAACAAATAATTTTCGCAAAAGTGGTAAGAGTCTCAATCATAGTTATAATACAGTTAATGCTAATATTTTTCAAAATTCCTTAAAAAACTTTTTTTTTCTTGAAATCCGTACCAGAAAGCAGAACAGGATCAGTTTCGACGCTCTTCTTGATGTGATCTGATTCTCCAGTCAACGATGATTCATCGATCTGAACTTCCTCATGTTTCATTCCATAAATTATTTCGAAAACCTTTAAGTCATTGCTCTGGATCAAAAATCCGTCGGCAGGAAGCAAATCTCCGTATTTGACGCGAGCAATGTCTCCCACGACCAGATCGGACACCGGCACGTCCACCGCCTCACCATTTCGGATCACGGAGAACTTTTGGCCTGTTTCGATTTTCTCCTAAAAGTAATGTTTTCTTTACTGGATTATAACTTTTAAATAATGGATACTTCAAATCAAAACTTTGAAAATCTACATGAGGCTGTTCAAAACTATGAAGTAGTTTGATCAAGTTCGGAGTTTAAGACCAATATCTCCAAACATTGAACATTCTTATCAAACGTCCGGCGTACAAGATTGATGAGGGTTTCAATTAACCCATTCTCGACAGATATTACTACCTTCCGCTGCAAAAGGAAAGCTGCAGATATAATTATATAAAATTTCTCAGTAAGTATCAATGACTTGTCAGAAGTTATTAAATACTGTAACTTGAGCATGTTCGCAGATGATTGTAAACTGTATTTATCTAGTAATGTAAGAAACCATAAAGCCAAACTTCGAGAAGACTTTAAAAATGTATACCAATGGTTAGAGGGCCGTCAACTATCAATATCTCCTGAGAAGTGCATGTTAGTTCAGTTTGGAAAAAAGACAGAACCCAGTACATACAAAATTAACGATCAAACTCTTAGCACTAAACAAAATGTCAGAGACTTGGGATTCTTCTTCACGAGTAATCTGAAAATGGGGCACCATGTGAGTATAGTAGTACAAAAAAATGTATGAAAAATAATAAATAATTTATTTCGCTGTTTTTCATTTCTCTCAAAAATAACTTTCTAAAAATGCTATAAAGCCAAAAATCTTGCCTATCATTGAGTACGGATCCGAACTAATGTGCCCGCTAAATTTGAATGATATAAATCAACTAGAATCAGTCCAGAGAAAATTCACCAAAAGATCATATCCGAAATTGGATTATCGCAGTAGATTAGCCAAACTGAAACTATCGACGTTATGGACTAGAAGACTTTTTAAAGACGTTTGTTGCGTTCACAAATACAGGGTGACAAATAAATATTGAAACCGTTTTTTGTTTGATCGGTGCTTTTTGCACAAAGGACTGGCCTTTGAATTTTTTTGTTTATTTCGTTCATTCATGCTCACTTATCATGTGTTTGAAGTTACAGCTCATACTTTTCAGTTTTCAGGTAATGGTGGCCCCATCTCCGTACCCTACCGCAGTCATTGATTGTGTCAAAAGCTGAATGACGAATTCAGAGATCGGTCAAAAGCTGAAAGTGTCTCGTGTTCTCGTTTTTCGAACTGCACAACGCTATCGGCGTCTCGGTACTTCAGATGACATGCAAAGAAGTGGACGTCCAGTCACCGTCACGACTCCAGAAGCAGTCAAAGCCGTTCGAGAGAAAATCAGACGCACTCCGGAAAGAAGCATGAGAAAGATGGCAAAAGAATACGAAATGAGTCGAGAATCGATGAGAACTATTGTCAAGGACAAGCTGAAGATGATTCCCTACCGTATGCAGAAAGGAGCCTTCCTCAATCAAAAAAACAAGACATTGCGCATGAAAAAGGCTCAAAAGCTGCTCGCTGGCACGAAAGATGGCTCGCATCTGACGACGCTATTTACCGACGAGAAAATCTTCACTGTGGAGGCGAACAAGAACGGCCAAAATCATCGGATCATCGCTATTGACTATCAGAGTGCCTGTGAAAAAGGAAAAATTCTGAAAAAACTTCGCATCCGGCTTCCGTGATGGATTTGCCGGAATTACCGCTGACGGCAAAACTCCGCTGATTTTTGTGGATCCTGGAGTCAAAGTGAACCAAGTATACTACAGGGAGTAGATTTCAAAGTTGAGGGTGTTGCCCTGAGCCAATTCTCACTACGGAAACCGACCATGGACCTTCCAGCAAGACGGCGCCCCCGCTCATCGTGCCAAAGGTACTCAAGAGTGGTGTCGCGCCAATTTTCCGAGTTCATCTCGGCTGCTGATTGGCCTGCTTCCTCGCCCGACCACAGCCCGATGGACTATGCCGTGTGGATATATCTGACCGAGAAGGTCTCTTCTAAGAACTACCCAAGTATCAAAGCTCTGAAGACCGCGCTCATCAAGAAATGGGACGAAATCGACGACGACTACCCTCGTGCCGTGATCGATGCGTATCCGAAGAGACTGAAGGCCGTTATCAAAGCTAAAGAAGGACGTTCTGAAAACTATTCTTGAATTTTGTTTCTATATTGTATGAATAAAACTTGTTCCAAGTTTGGTGGTGTTTGGTTGACTTTTGAAAAAGTTATAACGTTTCAAACGCGTTTCAATATTTATTTGTCACCCTGTACATTCATGGATATTTTTGGAGTGAGTCGCCTGTTAAATTAATGATGAATTCGAGTAGAAATAATCAACTCAGAGGAAATGGAATGAGACTTGTTCAACCAATGAATGAATTGATCAAACAACGCTTCCTAAATCATAGAGTCATACCCATTTGGAACCAACTGGAGAGAGAAACTATCATTGAATAAGAAATCGGCAAGTTTGTGAAAAAGTCACTGTAAATTCTAATTAGACAGAAGCACTTACTTAATTTCCGTGTTTTTTTTTTTTGAGAAAACAATAATCAGAAAATCGTTAGAAACAGCAGTGAGACTTCTGATTAAAGATTCAAAGTATCACTTGATATAGCTTCTCTTTGAGGTAAGTCTTCGAAAAGTTTATATTACGCCATTGATCTCGATTTCATGATAACAATGTTTTTTTTTTACTTTTTTTTAAGAAGTCTCATTACGAGTTCAGACCAATATCTTGCGGAAGATTTTCAACCAAAGAAGCTCAGTATCGACTAAATTCAACATCGCGACTCCGTTACAAACCTGAAGACTTCTGAACTGTCGCTCCTTGGAGTAGTCATTGATGGCCGTGACGAGGACGACGACGATGACGCAGAGAAGAATGGCGACGCCTTCAATCCAAGCCGTTCCGTGGCCTTCCTCCGGCGGCGCTTCAGTCGTCGTAGTGATACCCACTGCAGAAAAAGGACGAGATTCACGTGGTCTCATCCTCACAACGCACATGTTCCGTTCGCAAAGAGGCCGACAGCCGCCGCCGTGGTGTTGGCGACGACGACGCCAGCTTGTTCCGCGCTTTCGGGTTCGTAGAATGACAAGCCCAGGTTGACGAAGCCAGACACGACAAGGATGATCAGAGTTGGGTCCTAGAGGAAGCGTTTCTATCAGGAGAGCTCTAATTGCGTTTGTGAACCCTGCAGGCGTCGAAGACGAGCCTCAAGAAGCCCTTGCTCTTCGCCGGCGGAATCGTGTTGGCGCCGAAGACGTGTCGACGCTTGTCCATCTCGTGGACTTCGTTGGGGAGACCACGGACAGGGTCAGTCTTCAGCTTACGGCAAAGTCCTTCAACGCCATCGTGCTCGTTGGAGAGCTGAACAGAATAAGTGAAAAGTTTCCTTATTTAAGAAATCTTTCAACATCTTAAGATGAATGGAAAGTACAAAATATCTGAAATGCGTGTCTCTAGAGTTAATTCGAAAAACTTCTCTACCAGAAATTATAATAAACAAGTCTAGAAAGCTAAAACTTTTCTGAACGTTAAAAGGTGAAGTAAAAAGTCACTCAAAAACTTTCAACGCACTATTTTGATTATTTTGCAAAGATTAACAGATTTATGAACTGAAATGCTGCTGAAAGTCTTACGCGAACGATCGCCTCGGCGCCGCGAGCTTCCATGAGGCCGCGCAGGTCCGACAGCGTGCATCCAAAGTCGCGGCCATCCTGAAAAGCCAACGCCTTGTTTCAATACAATTTTCCCTTTATAAAGATACTTTTTCTTGGAAGACCACTGAAACGGTTTGAGTTTTTCAGAACTCGAATTGTAATTTCATGTAAAAAATTTCTTAAAGGTGAAAGAGCTGTAAATCCACAAGAAAGAAGACACATTTTGATCATACTGACGGTGCAACAAGTTGAATGTGTAAGAATATTTACAGCGGCCAGTTTCTCGGGGTCGCCGTCATAATATTTTATCGGAAAAAGTCTACAAAAGGCATCACAAACATTAAGTCGGGAAACTTTCCGATTTACTATGCTTCTCAAATTTTATTAACTCAAAAATATTGAGCCTTTTTTTTCTCTATTTTTTTACACACTAATGAAATATCTCATTAATGAACTAAAAGTTCTCAATTTCGAAAAGCAATTTCTTTTAATGGAACGGCGTCGCTATCAATCACTTCCTATTGATAATCCGGATAATCATAAAAATCGATCAACAAAATCCACGTAGCTGGAACGCCCTGATAAGATCTTAGAAACCGGAACAAGCAGGAACAAAAACCGCTCAAATCAAGGAAAAAGTTGTAATTGAATGAGTGATAGGAAAATAGAAAAGGAAAACAACCTCATCATGGGTATGACCCCGACGAAACTTCATAATCTTCGGGTTGAGAAAAAACAAATGAGCGTTCGCGTAAAATCAGTTCGACTCGAAATTAACAGCCGGCAATCATCCTGGCCAGGAATCGAGTGCGGTCAAAAAGTTGCCGAATAAAGAGAAGAAGAAGACGTGGATGTTGTAGTTGTGACGTTCAGAAACTAGCCGATGAAACGACAAGAAGAAGAAGAAGAACCGACGAACAGAGGATCGCAGGAAAAAGAAAGGCTTGTGATGATATTCTTTCTCTCTTGGCGCGTCTGATGGCGACGACGTCGACGCAGAAGTGAAGAAAATTCGTCAAGAGATTGATTACACACCTAACATTTTGAGACCCCCACACACATTTAGACATGTACACAATCTATTCTACTTGTGTTTTTTTCCAAGTTCAACTTTTGTAACGGAAATTTTTTTTATTTTAAATACCGGAAGACATTTTTGAAAAAAAAAACTTAAGAACTTACTCTAAATCTACTGTTCATCCAAATTCAATGGGACAGATTAGTTCCTGGTTGAATAAAGCGCCATTTTCATGTCTTTGTAAAAAAATTTTTAGATTCAATGAAAAAAATAATTTCGCGAAAAAGTATATCACCATTTCGAAAAAAATTTAATATTTTAATTTTATTGATTCAATTCAGAAAAAAATTTTAGTAGCCATACTTCTAAATATTTTGCTTGCTAATTTTTTTCTAACCGTTCTAAGCCTGAAACCGCATGTACTTGGCGATCATAAACCTCTATTAGTTTAAACTTTTTTTTTGTTTTTTTTTCTTCTTTGACTATTTTCAAACTCATTTCAAAAAAATTGGAGACTCAAAAGCAGTTCGAGTTGTTATCTATCATGGTGACCTTTCCGCATCGCTACTGTACAATTAGTGAGAAAAAAAAACATAAATTACAAGGTCAAAGTATCAACGGCAAGAAGACCGGTTCTCATAGCTTCCAAAACATTATTCGCCTAGTAGAGATTGACCTACAATCATATTAGTTAAAAATAGTTCGATAGCGCACATTATCTAAAACCTTTTTATAGCTATTTTTGCTTGATAAAAACTCAGAAAATTCTCAAAAAATTAACCAAGTCCCTTATGTGACATGAAAACATCTCTTTAATCTTTAAAAGCTGATTTCCCGCCATGAACGCAATCTTAATAACTCTTTCTCGTGAACTTTTGAACTTGTTTTCAATAATCAACACGAAAATGCGAGTTCGACGTCACCACTGGCGTTCGGAAATAATTTGTTTGGCTCGTCGACCGATTTTTTCTCCTTATCAATGATGAACGACCGACGCTTTCTCCTGACCGCCGCCTTTTTCGTGGGAGGACGCGAAAACTTGGGCAAAGAACCTGGCTTGGCTATTCCTGAGTGCAAACTGAACTGTTTCCGGTTGGTCGGAAGGTCATACCTAATTCTGAGCAAAAAACGGCAGACATCCAAATCACTTCTAACCTCTATAAGCTATGGAAAATAAAAATTTTGAAGATTCTTTACATATATTCTTTGAAGATGCTTTACATATACATTGGCTAAACTAGAAGTTTTAGTATGGGTTTTTATTTGAAGTATTGAAATAAAACTTCTTGATTTTAATTTTCAGAGCGTTCCCAGCTTTTAATCTGTTAGAAATGTAAGATCTAACTGTGATAGTACTATCCAAAAGTACACCTCGTTTCCCACGCTCTTCTGACCTCCCATCGACCTTACACGGTCGCTTTCCAACATTTTGCGTTGGCGATGAAGATGGAAGGAAAAGTAACGGTACAAACATCAAGGGAAGTCCAAACAACCTGTTCGGAAATCTACACCCCGGTAGAAACAATACGACAAGAATTGAGTCTGAGGGTGTAAATGTTGCGGTTTTTCTCGTTGTCTTCTCGATAATGCGTCATTTTGGCTCTTGTTGCAAAATTCGTTTGATAAATTCAAGCTAATCGGAATCGAAATAGCGCCATTCGCCGAACTCGTCTCATGAGAAGGGAAAAGCGAGATATTTGACCAATACGGTCATTGACCTTCCTTGCAAATGTCCACAGGAAGTTCTTGGACGAAAGAAGTCACGAGGAAGTTTCCGAACACAAAATAAAGTTGATTCACTATCATCATCATTCATTTGAAAAAAATTCTGGAAGAACGCTCTTTTTTGTTGACACTGGTTAGCTTATCTTATCGCGAATATTTCCTCACACTATCATTGATCTTCATAGCTATGACTGAAGCAAGAATGTTAGAACTACGGTGGTAAACTTCTAAACATAATCTAATTACTTTTTGGGGCCTCTTTTATCCAAAAAAAAACTTCCCAACAAGAAAGAAACTATTACTATGATTGATTCATTCAAAAGAGTATAAGTTAAAATAATGATGGTTCTAATGTATCTGATTGTGTTTATAAGCTGGATAACCATGGTAATTGTTCGGAGATTCTAGTAGTCCCTTAAGAGCAGTCCTAAGCAATATTTCCCGGTTGAAATGGTCTTCAAGATCACAAAAGATCTGTTTGATTCGAGTCAGCTCATGAAATGAAGGAAAGAAAAGAAGAACCTTGCCGACGTCGCCCGCAGTTGTGTCGGGAGCGGTGTGGCTTGCAATGACGGTTGCATCCACACCTTGCGTTCCGTTAATTGTCACATTTTGACCTTTTTGCATCCCACGATCAACAGAAACGGCAGACAGCTTCGGAGACGATGAACGGGGGCGTATCGGTGTTGGACCCGATGCCTTTCCCTGCAACATTATTCCGTTTTTCTCTTTGTTGTGTTGCTCTCGATTGATAATACCCGAGTGAATGTAATACAAAACAATTTTTTGATTATTCAAAACCAAGAACCGGGTGGAGCGGCCGATATTTCGTTTTTAAATCATCGGACAATATGCTAACTTATCCATGGATCGCAAAAAGAAGAAAAACGATAAGTTTTTCACGTTTAGTCATCTGAGGTTTTTCATATCGCTGAGGATAAAGAATTCCAAGAAAAAAGAAACAATAGCTACGATATTTCATACTACTGAGCCAATCGTTCAATCTGTGATGCTCATTTCAAATTATTTCCGCGGTAACGCCATTTCTTTCTGTTTTGATTTGAAAAAGAACTGTTACTATCTGCTTCTCGTAAATCTGAACAACGATTTCAAAAAATGTAGAATAAAAAGCTCAGTGGTTCCAAATAAAGCCCGAAACGACTTCTTAACAGTTTTTAAAAATAAAAATGCTTCCTAATTTGCACAACTTATTTTAATCGCTGAAAGCTTTTCGAACAAATACAAAAATATGCTGAGACGAATGCAGGCTTCAGAAATCAGCAAACTCCTCTATCTAGCAGTATGAAAACTAGCGGTAACTCATTCGCAATGAATAAGAAAATTTTAAAAAAAAACCAGAAAAAAAAGCGAATTGAAACGAGGAGAAACGTTCCTACTGAAAAAATAAACAGTTCCTGATAGTTTATATGTATAAGATTTCCAAACATTTGGGACTCCGAAATCAAATAACGAAACGGTATACATGACTAGAGCCCAAGAAAAAGGGGAAAAGGGATAACAAAAAATGGCAGTCGTCACAATGATAAGTAGAAGATGATGACGACGACCTCCGCGGATATTATCTTATCACCCTGTGTCAAAGATATTATATTATAAGGGCAGAGGCGGTACTTGTATGGTGATGTCAAGGCACAGTTGCAGAAATGAAAAGTTCGCCAAACTGAGTGCGATGAAAAATTTGTGAATATCTGTATTAGACCATGTTTTATAGCGTTGGTGGGTTGGATGTGAGAATTATGGTAATTTTTTTCTCTGTGGGACAAGTCACAAGTCGATTTGCATTTACGGTGTGGAGCGATGAACTGACTTGCACCTAACACCATACGCTCTCTTCCAAAAATTTTGAAGATTGGTAGAACTGATCTTTCAGTTATCTTCACCAAGTGAGAGATGTTTGAAAAACTTTCTCATACACTCAAAAAGAGTTCTTTTTTATAGCGAATAACCGAATAACTACGAAAAAAGGGGTTGTACACCTCATTTGTCGCCAACTTAGGAAAAAAACATAGAAATTGCGAACTTCGCATTCTGTAACGCTCTTCATGAAGAAACTATCTTTGTTTATTCTCCGAAAGGCTTCAGCTAAAGCAGCGCTACACGATCTATAAGGTCATTTCGATTTGGCAGGTTAAACTGTGAAAATTAAAGTGTCACAAAATCACGCACGAATGCTCCAAAATTACCAAAAAAATGTCTTTTCGCAGCGTTCGTGCGCGCCAAACTGAATTCGGGTTTCTGACTCATTTTCAATGGGAGTAGCTACAAAATTACTAATTTTCAATGAACTCGACGAAAAATTTTTTTAAAGAAAAAAACATTAAAAATAATTTATAAAAAAATTTTTCTAAGTTTTTCTCATTATTGAATATCATGAAATCTGCAAAAAAACTAAAAAAATACCTACCGAATAACTTATGTTTCCGTTTTTCTTACTCACTGAGATTTACGTCAGTATTTTTCGTGTACCAAGCTCCCAATAAGATTCGCAAATCTAATAATAAAATACTGACGCTCCCTTGGTTTTTTTTTTGCTCCATTTTTTTCTCTCTCTATTCAAACGCACTGCTTTTCGCACATTCTTATTTTAAATTTCTTTCGTCCATTTTAAGCCGATTAAAGTGAAACAATGTGTTACATTCGAAAAGGGATACAAATATTCCAAAAAAGACAGAGAGAAAAAAGGAAGACGTGATTTCCCGATTTCTGTTGAGTTCTCACCAAATGGAAAAAAAAAATTCGTAAAAATACTAAAAGTAAACTATTCAATTCCAAAAAAACTTCTAGAAAAAAATCACGTTCAAAATTGAACTACAAAATCATGATCATAGAATACAAGATGAAAGTTATTACGCTACCTATCTGACTGAAGATAAAAAAGTACCTTTTATTCTTGAGTTTCGGATCAATCAAATTTGCAACAAGTAAGATTGATAAAACAAACCAGAAACATAACAAAAAAACAATTTAAAATAATTCAATAAAATTTACAACCGTGAGTGTCGTAAAATGAAATGTAATAAGTTCCACCGTGCAAAGCACACTCCAGACAAGCCGAATACCGTTTCCGCTTTGATAATTCATATTTTCCATTCGATTTCAACGAGAAATGTAATTTTCCAGTTTTTTTTGTCCATCTAGATTAGTTTTCATAAACATTTGTAGTTTATTGTTTACATGATTCACCTCCTTTTTTCTCTCTCCTCTTTAGAATTTGGAAGATGACTTTTGCTCAAAATTCGTTCTTTTTTTCAATTGTTTATAAACATTTAATAACTGAAAGTTGAAATATTGAAAAAGAATCTGCACTTGACACCCACTTAATCACGCCTGCCCTTAGCACTGAAATGCTGAAATTAGGCTCTTTCTGGTCTGGCTGAGCCAATTTCAAAACAGCGGGAATTCACCACCACAAATTCTTATTTTCGCTTTATTTTCCAAAGGTTCATTCAACATTTTTTCGTCTTTGTCCGCCCAAGCCTATTTATACACAGGAATAGTTAGTTCTCAGTATGTTTGATGCATCTGCTCCGATAATTTCCGTGCCAATTTCCTTTTATTATATTACAACAAGGACAAGAATCGATAAAAAATCCTCGACAGCCTCGAAACAGCTCATAAATCCCCGGCAACAGACATACGAGTATTTTCCATGTATTCTCTAATTGTCGAGGTTTGTTAGTTTTTGAAAATTTCAAGTTCGGACTTAACAGCAAAAAAAAGACATTACATTTTGTATAACTCAAAAAAAAATGTACTTGAACAGATGAATTGAAAAAAAAATATTCGAGAGAGATATAGATATGTGATTATTTGAGATCAACGGTCGTTTCGATTATCGTCAGATCTTCAATTATTGTTTCATCACGCTATTTTTTTCAAACTTTTTTAAAATTTTTATTTTATTGCAGCGCAGTCATAATGAGCATGTTGAGTTCAAGTCAATCAAAACCTCAATAACAACCGTTTTAAGGTGATTAGGCTTCATAAGTTCGGGAACAAAGAATAATTACAATTTCTTTTTAGTTTCTGGTTTTTTTTGTCTTTTTGTAAGGCTCTTCAATACAATTATATTTAAAGTAATAATATTATACCAGATCAGTTACTATTCGAATAAGCTTGCATTATTTTTTGTTTCTTCTTCTACATATTATGGTTGAAAAACCCGACTTGCGTTGGTAAATAAAAAGAAAAAGGACTTTCGTAAGCGATAAATCATTTTTCAACTTCGTACTCCATTTTTCAATTAGAATGTCTAAAAATAAGCTTCTCACCAGCTTTTTGAAGGGAACGATGAACTTCTTGGAGCGGGCGCTCGAGTGGAAGGCCCAATTCTCGCAGGACGAACAAATTCGCTATTTTGGCTGGTGCCTGCTCCTCTCCTGGATCGTCTCCATCGTCTACATGACGCGCGATTTTTGGTATCCATCCGCAATTTAATAGCCCCCCTTTTTTTACAAATTGCCCTCCCATCGAACAGGAATATTCACGTACATAAATAGTTTTTTGGAACTTTCAAAAAATTCACTGCGATTAATAACTGCGTGAAAAACGTTTATTTTCAACAAACAATTGCGAGAAAGAGACACGGATTTATTTTTATTCGTTTTGCGATTTTTGCGAGTGTATATGCATAATTCTAGAAAAATTCAATTTCGTTTTTTTGTCTTCAGAATTTCGTATCTAGAAACGAAGATACTTTTTTTCTTTTTTTCAGTTAATGCGAGAATCAGAAAAAAAGAGTTCTCAAAAAACGTGTATGGAGGAAATTTTATGAATTATAAATCATCCAATATTTTAATTACTTTCCCGGCTTTCATATTCACGAAGAAACTGACTGTGAGCTGGTGAGTCCAGTTTCCCTCAATAACCGGGACATTTTGACAACTAAACTCAGAAACGCTGTAAACCTTGGAAAAAGGCCCATTTTCCAGGGTCCCTTCGGCTTTTAACTTACCGCCTTTGCGAGAGATACCCAGAAGAGATCCTAACGTCTCGCCTCGACGTAAACTGAGCAGAATTGGGTTGGTTGCGGTGGTTACATACATTCAATTTTTTTTTAAAAATTAATTTTTTTGATTCTACAAGAGAGGTCATTTCAGGATTTGATGGAGAAATTTTAGAAAAACTTTATTTAAAAAAACTCCTCGATAACTAGATAAAGATTCACAATTTTCTAGCTCTCTGAACCGACATCAGTGCTCGTTTACAAGGATTTGAAAAGAAATATAAATTCAAATCTTCTTCTTGAAAAAGATTTTTCAGGGGAAAAGCGACCTTTTGAGGACCTCAAAAGAATGACAAAAGCGCCTTTTTAAAAACTTAAAAAAGTACAATGAAGTGTCTTTCAGCTTCTTTTCTTTTTCAAGAAAAAGGACCAGGGTTATCATTGCTCATTGAAATCATTATGACTTTTTCTGTTCAAAACATTTTCATCTCCTTCAAAAGGACCTTTCCGATGAAAAGTTTTCAAAAAACGCTACTAAAGTTTTCAAAACTTTCTTTTTAGGCATTTGTAGACTCTTTCCTTGTTTGGAGATATTTCTCTCAAAAAAACCTAAAAAAATTTATTCTCCAAATTGTTTATACTAATTCACTTTATTACAGGAGAGATCTTCAGCAGCTGGCGGTGGATAGAAGAAAATGGGCTCGGATTGGCTCAATAAGCCACAGTCCTTCGCCGATTCGATGAATCATCGGATCGGCTTTACTCTGCTTTTACGGGTTTCTGTATACTTTCTAAAGGTAAATATTGAAAAGGGACTTTAGAATGAAATTAGCATCGCCAGATGCTGTTTTTTCACGCTTACGAAAATCAGTACTGGGACAAGTCGAAGATGTCTCTGAAAAACTTCATAACTCTCCAAGTTAAAATATAATCAAAAGGTCCAAGTCATACCTTTTGCGCTTAAAAGAATCAGTATGCAAAGAACTTTGGAAACCTATATTTTTCTTCAAAAGCCTTGGAAAAAAATTTCTGGTTTTCTTGGAGAAAAGAAAAAAATAAGCTTGATTGATGAGATTTTAGTCAACCGTTGAACATTTATTCCTTTTTTCAACAGGCACCTCAGCCATTTTGAAGAGAAAATTCAGAATGAGCATAAAAAATAGATTTATTTATAAAGGAGTCTCACAGTTGGCTGAAAGTCCTTCTCAGTTGTTTTTTTCTTTCTTTAGAGCTTCGCCTTACTTCATAATTTGCTTCTTCCTCATCAGAAATGATCCCACTTTTTTTTAATCTTCCGTTTTCAGATTCACTGGTCCGATCAAACAGAACCAGGACAAAGAACCAGCACGAGGTCGACAACGATGAGAAGCAGAAACAAAGCGAGAAAAAGAATCCTGGTGTTATTTGCCCCCACACGCACGAGTACTCTCGTGATTCCTGCCAGCTGTTGCGTTCAGCCTGGGTGGTAGGAAAAAAAAAGAAGTTTAAAAATAACCAATTGGCGCGGCGCCAAACGGCTCGTCTGACTGACTCAAATAGTGATTTGTGATCCGCCTCGTGAAACGCTTTTTGTTCTTCGATCCAATTCGTAAATACAGTTTACTTTGATAAAAAGTTAATCAGGCAGTTATTTGAACCGCCATCTGAAAGTAGGAAAAATATTTTTCTTTTTAAATTTTCTTCTTAATTCTTCGAAATTTTCAAAAATTTTTCAAAATTTTTTTCAACTATAATAATGACATACTTCTCAACTATGACAGTTTCTCTCTATCAGTACTTTTTTCTCATTTTCACAAAACACTTCGCTAGGAGAGTTTTTTTTTCTTAAGAAATTACATTTTAAAATTTATGTGGAGTTAGATATATTTTCTGGTAATATATATGGTTTTCTGTTCATTGTACTGTTTGTTTCTGAAAAATAATTTTTCAAGTTTCTGCAAATAAATTTTTTTGATGCTGTTCCCTTGAAAATGAATAGATTAAATTTTTTTAAATGAAGAAGACATTTTACCACTGATTTTTCCTTCAGGACGTCGCAATATCACACACACGACACGCTTCGACGCGCAAAAAAATAAAAATAAAAAAATTGACCGTTTTCGGTCATTCAAAAAGCTCATTCTTTTTTTGGGCACCGCCAGATTTTTTTAAATTTTTTTCTAAAAAATGTAAAATTGTAAAGGCAAAAAAACATATTCAAAAAAAGAAAACGTGAAACGATATTGCTCTTGTGAAACGCTCCAAAAAAACGTAAATAATTTTTTTGCGATTTTTTTGTAAATGCAAATTTAAACTTATTTTTGCTCGGTTTTTTTGATTTTGTTTTTTTGTTTTCACGTTATTTAGACTTTTTTTCAATTTTCAAACAAAGAAAAATCATTAGGTTGTCGCTGAAATTTTCTTGCATTTTTTTGCTTCAAACTTTTGTGTTTTTTTTGAGCGTAACTTTACAAGCTTCGTTCTTTTTTTCGGCACCGCCAGAATTTTTTTTTAATATATTTTTTTGAAGGATGTCATAATGAATAACATATCCAAAATTCAGATGTGAAACGCATGTAGTTTTGTGAAACGAGTTGGTTTTGTGAACTGTATCGACTTTTTGTGGCAGTTTTCTTCTTTTTTGGGTTACATTCCAAAAATTGCTGGATTTGAAAGCTATCTAGTTTCTGTAGAGCGATGTTGATTACATAGGAAAATAAGAAATATGAATTTTAAAATTAGCGCTTTGCTCACTAACAGAGCTTCAAATCAGTTTTTCAACCGAAAAGTCGTCAATTTTGGTGCGATGAAGGGGCGAGGCTTTGCGCTCCCTATGCTTGGTAAGAAAAAAAAAAAATTTTGAAGCAAATTTTGATACTGCCTCCCAATTTAGGTCACCTCAGTTCAGATTCTCTAAAAATCTGCTCAATAACTTCTCATGAAAGATGTCTTTATACGAATCTTCTCTCAAACTCAAGTTTTTTTTTTTGCCAATCACCTTGAACAGGAATAGAATGACACGGAAACCATTTGATCTATTGTTCACGTGGTTCGCAACAACAACTTTGTTCCGAGGAAACGTCTTCGATTCCAATTTTTTTTATAGCAGCTGGTCGATTGTAAAAAAAGAAAAGAAAAAAGAATTCCGGAGACACGCATCACATGGCTTCTGTGTGTGCAAGTGTCAGCTGATGGGTCGGTTAACAGTCGTACTTCAAACGAAAAAATACGCCCTCCAATCGTTCTTGGTTCCGTGGTGTTTTGAGGTTGATTGGCAGCTGGCACAGCACTTGAGCAAGGTTGTGAATGTCGCAGCGGCTGTTTTTGAACGTCGAGTACGCGCCACTGATAACTTCTTTCTGTGTTTCTGAGGATGCCGATAAACATTTCTGAACACAAGAACATGAAGTTTTTATTTAATTTTTACTAGGAAAACTAGTAATATCAGTTTTGAAGTTTAAAATTTTTTGACCTTTCGAAGTTTGAAAATATAACTTGCGTAATTTTGAAAATTGGGAAAAAACAACAAAAATCAATATTTTCTTTAAATTTTCTTGAAAAAACCTTTTTTTCATTATATCAGATGTATCCGGAATATAACTTCAAAAAAAGCATAAATTGGCTAAATTGTGCTGAAAAATCTTGTTTTTATATTCGATCAGTTTAGTTTTGAAAACCAAGATTTTTATTTCAATATTCTGGAACTTTGGGGTTTTTTTTTCGAGCTTTGAGGTTAGAACCATAATTATCGTTCAACATTATCAAAATTCCTTCACATCATTGTTTTTTTTTTCGTTGGGGTCCTCTTCAAAAAAAAACAGGAATTCCAGTGATTCCTCCATGAAGGAAACCAATTTATCAAATCCAATGCGACCAACTTTAAATAAAAACTACTGTTCAAACAATTGGATAGGCCAAAGAAAAGCGTGACAGGACTCACGTGAGGAGTTTCGGTTCTCATGCAAAACAAACAGCAGGTCGGAAAGTGATCAAGTGATAAAATTGATAAGAGATCGTTTCATGGAAGAGCTGTTCAAGTTCTAATGCATCACTGAATATTTGCACCCAAAATATTTCGAGTTGAGTTTAACTCGAAAAATTTGAACTTATGAACTTTACTGCTGGAAAAAGGCCTAACAACTGCACCATACATACGTCAACACAGTCACATTATCTTCGAAAAAAGTGTTCCGCGTCGTTCGAATGAACATTTTGCTAGTTCCTCCTCTAGTGAGGAAAACAATCACAAGTTTCCGTCAAGCTTTGAAAGTTCTGCTTAAAAATTTTTGAAACTCTGAAAAACTCTTTAAAACGTCAAAACCTAATAGAAACTATTCATTTGCTTGATTTTTAAATAAAAAAAATGTCGTATCGAATTTTTTTCAAATCATACACCACTTCTGCAAAAAGCCGTTCCGAAGATTCGTAAATTGTACTCCTAGATCCAAATATTTTATTGAGTTCATAAAATCAAAAAGCTATTTACTGATCTTGAAATTTTCACACATAATTCGAACTTTGATTTGGAATTTCAACTACCGATCTTCCTTCGAAAAACTGATTCAACCCAAAAAATAAATACTGTTCATTCATGAAATATCTTAAAGTTTCTCAAAAAAAAGGGCAAAACTTTTCGAATGTTTTTCTATATGACCTTCGAAAAGCTCCAAATGAAAACCAAAAAAAAAAGAAGTTTTTTTGTTCACTGAAGTTCTTCATAGATATGCAGATTTATTGATTTGGAATTCAAAGTCGCGCAAGATTATTTGAAAATGCTTTCATTTGGAATTCAGCGGAACCCCATGTTGCACTCAAAACTGTTGAAATTTTATCAGTTCAAAAGAAAAACCCGTGATTCTATGAACGGTGGCGTTCTCACCGCGTGAACTATTCTTATCTTATCAGCACGTAAAATGGCTGGTCATCTGTGTTAATTCAAAATTTTTTTGACGTCAAAACTTGGTTGGTTTTGATGAGGAGTATCAAAGTAAAGAAAAAATTATGATTTTTTTATTTTTAAAAAAACCAGGAGAAAAAAAGCGGACAGTTCACAGAAGTTTCTAGGTATCAGAAAGATAATATAAAAAAATCTGGATAGTTTTTTTTCTTTTTCTCATCTCATAAGTAAAAATATAAATTTGATATAAATCTAAATCTAACTGGAATCAATTGATCGAAAATTTTCGAGTTCATTTCAGCTCTCAAAAAAATAAAGATTAATAATAATTTGAGCTTTTCCTAATTTTTGGTTTAAACCTTTCTTACATACCGTCTCCCATCTAATTATGAGCTGAATATGGACTTCTTCAAGTTTTAACGAGAGTAAACTCAACTTTCAGTTAAGATCCAGAATTAACATGAAAGACGCCTTACTAGTAATCTAATTAGTAAATTCAGCAAGGACGTATTTTACTCGTTCAAGCCGAAATCTACAAATAATCATTTGAAGTAACTCTTATATTAATCAACTTTAAATTGAAATTTGAACGGCTTGATTATAAACATTTCAAGTCTTTTTTTCAAATAGGAGAGTATAAACACAGACTTCAACACTCGGCTCCTTCGGTTTCATTAGTATAATATCTGACAACTAGGAAGCCTCGAGAGCATCAACTGATATGATGTAAACTACACGTGTCTGTTTCGAGGCGTTCGTCGGCGAAGATTTTGGTTCGAAAAAAAAATAAGTGAACAGACACAAACACAGGAGTCTGGATGGATCATGGGAGTGCGGCTGTCGTTTTTTCAAGCCTCACCGATGAACTTGCACAACGGGGAAACCCCTGAGAGTTTTCCGCTGTTTGTTTTCTAGGCTTCTCTAGTACATAGATAATTTTTTGAACTCTTCTTCTGCTTGAATTTGAAAAAAAATTAAGTTGAGTTCAGATAGTAGGAAAAAATGGAGACAGGAATTATAAAGAAAAAAATATTGAAACTTTTTTTATTTCTTTTAAAAAAATAAAAGTCAGATATTACTTTTGCGGTTGGGAAAATTCTTGAAAACTGGGCAGAACACTCCTTAATGTACTGGAATGTCTCGGCCTGCATCTAATTTTTGAGAAATAATGATTCAAATTTTTAAAAGTGCCCATTTTTAATTTGTGATGTAATTCTTCGGCTCTAAACTGTCAATTTTTAAAAAACGGAAATTTGTGCAGGTTGAGACTTGCAGAATCTTCATTAAGTATTTCAAAGCCTTCTGACCTGACATTATCAAGGATTTCCCGACCACAAAGTGAAATGATTTTATTCAGTGAAGTTTTACTTAAGATCCTGTTTTTTTAAAACTTCAAAAAAAGTTTCTGAACTGTATACGGCGATAAAGCCTGACCTTCGCAAAAACTGAGACCAAAGAATGGTTCAAAATGAACGACACGCGTGATTTCCGTTCTTTTCGTCGTGTTTTTATGACTCAGTGAGAGTTTCTTTCGATCAAAGTTTGATGGGAAATGGAAAATTGAATTGTTTCAATGTTTCTTCCAATATTTTCCGCTCTGCACAGAACTCTAACCTAAAGTCTCTAGGATCTACCTGTAATGAGATCGAGGAGTTTACCGATTGAAAACAAACAAAAAGGAAGAATAAAATATATTGTAACTCAAAAAATTAATCAAAAGCTTGTCTGAAATTTTTTTGATCTCACTCAGCCGGAATTTCATTAAACTTTGAGGATTTGCCGAAGTTTTTCGGATGCAATGAAAAACCCCGCAGTGGATGAGTCTGGGACCTTCTTTGATCACATGTTTTTATTTGAAGACATTTAAATTTTGGTGATGAAAATTTTGCCTGAAAAATATCAAAGGGTTAAAATGCTTTTTTACGTTTTTTTTTTCGAGAAAACATTAGTTTTTGGACTAACACGTCTTGGACTAATGCTGTTATTCTTTTCAGAAATATTCGCTAAATTTTTAAAAAAAGACTTGCAATACTTCAAATTATGCAAAGTAATTTGGCCATTCATTATGAGTTTCGTATATTTGAACACTAAGAGGGCCAGTAAACCTTTTTCCAAAACTACTCTTGGGTTGTTCTTTTTTTTTACATGAAGACTACCGAATTGAAAAAGAAAATGAATCAAAAATCCGCGTTTGTTCTACGGCCTACGCCATTAAAATGACTCACAAGTGTCGGCTAAAAATTAGTACAACTACCAACTGACATCAAGTTTCCCTCAGCGATAGATCATTTTGACGGCGAGCTCAAGGACTGCCAAACCCCCGCAACAAGAGAGAAAGTCGAAAAAAACAGCAGATGAAAAGTTCTCAGGAGCCTCCGCCGCTTCTGCAAAAATGTGTAAAAGCTTCGGGCAGAAGCAAAAAGAAGAAAGAGAGAGAGAAAAAACTGTCGAGTGCCGTTCGAGCTCAACTTTTTTTTGATTCTTGGCCTTCATAAGTGCTCCGTTGAGCTCATGTTCATTTGGTTCTCTAGAGAATGTTTTTTTCGGCCTAAAATAAGAATGACAGAGAAAAAAGTCTTCACAAAAGAGGTCATAATATTCAAAGCTTCGAGATTTTGAATATTGGCTGCAATATTTTCGTGTATTCCAGATGAACAACTTGAAAGTCTCATTTTGATCAAATTTCTAGTTTTGCGAGAATAAGTAGTTCTAGTTTTCCCGAAAAATATTCAAAAGTCGCACTTTTTCGGAATGTGATGTGTTCGATCCTAAAACTAAAAAAATTGACCAGAATACGACTTTTTAGAAAAAAATTATAAACTTGAAAATGAGAGGAAATTTAAAATCAAAAGCTAATCTTTTTAAACTGAATTTCTTCATTTTTTTTTCCCCAAATACCTTCAAATAAATAAAACTTCGAGGTTCTGAGTGAGAAAGCACTTTTATAACCTTCGCAAAAAAATTTTTTAAAAATCGCTAAAAAAGTCTCTAGGGAAGCTTCAGAAAAACTAAGAAGTGTCTAGGAAAATATTCAAAAAAATCTTTTTGCAACTGCTCTTCCATAACAAAAAAATTACTCCTAAATCTTATTTCTAGAAATAAGGAAGGATGGAAAAACTGAAATCTTTCTGTTTAATAACAACAATAACACATGGAGAAAGTTGGAACGAGCAAAAAGAAAACGCGTAAAATCCCAGATGTGGAGAAACACGTGCAAACTCTCGCTTTCCACCATTATTAAAAGCAAAAAACTTTTTTCTTCAATTTTTTGGAGGTCGAAAAAATATAAATAAAAATGACGTTTTGATCAAATCACTGGAAAACCAGTAACAAATTTCTTCTCGGCTCTGGAGGCTAAAGCCAACAAATCTTCTGCCATCCAATGTTGACGAAACCCCTCGAGAAACCTCCGGCTGACATCAACTGTGGCCCAAAATCAAAGTGAAAACGGTAAGTTTTCAAACAATTGAAAATTGTCTTTCTTTCAACTGTTTGTAAACCTCATCATAGTGATGCTTGCGGTAGTTTCAAGTGCGCATTTTTCAAGAATTTCTAAATTGGGACCGTTAAAATTGAGCTTGAGGCTAAATGACATTTATTAAAAGGTGAACCATGCAGGTTTCAAATAAATAAATGAAACACAGAAAAATAAACCTAAAGAGCATCCAAACCTCGAAAAAAGCTCAAACTGCAGATTATGATTCAGTTTTCAAAATCGAATGAATCGAGATCCAAGTCTTTATTTTTTCTAAATTTCGGGTGTACCATTCTTTGATAAAAATGCCCAAGAAAAAGCTGAGAAACTGTGGAAAACTGGAACTCTGAAACTTGGTTTCAAATTCAGCGAAACCTTTACACTCGATCCCAAAAATGGTTATCTGTGATCCCAAGTTCGATTATCAGAAATGAAAAAAAAATGAGCTCAGGTGAAATTTATTTTTTTTAATTAAAATTTATTATTATTTCAAAAATTTAAAAAGTTCTTGAAATATTATTCCAACTGAAAGTATATATCTTTTATCTTTAGCCTGGATTTTTTGGGGGGAAATCACTTTTTTTTCTGAATTTACCAGTTCCACGAGCTTAAAAGAATTGCCATTTATAAACAAAACCGCTAGGAAAATTCATCAGCCGATGAATAATTCATGCTAAAAACAAAGAATGACACAAAAATGCCAAGACGGCTGACTCAGAATTTCTCGACCTTATTTTCTTTTTAAAATTAAAGCTTCAAATTCAGCTGCGCAGCAGCCTTCTCACCAACTATTTCGTCATTTCCAGAAATATTTCGACTGAAAAAATTCCATGGTTCATGACACGCAAGTTTAAAACATTCACATGACAGTGTCGGCGCATGACTGAGACCACGCCCCCAACCTCCGCCTCCATGACTCCGCCCACCTTGAGGGAATGCCTCTCAGGCACCCTTCATATTTCAACTTCACAAGCGTCTAGCTAGACCAACCTTCTCTACTACCCATCCCAAGAAAAATCCGATCCACCAGCTAAAGCATGGCTGATCAACCGACCAACGACGCCGTCGTTGACGCCTCACCTGCTGCCCAGGAAGTCGCTGCAGAGTCAGCCCCCGTCGATTCTGCTCCGGTTCAACCAGAACAGTCGCATCCTGAGACAGCTCCCGAAGGAGCTGCCGCAAATGAAGCCGCGCCAGCCGAAGCTGAAGTTCAGCCAGTTGCTGACGCTGCTCCAGCTCAGGAGCCCTCCAACGTAGAAACATCCGAATTTGCTCCGCAAGCTGAATCTGCTCCAGCCGAAGCTGTTCAATCTGAAGCCGCTCCAGCCGAATCCGCACCTGCTACATCTGAAGAAGCTCATCCCGAGTCAGCTCCTGAAGGCACCGCTGCCAACGAAGGAGCTCCAGCTGAGGCCGAAGTTGCTCCAGTCGCCGAAGCCGCCCATGTCGAAGAGCCATCAAACGTCGAGACCGCACCAGTCGCTCCAGAAGCCGAGTCAGCCCCAGCTGCTGTCGAGGAGCCAGTTCAGGCCGTGCACATTGGCGAAAGTGAAGCTGCTCCAAATCAAGAAGCTGCTCAAGAAGCCGCTCCAGAAGCTTCACCTGAGGCCAAAGATCAAGAAGCCGCTCCAAGTCAAGGAGAATCTCAGGAAGCCGCCCCAGAAACCGCTGCTGCTCAGGAAGCTGCTCCAGAAGCCGCATCCGAACCTACGGCTGAACCTCATCCCGAAAGCGCCCCAGAAGGTGCGGCCGCGACAGAGGCTGTTCCATCCGAAGCTTCTGCGCCCTCTCTCGATGCTTCCTCTGAACCAGAAGTATCTAACGTCGAAACCAACGCCGTCGCTCCAGAAGCCGATTCCGCCCAAGTTGATGCTCCTCCAGCTGCTGAAGGTCAGTTATTGTTTAATTATTCGATTCACTTTTTATATGGGTTTTTTCTGCATACGTGATCAATTTGTATCAAAAAAAGAACACTTATCTTTTAAAAAAAATAACTTTTAGATTTTCGTTTAGTCGCATTTTTTTGCCACGACGATGTTGCTGTTATGAAAATCTGAATATTCGGCTTCAGTTCTCAAATAGGCATGAACTCATACTTGCAAAGCAAAAAAACCATTTTTTTCCCCTTTTATTGTTAAACCAGTTTCTTGAATGAAACAGCTTTTTATTAACAAGTTTTTCTCATTTTATAGTTTAAGCTAATATGAAAAACACTATTTAATATATTGAGACTTCAAAATAAATACTTTAGCTTTTTGTAATCGCGTTCGGATAGATGTAGAATTATAGCAAAGAGAAAAAATATCTCTTTTAAAACTTTCAAACTTGATTTCAGGCGAGACAGCTCCAGCTGCTGAAGCTGCGCCAGAATCTTCTCCAGCCGTCGCTGAAGGTTTTATTTGTTAATTTTTCAACAAACTTCATATGAAATCTAGGCGAGTCTGCCCCCGCTGAGTCAACTGCTGTTGAAGAGCCAGTTCATGTCGTAGAAGTTAGTTCGACAGAGGCCCCTTCAGAAACTGCGACTGAGACTCCTGCCGCAGCAGAATCAGCTCAAGATACCTCTTCTGAAGCTCCAGCATCTGAAGAAGCTGCACCAGCTCAAGAATCCGCTCCAGAAGCCTCCTCCGAAGCTCCTTCCACTGAGGAAGCTGCACCAGCTCAAGAATCCGCTCCAGATGCATCCTCTGAAGCTCCTCCCACCGAGGAAGCTGCACCAGCTCAAGAATCCGCTCCAGAAGCCTCCTCCGAAGCTCCTTCCACTGAGGAAGCTGCACCAGCTCAAGAATCCGCTCCAGAAGCATCCTCTGAAGCTCCTCCCACCGAGGAAGCTGCACCAGCTCAAGAATCCGCTCCAGAAGCCTCCTCTGAAGCTCCTTCCACCGAGGAAGCTGCACCAGCTCAAGAATCCGCTCCAGAAGCATCCTCTGAAGCATCCTCTGAAGCTCCTTCTACCGAGGAAGCCGCTCCAGCTGCCTCCGAAGGTTTTGTTCTTCATCCGCAACACTTGTTTCATGTGCCTTTCAGGAGAGTCTGCACCAGCGGAGCCAGCTGCTGTTGAAGAGCCAGTTCATGTCGTAGAAGTCAGCTCAGCTGAGGCGGCTCCTGCTCAGGAAGCATCTCCAGAAGCTTCTTCAGAGTCTCAAGTCTCTAAGGAAGATGTACCAGCTCAAGAATCCGCTCCAGAAGCCTCCTCCGAAGCTCCTTCCACTGAAGAAGTTGTACCAACCCAAGAATCTGCTCCAGAGTCTTCTTCTGAAGCACCAGCAGCCGAGGAAGCAGCTCCAACTCAGGATTCCGCTCCAGAAGCACCTGTCGCCGCAGACTCTCACCCAGAAACTGCTCCTGAAGGCGCCGCTGTCACCGAAGCTGTTCCAGCCGAAGCCGAAGTTCCCTCATTGCCAGCCGATGAAACTGCCGCCGCTGACGGAGTTGTTCCAGCTGTGGAGACGAACGAAGTTCCGGGAGGTGAAGAACCACTTGCCTCCGACGAAGAGATCGATCCCGAAGACCCGGAGAAGAAGCGACGCCGCAAGAAGGTTAAGAATGGTCAGTAAATTTTTTTTTACCAAAAATCAGAAAGTGTGACATTAAGGGACATCGTTTTTTTTTTCTTTTCTTCAAAATGCAAATTCAAAATAATTTTTTTATTTTAATCATTCAATTGAGTACCTTCAGTTGCTGAAGCCGAGCCGAAAACCATCGTGCCTGATGACGCCGACGTTGTCGCCGCACCAGAAGCCGCTGCCGCCAGCTAAACTTCTCATGTTAAGAAAAACAAAGAAATGCAACGCGCACGACTTGTGTATTATGTATACATTTGATCAAACTTTGAAAAATAAAATTTTGGATTACTAAATCAAAAATAGAAACAAAGAAAAATTTACACACCAACAGTTCCAGGGCGGCCGGTTGATATTGCGTCCTCAGTTTTGGAGCCTGGAGTTTTTTTTTAAATTTGGTGGTATGAAAAAAAATACCAGCAAAAGTTCAAACGGCGACTTTTCCGATTTTTTCATATCGCTAGGGAACTTTCCGACGGCCACCTTTCAGACGAATCTTTTTCCGACTTTTTTTCTCGATAAAATCTTCGTTTTAAATCTTCCTATATAAAGTAGGTAGTTGATTCATGATTAAAACACAAAGAAATAGGAAAAAAGTTATAGATGTTTTTAAAAACTGAAAAATATAAGTGAAAAAAGTCGGAAAAAATTTCGTCGGGAAAGTGGTCGTCGGAAAGTTCCCTAGCGATATGAAAGAATCGGAAAAGTCGCCGTTTGAATTTTCGTTGGTGTTTTTTTCATACCACCTTTAAATTTTCTTTTTTGCAATTTGCTAAGAACCTATAAGAAAAGTTACGTAACAACAGGAGCACAAGCTTTCATTTTATCACCGAAAATATCTAAACTACCGTAATACTACCGGTCATGGCGTTTTTTTATATAATTATACGCAAGTCAAAACTTCTCGTAAATTATGATGCTTAGGGTGTAAACACACCGAGACGCACTATCGCATACTCGGAATTTTTTTTCAATTTTGGAATTTGCAATTTCAATAGTTCCTGAAATGTTCGAAATCTTGTCCGTTTGAAGAACATGATGTGAAAAAACATTCACTTACGTTAAAAAAAACTTTCATGAACCATTTTGAGAGGGGAAAAACTCTTAATTACTGATTACAAAAATAAAAAAACAAAAAAATATTATGAAGGTGAATCAGCTCCCATTGAATGAGCAATTATAAATATGAAAAAAAGATTGGAACGAGGAAAATTCGAGAAGAAATTTTAAAAAAAGAAGTATTTTATTTACCTTGAAAAACCTAGCTGCAGAAAAAATTGATAGAAAAAACAGAAATTTTAGAAAAAAACCTCGTATGGCGAAATTTTTTTATTCAAGTTCGAAGAACCATTAAAAAAACTGTTTTGGAGCAGCTTTGGCGCGCCGATGAACACGATTTTTCGTTTTGAAGCATGCTCGGACATTGGTAACGCGAAACGGACGTGCTCCGGACGTTTCTGGGCGATTCTAGGGATCCCTTAAGAGTTCTGTGGCTACTAAAGTGGTCGCTAGAAATGCCCCGACACGTCCGTTTCGCGTCCCGTTCGCGTTACCAAGGTCTGAGTGTTCCGTTTCCCTGATGAACACGCCACTAAAATTTTAAAATTTGCTTTTTTTCAATTAACTCTTTCTGTAAATTTTGAGAGATCTTTAGAGGGTGGGCCTTGTAATCCAAAAGCACGTACTGAACAGATCAAAATTACTGTAGTCGTACGTTTTACGGCGCCCGCCCCTGCTATTTTTTTTCCGCATTTTATTTCACTGACAAGAACGCTGTGAATTCTCTCTTTTTTATCGCTTTCAGTCGAAAAATCTGGTCGAAGAATGTATCCATCTCTTTTTTATTTTCGTAAAGACCTTTCTGAAGTCATTCACAGGCGAGATTTGAAAACAATCGAGGTTAGTTTTGTATACGTTTCTAAATTTTGAGAAAAAATTTTTCAGAGTATGATCAATAAGTTGTCGAAAGAAGAGATCGAGGAGCATATCAATGAACCAGCCTATTTAGATCCTATCCTCGAGGCTTGCAGAACAGGCTTTTTCGATGTCGTCAAACTTTTGGTACCTATTTTGAATTTGTCTTTTTTATATACTTTCGAGTAATTTTTCAGCTCCGCCTCGGCGCAGATCCTTGTAGATACCGGCCGACCTATTCAGGACGAAGTAAGAATTTTTCAAATTTGATGTAAATTTAGCTTTTTTCTTGCGTACACTCGAAATTATATTATTAAGTGATGGAATCATAAAAATTTTGTGGAAAAAAGTTTTGTAAAAATTATAAAATTTCTGTAAAAATATATTCCAAGGACCTAATACATATTCATTTCCTAGAAGTGACAGCTCTACAAATTGCCATTGAGCAAATTGGCTCGAGAGACATTTCGAAACTGTTTAACCGCCGTACTCGAGACCGTTTCATGGTTCATGGAACATTCACTCTTATTTGCATCAAAAGATTTAGGTGCTGCAAGTCCTACTGAACATCGGGAAGGTTCCATTGAAAATGCGTCTGGATTCTCCATGCGAACCTCCGTTGTTCACTGCCTTGAAATATTCGAACTTTGGCTTAGGTAGACGAAAGAGATTTTTGATTCAGTTACTTCCTTCCAGTCAAATATCTCTGTGAGCGGGGGGCAAGCGTACAGGATCGTAATAAGGATGACCAAACATGCTTTATGGTGCCTGAATTTTTCAAGTCGAAGAGATCGGTTTTCAATACATAATCGTTTTTTGTATTCAAACTTTTACAGGTTAAAATTTTTGAATATCTTGTGGCTCAAGGTCTTTCTGTCAATGCCGTCGTGACTGAAACAGGTTCTTTTTTTATTTGGCTGTTTGAGAAGTCCAAATATGTAATATGATAAAAAAAGTTGAAAAAAAGCATAATCTTACGGTTTTTTTCAGTTAATTTTTCTGCGAGAAATTCGGTGAGCAGAGATTCTATTATTTTTTTTTTCTTAAAAAAAATTTTTTTTTTAATTTCTCCTTTTTCTTGCCACTTCTGTGAAAGAATTCACTGACAACTTTTTGTCGATTTTAGACGAAAATGTGTTTTTTTTTTCAGGAGAAACGGCGCTTCATTTCGCAGTTATTGATAAAAATTTTCTTCTCGTGAAGCTGTTGATATCCGCTGGCGCAATATTGAAAGACGAAAACGTCTTGAATCCTATATTACTTTCTGCTTTGGAAATGGATAATGTCCGATTTAAATCCAGTCTCTGACTAAATTTGAATCATTTAGTCGAAAGTATTTGGACACTTGTTGGAACATGTTGAGAATCGGAAACTGCAAAAAGACGCGATGCTGCTCCGGGCTACCACAATTCTTCTAGAACCTCATAGTGAAGAGAGCTTGAAAAGATTGGAGTGTTTGAAGACGGCTCTGGAGATGACCACCGACTCAGATGAGGTTTCGAAGGCTTCAAAATAAAAGTATCGATGAAAACATTGGAGGAAGGAGAGAAAGATAAAAACCCCGACTATGATGATCTCAGAGAAGCGACCTCATTCAGCGAATTCGAAGCTGCAGGAAACCTTTGGAGATTCACGATCATGCAGGTATGTACGAGGTCCCTCTTTTTTCCTACCAAACTTCTTTTTTTATATTTCCTTTTACTGATTCATCAATATGGTTTTTTTTGTTGCTGAGAGTTAGAAAATTTAGTTTGTATTTGTAGATGTCCCACCTGATTTCATCTATTATTCCTAGTGCTTCATTATTCGGGAGAGAATTCTTGGCGAAAGTCATCCAGAAGTTCGCGACGCGTTGTTCAGATATGCCAGAGATTTTTTTCTATGCAATACGAAGCCGAGTAAGTTTTTCTTTCTGGCAAACATGAGGCCATTCGCACACTGGTTACTCTCACCGGGAATTCAGGTCCCGTAAAATGAATTTTTTTTTTTGATTTATTTAGACAATTCAAGTGGCGTCGGCACCTTTTTTTTGCTCTTAAAAACAAAAGAAGGCCTGATACACTCTTCATTGGTCTGAGCTTCGTTAAAATTTTTTTTGTTGCAGGAATTATGATATAGTCGTTTACACTGTGAGTTTGTTCCACAGGTACCATTATTTTTGAAATTCAGAATTGATTTTTTTTTTTCAGATACGAGTGGATGTCGGAAAGATCCATCAACGCAGTGGCAATAATTTGCAATGGGATTTTGATGGCTTCCATGCTTTGGCGTCTACAAAAAGATGAGACCAGATATCACGATTGCTTCGAAGTCGCTACAGTTTTGCTCGAAGAAATCTACATGTATTTGAACATTGTTTGTTGTCTCAAATATTGCTAGAAAAAAAAGCTGCAAAAATTGAGAAAGGTTGAGAAAAGGGGTTGAGTCCCATGGACCCTAGGCCTAGAATTTTTTTTGCACTTATTCGAAAGCTTCAGCTTTTAACGCACTTTTATTCAGCTTTCCTTATGAAAAGCGTATTAAGAACTTTGCAGACTCGCAGAAAAAGGTTTACAAGCGAGAGCTATCAGGCGGTCGGCGAAACAGCATTGTCCCTCATTTGTGTAGTTCGTTTTTCATCCAGATGTTCAGTATTTGGTTCCATTCAGATTGGACGACTTGGCGCTGAGGACAATGAAAAGCAAGAACTTCTCGAAGTTGACGTGAGCCTCCTCAACTATTAAAAAGTGAAACTAATTCATTTTCCAGTTGGGACCTCTCGTCCGAATGTCCAGGTTCTATAACATTTCGTTGTTTCACTCGACTACGTGTTTGTTGTAATCTCTCTTTCTTCAATTCATAAGGTTTTCCGATTATTTCAGTGTGTCTAGTTGGGTTCCAACATTTGTTCGCGCTGGTGCGAATATCAACGCGAAAGATGCAAATGGACGAACCGCTTTGCAGGGGATTATTCAGGATTTCTTGAGGATTCTGAGGAAAAAGGACGGTCCTGTTGGTTACAAGTAACTGGTTGTTTTTTTTTGTTTTTCATTCGTGAATTAATAGCAAGTTCCCCGTTGTGCTGGATCTCGTGAACCACGGGTCGCGGCTTTTCCTACGCGACGAAGAGGAATGTCTGATTTTCGACTCGTTGCAAGAAGCTCAAAGGATACCCAACTTTGAAGATCCCATTGTTCTGGGTAAGTTGGAAAAGTAACAGAAAAGAAATATTTACAGGGCATTTTTTCATGATTATTGGGAATATCGAGGATGGAATTTCCAGGAAAATACATCACTCTGAAGGACATTTGTGCAGAAGTTGTTGAAGAAGAGTATCCCGTGCATTTTTTGAGAGAAGTTTTGCCTCTCGAATTGCTTGAATACCTCTCTGTGCGACATATTTGTTAATAGAATTCACTAACTTTGTAATATTTTTTTAGATGGTTTAGTTTTATTGCGTTTCCCGGAAAACTATCAGTTTTCCCTGTTTTTCAATTTTTTTTTTTCCATTGAATTTTACTGTGAATATTTTTTTAAAACTCATTAAAATGAGAAATGATCGTTGGTTTTCCGTTCTCTCGCTGTGAATATTGTTGAACCGATGCAAAATTTTTGTTGCTTGCCCTGAACTTTTTTGTGAGATTAAGTTCTTTTTTTATTCAACATTGAATACATTTGTTTTTTTTCTGGTTTTTCACTGTATTGGTTTTTCTCAAGCCACGAAAGTTATGGAAAAAGAGCTAGATTTTTCAGAAATTTTTTGTATTGTAAAACTTTGCATGAAAATTTTTTTCAAGAAATTTGGAAAGATTTTTAAATTCACAACGATTGGTCGCAACAAGGGGCTTTGCCAAACGATGGGGACGACTGTTTGCAAACTTGTGAAACGAGAGGATGAAAGCACCGCTTGGATAGTCAAAAAAATATTTTTTTCGCAAACTTTTCAAAAATAACTAATTTTTTTAAAAAATTCAAATTTTTTTGTGTTCCATTCACGAATGAAATTTTTTTGAGATTTCAGGAAATTACATCACACTGAAAGTCATGTGCGCAGAAGTTGTTGAGGACGAATATAGTCTGTTCAGATTTCAAATGTCAAGTCCTCGCTGAAGCTCCGCCCTCTAATGGCGTGATAAACCAATCAGAGAGCGAGCCACCCACAGAGCGTTTTCGAATGACGTCATTTTACTTGACATTCAAAATCTGAACAGACTATATTTCGTGTATTTCTTATTAAAGGGAACGTGCCACCTGATTTGATTGAGTATCTTTACTTGGATAACATTTATAAATCCAAAAAAATAAATAGGATTGAAGGAATACATTTTAACAGTTTTTTTCAAAAAATTTCATTTTTCTTCAATTAATAAATTTGTAAAACAGAATCTTCATCCCTTTTTAATCTTCCGTAGCTAATCTTTTGCATTTTCGGGAGTACCCCTTTGCTTTTTTTCTTTTTTTTTGTCTACTTTTATGTGCACTGTGAATATTATTGCCCTGTGAGATAATTGTTTCTGTTTATCTTCCGTGTTTGTCACAAACGTTGGATGAAATAGTTTTTTCATTTTTCATAAAAAAGTTTTTTTTTTTTTCAATTTTTTTTGGTTTCACTCATGAGATGTGTATTGAAAAAAAAAATTTATTTTTTTCCATATTTTCACACTAAAGCGACTGTTCTGTATTTTTCTTCATCGGAAATCTGTGTGAAGTATGTTTAGATTTTGGGTTTCAAGCAGCAAAATCTGCCCCCAACAACGCTTTACGAATGTCTCACTCTCTGGTTTGATCTACGTATAAGGGGCGGAGTTTGAGCGATGAATTCAAATTCAAAATCTGAACTGACATATAGCTGATTCACGGCAAGCTTGGGACGCTAAAGGGGCTTGTCCTGTCTGCGCTCTCCACGAGCCAGGAGCTATCTCCTGCATTATCGTGTCAGGACCCTTTTTTCGATGGCTCAAGCCAGCCGTGAATCAGCTATATATTTTGTTCAGATTTTGAATGTCAAGCAACAAACTCCGCCTCCAATAGTGTTAAAAAATTTCAAATTTTCAGTTGTCTGTATTACTTTGAATACTTTGAATCTCTAGCCTTCCTAACTTTTTCGATCTCAATTGAAATTCTACGAGGTCCTTACATTAACCTGTTTTGTGCATCTACTGTTTTTTTTGTGAGTGAAATTTGACAGGAAAAGTCAGTATTAATTTTTCTCATACTATTCGATTTAAGAAAAGAGAAAAAAACGAAGCAGTAAGCCACGTTGTCACTTGTAAAATATTTTGGTTGAAAACAGTTTTTTATTCACCCGCTGAACTTATATCCACGAAAAAAAGAAACACAGGAATTATCACAAATCGAAAGAAGAAAAAATTTTCGGAGAAATCAAAGATCGAATTTGGTCGCTTCTAGGGCTCTACTCAATCTGCTCATCATGTCAACGATGGAATCTCCACGGCGATCGACGACGCTCGACTGTAATTCGTTCACTTGAACATTTCTTGGGAAGTTTTATACTTTTATCGAGTTTTCCGCACACTGGCAACAATTTCAACCCTATTTGATTCTCAGGTTTCAAAGTAATCGAGTACATAGAACAAAATTGTGAGATATCCTTTCAAAATGAATATTATAATCACCTCAGAGTCTCTCCGAATCATCTGCGCCCGAACCTTTGCCAGTCGTTCTGCATAGGCGCTGGCCATTTCAATATCGTTTCTTTGATCCGCTGTCTGAAACTTATAAGAATGAAAAAGATTACTATAAAAAAATGGGCTTAAGATACACTGAAGTCAGAAGTAATCCAATCAGTTCAATTGTAAAAATTTTTGTCAGGAAAGGTAGGAAATAACGTATTTTTGATCAAAAATTTTTCTTGTTTTAAGTGCGATAAATATTTTATTCAAAACACTGTTGACAAATCTTTTGAGAAAAAACCGGCTCAGTCTTGTGGACGATACATCTGTTTTTGAAAAATGTTTAGTAAGAATTGCCTTTAGTATCTCAGAAATAATTTTATTTATTCCAAAATTTCTAATTTGCATTGGATTTCTCAACTTTGCAGGACACTAACCGGGTAAAATGAGCTGTTATTCGAGGTCGGCACCCTGATGGTCAGATTCCGTCGAACTTTCATCGTCAATTGCGCGCTGTCGTCCACGTTGATGAACTTGGCCATTTCGTCGGTCAACGGCATTTCGCACAATTTCTTCCAAATCTATAAAAAGGGATGGGTTGAAGAATATTGAAGGTCTTTTTCTTCAATTTCTCCTGAGGTCGTATGCAATAAAGTGGAAAGTTATTTTCCACCATTTCCTGAAACTCGAAAACGCCAAAAATTGATCCTTTTTACACTGAAATTATTTCGCCCGTATCCGATTCATCGTATAAAACCTTATTACAACAGATAAAGTCAAAATAAATGATATCCTGGCCAGTTTCGTCCCGTTTCAATTTTCAGGACGATGGCGGAAAATAATTTTCCACTTTATTGCATACGGCCTCTGATCGAATGAAAAACCAGAAAAAAAACGATTTGCAAGCCTTATCACGTCCTCAACTTCAAAGAAATGTAAAATTATGAGCGAGAATTCTTGTTCCCTTTTTTATTGGAAAATGGAAAAAATCAAAAAAGTATTCACAAAACCTCTTAGGATATCAAATTTAAAGATTAAAAAAAAACCTTTTTTGCAATGTATATATTTTTTTTTGCTAACTAAAGCGTAGTTCGTTCTCGAGTCGTTTTGTAGAAATATAATAATTTTTTTTACTGATTTCAGTCAACACTGAATAAGTCGAATTAGCGCCTTCTCACCTCATCAATCTTGTTGTCTAAAACATCTTTGTTGTCTTCAATCTTCTGCCGATATTTCTGAAATAAGACGATGTTTAGCACTGATTTTCAAATGTTTCTCAAAACCGTCTGAAAATAGCTGGCCGAATCGCTGAGGTTCTCATTCGTCGGGGGCAAAATGTCGATGGCGCTTCGTGCTCGATCTCTTTCCGTCACCAAAAGCTTGAGATCTTTGAAAAGTCGCTCGCAGGCGAATTGCATGAACCGCCGGATCCTGTGAAAAACAAAACCTTAGAATTTCTCGTTTTTGAGTGGGTGCGCCAGCTGTTCATGTTCTTCTCAAGAACTACGAGAAAAACAAAAAAGTGCAAAGATGAAAAATGGGTATTTAAGAAAAAATTCTAATTTACTTTTCAATCGAGGTTTTTTCGTGATGAAAACACGTCAATTTCGAAGCGGTCTAGTGAATTTAATCATCATGAAAATCAGTAAAACAGCTTTCCGTTATAATTTTAATACAGAAAGACCAAAATTTCGAAGTTCAAAATGAACTTGCTCGAATAAATCATTGAAATCCTAATTAATGTGGTATCCGGTTGAGGAGTAGAAATAAAACGTTATATCAAACCAAAAAGTAGATGAAAATTTTGAAAATTTTCAGAATAGTAAAAAAATATCTCTAGTATTGAATAATATATGCTAATATTTAAAATTCTTTAAAGGAATAATTCAAGTTGGAAAGTAAAAAAATGAAATCTAATCGCGAAAAATCTGTGATTGAAGATTTTTTTCGAAAAATTTGCATTGATGAGTATGAAAATAATGAAGGAAAGACCCACGATTTCTGTGCCTCGTCTTCTTTTTTCAAAATCGACCTCGTCGGCGACACCGAATCATGAGCACGCATATAAGAGCGCTCAGCTGCGTCGGCTTCGCTTGGCTTAAATTTTCATATTGATTGACTGAATTTGAACTCCTGTTACAGACCTCCGCAGAAAAAGAGACTGTTTTATGGTGTGAATGGACTTGTTTGGGATTTTGGAACGAAAGGAGGTCTTCTGTGGACGGCGTGTAGTTGTAGTAGCTGAAAATTAAAAGATAAAAAGGGAGAAAAAAATTAATAGGAAGAAGAAGTTGTTGATCTGATTTTCAGATATTCAAACCTCTAATAGTTCATATTGATTGACTGAATTCGAACTCCTTACTTTTCGAATTTGAGAAAGTAAACTCAAATTTGAAATTCTTCGAAAAACTTCTATCAATTCTTTCTACTCACAAACGCCTCTTCGTTGACGAATTATGGCAAATTCAAATAAAGAAAAAAAAACAGAAATTTTGGACCCACTCAATCTCAAGAAAGAGCCAGATTCCAAGTATTTAATGAATCTCATCGAAACCGTTTTTGTTAAACATTTGCTATGGTAAATTAAGGAGCGAAATTTTATTGCTATTTCCATTTTAGGTAATACAAAACTTCTTGGTTTTCAAATATTCAGGTAAAGATTTCTAAACAAACAAAAACTTACTTATTGAAGAAAAACATTAAAAACGTGATTTCTAACGCAGAAATTCTTCTCCTTAAAAATTAATTTTCGGTTCAAAAAGAAAGAAAAAAAACACCAGTTATAGGAAGAATAACCTCATTACTATCCAGTTCTACCTGGACCATATCCTAACTCAGGTGAACCAAAACGAACCTAGCATTGGGACTGACGTAGCCGGCCATGTCGGGATGTGTCGGTTCGGTCTGCGAGTGAATGTCGTGTTTTCCGGAGAAGTGGCGCCGCCCCTCGTCGTCTCCAACGACGGCTGATCCTCGGCAATCCCCGAGATCCGCCGTTGACGTCGCCACATTCGCGAAAAGTCGTTCTTTCAGCTTCTGCGGCTGAGGCGCCGGCGTCGTGGGCGGAAGAGGCTCCATGTTGTCAACTTCAATTTCGGATATTGCCAACGGAATAGGTACAATTTCGAAATGAAAGGTGGTCAGTTGTTATGTTGGTGTTATTTTTGCTTGTTTTGAGCCGCTATGCTAGATTAACAGATCTGCACACAACCTTTTTCGATTATGGCTAAAAAGCCTCCCCCTTTCCCAAAAAAAACAGGTGAACCAAGTTACAGAAAAACGGTCTTTCGAAGTGAATGAAAAGTTCCGGAGAATCTTCAAGGAGAAGTAACCTTCTTTAAGTGTTAGTTATCATCCACCCAACCAAAATCACGAAAGTTGAATATTTTAAATTGAGATTCTGACGTCAATCTAGTCTTTTCTGTGTTTCGGCCGCCAGTATGAACTCTGTTGATGTCAAATAAGTTCACTTCAAATGATCCAAACAAAAAATTTTGGTTTTTCTTAAACCGCCATTGATGCTGCAATATGTTTTTTTCGTGATGGTGAGCTTAAATTTTGACGTCTTTAAACGCATATCGAGACAAAGAGATCTTTCAAATAAAGAAAAATCCGTTTTGCGTAAAAGACGTGTTTCGTCGAAAACAAAAATAGCTTCTTCTTTTAAAATTTAGATTCATACATACCGAAAAATATTGACTTTTTGTGTTCAGAAGAAGATTCTCAATATTCCAACCCTCCTTTTTAAACTCCTAAAGCTTTTATCTTTCGAAATCGTATCGAGAAACCCTTTCAACTTGCTTGCGTCAACGAAACCTTCTCGAAAAGGCTTAGGATCCCCTGAAAATAGACTTCTTTCAAGTTATCAGCATATAAAACTCGAGGAAAGGCTCAGATTAAAACTTTGCTGGAGAAATGCGTTCGCAAGACGCTAGAAAAAACATCCGGATATAGCAAGATGTCAGCGTGGCCACATTTCGAAATATATTTTTTGGAAAACTACTAACAGAAAGTTCTTTCTCACAACATTTCAATGTGCAATAATCCACTAAATTCAAAGGAAACCCCAAAAACACGTCATTAAGAAATATTAAAATTTTGTGGAGATTATTTACAACCTGTAATTTTGCCAGATTATATTTCATCTATATTTTTTTTGAAATTTTTGCTTATTGAAAATTCAAGAAGAAATATTACTTACTGGGAAGATTTTGATAGTTTCAATCAATAGGGAATGCTGAAGAAAGAGACACGCCATCTCCGCCGTGAATTTTTCCGAGGTCCTACGTGTTTCCATTTCGTTCAACAGAAATCCTTTTGAAATTTTGAACTTTTTTACCAAACACTGAGAGCATCAAAAATCTGTGCAAAGCTGCAAATTCTACCAAAATCCCAACCTTACCTAAAAGCGACCACCACCAAAACAATCCAAAAACGGACCGATAACGACGCGTCCGCCCTCGCTCTCATCCTCATCTTCCATTAGAGACGACGCCTCGCTGTGGACGTTGTCGGTAATCCGCTCGAGGCGGAAAAAGTTGACGGCTTCTGCGTCTTCAGAAGACGTCAGCTGGGCCGAATCCGCGACGATCCCCTGCCAAAGCCGAGGTGCGGGTAAATCGAGAAGCTTTGGACTGCCTACGTGCTCATCGGCGTTTGATCCGGTATTAGTGTCGAGCTCGTCGGTGGCCGGCTGCGGTGATCCTGTGGGCGGCTTTTCTCGCGACGACTTTCTGAAATACATTTTTTCTTTCCCTTCCTTTTTATCACTGATAAGGGACGTTTTTCTACTCGAAATTTTTGAATTACTCCACAAATTGGCTAAAACTTTCGAAAAGAGCTGCGAAAGTATTAATTTTTTGAGAACAAACGACAAAAATATCGCCTTTTCCAAATAATTCGCTGGAAACTAGAGAGAAAATGAGAAAAGAAAGTCTGAATTGTACGATTATAATTTTTCGAGTTTGCGATTTACTCAATTAACATTTGGGAGATATCTGAGAATTAGAAAATCTGTTTTTGTACTTTTGAGATCCCTTCTCATGCAAGGATTGTTCAATATGTATCGATTATATTCTGATCGCTCCTACACTGAAACTATCCTGAAGCTGCAAAAAACAGCAGGAAATGAAATTGATTTGCTTGAAAATCCCCGTGAAAAGAGACCCTTTAGTGTGTCCATGGTGGGTGAAGTACGTGACCACGCGTTCGACTGTCGGCGTGACTCCGCGGAGTTTCTCCAGCTCCTTCGAGTTGTTGTCGACGTCATAGAGGTAGTCCCAGAACCTGAGAGAAAACTTGTTTCAATTTTAAAAGGCGACTTTCAATCTTATATCAACTTTTTTTTATTTGAATGAACGGAGTCTATAATCTGACAAATTTTAAGCAACACGAAAAAAGAATTTTTCAAATACGGGAAAAAAAAGATTTTTTGGAATTTTATCTTTTTTTTCCTAGCTTTGAAACATTTCTTACATTGAGTTGCTAACGAATTAGATCTGTAGAAAATTGAAAAAGAAAAAAAGTTCGTTGTTTCGAATTCATGACCTCCTTCAGTTCTAGCACTTTCAATCGCTCAGGGCTAGGATAATAGAATTTTTAATATAATTACATATCGCAGGAGGTTCGGAGAAAGCTCAAAAGAAGAATCGGATAACTTTTACACGTAATAAAAAATACCCACCAGATCTTAAACTCAAATTCAAGAATTCTCATTTCTCTCCGGCTTTGACTTTTATGATCGCAAGTAGAATGGTTCAAAATCTCTCGATTTCGGTTTAAATCGAATATATAGTCGACTTGACATCAAAAAATTTTCAAAAAATAGTTTTCAATGCCCTTGCGCAAGTCGTTTCAGGTCGGATATACCTAGAAGCTTCGCAGTCATTTCAGTATGAAAAATTACTTCCCAATAAAGATAAAAACTTCGCAAAACGCGCAATCTACAGTACTGGCCATAAAGGTATTTCAAAGTGGTTATTCGAGCATAACTTCTTTAAAAGTGGCTCAAATGGCTTGAAACTTTGCAAAAATTTTAAATAGCTACGCAGTAACTTTTTCCCAAAAAACAAAACTTGTTTGCTCAAGTCAGACCGGATTTGAGAACAAAAAACCAAAAATCGTGAAAATCAAGATTTTTCTCTTGAGATTCGAAAAATCATATTTTCAAAGAAACTTCGTTTTCGAACCAGAAACTTTTTTCCCCAGTAAAACAAGTCTTCGGCTTTCCAAAAAACCTAATCAGCCCCTCACCAACCCGATAGTAAGAGCGTAGTGACTTTTTCTTCGAAAGGCCCTTGCGTTTTGAAGCCTCCTCATTCAAATGGACTATACGAGGTCATTTTTTTGTTTGAGAACACCCTGTATCATGTTGAAAAAAATTTTTGAAACACCCTCAAAAAAATAGTTTTACACTGATTTCTTCAGCTTTCTCACTTTATCTGCTCTCCAGAACTCACTAACTTCACTAGGACCGATTTTGAAACCTCTGATTTGAACAGTTTTTTTCTGGACTTTCGGGCGTTCAAAGTAGTTTTTTTATCTGGTCAATCGCTTTCAAATCGTGAATTTGAAAAATAATTAATGGCTAAATTTCAGGCTCCTACATCCTGAAGACTGCTAAATTTTTTTGCTGAAGCATTAGTTTCACAAGATCAAAAAAACTTATTTTCCCATAAAGTTTAAAGAAACTTTTTTTACAGTGCCTATCTTTGATCTGAGAGCTAGAAAAAAAGGAGTTACAAATTTATCTCATGATCTAAAAACATTTAAAAAAATATGAAAAAAAGGGGTTTTTATCATCTTCCACAAGATTTGGAGCCCTCTAAGCAACACTTGCTGAAACGAAGTTTTGAGAACTTTAAGAAACTCATTATAACTCACTATATCTTTCGAATAAGTAAGCAAAAACACAGTGGGTCTTCTTTTTATTTTTTTATTCATCAAGGTTCTAAAGAAGCTCTGAAATCTGAAATGAGAAATCGAGAATGTTCTGATTTTTGAAAAAGGAGCATAACCGCTTCAAATCAGAGGTTTCAAAAATCGGTCCTAGTGAAGTTAGTGAGTTCTGGAGAGCAGATAAAGTGAGAAAGCTGAAGAAATCAGTGTAAAACTATTTTTGAGGGTGTTTCAAAATTTTTCAACATGATACAGGGTGTTCTCAAACAAAAATGACCTCGTATAGTCCATTTGAATGAGGAGGCTTCAAAACGCAAGGGCCTTTCGAAGAAAAAGTCACTACGCTCTTACTATCGGGTTGGTGAGGGGCTGATTAGGTTTTTTGGAAAGCCGAAGACTTGTTTTACTGGGGAAAAAAGTTTCTGGTTCGAAAACGAAGTTTCTTTGAAAATATGATTTTTCGAATCTCAAGAGAAAAATCTTGATTTTCACGATTTTTGGTTTTTTGCTCTCAAATCCGGTCTGACTTGAGCAAACAATTTTTTTACTTGGGAAAAAGTTACTGCGTAGCTATTTAAAATTTTTGCAAAGTTTCAAGCCATTTGAGCCACTTTCAAAGAAGTTATGCTCGAATAACCACTTTGAAATACCTTTATGGCCAGTACTGTACGTTTCTCTTTGCTTGCAAAGCATCCTATTGGGCTCCAAATTTTTCATTCTCATCGCCAAAAAAAAAAAATTTTTTTAAGATTCGAAAAAAATTATGAAAAAAATTACTTGAATTTTTTTAAAAATTTTTTTATTACTTTTTTTCTCTAGATTGCAAAAAAATTTTTCATTTTCAACTTTTTCTAGAAGAAGCAGGTCTCATCTGAATTAAACTTTTCACCTTTCAACATTATCAATATCGACTTCAGCTTGTTGCTCCATCGCCAAATGCAATCTCGATCGAAATTTCAGGTTTTTCAGACTGCTTTTGTCCAAAGTCGATGAAACCTCAAAGAACTCTAATAACTGAATAAACTTTTCAGTGAAACGAACAATTGAACTTTCATCTTCCTTTTCTTCTATTTCGTCGTCGCTAACATACTCTTCCAGCTCCTAAAACCGTTCAATAATTATTCATTATGAAGAAATTTTAAATTTTCGTACCCTATCTTTTTCATTTCCTAACGACCGTTCTCCCGAGGCCGCTTCGATTTGAACCTGTACATAATTTTGAATTTCCATCTCAATTAAGAATTCAGGGAAACCTCAGGAAAAACTTTCTGTGTTCCGATGGCGGCGTCTTCAGATTCCTGCTCGTCTTCATTATCCTGAGAAAAGGGATTATTATGTTGGAAAAAAGTACAAAATTTTTTTGAAGAAAAAAAAAATGTTCTGCATTGAAGGGTCCAGAACTATTTTTTGTGAAGCCACCTTTCTCTCCACGTTTTCTCGATTTTTCTTCGTTTTGCTTTTATCAGAGTTTAATATTTTCATAGTCCGTGAAGCCCAAACTGATCAAATTGCAACTTTTGAGGTCACTAGATCTTTTAGAGCGTAATATACTCGGTCCACGGTCCATCAGAACCGAAAGCCACTCGAAAACGGACCGAAGAGTTTGTCGGGACCATCATCGGCGAGCATCTTTCCACCCATTGCTCGGTTCTCGAGCGCCGTTCTTCAATTTCAAACGGATCCTCGAAAACGTTGCTTCTGAATTCCCCATTCCTTTTCCATCAAAAAGCCATATTCATACGGCAAATTTGCATTCAGAACGAAGGCCTGGATGTCGTCCGTATAATTTACGGGGTCAAATTGATCTTCCGGTGATCTCATCTCATTTTTTGGAACCACCGGTTCTTCCATCAAAAGTCTAAAAATTTCCCTAACAACAGCATAAATTTGTGATTTTTTTTTTTACGTTTCCAATGACTCGCCGAGTTTTGGGACTTCTGGTGCCCGCAGAAGCGATCCGTTGGTGATGAAAGCTTCTTTAGAAGGGCTGAAATTTCGGAAATTAAAATTTCGAAAATATTGGTTCTCAACGAACTTGACAGAAAACTAACTTAGCGAATTTTTTCAAGACGACCTATTTACAATTAAAAAAGGAAAAGCTCGAAAAAAAGCAAAATGAACAATCAAAGTAATAAAAACAGATTTTGTTTGAAATATTTTGAGATCAGAAATCAACAACAAAATATGGTTCTGCAAAGCTTTTAGATTAAAGTTTTAGATATTATATCTACAAAAAAAGCAATTTTCGTAACATTTTTTTACCTTTTTTTATAGTTAATCAAGCTACATAGCACAATAAAAAACTTTTCTCTCTAAAATCTCAAAACAATAGGAGAAGAACCCACGACCTTCCTACCCGTGGTCAAGCTGTTTAGCCGCTCGACCAACTCACCTTGCTTCGACTCTCAGCTTCTCGCAAGTAGATCCGTTGGTTGAAGACGTCAACGACGAGGAGGAAGACTCTGACTCGATAAGCCTCTCAAATGAGACTTCGCTGTCATTTTGGAAAATCGTCGGGTTTCGTGAACTTTTGGCCGATTCTGACGTCGTCGACATCTTTAAATAGATTTTTTATACTTTTGACGAATTTAATTTTTGAGAAACTGCGAATAGTTGAAAATTGAATACGCGAGTCTGCATTTGGAGTCAGAAAAAAAGAGAAACACAAAAAAATTGGCTAAGTTTTTTTAAATGCAACTTTTTAAAACATGATCTCCTCGTAATGGCTCGTACTAGGCGGCCATAATGAAAAAAATAAAAAAATATAATCTTAATCTTGGGAAAAAAATAAACCAAGAAAAATAAGTTCCAAGGCCTAAAGATTGACAGGAAAAAATTATGTTCCTATAACATTTAAAAAGAAAAAAACCGAAAAGTTTCAATCAAAAAAATGGATAAACGAAAAATTAGGAAAAATTTAGAGCCTGTTTTTAAAAATTTGAACCAGAAGGACAAAAAAACAATTTTCCATTTTACTTAAAAATTTTGATAAGAATTTCTGATGTTAAAACTATAATTCTCCAGCTATCTGGCTAATACCGAAGCCAAAAAGCCAAAGCTTTGAGACCAACTGAAACTTTGAACGCGCGTTCACTTCACTAAAATCGCCAGAGTAGACTTTTTCCCCTAAATGAAAAAAAATATCAAGTACAGTAAAAAAATTAAAATAAACATGGGCTAATATCGAACAATCTGTAACACTTCTTGCTAATATGGACTTTAAAGTAAAATTAGGCGTGGCCGGAATATGAAAACTCGTAAAGATCCTTCGTTTTCTTAACGTTATTTTTGAATTTTTAAATAACAAGAAGGATTTTTTAATCAAGAGTACAATATGAAGTATTCTCGAAGATATTCGCTCAGATAAGAATTTTTCGCCCACTCGTTTTAATTATAACGGATAATTTTTGAACAGGTATCAAAATTGGAAAAAAAGAAAAATTTCTGAAAAAAATATTAGATAAATGTTTAATATAGGGACTCAGTTTTTCCGCTTTTTTTTTTACAAAACAGTCTCTTTTTCTATCACGATAATTATCCTACAGCCTTTGTAGGCCATGAAAACGAGAAAAAAAAGGGATTTCCCATGCTCAGACTCGAACCCAGGAGTGTCTTCCCAACGAAAAGACCTCTAACCGACTGATCCATCCTCCGACAAAAATGGAGAGGAAGATAATAGAAATAACGAGTCTACTATACAAAGATGCTTAAAAAGGTGAAAGAGATATACGGAATGAAGGGATATATAGAGATAGAGCTTTTCGTAGTCGTGGCAACCAAATTGGAAAACGACCCCAAGACACCTGTCACCCTAATCGTGACGTCACAGAACGATACCCTAATTAAACCAAAAATTAATTCCCTAAACGACAATTCTTCACAAGTATAAGCCTTTTTAGCCGGGTCACCGTGAACAGATAAGTTTTGGAAAGTGTATGGTTTTCTAAAAAAATCAGCAACATGAGAACATTTAAAAAAATTAACGCAATAGGGATTTTTCTAGTTTTTTTTTTTCAAATCAAGAACGTTAGCTGATTTTGAAAAAAAAAAGCCACTCAAAAAACAATCAGGAAGAAAAACTTTAAAACAAGTTTTTTTCCACACAACTTATGTTAATTAACTTTTTCAAAAATTTTTTTAAACTGAAAAAAATACACTATTAATGTTTTTTTCGTATGCTAATATATTACACACGAACAGCTCGTTCCAGTTTCCTCCGCCGACGCTTCAGACGACGTCGTTTTCGCTTCTGAAGATCGCCGAACGACGAGCACAGCGAGACTTCGTCGACTTCTAGAGTCGTCGTGGGGCTTCTGAAAATGTTCAAGCTTATTTTGAAGCAAAATTTGAAGAATGAGAAACTTCTTCCATTTCAAAATTATTCCACGTAAATCAAAATTATCTTTGGGTCTTCAAAATTAATTCAACTCTTTCACTCTGTGAGAATATTTTGAATTACGCTGAATACTTTGAACAAGGCGACTTTTTCAAAAATTTTCTGAAGAGACAATTTTTTTAAACTTCAAGATGTTCTCTGGAGAGTCTGGAACCAAAAATTAAGTGAAAAAAGCCACGCTTTTTTTTTCGTAGATAGCAAGGTCCATTGACAGTCAAATCTCATAAAGGTCATTTTTATTTTTTGTTTTTTTTTGAGGTTTCCAAAGTTGTTGAGAATAATCCTTGATGTATAACACACAAAAATCCCGTTAGTCTAAATAGGCATGACTTACGAATTTTTGAGAAAAGGCGTTTCCAACTTTTTTTTTTCATCCAAAACTTGAGCACATTTAGAAGTTGAAACTCCTTAAAAGTCCATAAGTTATAACAAGAAATTGGTCCTATTTTCAGAGAACTCTCAACAGCAAAGTAAACTGTGTTTGAAGTCAAAGTTTTTCTTATATACGAGAGCTTAGTTTATTTTCTCTTTTCCAGAGTTTTAGCCTTGTAGTGCACAAGTTTAAGCAGGCTTATTTGAGGTTAATAGTTTTTTTTTAGGAGAATCGATACTTATTTTTTCACGGAAACCACGCAGCACGGATAATTGTCGTAAGAACTCTTGAAAATGACCTTTTGCGGTTGCGAGCCGAAAAGAATCGCAGATCAATCCGTTGAACGACTGTCGGTTCACTCAATGCTTTCCGAAGTGGATGGAACCCTTGCTGCGGTCTTTTCGGCGATTCTGAGAAAGTCGGACTTCAGTAGTACTCGAAAATTTTGCGTTATCCCAACTTTTCTAAAAGCCGTACCTGCAGGGGAAGCGGTCATAGGCGGCAGACGACGAACGGGGAGAGAGACGGCGATCACTCGGCTTCAATATGAAGCTATTGAGAACAATAAAAGAAAAGACCAAAAGGATTAGGCTTCAATTCATAAACTCGTATATTTCTGTCCCACTACTCATCCACACTGAGCAATTGAATGAAATGATGGCCTTTTCGGTTTTAAAAACTTCTCGTTTCCCACTTTTCAAATAGGAAGCAATGGAATAGCCTAGAACTGAGGTAGGTGAAAAACAATACTTTGTGTCGACAAACGCGCAGAGGAAGCATATCATCCGAGTGCGGCGACGTCGTCCCGCCGCACTCCCGCCGCTCGTCCGCTTCACTTGGTTTTCTCACGCACCTGAGAGCTATGACTCATCGCATTAATTATTTTTGGTGCGATAAAAAACTGAGAAACTGAACACGAAGAAAATGGGAAATTTTTAATTCTGAAAACAGAAGGAGTCTGTTTCAGAAATTCTCATTAGGACGCTTCAGAAAATAATGATTTTACAAAAATCTCAACAGAAAAAGTTCTTGACAGAAATTACTTTATTGGAAAGCCAGAGGAACTTAATAAAATCACGAGAATATGCACAACTAAAACTAATTATTCATTTACTTTTTCACTTTCTGTCCAAAAATCTTCTTTTTCCTATATTTACTAAAACTTGAAATACTAGCGTGAGCCAAGGGTGAATAAACCATAAATTTTGCAAAAAAAGAAGTCATATGATAAGAAAAATATCTTCATACATATAAACTTTGCTGCATCAAAACTACATAATAAACGTTATTCTCGAAAAACATCGAACATTACCGAGACCAAATGATTGAGAGTGGAGAAAGAACAAAATGCAAATTAATAAGAAGGGAAACTAGAAACTTTTCTTTCAAATATCCAAATGAAAAAAAAATATCTGGGTGGAAAGTGAAAGAAAAAGTCATTTGAAAAATATAATTTTCGAATAGTTGAGAGAAAAGTCACAGCTTTCCGATTCCATAGAAATAAAAGTCAAAAGCGCAGTGACTTGATAAAAAATATTTCAAAGAATACTGACTGAATTGATTACCGATCTCGATAGAAAAATTTACCAGCTCAAGAAATGTCTAAAAGGTAATTTTCAGAATGAAAAAAAAATTTTCGTGTATGAGATATGCGATTAATTAATGCAAAAACAATCAATATATTACCAAATAAGGCGTTTTTATTGGTTAAAAAAATAAAAGTAAAACATCAGTTCAAGAGAGATATATTCACGATGAGCGACACAAATCTCCACAGCTCGCAGCGTAGTCATGACGACAAAAGTCTCGAAAAAAATTAAAAATTTGGAACCCCCATTGTTCTTGACTTAAAGTGCATATGAACTTATTAAAATACTTCAAACAGCAAACGTGAGGCGAAAAAAAAAACAACTAGATTCCGTTTATTTTCTTCACTCGAAGTGGTAGCTCTCTCAATCGGCCGAGGCTACCCTAGAGTGTACACGGCGTCCGTGCCCGAGCCCTACCATCCCCGCCGTGCCCGTACCCGCGAAACTGAGGGATCTACTTGTGGAAGAGCGAGGAGAAGGACCGTAAGACCATGCTTTCAATTCAATCGACTACACGTTTTGACTTCTTTTTCGCCAAAGGCGGTGTTAGTGCCGCTCAAAAGAGCAATTTTTTCACCGCCTAGTCGATACCATCTGACTAAAACAACCAATAAATATTGATTGATATTGATACATCAAATAAAGTTTGAGCGAGAGAACAACAACAACTGTTAACAGCTGCTTTAAGTTCAGGAAGTTTTTAAATTTGCTAATTTAAACGCTAAAACAGCTCATAAGAAGAGAAAATCAATTTGAAAAAATAATTCTGATGGAAAAAAATAAAATTAAATCAAAAAAGCAGCGCAGGGAATGTTCGCTCGGCCGTACTTTTGGAAATTTTGATTGATATTTCGACTCAGACCTCGAAAACATAAACCGGAAGCTTTCCGGACGTTTCTGAGCAACTCTAGGGATCACTTAAAACCGTTGATGCTATTAAAATGGTCACTAGGATTGCCTCGACACACCTGATTTACGTTACCAAGGTCCGAGGCGATATGACTTTCTTTCAATCATTTTTTTCTTTTGAAATAACTAATGGGGGTAATGATATTGGACATTTTCTGGGAAAGAGTTTCGTAGCAGAAAATTGCTTCAGTCTCAATTTGGATTTACTATGAAGTTGAAAAACTTTTGAAATTTCAGATATTGTAAAATTGCGTCTTCTCGACTAACCGACTAACGACTAGTAAGTTAATCAATTTTTTCTTGTTTGGAAAAAAATAACTTGAAGCAGGGAACACTTGTATATGGAAGCTTTCCGGACAACCACGAGTGTGGCAATTGCACGTTTCAGCGAGCACATTGTGCATATTTCACCGGCACCTGCTCTTTCCCGCAATCCATCCGAGTGAGTGGTTGGAGGCCAATTAAAGAAATTGACAAGCGTCGCATTTATTGTCTTCAATGAAATGAGTGAAATTTATAATGTTTGTGTAAATTTACAGTTTTTTTTCCAGTTTTGGGTCAATATATATGTGGGGAACGTCTAGGTGTAGTAGATTATTGAAATTACTCGTCATCGTCGTTTTCGGCGGCGGCGTCGATTTTAAACGGAATCGCCGACTGTTGCCGGCTTCGCAACAACGCCGTCGGCCCTGACATGGCTTTCTGCAAATGAAGAGCTGATTATAGTCGATTTTTGAAAAAAAAAAGCGGTATCCATCAGCTTAAAACCTATACTTGCAATATTATTCAAATGAAAACATTAATTTTTGTGTTTTAATTCTGAAAAATATGCATCATCATGAAGAATCGCTCATATAGTTGAATTTATTTTTCGCAACGTCGAAATGGTATGGCTATACTGTCGTGAAGGAAAAATGATAACGAGGTGGTACAAACTTTTTAAAAGAAAGCTATTATAAACATTTTTTTCAACTCAGTGGCTAAAAAAATAATATTATTTTTACTTTATTTCACTGATAAGTCCTAAGCTATGTTTTTACATAATCTTCTCTATTTTTTTTTTGTTTTAAATAGTTCATTTTAACTGCTTACTATTTGTTTAATATTTGCTTACTATTTGCTTAACTTGCTATTTGTGTTTCTCAGAAAATAATTTTGTTTAAATAGAAGTTTGAAATCTTCAATAAATCCTTTTTCAAATCGATAAAGTATGCCGCTGCTGTAGGGTAGAAAGAGATCCCTTCAAATACGTTTTTTGAGAACTTTTGATGGTTTCCGTGCCGAGAGACAACAGACCTTTCCGAAGAGTTTGCTGGTGCACGGCGAGAGCATCGAGTCGGACGGCGAGCTCATGTGCAGCTCCTTTTGCAAATGACGGCGATTTCGGACGGCAGCCGGCGTTTCATGTGGAAGTGGCACTTTGGGTGCCTTCAAATCGCGTTAACGGACAAAAGTATATTTTAATGAGAACCTCAATCTTCTCTGAGGGCGAGGTTTTCGAATCATTGTTCTCCTTGTTTGGTGTGTTTTGATCCAACTTCTCTTCGGGCTTCGGTGATTCGTTGCTCATCCTGTCTGAGAAAATTTTTCAAAGAAAATTCTGTTTATCATAAACGCACCAAAAAAAGAAGAATGGTTTCAATATTTCAAATAGTTTTTTTAAAAGTTTTTTTAACGTCAAAAACTTTAAATTCTCTCAATAGCAAAAATTGTTCTTTATAACAGTTTAAAAAAATAGTGATTTGAGAAAGATATCAATAGTAAACTTGACTAAGAAATTAAAAAATAACACGCAACTAGAAAACTCGAAAAAAATCAAATGGGATGAACCAGTGAATAGAATGGAACACACTTTGAGAGAAAATTGAAAAATCTTCACAAAAAATCAAACAATATTTTTGAAAAAAAGTGTTGAAAAAAATTTAGTTCTATAAGGACCAGCCTACGCTTATCTTTTTTCATTATAGTCAAAAATTTTCCAATATTTTCACTGAAAATCGAAAAAAGAGAAGCTTAAGAAGGTTGAAAAGCAAGGAAAACAGAGATAAGAAGTTTGAATTTTTGGCTTCGCGCCCTGCTCCGTGGCGCGCAATTAACTTCAACCCTTTTTAGATGATCGCAGAATTTTTTTTCTGTTCGAGTTAAACTTCAAAAACTTCATTAAACAAATTTATTAAGCCCGTTTTGAGATCAACATATGAATAAGGTACGAATAGTTGTCATATTTCTACATTTTCTCATACGAAGAGGCGATAGAAATGTTATATTTTTCGTCTTCAAGCCACGGTTGATCGAAATCGCTGTAAATCGGCGCTGGCAGGTATTTCTGAAGTTTTCGAATTTTCAAATGAAAAAAACGGTTGATCTACTCACCGATTTGATGTCTCTGATGAAATCCATTGCCAAAAGGCAATAATATGTTAAGTAGATGACAAATATCAAGTAAACGATGGCCAAAAAGATGGAAAAAGAAATGGAGACGGCTGTATAGCCAAATTGTTCATCAATCCAGTTGTACAAGAAGTAAAAGTTGATGAGAAGTACGAGAAGAGAAATTGGTATCGCGAAAGCCTTTCCGAACCTGAAATCTAGGCTTCTCGTAATTTTTTTTTGACACCTGGCTTCTTCTGAATTAGGCGCTACTTTTAAAAATTGTAAAAGTAAAAGTGATAGAAATATTTTTTCAAATAAATTGAATATTCTCGTGTTGTTCGTAGTTAACATACGTATTTAGTCGATAATTTCCCATGATTCTTTTGTCCGAGACGAAGGTGAGCACAGGAACCAGCGCAAAGGGAAGTTGGATCATCTAAATCAGAATTTAATCTAACTTTGGTCCAGTTAACTATTATTCTACTTGAACACAGTTCAAAAAATCGTTGAGTCCGCTGATGTGGTCGATTCCACCACTGAAAACAGTGACGAAAAGCGTCGGAGCAATTGCGAGTGACCTTTAATATCGACTTTATGGTTTGATATTTTTGAGAAATTACCGAGTGATTAGGATACGTTTCCATTGTGGCATACGAATTTGGATGAAACCCTTAAATGATTAAAAATTTAAATCGGCATAGAAAAAACATTTTAAATCGATCATTTAAAAATGAAGTTTCACAATTCATGTTTCATTTGACTTTTTCAGCCCCTCTAGCTCAGAGAAAGACATCAAACTGTACCTCCATGGCAAATTGGCCAGCGTAGGTGCCAGTCATGGTAGAAGATTGGCCGGCTGCCAAGATTCCCACCGCCCATACATATAAAGCCGCGACTCCGAACGTGCAACCTGTATAATTGAAGGAATTAATCAAAACTCATTGAGTCTCAAACCGAGAAAAATGCCGGCGTGGTAAATGTCTGACTCGGCGGCGTCGAGATTTGCAGGAAATTCGTCTTTGTAAAAGTTTGGCATTCCACTGTGCGTATTGTTGTAGCATGTGTTTCTCTAGAAAATGAACAAAATTGGATTCTTCAAAGTATCAAACTTGTTCGTCATTTGACTTTGATTAGGCGTGGCCTGCGCCATATTTAGGGATTATTTCCTTGTGTCAGGATTTTTATCGAACTTTTCCCGGTCCCGAGTAACTACTGCTTTTTCTTATTTATTTTTACTAACCAGTGTAAGTGTTAACTTACAATGTCTTGATTGGTCTTTTCCATACAGGCCTTGAGCGAAAACGGCGACAACGAGCATGTTGATCCAGAAAGAACAGAACAAGGCGACTCCACTTTCGATGAAAAAGTACTTATTGGCCTCGTCGACCTTGTCCTTCCGTCGTCGGTCCACTTTTCTGCTCTGAAAACATCTTTCTGCTTCTTAAAATCTGTTTTTTTGGAAATATTTCTACTAGTTGAAATTTCCAAAAGATCAAATTAGCCTTATCTAGGACGTTTTCAGTGAACTATTGGCTCCATTTTCTTATCTTTTTCCAGCTGTTGTTCGATATCAACTATATCGTGTAGGATGATTAATAATAAACGGACTTTGACAAGAGCCGAATGAAGGTAGAAGTTATGTGGCATGACAACCGCTCCGATCACTCCGACCGCCATCAGAATCTGGTCCGTCCCGCAGTTGGTGCACCAGGGTAAGAACATTCCTGTGAACATTTTGCCCTGAAATATTTTTAGTTTTCTCTCTTTTTCCCAAAAGTAATTTTAAATTGAACAAAAAATAAGCTGGCTCTCCATCGAAACTCCAAAAACCAACCGCATCAGGCTTGCTGCGGCCGAACTCGTAGCCGAAGGTGACAGCCATGCAGGTGATGAGAAAGCAGAAGAACGCTTCGAACTTCCTGACTCCATACTTTTCGAGAAACAGGAAAGTGAACGTGTCGCAGATTGTGATGAGAACGCCGGCCCATAGAGGAATCCTACAAAAAGAACAAAGTCTTTTCTTAAATAATTCTCACTTTTCCACTCTCTTCTGTTCTTTGTACCTCGTTGGTGAATTCTTGCTGGCAGTGTTATCAGCCTATACCAGACTGTCTCTTTTTGCTCTTTTTTCGATAAGTGGTACCACATAAGAATGACAAAAGCTGTTCGGATCGAAAATAATCAGAAAATGATCGTTGCTTCTTGGAGCAGGAGCCACAATAAAATAATCCGTTTTTGTGACTTGTCAGTTCATTTTTTTTATCTCATGATATATTCGATAAGAAAATCAACTCATTTTTCAACAGATTGCACCACCCAACCTCACCACAAGACAATTTTTTGACGGCGATAAAAGTCACAAGGCCAATTTATCAACAAAACTTACGCTCCATTGGACAACAAGAAGAAGGAGATGGCGGTGCCAATGACCTCTTGCATATCCGAACTGATAATCGCGATTTCCACCATAATCCACAGAATGAGACGAGGAACGCGACCGTAGTAGGAGTAGGAGACCTGAATGTTGAATTTACATCCAAAAATCAGGACGATCGGACCTCAGCCATGTGTTTTCCTGAGACGACGCCAATTCTGGCGGCGAGTCTTTGAAGCAAAAGTCCGAGGATGTGAGCCGCCAGGAGCACCCAAATGAGTTTGAACTGAGCGACGGCGCCGGATTGGAGGTCGCTCTCGATGTTTCCGGGATCCAGGTAGGCGATACTCATCAGGAAACCTGGACCGGTGAACATCCATAGTTTGTGGAAGCTGAAGAGCTTCTGAAATGGCAAAACTGTTCTAAATGTCACACTGTGGTTCGAGATCTCTCAATAAAGGCGAACGTTTTTATAATTAAAGCCATTGAGACTTGAAACAGAAATGAGAATATTTATAAAGAAATAAATTCAAAAAAATAGCTTTTCTTCTATAAAAAGGTTCACTTTTCAAGGAATTAGTAACACTCTTAAAATCAAGAAATCCTCTTCGAAAAGATTGCAAGTGGGAAATGAAAATAGTACACAGGTAAAGAAAAAAGAAAAAAAAAACTGAATAAGGTGAGTTTCGTAAATCTGATTTATTTTCATGGTCAAGCCACGCTTCTGGTAAAAGATAAACTGAAGCAGAAACCTTTTCAAATTAGAAAGTACAAAAAGAAAATATGTTAGGGAAAATTCCTAAAATTCCTAATCCCATAAATCGATATTTTTTAAAGACTGAAGTTAAACCGTTTTACCTTCTCACAGCGTAAATGTTAATCAACAATAACCTCTGGAAACCCGAGTAACTTTAAAGGAAAATCTGAGTCGTTCTTATCTTTCAAATGAATACTCTTTGAATGGAGAAATCTTAGAAAAAACCTCTGGGACCTTTAAATCAGAAAGTCAAAAGTGGGTCACGGTCAGAATAACCAACATAAAAACTTCAAATATACAGTTTCACTGCAATTTCAAAAACTCACGTCAGGCTCATCGGGAATCTCGACCTGAACCGTGTACGTCTCCTGCGGTTCGATCTTTTCGCGGCGATCCTCTTCCGAATTCTCGTACGACGACATTGCTGCCAAGAGCGAAAAGCCAAATGGAAGTTGAACGGAAGCCGGAGTCTTTTTATCAGTCTCCTTATCACTGCCAATCACTCCCACTTCATCTCCGAACCCAGCTCTGAACCTTGCGTCACAGCGGCTACAAACTGCGCATTCGCACGTTTATTCTCCTTTTTCAGGTCGTCTGCTAGTGATCAAAGGTTTATGAAGAGAGCGAAATACTCGTTGAACATGATAATTGTTGGAAAGCATGCAAAGTCGGCAAGAGCATGCGCTGCAGGGAAATAGGATTATTGTACCTGCGGCCGATTGGCAAAAGTCGGAAGTTTAGCGAAGCTGCTTGTTGGTATTGTCAAATCGACAGATAACTCAGCTTACGAATTTGGATTTCATTCACAGAATGCAATTCAAGAATATTTGATATATTCTGGAGTACAAGAGGTTTTTAGGCTTCGAAATAAAAACATTGGAACTCTCTTGACGATAATCTTATTTTACAAATTTTTTGAAAAAGCATCGGAAAGAAGTTCAGCTTTTTTGTTTATTTGAAAAATAGAAGCTTCTTTCTAGAAGAAGTTTAAAAATTGAGGCCTTGATAAAGAAAAATCTGAAATCATTTTCGCATTCCAAAAATAGCGGTAGTCTTCAAAAGTGCCAAAAAATATCGAAGAGAAAACCATGGCTTTGAAATCCAGCAGTTTTTTGTGATCCTCAAACTTTTTCAACCGTAGTCTCGAACATTTTTCAGTCCCTCAAGTTTCTCACAACTCTTTGAAAAAAGTCAGGAAAATGTTCGTCATTGTTTTTCAGAAAGGCTTGCGAACGTCTCTGACCCAATCCCACAAATGAAACTTCCCAGCGCAAGAAAGTCATTTTCTTGGCTTTTTTTTCCTAGGTTATACTCCGAGAAAGAGCCTGAATTCCGTGGAATTTTTCGGCTGCCCCGGGCAACAACTCAACAAAATTTAATCACGCCTTGTTCCCACCACCTGCCGGCTTCAGACTCGCACGCACACCAAATTTCTTTCCATTTTTTTTTCCTTTTTCAAGCGTTTTTTGGAATTGGCTTAAGCTTCGAGTCAAACCTATAATTTCCGGAAGATGGGTTCGGGGTCGTCTTCGGCGGCGACGGCCAACCAGAACATCGGCATGGGCAAGCTCAGAGAAGACCGCAAGCTGTATCGTTTGGTCGACATGCACGGCGGAGGAGAACTTCTACCGTGGCTCAGGTTCGTCGACGCTACAGCCCCGCTAAACAATTTATGAGAAAAATTCAAGATACGCTCTGATTAGCAACGACCATTCGTTCATTGACGCCTACATCGACACGAAAGTTCGCGAGTTTCTGTATAACGGTGGAAAGGGGAAACTAGTGACTGTGACGGAATTGGTGAAGTTGAGGAATAAGGTAGGTTTTCCACTCATTTTATGAAATTCGTGTTCATTGGAGAAATGAAGGATTTTCTATTCGGAAAAATTCGGAAAGCCATGTTTTTGCTTAAATTTCCACTTCAAGTTCAACAGAAACTATGATTTAACAAGTAAAAATACATTTTCGGTGAAAATTTTTGAATTAAAATGTTTTTCGAAGCCTGGCAAGGCCCAAGTCCGGACAAGTTTTCTCTCAAAAATGAGGCCTGGGCCGCCCGGCCTGATGCTCAAGTCTGCCAATGTCCGAGAAGGTCCGAGGATTTTTTTTGTGCGGCACGGCGAACTTTAACTGTTAAGAAACTTTTCTTCATTTCTTTCAAATTGTTTATTGTGTGTGTTTTTCAGGTGAATTTTTGTTCTCATGCGATGAGAGAAAATTTTTTCTTTGTACCCAGTTTTTTTTTCTGGAGCACTTGGCCTTTTAGATTCAGTTCCGAAAAATAATACTATGAAATATTGTCAGTCTTTTTTATCACGTTGTAGGAACGGAATGAGCGTCTGGGAGCGTTTTCAAGAAAGAAAGGGAAAGGCAAAAGTGGCCCCAATGTTTTGGACGACTTCAATCAAGAAGGCGAGAACGTGGGAGACTTGAAAAAAGGTACGACTCATTTTATCATTTGATCATAAAAAAAAAACGATTTCTTCAATAATTGGAAAATTTAAGCTCTCAAACTACTCGATGGCGGAGGCAAAGGCGGTCGCGGAGAGTCGAAATATCGAGAACTCGCCTGGAAGCTCGAAGAACGAGGTTTTCTTTCCGTTAATAACTAGTATAATATCCGTAATCCCAATTTGTGCTAAGAAATGGATTCAGGATCTATGGGTGAGACTATAGTCGGGATCTGTCTGCTTCAAGCAACCGAAATTCACAATCGCTTGGTTCTGAAAGTGTTAGAAGCCCACCCGAAACTCGTCAACGACATTCATATTTCTGAAGACTTTTATGGTGAGGCTTTGAAGTTCCCAAAAAATGTGGCTAGTGAAGTGAAGAAAGTCTGATCTGAAACCCTCGCAGTGTTATAGTTGACGGTCCATAGTTTATTACAATAAACGCTGCATTTCAGGCCTAACTCCTCTACATCAAGCCATCATCAACCAGGATTGCAAGATGGTCTACACACTTCTCAGACTTGGGGCTGACGTCAATTCTCGATGTTACGGCGCCTTCTTCTGTGCCGATGATCAGAAGACGTCGCGGACTGACTCCTTGGAGCACGAATACGTCGATCTTTCACTGAAGACTAACTATTCAGGGTGAGAATTCAAAGACCTTTCAATATCTGAACAGGATGCTGAGTTTTTTCAAATGCGGAATATAAAGCACATTTGCCGACTTGAGAGGCTGGTGACAGCTGAGAACTCTCTCTCGTTTCTCTTGCCTCTCTATAAGTATCAGCTGATCTTTTGCTCTCTGTCTTATAAAGTTTTAACAAGGGCTAAAGAAATGAAAACAACGTGAAATATAAGGAATATTCCAGTAACATGTACTTTGGCGAGTACCCGCTTTCGTTTGCGGTTTGCCTGAACCAACCGGACTGTTTCCGACTTTTGCTCGCCTTCAAGGCCAGTCCCAATGCTCAGGACACCAACGGCAACACGGTTCTCCATCTCTGCGTCATTCATGAGAACATGGTGGGGTCTGGACCGCGTCTTGTGTCTACACGCGACGCGTGTTTGCAGAAAATGTTCAAGCTCGCGTTGGACTCTGGCGCCAGCCTTCGAATGGTCAACAAGCAGAGCCTCACGCCGCTGACGCTTGCCGCCAAGTTGGCCAAGAAGCAAGTTCGTTCTTCGAGTTTATTAGGGGATAAAAACGAAAAACGAAAAAAAGTATCAAGTTTTCAAAACGACATAAGACAATCTTTCAGATGTTCCAAGAGATCTTGGAGCTCGAAGGAGACAGCGTTTGGGCCTATGGCGACGCTTCCTCGACGGCCTATCCTCTCGCTAAAATTGACACGATCAACGAAACTTCTGGGGAAATGAACGATGCATCAGCCTTGTCTTTGGTTGTTTATGGGGTAAGAAAAACATATTTTTTAAATCATATATCTCATGGAGATAGTGTATTTCTTGGTTCATCCTTCGAAAATGTGCTTTAAATCAATGAAAAATACCTAAATATTGGTTCTCCACGTTTTATTTGAGAAAAAAACTTGAAAAATAAAAATGTCTTTCAGCAAACTGTGGCACATCTAGAGCTGCTGGACGGCTTGCTGGACACCGTTCTCGAAGCGAAATGGGAAGCTTTTGCCAGACGAAAGTGATTTATTTTTATTATTTATATGGAAAAAAAACTCATTCTCTCAGATTTTACGCATTTGAAAATTGACTTAACTTTTGCTTTATTGAAAAGAAAAATGTGGCGAGAGAACTTTTTAATTGATTTTTTTAAAAACAAGAAAATGCTTTTTTGGGTTCAGAAACTCGAAAAAGTTCAACTATTGACTTTGTTCCACAAAATTAGGTTTGGAAAAGGATGATTTGCAGCATGATAATGTCGATGGCCGCGTTCTCCACGTACTACATTTGCCTTGTCTGCGCTTTCATGCTGCGGCCCGTGGGATGGTCGACGGAGGTCTCCCGATCAATAAAACGATCAATAAGAGTTCAATCGATTATTTTCTTATAGATTTCGACGGAAGGCTGGGTGAATCGATATGAAGCGACGTTCACTGGACAGTACTCTTTGGACAAGGATAGTGTCACTGTGAACACTAGCGCCGATGGAATACAACTCTGGAGTTGGTCTTTCTCGAAGAGGGCGAGAGATATTCAAGATTTTCAGAACCCGAGTTGGCGCAGTGTCATTTGAGGAATTACTGGGACAAGAACATGGAAATACCCAATTCTTATGTGAGTTTGGAATTTTTACTTCTGAAAAAAGGTAAAAAGAAATAATTTGCAAAACCAGCTGAGAAAACTTTTTTAACTTTACATATTTGATTGAAGCTCAAAAAAATATAGAGTTTAAAAAAACTATCGAAAAATTTCAGTAAGTTATTTAGAAGCTGTATTTTTTTAAGGTCCCTTTGATTCTTCAAGAAAAATTTATCTGATATTCAAAAAAATAATCCAGTGAAAGAAAAAAAATTGAGTTTTTCGTATCAAACAAGGTTCAAAATTTATAAAGAAAAAAAGCAAAAAAATAAAGGAACTTTGAATAAGAAAAAGCAGAAGTTGGTCATTTCTCTGTTTTTTTCAAGTAGAGGCTCATCAACATTTTTTGAAAAAGCTGTGCGAAATTTGAATTCAAGCAGGAATAAAGCCGCTTTAAACTTTAGAATAGTCTATTTGGAAATTTAAAAAAGGTCCGAGCGGTCCAGTTTGTGAGAGTTTCATTGGGAAAAAGTATGAATAATATTTGAATATCAAATAATTTTGAGGTTCGCCTTGGTTTTGAAGCGATGGTGTTGATTGGGATTATTGGGCAGATTTTTCTGGATGCCAGAGACGTTAAAAGAATTGGTCGGAAGAAATGGTTCGACGTTCTGGTTTGAAGAAATCGAGTAAAAACAAAAAATATTCAATTCCAGAAAGCATTCCCGGCCAAGTTGGCCTACAAATTGACGTACATTTTGGTGTTGGCGGTGGTTCCGATCCGGCTTTTGTGCAACGTTTCGCCGGTTCTTCTGATCCTCGACAATACTCTGGCCACTATCACGATCATTCTGACGACAACCCATTATTTGTACTATTTCCGGTGGGTCTGAAAACTTCAAAACTTGAAATGAAATGGCTCTTCCAGTGTTATTCGGTTTGTTGGACCTTTTGTGTTGATGGTTTACACGATTATTGCAACCGACATCTTCCGGTTCCTGCTTATTTACGGTATATTCCTCATGGGTTTCTCTCAAGGTTGGAAGTTCCCGTTTATTTATAAAGTTTCAAAGTGTCGTTTTTCAGCCTTTTCTCTTATTTTCTTGTCTTGCGAACGAGAGGCGACAAATATCACTAAAACGATGGCTCAAGATCCTAATCACCCGTATCTGAAAGGCATGGATGTAGTGGTACGTTAATCGTAACCTTTGGAGCTACAGTAGTCCAATTGAGGTGATCAAAAACGCCGAAGGATTTGTGAACGTCATCCAAAATCCCGCCGAAGCCTTCGTCCGTACTTTCATTTTGACAATCGGCGAGTTCACTGTACTCTACCGTAATCTGGCCTTGTGTCCCTCCGACACGATGGTTTGGATTGGGAAGGTTTGTTCAAAGTGTTACTGGCTTTCCTGGGAAGATTTTTTTTTTCTTAAAGCTCAGTTCAATGATATTTATCTCAGTGTTAGAGTTTGTTGGAAATTCCTTGCTTAGTTTTTTAGAGCAGAGTAATTGTTGCAAGGCTTAAAAAAGCACCGAGAACGGTTCTTTGTCTAAGGACTGCTTAGCTCATGAATGAAAAAAAAAATTTTTTTTTTTATTCTGTTCAATTGTTTTGAATTTTCCCATAGGTGATTATAATTTCCATTTTTTTTTTCCCATCTTCACATTTTCAGATCGTTTTCATATTATTCGAGCTTTTCGTAAGCATTATGCAGTTCAATTTGCTTATCGCCATGATGACACGAACATATGAGACTATTTTCCGGACCCAACAAGAGTACAAAAGACAGGTTCGAGTCAATCCACTGATTGGAAATTAATGACGATTCACAGCGAGCTCAAGTTATTCTGATGCTGGAGCTCTCGCTGAGTCCGGAAGAACGGCTACAGTACCTTTTGAAGTACTCACGCCCCACTGGAACCAATAAGAAGACACGAAGTTTGGTTGTCAACAAAAAAGCGCCGGTAATATTGAAAATTAGGTTTTTTCAATAATTTTTTGATTATAGTTCTACACGGGGACTAGCGAAGAGCAATTGGCAAAGGAAGAAAAAGCAAGAAAGATAGTTGAAGAACGGAAAGCAGTTTGGAAGAGGAAGTTGAAGGTGAAGAATGAATGTCGATTCATTGGTTTCCTAATCGAAATACGTTGAGGATCTCGAAGTGAAGGAAGGAATCAGACCGACTACCGGCTTTGCGAGGACACCCCGGCCCCACACGCAGTACTTACGGTCAAAAGATTCGTGATTTAATAAACGGTTTCACTAAATAGAAGAGAAATTATCAATGAACTTGAATTGAAAAGAAAAGTAAAAAGGGCTTACCCGGAACGAAATATCTTCAGATTTGTCGAATTTCTGATTCTCACAGGTTTTTCTCAGCAGATTTGCTCTATTCACGGCTCGTCTGGGACTAAAAGCATACTTTTATGTCCAAATATCTCAAGTTTGTACAATGTTTGTAGTCTCAAGCCGGTTGTGAATGAGCCAGAACCCGATTAAAAATTATTTTATGCTGAAAAAATTCAACAAGATAGAAGTAAGTGGATTTCCAGACCACTTATGCTTACTAGATTCTTTTCATGACTCGAAACTTGGTAAAATATTGAAAAAAACATATTCTAGGTCAATTATAATATTATTGACTGATATCTAACGAACCAAAAGAATTCAAATTGATGGAAATACACGTTATTCTGTCTTTCAAAAGGAATGTATGACGTTCTGGATCCAAGCAAGGTAAGGCGCGACCATCGTGTAAATTCCCGGCTGCTTCTTCTGAGCACATCCGTCGCCCCAACTGATGACGCCAGCGAGGACGAAGGCTCCTTCAAATTTCCCGTTGAGTCGATTCGATTCAACTTCTGAAACGAACCGTCATGACGTCGGCAGGCGAACGGCCCTCCGGAGTCGCCTTGGCAAGAGTCGACGCCGCCCTAAAAGTCAGACTTTGAACAAATTCAGAACTCCCATTCGAAGTCCTCTACTCAATACCATTGCAGAAACTACTGACCTCTAAATAACCTGCACAAAACGCCGACCGACTCATTGATTGATACAGCTGCGAAGAGTTGACACACTCATTCCGGTCTATTATTGGAATCAACGCCGCTTGAAGTGTTTGGGAATATTCTGAATTGAAAATTCAGTTTATCATCATAACATGCACGTTACTAACGCAATCCAGTACTGCCCCAGCCAGAAACGACGCATCGACGGCCTGGATTGTAAGTGAAATCTGGCGAAGGGAGACAAATGGGCTGAACGTAGTCGTTGTACTTGAAGCCAGGCTTCGGCACTTCGACTATGGCAATGTCGTGGGCAAATAGGTCTTCAAAATATTTTACTTTAATTTTTGTGAGGAAAAGATTCACAATATTTTCATAGGAGTATCGACTTTGCTTGAGTATTTTTTGAAAGTTGACCTTTATAAAGAGGATAAAAATGAATCTGTTGCACTGGTAGGATCTGTTCACGGCCGTCTGTCCGATTGTTGTCCCACTCGCCAACGACCACTTCATACGAACTTGGTCTTTGGTCTTCTCTTCAAAGTTTAAAGCGTTATTTATAGTATTTCGGAGCGCACTCCAGACAATGCGCAGCAGTAATCAGATGCGTAGGATCTAGGATAGAAGCACCGCAATGATGAGCGTGAGTCTGAAACAAAAAACAATATCATATAAAAAATAAAAAATAAAACATCAATTTCTTTGAATATATTTTGTGGTTTGAGAAATCTCTTCTTCTTCGAAAGTTGGAAAAGTTAATTTATCAGAATAGAGATTTCTTGGTGATCAGTTTAGAAATGTAAATGTTTCACAAACTTCACTCATTCGGATAGCAGCTGTCCATGGAAAAGCTCCGGCGGCCGTTTCGAATCCTCCAACGACCCGGGCCACACGAGTCTTCCTCGGATCTCTCGGCGTGACTTCCACTTTTCTCATTCCACATGTTGAAGTACCTGAGATTTTTCGAAATTACTCAATAAACTTTTTGATTCATGTTTGAAGTATTTTTTTGACTTTCGGAGAGATTATTATGAAAAATATACTATGCAAGAAACACAATTTGATGCTATAATTGGAAATTAAGAAAATAAAACTTACGGTCTTTGAAGATCAAAAAATATCTTCAATAACATTCTTTGAAACCTTTAGAACCTTATCTTATTTGAAATTGAAATAACTTAAAATTCATCTCTTGGAATTGATCAATTGAGAAGTTCAAAAACTTCCAGTTCTATTTAAATCTTCAGCACTTCAGCAAGACCATCAAATCAGGAGAAAAACTGTTTAAGCGACAGCGCGTCATAAAAAACTAACGACACAGGCGGCGAAAAAAACAAGAAAACCCAAAAAATTTGATCGACACGGAACTGACGCGCGGAAAATAATCAAGCTTTTCGTACGCGAAGATTTTTGCGTCAAGGTCGACACGGTCACACTTGGCCTTCCTGTCCGAGGGTATAAAACGCGGCGAATCGGTTAAAAGGAGAAGCGTCCGCAGGTGCAAAAAAAGCCGAAATGGACCTCGAGCATCGGATCAAGGCCTACCGATTCGTCGCCTACTCGGCGGTCACTTTTTCTGTCGTCGCCGTCCTGGCAGTGACAGTCACCCTGCCGATGGTCTACAACTACGTCCATCATGTCAAGCGCGCCATGCACAACGAAGTCACCTTCTGCAAGGTTTGGCAAGCTTTTCTCGCTTGAAAATATTCAAAACTCCTCTTATGAAGTTTCTTGATGATGTTTTCGTTTGGTTGAAGATACATTTTCAAAGTATTTTTTCGATTTAACGTTTTCATTCGATCTCTGTTTAGGGAGAAAATTTGAATTTCTTTGATACCAAAGATGAGATATCGGCTGCATTAATGATTTTTTTAGACAAGCTTCAACTTTGTGACCTCAAAAAAACTTCACTAAACTTTTCTTCCTTTTAATTGACCAATTGAAACTTTTAAATAAAAAACAATTAACCATTAAATTTCAGGGTGCCGCGAAAGACATCTGGTCCGAAGTCAACAACCTGAAGAACATCCCTTCTGCCAACAGAACTTCGCGTCAAGCCGGCTACGGTGATGCCGCAGTCTCCGGCGGTTCCGCATCTTCTGGCGGTTGTGAGGCTTGCTGCCTTCCAGGACCAGCCGGACCTGCTGGTACCCCAGGAAAGGATGGACGGCCAGGAAAGCCAGGAGCTCCTGGACTTCCTGGAAACCCAGGCCGCCCACCACAGCAGCCATGCGAGCCTGTCACTCCTCCACCATGCAAGCCTTGCCCAGCAGGACCAGCCGGACCTCCAGGACCCCCAGGACCAGCCGGAGACGCTGGACTCGACGGACAGCCAGGAGCTCCTGGAGAGGATGGCGCGCCTGGATCGCCAGGAATCAAGGGACCAGTTGGACAGAACGGAAACCCTGGAGCGCCAGGAGCTCCTGGAGCACCAGGACAGGACGCAGTTTCGGAGCCAGTCACTCCTGGAGAGCCTGGCCCAGCCGGAAACCCGGGACCTCAAGGACCACCTGGAGCTCCTGGACCTGCTGGAAACGACGGTGCGCCAGGACAGCCAGGACCGAAAGGACCGAACGGAAATCCTGGACAGCCTGGAGCCGACGGCAACCCAGGACAGCCAGGACAAGCTGGACCACCTGGCGGCGCTGGCGAGAAGGGAATCTGCCCCAAGTGCGTTGGTTTCTTTTGAAAACCTCTTGAAAAGATTATTTCCATCATAAATTATCGTTTTTTCAGATACTGCGCCATCGACGGCGGTGTCTTCTTCGAGGATGGATCTCGGCGATAAGCGCTTATCACCGGAGCACGAAAGCATCAATAAATATTTCGCACATCTCTTTTTGTTCAATTGAAAAATGCCTACCGCTGTCCACAGAAATGCAGCTGATTCTGGCTTGAGACTGGCAGTTGTTCTCTTCTGATCGTCTCAATTCGCATTTCATGTCGCAAATGACGTTCCATCCATTCGCCAGGCTTCTCTCGCTCCTTTCTGCTTTTCCAGTAGAGCTGAAACTAGAGGATAGTATTTATTTCGGTGAAAAAAAACCCGATCCGCATTTCTCCGCAAATACCATCAATCGTGTTGAGAGTCATTGGGGAGCACACCGGTTGCCATCGAGATCGGAAAAGAACTTCGACGTAGCCACTGGTGTCCGAACCATTGACCAACCGGAAGGTCGATCCTAAAAAAGGGTGCGTCTGTAAAAAATTGTGCTTCAAAAAGAGGTTTATAGTAAAACTAGTTTTTTTCTCTTTCAACGTTTTCAATATATTCTCAACATAGGTTTCTGAACTTTTTTGTAGAAAAGGTAGAGAGAACCTTCACAGTTGGCCTCATCGTAGGCGTCGGAACACTGAGAGACTCCATCACAAAGCTCTTCGAATGGAATACATTTTCCATCGCCACAAGCCGCCTGAGGGCATTTTGAGCATCTGAACTCATAAAATATCAAAAAAGTTTTATGAAAATTGAGTCCCATAATTTCAATAATTTCCCGTAGGTTTTGATAACCATGTAGTTTATTCGGTATTTTAGTACATTGAAACTTTCGAATTGTTTTCAGGTTTCCACGTCAAGAATTTGATAAAACTGAGATGAAAAGTAAATATTCCTATCACAACTTTTATTAACAATCTATTGTTAGAATTTTAGGGCTCAAGCCATTCTCATGCCAAAAAAGGAAAAAAAGGCCACGTCGCGAAGTTCATTTCATTTCATGGAAATGGTAACAGAAGACGTGGAAAGTTCATTTTTGGTATGCTCGGACAACGGGCCGCCGTTTTTCGCCTAGATCAACGTCGCAATTACGGGAAAAGGTTATTCTAAGTTAAAATTCTTCTTCTCATCTGGAACAAATTCTGATTATTTTTTTCAATTGATCACAATGAATACTTTCCCAATCAACCTTTGTTTGTCGGTATCGTTCATGATAGTCGCAATTTTTGGCTTTCAGCTATATGCTTCGGGATTTCCATGGGACAAAAAATGAAGAAAACACGACGCTCACGATGCAATAAAAAATATAATTTATATTCTTATGAGTTCTTTGCAGATCAAGGGAACACATAAAAATTACCGAAAATGAAACGACACGTTTTATCTTCACTTTATTTATATGTATTTTTTCTACACACTTCAAAATTTTGAGTTTTTCTTGCTCATTCATCAGATATATGGATACAAACAACTCTACAAAATTAAAATCTGATGCGATTACATTTTATGTAGAAACTGTACTGAAGTTCATTCTCCGCTGGATTGAGACTGTATCCAAACCTTTGTGCAGTTTTTTTCTATTCAACCTAGAGCTGAACAGAGCATTTATTACCAATTAACTAATTTTTTTGTGGATATTGAATTCTTCTTCCCTTCGGAAAAGTTTAATTCAGAGATTGAAATAAAAAAAACCGATTCAAGCCAACTATCAACAAGTTATTTGGTCTCAATCTCGAAATGAGAAATCATCTTGAACCCCACCTCATTGGAGTGCAATTGAGGGCTGTTGTGTTGCAGCCGATCTCCCTGAGACAAGAAAGTTTCCAGAAGCGACGACGACGAACGCTACCGGATCCCGTACTCGAAGGAGTCGCATCGCTGGACGCCAAGACGTCGGCTCCACCAAACGCCGCCGACGCCGCCGCCGCTACCTCCGCCGGTGGCCGTCCCCAAGCGCTATCAAATCGAGGTGACGTCGCTTCCGACGACGGCAAGAACGGAAGCGAGTCCCTGCAAAATCACCTATTGGGTTGGTTCCCGTAAAAAAGTCTACTTCATGGTTCATATTGAAAGAAGGTGGTGTTTCATGGAAATTCGAGAGAAAAAGAAATGAATAAGTTTGCACCTCAAAGCAACGTTTTCCATCAAGTGTCCGTCCGATTTAATAAGGAATGAAGAAAAATTTAACAGCTACTATGAAAGCTCATTGTAGAGATTTTTTTGATAATAGAGAATTTTCTAATTTTTCTAATTCTACTCAAAGACTCAAAAAGTTATCGCAATCTTCATTTAAATAAAAAAAAAAATAAGAGAATCCCAATGTTTGAATCAAAATGACCTATCTTTTAGAGCGAAGGAAGTTTCCCAAACGAGTTTTATAAATTACAAGTAAAGCTTTTGATGATCAATAATTAAAATGTGTCCAGTTAATAATTCAGTTGATGACGTCACTGAATTCTTCAGGTGTACCCAAACATGGCGATAACGCGCGAAGTGGACGATCGGTGCGACATCGTCGGCGAATGCGTCTTTCTTGACGCTTCCGATTCTCACGTGTTCGTCAACCTTACCCCACAGGTTCGAACTATTTGTTCCTTTTTTCCAGTCTTCCAATAATCTTGAGGAGAACAAGTTCGTACTGTATCGTTGTGCACACACGGCCCACACTCCACCCAGTGGTCTTCTACCTGTTAAGGTAAGTTTCTCGCAGAAAAGTTTTAAAAATCAATAGTCGATTGTTCAGTCGCGACCAGACTACATGCAGACCCAGTGGGAGCAACTCGGCGACCTGCTAGCCGCCCTTTCCGTCGAGTCTAACGACGATTAGTCGCCGCTTTCAAACCTTCGTCTTCTCACTGATCCCCGTCGTCTTGTTTTTCCGTGATTTAAGCCAGACCGTACTTACTAAACTTTTATTTTGAAGCATCTTTCATTATGATTTTATTTCATGTATAGCTGTCGTAGATTGAAAAATTTAGTAACAAAGTTCGCTCGGAAGAATTCGGAAGAGAATAACTTCACATAATGAGTATGGATGGCAAATTTGCAAGACTCATAACATGATTTCCATCTACCACAAACGGTTTGGACTAATATCAAGGATAAAACATTTGATATCGTTGCATTATGCGATTAAAGTAATTTTATTAATTTTCGTGCGAGAAAATGAAGATTCATAAGAGATTTCATAGCTATAATTCAAATCTAAACGAACCCGAAAGAGAGGATCCGACATATGGACGTCGCCTTGTCCGTAGAGAAATTCTCGTTGCAAACAGCCGCTCGAATCGACGCTTTGGTTGCCATCAGAACGTCGTCTTCCAGCTCGAAAGTGACGTCTTCTGAATCATCTCATATATTCTGCTCCATCTGAAGTCGAACTTGATGAGAAGCGTTTACGGTAGAACAGAGAAGAAGATTTCGGAGCGAGACTACTGTAGGACTGTGTGGTGTCGGTGAGAAGGCAGGTCTGGAAGAGATTGAACGTTTTTGAATGGCATTTCGCGAGAAAACAGCTTTCAAGAAAATTGTCTTTTACTATTGGTCAAGTCAAAACGGCTTATCTACACATGATATTTTCAAATTTTTCCCTCTTTGGCGATTTTTTGTAAGATTATACCTGAGTCCTCGGCTCGTAGGAGAAAGCCTCGCAGATCAGAAGACTCTCTCGACATCTCCTAGCACACTGAAACCCTTTCTTAAACATTCAGAAGAATTCCCCGTCCGAACCCCCTGGACTTGAGGAATGAATGTCCACACTTCGGTGACCCGATCAACGAGTTTGTACGGACCGAAAAGCTCGAAGGACTCCAGATAGTCTTCTGAATAGTTCACTTTCATAAGGAAGTTGGTTTTGATAAAAACCGCAGTTAAGTTCATCGGAGCCGTCGAGACAGTCGACCTCGTAGTCGCAGCGGAACTTCTCAGAAACACACTTGCTGCCGTCGTCGCAGTCGAAGAAGCCCTCCGAGCACATTTCGATTTCTATAAAAGGGAGTTATTTTAATGCTATGATTTCCGAAAAATTCCTGAGAGACGAGGAAAAACTATTAAGAACTTTTGCTACTAAGAAAGAAAACTATGAACCATTGGTAGTGAGCTGCGGGTCGTTGAAACTGTCGGCACACAGTGGAATATCGCAGGCATCTAGTTTGGTGGGTGTCACTAGACAGGCCGCAATGGAAGTGTCGTTTCTGAAGGGATGATATTAAAGCCTACTATACTTTGAGAAAAATCATTGAAAAAATAATAAAAATTGGCAAAAATTCTTGGACTTGCCTAGAAAATTGCGGATGGCTAACTCCTGGCTTTTAGAACCTCGAATGATTATAAAGAAACGTTACTTTTGATGTGGAAATAATTCTTCTTTTTTTTGCCAGAGACTTCAGTTTGGAATTCCTCACGTTTTCGAGAAACCAGGTACGACGCGACAGAAGTTATGTTCCTGTGGCGATTCCAACGTCATCGAAGAGTCGTTCAAAGTCCCTTCACTCCACTTTAAACACATGGTTCCTAAAAAAAAATATTTTTTTCAAATACTTTTTTGAGAGACCTCTCGTAGTGACTTGTGCTCTGCCGTTGTAGACGTCGCGAGCGACGCATTCTCTGCCAGATTCGCAGGCGACGTAAGCCTCGCCGTCGCAGTCTACGGCGACAAAGGTGCCGTTGCGAACGCCCAAACAGCGGCCGTCGCCGGTGATTTGGCTCTCAAAACAAGAAATGAGGTCTTTCAGAAAGCCTACCTTGTGCGCTCAACCGATAAGCAGAAATAGGATTTTTTTTTGTCTTCTTTCGAGATAGCTCGATTTTTGAAAATGTGGAAAAGCTTTGAAAACACAACGACACCTTGTAAATGTCTCTTATGCGCTACATAGATGAATGCAAAGTCATTTACTTCACAAATAAAGATCTGGTAAAATTTAATTAGTAAGTCTATTGCCCTTATACGAAATAGCGTAGAAGATCATAAAAAAAATAGCCTCGAGAATTTGAAACTATTGCGCTCTATTGCGAATCTAGAAACCTGGATTTCATCACCGCTTTCCCATTGCCAAGTCGAAGCACGTCGAAAAGCCGAGGTCAGAAATGTGCTGGATTCTCCTGAAATGACGTCATCTATACATTGAAAAATTTAGCGGATTGAAAGACAGTTAACCGGTGAAGTCCAATTTTTTGAGAAGTTGAAATACTTTTTTTCTCATTCATTACTTTCCTTCAATTTGAAAACCACTGATACTCTCCCACAACACTACCATTTGATTCTGAGCAACTTCTAAACTTCTCAAAAGTGCCAATCAAACATTGAGTACTGGGCACGGTGCCGTTTGCTCAATCGCTCAGTTCCACTTTCACTAAATCCTTTTTTTTTTTCTTTTTTGCTCTTTCTCTTTTTCTTTCTTTTTTGTGTTGAAAATCGGCTGAGCAAACTTTGTCGCGCGGTCAAATACATGGGCACTTTTGTTATGAGTCAATGATTGGACACGAGAAAAGAGAAAAAACCGTATCGCTTCGTGAAAATCTGCGAAAGACGTGTCAAATCTGCTGCCCGGGGCAGGGAAACGACGTCGAAGGGGCTGCAGAAACTCTAGAAAGGATTTAATAAAGACTCGAAAATAGAAGATAATATTCAACTTTTTTCAAACTTGTAAATTCAAAACTATTGGAAAGGGAAGTTTATCTACCTGCGCTGTAGCATAACCGTCCATTGGCTCTGCCGATAACCAAACACACTTTTTGCCAACGACAAAACTCCCTTCGGTGCATACTAAAAATTTTCCTTGTTACTTTCAAAAATCAAAAACGGATTTCTGAACATTTCGCTGTGCAATGGACTGAGACGCCAGTTTTGCAGTACGTAGACAAGTAGGGAAAACAGGAAGAATTCGTGCAGGCTATCGAATAACTGTAGGCCGGCAATTGTTCGAGCCAGTGACCGGCAAAGTCGCTGCAAAGTCTAGATTCGAAAAAACCAGACGTGTTTTGTTGTGATTTTGAGCCTTCGGTGTACAACTTGTTTCACGTGAATTCACAAGTGATTTGTCATTGGGGCGCTCTTTTTAACACCTCTTTGATTAATTTTTTTTATCCTATTGTCTCGGACAACGCGAAACGGACGTGCTCCGGACCAGGATTGTGTGTCAGTCGAGGGCCGGGCTTCGAAAATGACCCAATTACGCTCAAAAATATTTAGGACGATCTTGAAAGGGAAAAAAAACTCGTTATTACGCAATATAAAAAAAAATATTATATAGGTAAACTACCTCCAACGCATAAGCATCTATAAATAGATAATAATTGATAGATAGAAGGCAGAAATTAAAAAAAAAACTGTGTGTGGCGAATAGATTAATAAGGTTGGAAAACCCATCAAAAAAACTAGAAAAATAATTTAATTCAGATTATTTTTGTTATAAAAACTTCAAACTGCATTTGCTGATTCAATATTGCTCTAAGTGACGCGAATAATGTTTCAACAAGAGGAGAAAACGATACTTTGAATTTTAAAAAAAGTTTTTTTAGTGTCTCCACTAGCTCTACCTTTCATGTCATATAACCCAGAATTTTATTTATAAAAAAAAACTTCATTCTCTGAAAAAAACGTGAACCACGTGGCAAGGTCATTTTCTTGGTATCGAAAAAAATAACACCCACAAAAAACCACGTGACAACGTGTCAGTTCTTCTTGCATGACCTGGATGCAATTATCATTTCTCCTTCCCACACGACTCCGTCTTGCTTCTGCACTTCAACGTCAAGATGAGTTTTGAACCTCCATTAAACTTCTAAGTTCCAAAATAAGTTTCTGAGTTGTAAGCGCTAGTAGATTAGGCCCGCGGGACTCCCGGAGTGCCGATCCTCTTTGCTTGCAAATTGGATACGCAAAGTCACGCTGAAGCCCATTCCTGTGGCCGAGGCACAAACTGTTGGCAGCGCGATGCTGACAAAGCGATGATGGGACCCCCGCGGAAAATGCCGTCACGGCTCTCGGCGTCTAGGATTCCTAGTTCTGACAAGGCCGAGCGGAGCTCTAGCGCACCGCCTAGTTAGATCTTCTGAATGTATAAAGCTTCCCTAACTTACTTACGACTTTACATTGGTAGTCTGTCAAAAAATTGCGATTCGAATAATGCAATCGATATGATTTTTTCAATGTTGAAATTATTGCAGGGAGCTCTCAACGAAACTTTTGTGATCAGGCGATGCAGTTTCGACAAAAACTTTAAATAAAGCAGTTTGATATCTTAAAAAATTCTTTTTCAATTCTTTTTCTTTCAGAAAGAACGTCTGGAGTATATGATTGACAATTGGAAACGAAAAAGCGTATTGGAAAACATCGATCGATTACTACTGGAACAATTGATGTGAGGTTTTGAAGGTTTTGGTTTCGAAAATTTCTGTAATAAGGAAGAAAAGGGATGACCTTATTATTAACACTAAATTAAAGTCAGAAAAACCTTGATATCATAAGCAAAGTCGGAAAAGATGGAAAAAGGATCCATAGAAATGTTCCTTTCAGGGCGACAGAGGCTCTTTTTTTTGTGCCTTTTTGCGCCATTTCATCGGCTCTTATGCACCATTTCTTTCTGCCTCTCCCTTTGTCCACCACTTCTTGAGCCTTCTAGAAAAAATGGAATGCTCAATAAAGAAATTCTTTTTGGTCTCTTTCTGCGGTTTTTTAGTCTCTCCTTCTTAGCGGCTTTTAACACCATTTCGAATTTGCCCGACACTGGCAAAGTCAGAAGTATGCAAAACGGGTGCAAAAAAGGAGCGACAAGAAGGCCGCTAAAATGGTTCCGTTTTACACCCTTTATTGAGCCTTTCTTTCTTGACGGGCTATAGTCTGTTCAGATTTTGAATGTCAAGTCGTCGCTCAAGCTCCGCCCCTATTGGTGCGAAAAACCAATCGGAGAGCGAGCCATCCACAGAGTGTTTTTGAATGACGTCATTGCACTTGACATTCAAAATCTGCACAGACTATAAAAGCCTCAAACATGGGTGAAAAAGGGGTGAAGAAAAAGTGAGAGTGCAAAAAAGGGTGCTGAGTCTCGACCATTGATTATTTCGGATTTTATTACTGTAGCACATTTTTGTTTATAAACATTCACTGATATAGCCGTTGCCACCCGTTAAGGAACAATTAATGGAAATTTTCCGATCCAAAACGAACGCCTAAGGGCCCGTAACGGTTCTTCCGACTCTGCCTATGAAGATATATAAACATTTAGAAATGTGGTTATTAGAAAGTCTCGCGCCAGATTCGGCGGTTTTATTTAGTTGTAAAAATTTCAATCGCAAACGCGATAATCGATTATAATTCGAGGTCGCAGACACTCGGGCTGCGGAAAAAACAATTTAACTTTATGAGCAGCTCTTTTTAATTCAATTTTTTTTATTTATATCCTATTTTTCCGCATTTGGAAGTTTTTATCTTTGAAAGTTCAGTTACTCGCGATGACAAGAAATCGTAGCGAAGCAAACTAGATCCATGGCGGACAGAGTTCAATCACCTGCGAAACCGGCTAAACAATACCAGGTACCAGCCCGATGCTCTTAAAAGCAGCTAAGGGCTTTTTTGTTCTGTGTTTTTGCAAAGGACGAATGAAATAGCAGTAAATTTGGAATCTCGAAATCGCTCCTCACTGTCTGACTCTTATTTTAAACTTCGCGGAATCATTTCGAAAAGGGCATGAAAAACTCCCACAAAGAAGGACGAGGTCGGACGTCGGTAACGCGAAACGGACGTGTCCGGGTATTTTTAGTGACCACTTTAGTAGCGTCAGCATTCTCAAGGGATCCCTAGAATTGCTCATAAACGTCCAGAGCACGTCTGTTTGGCGTTACCAATGTGCGAGAAAAAAAAATCAGTGAGGCGTGAAAAAAAGGCGCCCCAATGATAAATCTCTTGTCAATTTACGTGACGTCTAGCTGTACAGATACCGGAGGCTGTGATTTTGATTCTGCGCGAATGAAAATTGAGAAAACTTCCCTGATGACGTCACTAATTGACTTTTTCCTGAGGTCATAACCTACCTGCCTGTCTCGGTGCAGGCCATTTCGCCATAGGTATTTTTGAAAGAATTAGCGCACAAGGGGAAGTAAGTTCCATCCCGGGCTTTTACGTGGAGAAGATCGTTGAATAGCCTGAAATCTCTCTGAAGCGATCACTTTGAAATCCTACCACGAAAAAAATTTAACTCTTATGAAAAACAAGTGACAAAGTCGATTTTTGCTTTATTTGAAATTAAGAACATCTCTGCTCCAAGAGACCTTCATGAGCCACGTTTACGATTTTTTTTGAAACAAACATATTTTGCACAATTTACTTCAAAAGTAAGTCAAAAAAAAAATGAGAGCTTTCAACCGGAATAACCTACTTCAATACTTTACAAATCCAAAATGTTTGAAATGTTGATGTAAAATTAAGCCTCACGAGATAAATTTCAAATAATCCATCAAGTTAATGTTTCCTCTTTTGAACCAACCTAAATTCAATAGATCCAGTAGTTGCACCCGAGAACAGCGCCAAAACGGCCAACGCGGCTAACATGAGCCATACAAGCCTTATTAATCACTCAGAAAGTCAATAAATAAATAAACCCAAGAACAACAGCACAAAATAGTACGAGTAAAGAGAGTAAAAGGTCTGCAAAAAAAAGAAAGGGGAGGAGAAAGTGGGCGGGGCCAACAACTGGTTTTTCTATCTTTTCTTCGGAGCGAGAGTAAAAGTGCGCCCCGGCGAGAAACGAGTCAACTTTCAAGCTTCACAAATTCTTTCATGGATTGAAAATACTATTTATTTTCATGGATACAATAAATGTGCAAAATTTTCCTAAATGACTGAAGATTGCTCAGAAAACGAGCAACTTTCTCGCTGGAAGAAAAAAAAAAACAGAAATAACAACCAATTGCAGAGTTGCCAAGGTTTTAAGTGGCTTTTCTCATGAGAAACAGGTCCCTAATCGGTGTCCTTGAATCGGTCGGCAGCCTTTGGATCCCAAAAAGTCCCTGTAAGAAAACGGCAGTTTTTTTTTGTCCAAATGTGCTCTACTCAAAAAGAAAAGCTTGAAAGGTTATGGGCCTATGATAAAAAGCTGATCAAAATAAATTTCATTCGTTCAAATCGAAAACTGCATAAAAAAACTAGAGGTGCATGAATTTTGAAATATACTGCGTGGGAAAAAGAAAGAAACTGTCGCGTGGTTCAAACTTGAAAAAAAAGTTTCAGTCTCTGCAAACCTTAAAAAAAGGAAAACGTCAAAAACCCGAAATCAAATAAAAATAGCTTTTTCAATGTTTTCTTACCTTGACTTTCGGATGTCGCAGTAACTGCGCCTGTGCCATTCCCGACGTTGAGACAGCCAGCCAATACAATGGAATACACTGTAAAAAAAAAGACTTGATTAGGCAAAGAAATTCAGAAAAAAAGGTACCGCTGGTAGTTGTGACATGATTGTCACGGCAAAAAGCGTGAAAAATCCGAGAATCGCATCGTAGGATTTTTGTTGAAGCGTTGTTTTTCCAACGCCAGGATAGATTTTTCTTTGGGACTGAACGCAATTATTTGAAAAAAAACTAGCAAGTGATTTTTATTTACAAAAGCTTCATTCTGTAACTTACATATAAATTGAGAAAACTGAACAGTCCAACAGTAATCGGGAGGATGAAATACGGATCCGGTGATAACATATCAGGGATCCATAGAGCCCCAGTCACAGACGGGTGGAAATCAGCTGAACGAATGATTATCATACTTTTTTGATTGAGATGAACAAAAACTCACAACTTATAATGTTTCTCAAAGCGAAGGAGGAGAATATCCAAACAGGAATCGTGCACATTTTCAAATTTTGAATTCGCGCCGCTTGGAGACCGTGCTCCGAAAGCATCACCGGAACGTGGGCAAGCTGATAAAAATAATTTATTAAATGAAATCTTCCAAGAATACGAAAAAAATAACCTTTCGACAGGTATTCGAAAAAAACTTAAACGGTGAATTTGAATAGTATAATTTTTAAATAACGAACACCTTTCGCAAAAAAAGGATTTGAAGTTTTATGAATTTCTTTTTTTCAAATGGAATAACCGTGAAAAATCAAATTCCTCAAATACCCTCATACATTTGAAAAAAAGGTTTTTTTAATTATTATACATATTTATCATTTCTTCTTTACCCAAATGAAAAAAATATTTACAGCTGCCGTCTTTGCAAACTTGGATTTCATAAAGGAAGGTTTGAATTATGACAACAATATTCAAACAAAACTCACCGCCTCATCAGCAATAGTCAAAATTCTTTTGTCGTTTGTTTCAAGCTTGAGCTTCTTGTTCTTGTGATCCGGCTCCAGGGGAACTTTGTACTTGTCAGAAACTTTCTAAATGAGATTACATCAAGGATACTTCTAGAACAATAGAAAAAAACCTTTAGAACGTTCTGGGTTAGGAAATTTTGTGCGTGAAGTCTTTTGGCAAATAATTTCTCGGCGTAAATGTGCAACGGCGAGGTTCCAATTCGAAGTAAAAGAGCAGCGGAAACAAAAACCGTCGGCCAAGTCATTCCCGTTGTGTGAAGACCTTCAAATAATTGGTATTCGATGATGAAAAATTGAGCTTCCTATAGAAATTTCGCCAGAAGTATTTGCTTATTATCTTCCATTAAAACTTATAAACCTTCCATTGCCAACTGAATCCCTTGAGTGATATAGCAATCCGAAGCATATTGAAAGGCCGGGGCGATTGCTGGAGGCAAGCCGCTTATACTTCGGCGGGAGACTACCTGAGAATGATCCGTTTCTTGAAACTTTCTTGTTGCAAAAGAACCTGTGGTGGACCTTTTTTAATTTCGAAAGAGGACAGGACTAAGTTGGAAGTTGAACAACTTGGCAGGCATCGACTATACGAGATTCTGCTCAGCATTTTTCTGAACTTGCGAGGATCACTTTTTCAGTTCATATTAGTCAGAAACATATCGTCTCTTCAAAAATAGATGAGCGTTTCCAAACAGTTTAATAATGCACTCAAACCAATTTACAACCTGTAAATCTTTATTGGTGTATATAATATATCACAAGAAAAATTCAATTGAAAGAAGAGGCAAAACCTTCCGAAGGACCTGATTGCAATACAAGATTAAGGAATGCGAACCAATTGAGTCGAATATCGTTAAATTACGAGCAAACAATGTTCATAGACGCTTTCAATACAAAAAAATTTGATAACCGATATGTGAAAAAATAGCTCCCTACTAATTTAAAATGCAGAGTCGTTTTAGCTGGCCACATCTGAAGGAAAATTACGTTTTTACAAAAAAAAGTATACATATTAGTTAGAGCCAAGCTTCTGACCAACACCGGAGAAAGGACCGCGATTCCGAGCTGGACTGGGGGATTGGCTTGAATGGCCTTGGGCTTGATAATGACTTGGATCTCGGTGGAATGGATTAACAGCAGGCTGTTGAGGAGCTCCAGCTCCTCTGTTGGAATTCTGAGTGACCACTATTCCTATCACCACGAGGACCAAGCCCAGAGGACCGAAAAATATGACGGAAAGGGCGGCGAGAGCCAAATGAGCCGGCTCAATCGTGAACCCCATCACCTGGAAGTCGGAGAGACCGAAGCCACGCAGACGCTCGTTGACGATGTTCCACACGTTTGAAATACCGGATTGCATGTCGCTGCCCGGCTAAAATGAACCTTATTATTCAAAAAATGGTCATGAATTGATTCCCCATCTTTCTGACAAGTTCTACTTTGCACATCTTATTCCGCTTCAAAAACCTAACAAGGACGCTCCGTAAAAAAAAAAAATTAATAGTCATAACCTAAATGTCATACCTGTCTTTGTCCACCAATAGAGTTGATGTTGTCACGAGGTGGCATGTTACAAACTTCTATAAAAAAACAATTCACATTTGTTGAAATAACGCCTTCAATCTTTAAAACAACAAAGAATGATTCAGAAAAAGTCGAAACAACGTTAAGAAAAGAGTTAAATCATTTTTAAAAAAATATGATGGGTAGTAGGGTAAAAAATAGTTGTACTCATTCGGCAAAGAATTTTTCACAAAGAAGAACATAAAAGCTATTGTTTTACATAAATTTGAAAACAATAATACCCAAACATTTATTAAAATAATGAAGAATGAAAGATAGACAAAAAAAAACTTTTATCAGCCACTCACGTAAAAACAACGGCTTACAGTAAACCAGCAGGTTTTCAACTTTGAGTGCCAAGACCCGTTCTGAAATAATTTTGAGCTCGAAGGTTCTTTCCATTCAGAATTTTCAAATTTTATCGTTTCTATCCTCGTTTCCATTCTTGAATTGCTTGAATTATCAAAATCAGTTCATTTTGAGGTAATCATGGCTATGAGTATTCCGAAGTCAGGCTACAACCGTTTCATGAAAGAAGGTGCTCAGGTTTGCGATTTTTTAACGTTTTCTATATTTCTATGTACTTTAATTCTCAGCACTTCAAAGGAACGGATGAAGCTGTTCAACGGAATATTGAAGCCTGCGTTGAACTTGCGTCTCAAATTCGTTCAGCTTACGGCCCGAACGGTGAGTTTTTATTTTAACTTTTTTTTCCTTTGCAATCTGTGATCCCGATAAATTTTCAGGAATGAACAAAATGGTGATCAATCACATTGAAAAGCTGTTCGTGACTAATGATGCTGCCACTATTTTGAAGGTTTGAGCAATACTCAGAAAAATTGATGATTTTGATGATTGTTTAGGAGCTTGATATCCAACATCCGGCTGCTCGAATAATTATCATGGCATCAGAAATGCAAGAGAAGCAGGTTTACTTGACGTGTATGTGTACAAAACTATATTTAAAATAAATAGGTCGGGGACAACACAAACACCGTTGTCATTCTTGCCGCAGCGCTCTTGGAACATGCCGCGCAGCTTATTAATTTGGTTTGAAAGGACGAAGTGAATATTTCTCACTGATTTTCGATTTTCAGGGAATGACTCCACAAGAAATCGCCGCGGGATACGAGATGGCGGCTGAGAAAGCTTTGGAAGTTTTGCCAACCTTAGTGGTCAGCGAGGCGAAGGATTTAAAGAATATTGAAGAAGTAAGATTTTTCGGCTTGCCGTAAACATAGCTTTCGATAAATTTATGAGAAGAAAAGCGGCAGAATTTTTGTTAATTTCGTTTTTTTTATTTGTTACTTTTTTTCAGGTTCGCCATTACCTTCGTTCTGCCATCACCTCGAAGCAGTACGATAATGAAGAAGTAATCGCTGATTTAGTCGCCAAGGCTTGCGGTATATTAGTTGTAGCTTATATTTTTTATCGAAAAAAGTTTCAGTTCAAACTGTTCCATCTAACAGCTTCAACTTCAACGTTGACAACATTCGAATTTGCAAGATTCTCGGCTCTGGAGTTCACAACTCTACGGTATAGTTTTTTTGAATTGTTTTTTTAAAAAAAGTAGTAGACGAAAAAAACTAAAGGAAAAAAATTTTATTAAAACTTCCTAACTATAAAAAAATTGAATAATCCATTTTTTTCAAGGTTTTATTTTTTTGTTTGATTTTTCTTGATGAAATTTAAAGGAAAAAATTTTTATTTTATATTTTTCCAAAGAATTCAGGTCATGAATGGTATGGTGTTTAAACGAGGAGCCGAAGGAGAACTGAAGACGGTTTCTGACGCCAGAATCGCCGTTTACACCTGTCCCTTTGATCTTACTCAGACGGAGACTAAGGTTTCTGCAATATCTCATTTTCCATGAAAAAAATTGAAAGTCAAATCATTCAAGTATTCTGTTACTAGAAATTTTTATGAAAAAAACTTTTTTTAATTTGAAATTTTTCTTTCAGAGGAAAAAGTAATTATGATTCAAAAAAATTTCGCGAGCTGCAAGTTTGCTAAATATTTTTTTATGTTTTGAAATTGATCGATTATATTTCGAGTTTCTAGGGTACTGTTCTCATTGAGAACGCCGATGAGTTGGTTTCCTTCTCGAAGGGCGAAGAAAGTGAAGTCGAGGCTCAAGTCAAGGCGATTGCTGATAATGGCGTTAAGGTTCGAAATTGTAGCTTCCATTTCTAGGATTTATTGTTTTTCTTCAGGTCGTTGTGGCTGCTGGAAAGTTTGGGGATCTTTATCTCCACTTTCTCAACAAGTACAAGATTATGGCTGTTAGGTAATTTTTTTTTTCAATTAACACACTGATCGTAAGTTGATTGAAGTTCGAATGAAAAGTCTTTCAGATTGACGTCAAAGTTCGATTTGCGGCGATTGTGTAGAACGATTGGCGCTCAAGCTCAAGCCAGAATCGTGCGTTTCTTTTTTTCGATTTTTTCTTATTTTCCTTTAAAAAAAGAAGAATTTTTTGAAACAAATGAAATTGAATTTTAGTGCGCTCCGCCCGTGAATCTCCTCGGCCATTGCGATCTGGTCGCTGTCAAGGAAATCGGCGACGAAAATGTTGTCATTTTTGATAAGAAGGTTACTTTTTGAAATATAATGGTTGAAAGTTGGAAAATAACTTAAGTCCTAGCGATGATCAGTAAATCTCGTGTATTGAAAGTTTGAATTTGAAGAAGAAGATTAAAAATTCGAACTTTGGGTTTATTGGGTTGAAGCTGCGGTTTTTATCTCTTCTCAAGCACTTTCATGTTCACGGCGTGTTTTTTTTTTATCAAGCTCTAAAAATATTCCATTTTTAGAGCGAGAAAGGCAATGTCGCTACGGTGATCATTCGCGGATCTTCTCAATCGCGAATCGACGACGTCGAAAGAGCTGTGGACGACGCCGTGAACACCTACAAGGCTCTCACGAAGGATGCCAAGGTCTTTGGATTTTTGAGAAATCGCTATGTATGAAGTTACTTTTGAAGAGCTGTATAAGTAAGAAAAATATTTGCTTTTTATGTATTTTCGAATTCATTATTAATGAAAGTGTAATAGAGAAAAAACTACTTCGAAGCTATTTAATTTTAAAAACATTTAGCTTCTTCCTGGAGCTGGAGCCGTCGAGATCGAACTTTCGCGACAAATCGAGTCTTGGGGAGAGAAGGTATTATTTCGTTATATAAATTTATCAACATTTTCAAATTTATTATTATTCACTGCACAATCAATCGACTGATTCGGAAGAAATTTCAGAGGACTGCATGATAAAAATAGTTTGGTTTAGGCTCCTGGCCTTGAACAATACGCCATCAAAAAGTTCGCCCACGCTTTGGAGACTTTGCCCAAGGCAATCGCTGAAAACGCTGGAATGAATGTAAATTTTTCACTTTCCATTCGCTTTTAAGTTATTTCTAGGCTACCGAGGTTTTGACGAAGCTTTATGCGGCTCACGTCGGCGGACAGAAAAACGTCGGCATCGATATCTGGAAACAAGGTTTTTTTTTTCAAAGAAATAGAACAAAATCAATTTATTTTTTGCAGAGTTGATGGACGCCATTGAGAACAACATCTACGATTTGTACGCCGGCAAGCGATCCGCGATAAAATTGGCCACTGAAGCCGCTGCGACCATTCTGAAAGTTGATCAGGTTGGAACAAATTTCCGAAGGAAAATAATATTCATTGTATTTGACTTGAAATCAAGGTTTTCCTTTTTATAAAAATCTTTCACAAAAATATGACTTGAAAAAATGGCAGTTAAAAGTTCAATGCAGTTTGAATGCGTCAAAGAGAACCAAAAAAGGAAAATCGGTTTGATATGCTCACGTTCTCGCTGTTGCAGATCATCATGGCGAAGCAGGCGACGGGCGGTCCCAAGCCACGAGGTCCCAAGCCCCAAGACGAAGACGACGAAGGAATGGCTTAAATGATGATCTTCTGATGAAATTTCCTTTTCTTCTTGTTTCGATTCAATTAATGTCCATCCGTGTGCTTTTCCAATCAGTTTATGATCTGCAACAGCTTTCTATTGTGTGCGTGTTCTCAGTGCTCCTTTTTCTACTACTCTTCTTTTAAATTTTCAAATTTTGATTGCTTGTTTTGTTTTTCCTTATAATTTTCCCTTTTTGTTTGCCGTTGACATTTTGTTATGCCTTTGTTTTTGATGAGAAAAAATAAAATCCAAGTTTTCTTTTTTTTTCCTAATGTTTTGGAAGAGTTTTTGCTTAAAATATTTTTCCTTCAAAATAATACACTTTGATAAAAAAGTAACTTGTAAGATGAATGAAAATGTGGAAAAGGCGGAGGAAGTAGTGGCGATTTTTCAACAGGGATACAGATCACAAGGCCCAGTTTGAGGCGTGAGTTTCTTTTCTTATATGGCGTAAATACGAAAAAGGCGAGAAATTTAAAAATTCGAAAATTTTAGGCGCTTCAGGGCTTAAGAACATTCAAAAAGAAGTTTTTCCTTCAATATAAAAATCTGCGTTCAAAGTGCTTTCCGAGATATTTGACATAGCCGTCACAGACGGAAAAACATAACTAAATTTTGGAGAGTCAGAGATAATTTTGCATTTCGCAGAAATGTCTTAGACGACGACATAAAAACGCAGTCCGTTCATTCGCTACAAGGTTTTGAATCTAAAGTTTTTTGTATTTGTTTTTGATGCACTCTCATAATCAATCAACGTTTTATTTCCAATCAATAAAAACATAATTTTATGAAGGAACTGAAAATTGCACTTTTTTTTCTAGATTGTCCAGTCTTTTTGCTCAACTTTTGCCGAATCCGGTTGTCCAGGAGATTGATGTCGACAAAATTGTTCGAATTATTGATACAGGTATGGAGCGAACATGGAAATTATAAATAAGTCACTAATTTCAGAAGTTTAGAAGAAAAACACCTATATTTAGGTTATTTTCATGTATGATAAAAGTTTTTTTTCAGTGTTCTGGAATTTTTGGTTATTTTTTTTTCTGTACACGAGGTGTTAGTGTGAGCGAACTTCAAAAACGGAATATCCTAGAATTGAAGCATTGAGTGTTCTTTGTCGGTTTCAGCTGATTTTTTATTCCATTAACAATCTAGTTTCCGGAAAGAGTTCATTGAACTACACTTGATGAAATAGTGTGCGGAAAAAAGTGAAATTGTAACGATCTTCTGGAAATTTCAGTAATCGCCTTGGAAACGGGAAGTATGGTGGTTTCGCGCCTGTTTGTATCCCTGATCACGGACCGATTGGAGAGCGGAGAAGACGTGCCGGTCGACGTCGTCAGGAGAATCGCGGAGGGAATCTTGGGCGTCATCAAGACGAGGACCATTTCTTATGAGGAGCAGGTAGAGATTTGTCGAAGAAAAAAAAGAGAACGAAGAGAATAATTGTAAATTTTATTCAAACGAAAGATTTTTTTCGTTCTGCGGGTACAATCAATTTTTCTGCGCGTGAAAGAATCAAAATATACCAATTTGAATTATTTATCTTTAAAAGATGATCGTTTTTTTTTAGTTATAATGTCATCTTCAAAAATAAATTACAAGTAATCTAAACTTTCTGTGATTTTATAGAAGAAAAACAGTATAGTAGATTATTTCATGATCTTGGATTTTTGTGGTCATTTCTCAAAAAAAACTTTTTTTGACTACGTACCATGATGCTTTGACAATAGTTCCTTTTATTTCATTTTTCATGCAATCCCTATAAAGTAGAATAACTAATTTATATAAAAGTTCGAATTCTAATATTACAAATCTTGTACAGGTTTTGCACGCTGCGACTGATCCTGGCGAGTATTTACGAGAAAGAGGGCAGGATTCTGGATGCTGCCCACATGTTGATAGCCATCAATTCGGATAGCAGCCCAAAGTTCAATGGGTAAGATTTAAAGATGCGAAATACGGGTAATTGAGCTAGAAATACATGCATAGAATAGTCAAATTTTCTTTTTACTCTTTGTTTCAAAAAAAAAAGGTTTTTGATTAGGGGATGGTCTCATCTCGCAGTGGTACTTCTCACGGAGACTAGGCTCACAAGACGAGTTTTACCTAGATTCCAAATCTGGAAAAACTGCGCTCGAGACCTGATTAAAATATTAGGGTCTCTCAAAAGGATTGAGGAAAGAACAAACAGGCTGTACTTTCATGAGTAAAACAATTCTACTGCAACATACTCTGGGAATCAATTTAATTACCAACACAACCTCAAAAGTTGCACAGTTCAAGACTTTTTCCACTGGAAAACACATGAGACTGAAAGTATTTTTATTTTCCAAAGTCGTTATTGGCCTAATCAACATTTTCGCTTGATTGTAGTTTTGTTGCAACGAACAAAATACTGGTTTTAAGAAAATCGGAAGAGCTTCTTATTTTTTATCAATTCAAAAATACAGCAATTCTAAAAGTGATGAAATTTCAGGCCCAAAGCGAATAGCGAGGGGGCGAAAGCTCAGCTGTGCATTCGGATCACTCAGTTGCTTCTGGCGGCTGGAGAGGTGAGATATCTCTCTAGCGCTCTCTGAAAACCAACTTTTTATAATTTATTGAGCTAATTTTCGAGAAAAAAATAATTTTTATATGGGATCCAACTTCATTTTCATTCTCTGATTTTCTGCGAGAAGTTTGATATTTTCTTTTTGAAAGATGAGCTGCAAATTCTGGAAAATGGGATTTTATCGGAAGTTTTGTTATGATTTTTCGATCAGAAGAAAATTATTTTCATTCTTTCAAGGGCTTTCCAGTTGTTTTAGCTGTGAAGTAGTGCTAGAAAATAAATTTTTTACGAAGGTTTTATGGATATCTTTTTTCTACAAGGTTTTTATTGAAAAAATTTATCTCCAAATTTTTCTGATTTTTCTTCATAGACAGGAAAAAAGTTCACGGGTTTAGAACGCGTTTAGCAAAGACCTAATGATCCCTCAAATTCTGTTGTTGGATCATCGAAAAAAAAAAATGAAACTTGCTCTAAAAAGAAACGAAGTTGCTTTAAAAAAAAAGTTAGCACGGTTTCGAAGGAATTTGAGACGCCGATGAGCTCGCTTCTGCGTTTTGAAACATGTTCCGTTACTCCTTTGAACCGTCATATGTTTTTGAAGCATTTCAAGCCATGGCGAATATTTGAAAGATCAATTCAGATCGACGAAGCCGAGCAGTTCGTCAACAGAACGAGCGTCCTTCTGGTCGACTCGAAAAACGAGGAACTCGTGATCGAGCACAAAGCCCTGCAGGCGCGAGTCCTCGACGCCAAACGGCGCTTCATCGACGCCGCCCAGAGATTCTACGAGCTGAGCGTCGTTCCGCTGCTCCCCGAGTCGGACAGACTCACCGCCTTGGCCAAGTCCATCATCTGCATCCTTCTCGCCAAACCCGGTTCGACTCGTTGTTCAGCTCCTGTAGTCTGAAATCTCCTAGGCAACCTTCGTACGCGACTCCTCACGACCTTGTTCAAAGACGAACGCGCTCATTGTTTGCCTTCCTTCGAAATCGTCACCAAAATGTACCTCCATCGACTGATTAACACCAGTGAAGTGCGATTTCCTTTATTTAATTGTTCATTCAGAAGTTCGTTTTTCGAATATTAGATCAATTTTATCAAAATTAACAAGGAAAAGCTTTAGTTTTGTAGGAGGATAAGATGATTCGAAAAAAAAAATGTTTCCGAAAAGTTTCGTAAGATAAATGTTTTTTGTCGAATTTCTACGAAAAATAAGTTCCTGAGCATTTTTCGCTGAGCCTAAATTGCAGAAAATAGTCAAAGCTCGTGCGAAACAAAAGTTCAAATCTGTGTTTTTCAGCTCACAGAATTTGAACGAGAGCTTCAGCCCCATCAGAAGTTCGATGAGGACGGCGAATCTATTTTGAAGTGATTTTTTTTTCCTTCGTGTTTCAAGTTTTAAAGCTTTCTGCGATCACAAAGTTTAAAAGTCTAGATTTACAATTAAATTTTTAGTTGTTCCAAATTATAAAGTACGGATTCAATTGCGATAGAACATTTTTGCAGAAGCGTCATCCAGGAACACAACATCACGGCTGTCAGTCAACTCTACAGGAATATTTCGTTGTCGACCCTTGGAGAATTGCTTGGAATCAGTGCGGAGGATGTTAGTCGATGGGTTCAAAATATTGAAAAAATATATATGGTGGAATAATTTTATAATGATAATGAAGTTTATAAAGTTCATAAAATTGAAATATGCTTTTATAACCAATGTCGCACATGGAATGGTTGCGGTTGGAATCTGTTCTGTTAATTATTTTGCGCCCAGCAGCTTGCTCTAATTGCTCCCACTCCCTATTTTTTTTCTAATGTGACGCGCTTCTTAGTTATCGAGCCATTTTCATTGCGACCATTGAATTTAAAGTCAATTTGAACTGTATATTTATTTTCAAATTTCAGGCCGAAGTGATGGCTGGTGAGATGATCGCCTCGGAACGGGTCTTTGGATACATTGACCAGACCGATTCAATACTGCATTTTGAAGGTTTCTAGTCCTTTTTTCACATCCTTTTAAGTTTCCATGAATCAAAAGAGTTTTCAGACCCGAACGTTCTGCAATCCTGGGACCAACAGATCCACGCGACTTGCATGCAAGTGAACAAAGTCAGCGACCTGATCGTCTCGAAATACCCGCAATTTGCCGATTTTATCAGCCATTAGAACTTCTTGGAATTCCTTTACCTTGAGGTTTCTTTCTAATTTGTATAAAAAAAAGTTAAAAAATCAGCTGGAGAAAAGCACAATGGCTGTAGGCTCTCTCAATTTCGGAAAATTCCAGTTCTTGCAAACGTTTTTGAAAATTTTCACATCTTGGCCTGGTATATTCGTCTCAAGCCAGCGGAGAATGAACTATGTAAAGTTTGACCTGATTTCCAAAAGTTCTCGGAAACAATGTTGTAAATATAAAGCAACAGCTGTTTTTCTGAAAATAATCATAAGTTAACGGGTTTATTTTCTCGCGAACTTTCACCTCTCCATCCAAATTGTGTTGTTTCCTCGCTTCTTATGGCTGTAGTGGGTGTTTCGAGAAATAACAAAAACGTGTTCTATTTTCCTTTCTTTTTTCGGTTAAAAAAACCCCTCTTGTTTTCACGCATTATTTTTTTATTACATGTTTCTCGTATCTGAAGCTGGAACCAATGAAGAGAGAATTTGTGGAGGAAAAAGTGTTTTTGGTCGACTGGTTTCTTTTTTTTTCTCAATTTTTTCGTCGAGTATTTAAGGACGGTGGTCAGTTGGGCCAACCTTTTTTCCACAATTTATTCGGCTTTGACCATTTTTCTCGATTTTTCGAAGATGCTAAAGTTGAAGAACGATTGTAAAGGCTTACAATGAAATCATGTGTTTGGCAGAATATTTAGAAGTTTTCTCTTTGCATTTTCTGACTATGATCAGGAGAAGCTTAAGACAAACTTAAAATAAGTCTAGGAAACCGCGAATTTTTAAAATCCTTCTCAGGAATCAAATGCGACGTTTTTCCATCCTGAGTGATTCTCCAAGAGATTTCACTTCTGAAGATGGCTAATTTTCTGTTGGATAGAACTACAGTCTGAAGTTTTTCTCCTTTTTATGATTACAGCTTCAATGACTGAGTTTTTCTTTCAGTAATAGAAGCTCTAAACACCATATAGTAATCTATTCTTCTTTACTGTCCCTTGAAGATTTTTCCAATCTGTCAGAGAAGAATTATCGGTTTGTTTCTTTGTCGCTGTAATTTTTTTAGATTCATATTTTCTATTGTTGCAAAAATATCGTTTTTTGGAGCAAGACAAGAAAGCCGAAAAATTTTCTGAGATATACGATTTTTTGTGGTCAAGTGTGGATATATCGGCTTCACGAATTTCTTCTAATTCGCCAATCATCGAGAATTGAATCTTTCCATTTTTTCTCCATCCAGGGCATAATATTATTTGAACTATTTCTTATAGAAAAACTGTCCCTCTCAAAAAGCATATCCATCCCACTAATCGAGAATCGAAAGCGCAACCAAACGGCTTCACTCGCACTTGTTTTTTTTTCCTACTGTCGAACGACGTCGTCGAGAACAACATCAGCAACATCCTTGTCGTCTTCTCGTTTTTTCTTCTTCTTCCTCTTCTCAGACGCGGCGACTCTCCCGACTTTCTCCACCCGCCAATTGTTTTTGTTGCAACCAACCAGTTGGATAGCGTCCAAACTCGACTGTCTGTTGCATAATCTGCTAGTTATTGTCATCTGATATCTGAGTTATCTCCAGAATTTCGTGCAGTGGTTTCTTGGTGTGTTGGTATAGGCTAAGCGGCACTAGGGTACTTGGTTGTTTTTGGGTTTTTTTTTTCTTAAAAAAGATCAAGACGTGTCCTCCAGATTCGCTAAAGCTAAACGAATCGGGATCTCATCACCAGATGTTTTTTAGGAAGCAAAAAAACTCTAGTTTCGGGAATTTAGTCGCCAGTATCGAATTTGAACCTTATGTTTAATGATCCAGAGAAAGCCTTTACTAATCAGTATTAATCTTCACTAATTAGTTTTATTCGGCTTTCTCTATCTAAGAAACTCCAGATTCACTTTCAAAAGTCTCTAGGCTTTTGAAATAATGCTTCAGACCCTAATAAATGAGAACAGCAAGACCGAAACCTTTCTGTTTTGGAGCGAAAAATGTTTCCCGAATCAATCGGATCGCGAAATTCAAGCTTTTCAACACTTATTTTTGTCACAATTATCAGCTTTTTCCTTCAGACTAATTTCAAAAAAGGCTTTCTGGAAAGTTTCCTGTAGAGCTGCGCGTCAGATCTATGAAGTTAGACTGGAGTTCGGCTTTCAGAATTTCAGAAACGACTAAAATATCGTCAACTTAAAATATAGATTTTAATTTTCATATAGTCTGTGTGCCACGACTTGAAATTTCACCGAACGACATTCCGCTGTTTCGCTGCGTCGCGAAGCGTCTTTGCGAGCCTCGGTCTCGCTTTGAATTGGTTCTCATTTCTGATAGATGGACTATTCCACTAGGAACACGTGTTGGTCGAGTTCTTAAGTAAAATTAAAAATTAAAAAGCGGCCGAGCACGCAGCGGAACAGCGGAATGTCGTTCGATGAAATTCCAAGTCGTGGTACACAGGCTATACCCAATTATGCAAATACAGAAGTATTTATTAAGAAATAAGTCTTTTCGCTAATTTTTAACGAGTTTCAGAATTTAGTTTTTTAGATCGAGAGAATATGTTATTGATCATTTGAGTTTCCGTGTATTACATTTTGATTATCGTTGCAACTCTGATTTCGTCAGACCAACTTCTCCATCAAAGTTTTCTCCTTTTTTCAAAATCTAAGCCCTTAAGTTAGCCCTTAAGCATCCAAATGATGAAAGTTCGAATTCTGATCAGATAGAAACTGATTTGGCCATCAAAGTCGGTTTGAACTCCTCAACTGCCGCATTTTCAACGATCACTCCGACTGACCACTCGACCAGTTCTTTTTTCCCCTGATAACAATATCAAGGCGCTGAGAAACAATGTATTTCTGTACAAGTAAGGGAAAACATGAAAGGGAGGAGCAACTGGTTTCTGTTTCTCCGAGAATCGAAAAGAGACTGGAACCAGCTTCTTCTCGCTTTTGGACCCGACTCTTCGGGTGTTGCCAAAAAACCAATTTGCTTTTTTTGTTCCGATTTTTATTCTTCAACTCGTTTTTTTCTGTCCTTGACACTTCTTCACACGTATGTATGTCTTCATTGTAAATAGTTCTCGCAGTTTGCTGGGTGGGCGTGTCATTCTGTGTGACATGAGCAATAGGATTGAAAGTTTCACAAATTTTTCAGTTTGAGATTTAATTAAGGATGTTTTTTTCAAATGAAAGTATAAATTGAATTGCAAAAAGGTGCAGCCATCCATTTTAAGAATTATGAAGACTAGAAAGAGGAAATAAACTACAAGCGAAGTTGCTTGGACAAGTTTGAACTTTCTAATAATTTTTGTTCAGTATCGATGACAAAATTCACAAATAAAAAAAGCTCGTTTTCTAATGAGAGCAGTAATTCGAAATCACTTATTTAGGGCTCACCTCTGAGCTCCATTTCTGGAGCATGTAGTTCTCACATGAGCAATAAAGTCAGGTTCTGAATTACTTTCAACCATCCGTGCTATCGATTCAAGTATAGGAATTTTGTCTTATTGAGCTGTCGTAGAACTTCCGATTAAAAAAATTCTTAGAAAATTGCTTCTTTCGGTTATCACAGATAGCAACACAGTTAATATCAGTCCAGTGAGCACGAATGTTCCTCAATAAAATCCTCAATTCATTATTCTCTGACTTTGATAATTTTTTTGTATCGGTGAGGTATTGTAAAAAAAAGAATGTTTTCAAGCACCCCGGGGATTTCTTGTCCACTTTGAAATAATTTCCATAATCCCTTAGGTGTATTCGCAATTCGAAAATTCTTGAAGAAAAATAATAAAGGAAAGAAGAAAGGAATCGTTTTTTGTGGGGCGCTTGGCGACTCGCCGTGCCGGTCGCGTCCAGCGGCTCCCAGTGTCCGGCGGTTCCCAGGAAAATCGCCCGTGGGAACATTTTCAACCAAAATACGGCTATTTTTCGAGAAGAACAGTGGTCATTTAAGGGTCTTGATTGATGTGGTTTTTGCTGACCTTTCCTGGGAAGATAGTATAGTATGAGAAGAGAAGAGAAGCTCTGCTACTGCTTAGTTTTGACCACTGACCCATGTTTGGAACCTCAGTAGCTTGTAGGCCAGAATGGAGTAGAGCACGAAGGAAATGATTTGAAAAATAAGGCCTCTTCTCTACAGTAAGCTAATAATTTCTGTTTTTTTAGTGTTAAATCAAATAACAGATCGACTTAATTTGAAAGCTTTGAGTAAAAAAATTTGCTGTTTTTTTATTTTTTTTGATTAAAAATTTTATGAAAACCCAGAAACATTCAAGAATCTGGTTTTGATCCTCAATAATCGAGCTCTATTTTAGGTTTTTCTAATTCCCCAATTAGTACATCCGTCAAGATGGCTTGAGTTTTTTTTTGTTGAGAAGCTTCGTCACTGCTATTTACAATTATTTTTCAAAATAATAGTATTTTAATTTCTGCAGTAAACATAATCTACACGTCTTCAATAAAATAAATCACCATGATAAATCAGAATTCGCCTCAAAAAGCTTCCCTCTCAAAATTATGATCTTAGACAGTTTTTTGACTACTTCATTTTTAACCTTTTTGATATAAGCTTGTTGTCTTATAGTTATACCACCAACATCTCGGAAAAATTTCCCTTTGACCTTGCCACCAGATTGAAAGCTTTTCGTGCCCTTTGAAAGAAGTGAAGCGAAAAATCGTGGATTTTTTCTCTTTTTTTTTTGAGGAAGGAGAAGGTCCAATAACACGCCATTCGGTGCCAGCTGACCAGTCATGCCCCTTCCTGAAAATCGAGAAATACGAGGAGAAGAAAAAACGTTTTTGAATTTTTTCTGTTCGTTTTCACTTTCGTTGTCGAGAAGAGAAGAGAAAAGCACTGACCGGCACCTTTTGAAGGCTCATTTCGATGATGGCCGGGTTAAGCTGGAGGCCACTGAATCCTTTTCAAACTTGTTATAATTGGACTGCTGACAGATCGAAAGAGAGAGAGTGTGTGTGAGGAGAGCGATCAGAGTAGAGGCAGTAAAAGAGTTATTTAGAATTGAAACATTCAAACTTCCGCTAACATTCAATAAAGTCAGATTTTTAGTCTCGTTTATTCATGAAGAAATCTAGACGTCGAATTTTGAATGTATTAATTCGTTGCGGTCGCGCTGAGAAATTGGGTAGACTCTCAATAACTGCGCATAAGATGCGATTCCGCGGAAGTCAGTTTCTTGTCGGGTGCACTTTCAACTGGAATCTTAGGGTTATTCTCTCAAATTTTTTGATCAAAATGAAATAGTAGAGAACAAAAAAGCATTCTACCAATTTCAGTTTTTTTTTTTTTTAGAATTTTCAAAACTAGACCAATTACAACCTAAAGATTTTAAAAAACCATGTGGGTAAAAATTAAAAAAAAAAAATTACTTCTTGTGTTTCTCATGTTTCAAGTCCTCTCAAGGATTTTTAGTTAGAAAATGCAATAGTTTCTAGCTTGCTCTAAATTGAAGACTCTCTTGTCGTTCCCAAGATCAAAGAATCGACGGAAGAAGAAGATAATCTCGAAATAAAAAAAGAGAACTAAATCCGATGATCTCTTGAAATTATTTCGTCTAGACACGTCCAATGGATAAGCTCATTTTTGAAAGCTTTGTAGAATTTCTTACCATTTTCAGGTTATTTTTTTCTGTTTATCGCATCGCATTTTATCGCATCGCTCTTTTTTAAGCATTCTGCAAAAAAATGGAAATGGAAAAGTTAAGATCTGTTTGGATATTAAACTGTGAACAAAACGCCTCAGATGACGTAGGAAAAGAAGATTTCTTCTCGGAGTGACATCATCTTTTTTAAATAATTTCGAGAGAGAATTACTTCTTCGAACACGGAAAAGATGTAGCTGAATAATCTGATTCCTTCTCTCCAAACTCATTCAACTTGATTTCCGCTTCCTCTATACTTTTGAAGATGATTTCATCATGTCCTTGAAGGGACCTCTTCGGATTTATCTGGATGAAACTAGCAGAACATGAAAATTATTTAAATTTTCACAATTTTTGGTCTTTAAACGTTTCGAAAAGTATTAAATAAATGTTGACTTTAGTTTCTGTGGTAGAAAAAAGAAAGTACTTCATTTACTTTAAGATTATTTGTAGCGTCGTTACTTTTTCGAAGATCCAAGGAGATCGATAGTAATATTCCTTTTTTGGAACTTATTCTTCTATTTTAACAAACTCATCAACCTTTTAATAGATACTTTATTTTTATAGCTTACGAAAGTCTTGGAAACCAAAAATAAAAACTGAGTTTCCCCAGATACTCTTTTCTTGGTTGAAAAAGATTGTTTTTTTCTTTTTAATAAAACATTTTGCACCCGAAAAGTCCAAAAAGCTTCCCATCGAAAATCCAAGTTCAATCCAGGAAGAAATCCGAAAAGCCGGAGCCAAACCGGCGATTATCCCTCTCTGCATAATGCTCTCTCTGTAATGATAAACCCTTGCCCTTGCGTATCAATCAAAGCCAAAAAAACGAAGAAGAAGAATAAAAAAGAAGGAAAAGCGGCGCTGCCGCGTATCACCCCGTACCACCATTTTGTGCTGTGTGCTGGGTTCGCCATTTTTTTCTTCTTCTTTTTCTCTCTGCAGCTTCTGCAGACGGCGAAAAGATAAGGAGCTAACGCAAAGAAAAAAAAGAAGAGAAGAAAGAAAAAGAGGAAAAAGTAACACAACTTCTTCCAATTTGTTGCTGATAATTGATTGCCAGAGACTCCGCCCACAATTCCACGAACAAAGTTTGAAAGTATTACTTCCTTGACTTTCACTGATTGAGCCTGGAATATTATTCCTGTTTCTCATTCTTCGAATTTTCGAGATTTTCAAACAACTACTGCAGGGAGATGCTTTTAGAAAACAAAACGCCTTTCAAAACTTTTTTGTTGCTCATTTTATCCAATCTCATCTAAAAAAAAACCAAAATAGCGGAAATATTTTTCTTTGAGAAAAAAAAACTGAATTTTTTATTTGGAGCATATTGCTCATGCTAGAAAAATCACAATCAATTTTTTTTTCCACAAAGAGATATTGAATTTTTCTCATAATACGCAAGAGTTTAAATTTTTTTATAGCGTTTTCTTTTTTTCGAAGAAAAATCTTTTTCAAATGAACGGAAAAAAACCTTGAACCTTTTTTTCTGGTTTCAATTTTATCACATTTTTCAAAAAAATCCTTCTATTTTCAGTTAGAAAAGAACATTCCTTCAAGTGTTATCATACGATAGGCTCCGCCCTCATCTCCTTAATATGAGCAACAATTTTCCTCGAGCGCGCGCGGGTGAAAGCTCAAACAACCTTCACACACAGCTGACTCG